TCCAGGGTATATTAAAACTAGACGTGATGTAAACCGGATGATTAGGGCTGGAGATTGAGCCGTTGACAGCCAGGGCAGATCGTCACGGACTAAGCAGGGGATGGCCGCATAGGTGCGAGACCAGGGTACGACAACTTTAATTCCGGGGCAGTTGAAACCCGAAAGAGAACAATATCGTTTGAGGGGTAAGAAGATCTGGAAAAAGGAACCTTGGAACGTTATTTGGAAGCAACCGCAGCTCACTTGGTCTCCTTCCGCGTTCCATGGCCGACGGGGCAACGTAACCACGGGTGCCAAGAAACCAAGCCTATCAAAACTCCAATTTACTTCCCTGAGCATTAAGGCCGTGTACTATAGCCTCAACGCGATCTAGTAGAGTGTGGCTTGTGTCCCAGCTTACCCTGCCCACTGGCGTGGCCCGGGACGGGCGCTCCCATGGTAAGCACCTACTCATACGGAGTTCACCCGAGTACGAGATCAGAGATTCTCATCCACTTACCTACGGGCCCACAGTTATCCCGTACGGATTACGGAATACATTTTACCGAACTCCGATCCTCACATTTATCTCCCCGATGCGCGACTAAACTGTCAAGGGGGAAAGAGAATTGACCCAAAAAAAAAGATTATATTATTGGGTTTGGAGGTGAAGAGAACAGCTCGCCTGCAATGTCATGGCTGCACTGCAGGAAGCAAGGGTTGCGGCCCCAGGCTAACGTGGCCATCGGGTCTGCATCACTGAACTTGCTTTGCAGTTGTCGATCACGAGGGAAACAAAGAACCGAGGGACTAAAGGAACACGGAGAAACCTCGTCTCGGGGAGAAAGTACTCCGCACTGGCCAAGCGGCTACTCGTATACTCTGTCGATGGGACTGACTACGTTAGGTGGCGGTTGGCACTGGACGGCGCGTGGGCGCGTTTGGTCACAGAGGCTTTTTTTATCAGCAGAGAGCACGGCCATAGTTGATATTCCATGCTGTTAATCCAAGTCACCCCTTTCAAGTCGAAGCTGCAGGTCAATGTGCTATTGCTTGATCGGGTTTAGTGCTTGGCCTGCATACAGGCAAGCTGAGAAAGGCCAAATTCAAACGGTGTTACCTGTCTCGCACAGGCCATTGAGGGTCTTTGTCTTGACTGTGGCAGACGACATGACGTATATTGCTATGGATCGACAGAGATCCAATTAGACCGACGGGAGACCGGCACGTACAAGAAATTTGGTTTTCATTTAGTTCATACTTAAGCGACGTTCTAAAGATCTCGGCAAATGAGATGCTCGACATCTGTCTACGTAAGACTGCACTAACTCTTAGACATGAGTGCTCTGGACCTTCCGAGTCCACAGTCGATCCGGGGCGGTAGTGGCACTCTAGAGCACCAAGGGGGGCTAGGATTGTCGGTTGATCCGCCCAGGGGTTTGCCCTCTAGTTCATCCCCGATGGTCCCAGTCCACCCCAGCCACTCGATCTGAAAGTGACACTGTGTTACGTTTGAGTGTCAGGTGAACCATCTGCCTCGTCTCAGCTTTGGTTGGTATTGAGATTGCGAGAAAGAGAAAGAGAGAAAAAAAAAAGGAAATAAAAGAGAATCGACTTGATATCGAAGAACATCTGCATAGACCATGTGGGTCAAAGTACGCTATCACAATTTCCCAAGTTGATGGAGTCCCAAAATTACTCGTACTTACATCAAGAAGTGTGGGACTACGGGTACGGCTTAACACAACGGAAGACCGCGGGACCCTAGCACCCTGCATCGATCACGGCCCACACCAATGAGAGTCCGGCGTGAAAATGGCGCCGTTGACTTTGAACCTTTAGCCCCAAAAGCAAAGCGAAAGACCGAGAGAGCGAGAAAAAAAGGGGGGACATGCAACCGTGCACAAATTTTAGCTCCAACTTTCAAGGCTGATTTTCTCAGTTCCTGAGAGATTGGTGTGCCTCGAACATTCGACGCAACAGTGGCCTATTGGGTAATAACCCATTGGTGCAGCCTAGCCTCCTAAACGTTTCCTTATACTCAGCTGAATGGAAAAACCCCAGGCTAATCTCATATTGGCAGCACCCTGTTCTTAGTAGAGCATTAATTCTCTCTTTGGTTTTTTTTTTTTTCTTTTTCTGCAGTTTTGCTTTTTTTGTCTGCCTCCCTCGTGTACATAGTCTAGTAAACCTCCGAAGTCAGAGTCCTGTACGCCCGTAATTTCACCCTCATGCAAAGTCACTGCGCAACAATGACAATCGGCAGTGCATTTTCCCTTTCTTGTCAACTAAGTGGGCTGGGACTTAGCAATAGAGCCTCATGAGCCTGTCGTCCGTTCCAGAGCTCACAAACAACACAGCCCGATAAGATATCAACGCAGAATAATAATGGGTACCGATTCCCGAGCATGTTTCCGACCCGCTATGTCGCTATTCCTGTCCCCAGATGTTACTCGTATGAGGTACGAGTACTCCATTTAAAGGATATGCCTAGGTAAATCCTGACTTAATTTCTCAGCCGAGTTATGTGAGCTAACATGCGCCTAGCCACTAATTTCACCGGCACATTTCACAAGCACAAGGGATAGAACCGAAACAATGCTTGAGATGATCCTCAAGTGTCATGCATCAGCCGGTGTCAGAGCCCGGAGAAAATTGGGAACAAGAAGGGGGGGGAAGCGTGCATCGATAATTTCTCTCAATTTTAATTTGTTTGGCTTTGCCTCATCGGTCATTACGAATACACCTCCAACGTTGATGGATTCGCCAAGCGCAACTAAGATGCCGCTAGAATAGTTGCGGGATGGAGCAAACCCGGGTGGAGGCCCGCATCTTGGGAGCGAATCACCCCAGGATTGGCTGTCGCAACGGAATCGATACTCTTCTAGCATTAGCGTCCGAGGAAATCCTCGATCTGTATCTCTCAGACCCGTAGGACGTATAGCTGCGCATCTCCCATCTCCCATCTCCACGCAACGGGAAGCAGCATGGGCCGATTTCATTACGAGTAGTTCATAGGATCGACCTTGCTACAGGGTTACACATGAACCCAACCTGTCAAGAAAGGGAGAGTCTTAGTTTGTTTCGAGTTTAGGGCAAGAGGCGCCGAAGTCTCTTTGTACAATTGGGCCGTGGAAACAAAGAGATCGGTGTAACTTACCTTGACTCGTACGCGTCTAATGCTAATATGCTAACATACTACAAGTAATATATTTTTTTCTTTCTGATTTTGTATTATTCCGCCGATCCCTTTCAATATACTCCGAAGGGAGGGGTTTCTTTTCAGCCCAAGCCGTACCTGAAACTGGCCTCTGCACGATCCGAGGACAACGTCAACTAGCTTTCTTTTTAGCCTCGAGTCCATCCCGAGGTCCACACGGCAATCTTCATTATCAGTGATTCTAGACTCGTGGGTGGATTTTTGGAACGTCATGAGCAAACGGAAGGTTGCATACTACTTGTAGGTCTTAAATTGTACATATCACGTCTCGCATCCATGTTCCTTTTTGGCCCCCATTTTATTCTCTCATGGATTTGTGTATGATTTGCGACGGCTGATCTCCAATGTTTTATTAGTATTATTATTATCAAGATTTTAGTACTCCGTACTCCGTATTCTACTTCAGTATTGAATTTTCCTGCTCTGTGTAGATAATTGGGTCTCAGGACAGTCTCCCAGCATTCACGCTAAACCATTGGAGGAAGAATAGACATTTGACGTATCACGACCCCTCCACCGGCTCCGAGAAGTCCTTAATTGGGTCTTTTATATCGCCGTTGGGAATTATAGATGCTAACCCCACTAGTCATCGAGTCTCCCCACCTCTCTTTGTCTGCACATCATTGACACATTTAATTTTAAAGCTCGGATGTTTACCGGACTGCACCTGCACTCATCCTGGTCAATATTACACCACTTTCCCGCTAGTTACAAGATCCTACTCCTGATACACGTTATTTTCTATTCCTTGTTGGGCGTTTTTTTTGACTCGCTTTTTATTTTTCGATTTCCGACATGATTTGCCTGGGGTTTCGTCCCTTTGAGGGTTTTCTGGTGAATTTTGCATTTGGGATTTTATTTTCGCATTTCTTTCTTTTCTCTTGCTTCTTCTCTTTCTCTTTGTATTTTTACTCTTTTTTTATATTATTATTTTCGTATCCTTTTTTGATTTTATTATTTTATTCGATTTCTTTTTCTTTTTCCTTTCCATTTTTGACGTCCAGAGGTTTGCCTCCGAGAATTTCAAAATGGGGTCTAATGGGTGCAGCTAAATAACGACCCTGGACCCTCCACTTGCCTTCACGGTCCATCTCGAGACTCGCGGTTTAGCCTCAAGAGATAGCGTGGATCTCTTAATTATTTACAACAACCCCAGCTCTCCCCTTGTCAGACGTCAACTCGATTCTATCTTGGGCCGTGAGAGAGGTCGTTCATGACCGGCATGGTACAGCCTGACCTTCCAAAGTACAAGGAAGATATTGACGATGTGAGTATGCTTCCTTTCGTTTCTTGTTTTGTGAATGCCGGCGCAATAGATTCTGTGAAATATTTCCTACTTTGATATCTTTCCTATCTTTCTTGATTCCTTTCATATGCGGCGCGCTCAATGCGAGGGTTCCGTCGGTTCACACGTCTGAGGAACCGACTTCGACTTGCCTCTGCGATTGATTTCCGGCCCACGCAGCATGAAGCCTTGAAACAGCCTGGCTGCGCAGCGCGCAGCGCCCAGCACCGCCCATTACGACTGAATATTGTTGGACCTCGAAAATGATGGAATTTCCGTCGTTCTTTTGCCATCGATCCATGGAACATTCTCCCAGCTGAATGCGCTTCTTGGGGAGTGAGACGAAGCTTCGGGTCGAAGGAAAATGGCCAAATCAGCAAAAAAACAAAGGGAAAGCAACGACGGGCCAAAGGATCGCAAAGCAGTATCTCCCATACGGCTTGCAACAGCCTACGGATCTGGGTACTTCTCGGAAGAAAAGCACTGCAATGCCAACAATCAGCGCTACACAGATCCATGCTTTTTTTTTTGGCACCCTGTGTGGGCCATCTTGGCTCGATCCGGGTCATTTGCTGCGCATTTCAGGCTATCCCTGCTCGAGGCTTCAATCGCTGGTCCAATCCAACCCTCCATGAGTCTGCGCATATTCCAATGCTCACGCTAGACCGGTGTAATACGCTGATGTCACTCCGGATACATCTAGCTGTGTTCGCAAGTCTGATCTTCCCTCTGTTCGCCCACGTTCTCTTGTAACACCATTTGGCTTCGAGTTTCGTATTCTGGTGACTTTTAATGTTGGCTATGGGGGGATGGTCTCAGTCACTGACATGTGCTTCTATCACAGCTTCGAAACACCAACTCTGGACGTCCTGGTTCTCAGAGCTCTCAGAATCTACAAAGAACAACTCAAGGACAGGAGCAGGGTTCTGCCTCGCCTGTTCAGCCTGCATCTTCATATCCTCCCACTACATACCCGCCATCCCAGCCATTAGGAAACGGAGCCCTACACCGGAATCTCTACGGGCCACCCCAGGAAGCTCCTTTCTACACCACTCACCCGTCATATACAAACCCAGCTTCGGCACATTACCCCTCTAGCGGTAAGTTATCTTATTCATTAGAGCCTTCTGGAAATGGCCAATCAATGCGCCAAGGCGTATGATGTTCCTAGCTTTTATGGATTCTATTCCGCTCCACTGATATCGACATGGACTGATTCTCGTGAAAAGGGCCGCCTGACCTCATGGCATCCACCGCCCAAATGCAGAGACCCTATCCTCCCATGTACCACACCCCTCAGTCAAGCTCACCAGCCTCGGTAGCCTCACAACCTCAAGACCAACATGGGCGCCCTCTCTACGGGCATTCACCCCAGGTGCCGCCCCAGATGTTCAACTATCACCCCTACTCGCCTATGAACCCGGTGCAGCCGTCACCATATGCCGCCCACCACTCTCCTCAGCAGCATCCTCTCACAACCCAGTCAATGATGATGCCCCCTCACAAAGCCCCTGTTCAGATGCCACCACATCAATCCGCCCATATCCCTACCACCGCCATGTCTGCCAGTCCGATCATGAAACTCGACACCTCCCAACATCCTCTACCCCAGCAACAAATGCTGAACCCTCCATCAGCAACTAGTAATCACGGAATGAGCGCCAACAATCCACTGGCAAGCCCAACTCAAGGTTCCAGTTCAAACGCTGCCCCAGGCCCTATTCCCGCCACGACACCACTAGTAGTCCGACAGGACGCCAGCGGCGTGCAGTGGATCGCATTCGAATATTCTCGAGACCGCGTGAAGATGGAATACACGATCCGCTGCGATGTGGAATCCGTGGTGGTGGACACGCTGTCCCAGGACTTCAAGACTGAGAACTGCGTGTACCCGCGCGCCTGTTGCAGTAAGGACCAATATCGCGGGAACCGACTGGTCTATGAGACAGAATGCAACGCCGTCGGCTGGGCGCTGGCAGATCTGAACCCCGCCCTAAGAGGGAAGCGGGGTCTGATCCAGCGTGCTGTTGATAGTTGGCGCAACAGTAACCAGGACCCGAGACTTCGCAGCAGACGTGTTCGTCGCCAGGCCAAAATGACTCGCAGACAGTCAGTTCCCGCTCAGGTGCATATGCCACCTGGTGTGTCACTTCCTGAACCTGGTCCTGGTCCTGGCCATGGCTCAGCTCTAGGTGGTATGCCCATGCCGGGACCGGCTCCTCGCCCTAATTTGGGACCTTTGTCGATGGGTCCGCCGCAGATGCATCACCATCATCAACCTGATGGACTTCCTAATGAGGAAATTAGCGGTATGTTTCACCACATGTGATCTGATCGAAGTCCCCTGTGCTCTTTTATCACAGGAGTATTCCTCCTTCCCTTCATGTATTCCCTTGGATATTATTCCCTTATTGACCTGGTTTGTTCTGTATGTGTATCTGTGGGAGATCTTTGTGTCTCACCTTGGAGTGTATGAGTTTATGAGGGATGTGTGCAATGGCTATATGAGAATACGCACTCTCCTGTATCCCTATGTGGTTCGCACCCAGTCTGTTGTTCTTGTCTGCTATTCCATACCCTGTTCGTTTCTATCTGTTTATTACCTTGATCGCTTTGACATCTTTCCTTGGAACTGGAACTACCTCTTCCTCTCGCTCTCCCATGCCACCCTGCGTAGGCTAATTTCTTTGTTTCTTTCTGTTTTTCTCCATAGGCACCGAATACTCAGGCCGATCAGATCGTCTTCCACAAACCGACCTTCGACCCGCACACATTTTCCACGAGGCCCCAACATCCCTCACCTCGAGCAATGGCCCCTCTATGCCTCCCCTCCGCGACACCTCCCTCTCCTCTCTAACCAGGCACCCAACCATCGCCACCGCAATGGACCACGACATGGACACCCAAGGCCCAACCAACGACGACCTTTTCAGCCAACTCCCAGAAGGCAAACGACGCAAATTCATCCTCGTCGACGACACCCAGCACAAATGCCGGGTGCGCGTCAAAGTCGTCCTCGACAAAGTCAACATGGACGAAATCCCCGACCGATATCGCGAGTCCACCGCCGTCTACCCACGCACCTATTTTCCCATCCAGATGCCCGACGAGAACCGCGTAGTCCCCGCCAAGCGCTTCTTCCGCGACGACACCGAGTCCGGCGAAGTCGATACCGCAACAACGGGGCGGACCACCGTTCCCGCGCCCTCGCTTGACCCAGATCTCCACACTGGGATCGCAGTGCCCAAGCTCTCCCGCAAAAGACACCACAAGGAACTTCTTCTGAATGACCTCGGCTACCGCATGAGTTGGAGTCAGAGCCGAGTCTTTTCAGGACGTATGCTGTTTTTGCAGCGGTCGTGTAAGTGTCTCAAACCTTATGGCTCCTGAACCCACATGCCTCGGAATGTCGAGTTGGCTAACCGTTTACGAATAGTGGATGCCTACCGGAATAAAATGCGCAGCAGTATGCTTGCTGCGGGTAAGGATGCGGCGAGCATTCCTGATCATTTTGATACTCGACGTGGAAAAAGACGGTTTTTGGAGCGTGGACGTCGAGGGTCTGAGACGGTCGCGCAGCGAACTGCGGAAGAGGTGGAGTGTTAGATTTATGATTTATGGCTTCGTTTTTTTTTGCTTTTTTTTTTTTTGCTCTCTTTGCGTTCTTTGATTTTTGCTTTTTCTTATGATTGATGTGATTGATATATGAATGATGAGCAGAACTATGATCTACACGGGAATATGCCAACCACAAGGGAGCAAGGGATGACGGGACACGAGCACAGAGATGATACCACGAGTTTTGAAACCATTAATGTCGAGTACTTCTAAAGTTCGTAGAGTATACATTGTAGTAGTAGAAGATACATTGTACTTGTAGAACATAGAATAAGCACGCAGACATCATCTTGGAAGTACTCAAGTGAAAGAAAAAGATAAAAATAGGCCGAGGGTCCAAGGGTCTCTGGCCCCGCATGCGGCTGTCAGTGCGTCGTCAACAGTTGCTACTATAACAAATACTTCACGGGGGAACTTTAGAATTACTGTGGACTGCTGTACAATCGAAAGTTTATCAAATTCAAAATCCTCTAGAGACCGACTGCAGGAAATAATTGAAAGGATCTGCTAGTTCCTGCGTCCAGACACATCCAATATCGAGAATAAGCGTTGCCCGGCCACACCGTGTGTTGATACTCCGCTTGCGTTAGTCTGCCGCATCGGCTTGCCACTCTTTCTTCTCTTTGGAATTTTTTCCGTTTCTGATTTGGTTTTGATTCAGCTGATTCCGTTGGTTTCAGTTAAGAAATTGGGCTTGTCTCACCCATATCTCATTGTCTTCGGAACCGTGGTTCCTGTGTTTTGCCAATTCTACCCAAATTGATCCATTTCCCTCTCACATCCACTGCACATATTCGACTCTTCAGGTCCAACAGGACCAGCGAAAAAACAATATGGCGGATCCAACCAACATTCCTGCGCCATCCCGTCGCTATTCATTAACCCGCGAGAACCACACCGTCACACCGGGCGTCGACAACCTCGGCCCAGGCTCACCAGGTGGTGGAATCAGCGGCATCGCCCTGGGCATAGCAAACACTCACGATCGCCAGAGCGGCATCGACGCATCCCACGGCATAAACTACATCGGTCCTGCAGAGCGCGACTACAACACCGCCGGCTCCGACACACCCTACATTCCCTCACCAGGCTTCGTCAGCGCCGAGTCCCTGCGCGGCCATTCCTATGGCTCCAGTTCGAACATGGGGCTCGGCGCCGCTGCCGCTTCCCCAGGCTTCCATACACCCGCCCAGTCGTCACTGCATCTGAGCGACTCCGCCCAGAATCAGTACCCAGCGCCATATGCCGGTGTGAGCGATGGGCCATATCAGCGCCATTCCACCGCATACAGCAATGGGGACATGATCAATCCGGAGGAAATCGCCGATGATGGCGATGAGGACTTCCCGCGGTCGCGAGGTGCCGCGGTGGGAGGGGGTGCTGCGGCCGGGGCGGCGGGGGGACTTTTCACGGGCTTTTTTGCGAAAGAGAAGAACGCCGATGTGGCGTACAATTCTGTTCCGGGGGGAGGATTAGAGGCTGGGAATGGAGGGGCGGGGACAGGGGCGGGTGTGGGGGCAGAAAAAGCCGCGAAGGGAATGGATAATCGCAAGAAGATGGGCTGGATTGTCGGTCTCGTTCTTGGGTTCATTATTCTCGGTGCGATTGTTGGTGGTGCTGTGGGCGGCACAATTGGAAATCGACACAATGACAATAAGTCGTCGTCGTCCAGTGCGAACGCTGGGGATGGCACCGCGGATGGAGATACCAAGACCAATGGAGACCTCGATAAGGATTCCTCGGAGATCAAGGCTCTCTTGAACAATAAGGATCTTCACAAGGTCTTCCCTGGTATGGACTATACGCCCTGGGGTGTCCAGTACCCCGATTGTCTCAAGTGGCCTCCATCGCAGAACAATGTCACTCGTGATATGGCGGTCCTCTCGCAGTTGACCAATACCGTGCGTCTATACGGTACTGACTGTAACCAGACGGAGATGGTCCTGCACGCGATTGATCGCCTCGAGCTGAAAGATATGAAGCTTTGGTTGGGAGTGTGGATCGATACGAACACCACTTCCACTAACCGTCAATTAGACAAGCTCTACAAGGTGCTCGATGATACAAAAGATACCTCCATCTTCAAGGGAATCATCGTTGGTAACGAAGCGCTGTACCGCGCCGGTGACACCAAAGCAAGCGCCATGAAGGCCCTGATCTCGTACATCAAAGATGTGACCAAGGAAGTGAAGAAACGGAACATCAAAGACATTCTCATTGCCACATCCGACCTGGGTGACAACTGGACTTCCGAGCTGGTCGATCAGGTGGATGTTGTCATGTCGAACGTGCACCCCTTCTTCGCGGGTGTCAATGTTGATGTTGCCGCAGCCTGGACCTGGGACTTCTGGCAGAATCATGACGTGACACTCACCAAGGGCACCGACAAAAAGCAAATCATCTCCGAAGTCGGCTGGCCGAGCGGTGGTGGCAAGGACTGTGGTGATAGCAAAGTCTGTGACTCTGACACGCCTGGCTCTGTGGCCAGTGTCGATAACATGAACACATTCATGAATGACTGGGTCTGCCAGGCATTGAAGAACGGAACAGACTACTTCTGGTATGACATGTTACAACACCATTCTCACGTCAAATCACTAACAGGGTTATAGGTTCGAGGCCTTTGATGAGCCATGGAAAATCCAATTCAATGAGAAAGATAAAGAATGGGAAGACAAATGGGGTCTGATGGATCCTGGGCGCAACATCAAAAAGGGTCTCAAGATCCCAGACTGTGATGGCGAGACCGCCTCTTAGTCCAGTGGACACTGGTCCACTCGGCTCTGGGTGGGTAATGGGATATGATCATGAAAGCTATCATTTGTGCATAAGTATCTATTAATTCTCTTTCGGCGTTTTCATCTTGTTCATAATGGCGGAACCCTTGTCTATTGCCCAAAATCCAAGGTTTCTCTGCCTGGCGTCCTGTCCCTTCAATATCAGCCTTTGTTTTACCTATTTGTTATCATGAGCCAATTTCTCTGCTTTCTCGCTGGTTTTATTCCCCTCTTGGTGGAATTTTGCATGGATACTCATTGTTTGTGCTTGGGCTCGCCTTGCGCTCCGGGCTGTACATATCAGATGGCCCAATCCACTTGTTTCGGTTTATTTTGAACCACTAGCCTGTATCCACATTTCCAATATATTCATTCTCCCTATTTATTGCAAGATAATGGCCCTTCCAACAACCCCCAAGGTTAAGAACCTCGTAGAGCAGCCTCGGCATTCCGTAGCCACCCACATCCATGGATCTCTCAAAACATGTCCTCGCGATAAAAGATCCTGTATATATTTAAGTAAGAGACAAACCAAACTCACGCGCTTTATGCATAGTATAAACTTTTCCAAAATGCATTCCAACATTATTCGTCAACGTCCTTCTCTCCAATCCAATATAGCCTCATGTTCCAAAATGCGTGCTCGAGGGCCTCAAAAGTCGGCACAATATATGACTCGGTGTTTTCCACATAGCTCTGCAACGCACCACCGGCATTTGCATGCTCAAGTGGCCCTCCAAAAAGTAGCCATGGTTTAGATGGAAGTAGTAACTCGAGGTGCTGGCGTTCCGCGCCGGGGCAGAAGAGCATCGAGTTCTCCGTGATATGCGAGAATCCCTCTGGGTGGTTGAGAACCGTAATGTTCAGATCGTTCAGGAGGGACTCGTCCAAAGTATTAAAGACAGGGTCTTGGGCGTATATTTTGAACGGTGTGGTCGAGTAGGCTGTTCAAGAGTCAGTTTCCGTGAACAGGATACAAACTTGGATTTCGATCAAGGTTCAAAACCCAGATTGCATGGAACGAATTCCAAGAAAAGTTCGCAGACCAAAACAAGCAGTATCAGATGAATTCAACACAGGGTGGAACGAACACTCTACTTGATCCTTGATGCTAACCAGAGCCGCAAGCTGATAAAGCGAGACAGCCCGACGATCAACCCATCCATCACGCAGGAATCCGCTTGGGCTCCCAAGTCCAATGCAGACAATGGCATCGACAGGGCCAGTCTGTGATCTTTGCTTCAATCTCTTCTGCAAAGCCCCACTAACTTTGTTCCAGCTCTCTGAGCTCTCCCATCTTGCGTGGTGGGTCTGAAACTGCGCCTGGAGATCGGATAGTGTGAGTCGACCGGGAGCTTCGGCAGGGGCAAGGACAGGCTCATGGAAAGGCTGGGGTTCGCTTTTCTGGCGACGCATTACGCGCCGCACGTTGCCGCCATTTGTGACATGGGTCCAGCCGTCGGTGTCGGTCACGGAGGTGCGTTTGGCAATAGTTGGTCGCTTTGTACGCGAGCTGTGGGGCATGTTATAGACGTAAGTATAGTGTAAGTATGTTTGTCCGTACTTCGTACTCGGTGGTGATATAATGTGTGAGGCCCTTTTTTTTTTCTCTTGGAGATGCGGGGAGTAAAAGGCTTGGCGTCTGATTGAGCGACGGGGTACGAAGTATGAAGTACGGAGTACACTCACTTCGATATTCTCCCTGTATTTTGTACAATAGTTACATATAACTATGTGAGTAGACTTGGTTATCCTAGAAATGATATCGGAGGAATTCAGTCTCACAATTGAGAACTCTTCCTGTGTACTGTAAGCGCCCTGGGTTCCCCTCCGAACGTTAGCGTCTCCCCAGCGCTTCCACCTCAACTCACTCAGCAAATCATCGTGCAGCATCAACCTTCGAGTGATGGCACTTGCATTTGGTTGTGATGATCCCGGGCCACCCCTGCTCTTCATCACTAACTAGAGCCAGTCACGCATGGCTGGCCCTGCAGTCTCGGTCACATCAGCGTTCCTGGGTTTTCACTCGTCCGCCCCCAGTGATGGCCAGTACCCCTCAAAAAGACTGATCAGCCCTCAAAAATCATGGCTTGGTCTTGGTCTTGGAGCTTCTTTGATTTTGATCCCCATTTCTTGCATGCTTCGTGTGTCCGATCGAAGAAGTCAAGTCTGAGCCGTGCTCGACAGGATCAACCCTCTAAGTGCTAATACCTCACTGCGCTCTTAATTGTGTTTCGTCTCACATCACATCATGGGTTTCTCACTATCCATATCGCGATGTACTTCCATCCTCATGCTTTTTTTAAGTCTTGTGCAGGCTCACACTGTCATCACATATCCCGGCTACCGAGGAAACAACCTTCATACCAACGGCACAGTCGCGCAAGCCAACGGTCTGGGTGTCGCATATGATGTGAAAAACGGCTCATACATTTTCCCATATGGAATGGAGTGGATCTATCCTTGTAAGTGAAACAGCTTCAACCATGCCCCATCATCAAAGCTGACCGTTCCCAGGTGGTGGAATGCCCAGATCGACCAACCGAACCAAATGGCCCGTCAGCGGTGGTGCTCTTGCCTTCCAACCGGGCTGGTTCCCAGGTCATGCCACTGCCTTGATCTATGTTAACCTCGGATTCGGCGAGATCCCAGAGAACATGAGCCACCCGGTCGTTCAACCATTCCAGATCGTCGGTCCGACCAACAACCCTTACCCGGGCACTGTGTGTCTGCCACAAGTGCCCCTGCCGGCCAACATTAGTGTTAGCCCCGGTGATTATGCGACTATTCAAGTAGTCGAGACGGCCAAACATGGTGCTGCTCTTTACAACGTATGTCCAGCCTCATCGTCGAAAATTCCCAAGTGTTCTAATTTTTTTTTCCTAGTGCGTGGACATTGAATTCGCAGAAGACGGCGATGCATCAATCGAGACCGTGACTCGCGACAATTGCTTCAACTCGTCTGACATCTCCTTCGAATACATGTACACGACAAGCGCTATTGGTTCTGGTGCAGTCATGCTGCATTCGACGCCGTCAGTTGCTGTCCTCGTCCCGCTCTTGCTGGCGGCCACACTGGGCCTGTATATGTAGGAGTGTCTGGATTTTCTTGTTTGCATTTACACGCGCCTATTCCGTCTTTCTTTTGCGCCATACCCCTGGTTTTGTTAATCTTATAACACCTCAAAATCGCCGCCAATGATACTGCATGTCTTCCCAAGTGGAGAAATTATCCAAATTATGCTATGGGTTTTGGCGTTGACTGGTGTCCGGACTTTATATGATTGTTCCCAAACGAAGTTATCTGTCACTCATATGGCAATATTCTCAAACATGGAAATTGTTGCTCTTGTATCATGATCACGTAGGGCGCTCAGTTCCCATTAAGTTACAATTGCTCGCGCAGGCCACCAACTAAATCCAAAATAGCTCGCGAGACCTCATTGGGACTCTCCTGTGGTGTCCAGTGTCCAACTCCATCCACTAATCGTAGAATCCGAAGGTCAGCACACGATATCCCGTTCTTCATCTTCTCAATCGCTCCAGGCTCCTGGTAGTTTCCCCAGTCCAACTTCCCAGAAACAAAGGCACAAGGCGGCTCAAGCTTCTTTCCTGCGAAAACATCCAAGTCCCGCGTATAGTTCCCACCAGCCGCTGTGCGCACCCGATACCAATTCAATCCGCCCTGGAATCCAGTCCGTCCATACTCCCCAGCATAAACAGCAAGCTCGTCATCCGGCAACCACGATTTCGATGCCTCCGCCGGCTCTGCAGCCATATCAATGGCCACCGTCTCTGGCATCGTCTTATCAACCGGCATGATATAATACCCAGGCAACTTCACCAGGTCCTCAGCAGCCCATTTCCCCAACGCATGAGGCCGATTCCCAGCCCACGACCCACTCTTCAAATGGAAATATCCACGCAGAAACGCCCGCATCTCCTCCGCCGCCAAGTTCGACATCTCCGGCCCCGCCTCCTCAGTCGAATAATACCACTTATAGTGCTTACGCCCCAGCGCCGCCAGCGCCGCATGCACATCCCCCGCCGACCCCTCTGTCCCTCCACCCACCGCACCCCCATCCACACCCAGCGGCAGCTCCGGACTCCCATTGAAGGGGTGACTCATTAGCGCGACAGAGTGAAAGAAATCCGGTCTCATGAGTGCACACATGGCTGCCGACACGGCACCACAGTCATGACCCGCGACGCAGGCAACGCTGCGATAGCCCAGGGCATGAACGAGGAGTACGATATCGCGTACGAGAGTCGAGAGCGAAAATGTCGCTAGATCGACTTGCGAGTAGCTCCTGTTGTCCCAGCCTGTTGTGCGGCCGAAACCGCGCTGGTCCGGTGCTACGACGTGGTAGCCTGCTTGGGATAGTTGGGGGAGGACCCGGCGCCAGGAGTAGGCGATCTCGGGGAATCCGTGGAGGAGGATTATTAGGGGTTTGGTGGTTTGGGGGTCGTGACCTGATTCCAGAATGTGGATGTTCAAGTCCCGGGTTGGGATGTAGCGGCTTGTTACGCCTGGGGGGAGGGGGAGGGGTGGAAGGGTCATAGTGAATGTGGATGTATGAGTTTGGAGACTGCAAGACTGAATATGGGGGTTTGAGGGGGCTTCTTTTACGTAGGACCGAGGTCGTTAAAATAGGCCTGGTGGTTATAGATCTACAAGCGGGGAGAAAGATCTGCCTGAACCCATCGTAAAGTGGTCATGTTATTTAGGACCGGTCGACTGTTTGATATCTGTTATATGGATATCTAATGCCATATATCAGGCCATATATTAGAATATTGAATAGCAAATAGTTAACTCGTCAATTGTTCTTGTTTTAATAGTAGCGAGTTAAAAGGGGTTCCTACATAGCAGCCCTGGAGTCATTGAGCATCCAGGTTTAAAGGCACAATTGGAGATTGTATACTCTGTACTGTACCTGTAGGTAAATTTAGAAGATACTTTCTGCAGAGCTAAGCTTTGCTTGAAGAATTTACCAATTCACTGTACTAAGTAAGTCTCTAAGTCTAAGTATAGCCAAAATGACCCGCTCTGAAGACCCAAAAAAAAGTCATGACGCAAGTTCACTTTTACTAGCTGGGGGCGTTTCGATTCCATTTTTTTAATTTTTTACTTGGTGCCTTACTTCTCCCTGTATTTCCTGGATTCTGACTGGTCCTGTCGATCCCCTTCTTCCCCTCCAGCTTTTCCAGCTTCCCAGCTTCCCGGTTCCCGGTTTCCACCTCCTATATCATCGTGAACAGCTCCACCGCTTCATCTACTACATTTTCGGATCCCCGACGCTGCATGAAGCAGTGTTCGGCTGGCTATCCGATTCTTGATCACGCGAACGCGCCTCCCTGGCAAACCTGGGAACCATGGCCTTCGGCCGTCGCAAAAGAAGCGCTTCCGCTCATCATCAGGTTCGTGAAACGCGTCGGGCCCGATTGGCTTCTTCTGCTCGATCAGATCAGTCGCAAATCCTGCGATGCAATCTGCCGGGTATCGCACTGCATAAAACTGACAGCTCCCTTCTATATCCAGCCGCTCTCCTCACCCGCTGCGCAATCCGCCCAGTCCGCCGCAAGTCATGCCTTCCTAAAATCACAAACCTCCAATGCGAGTCTATCCTCCGCGGCGGCCGCGGCGGCCCTCCGCAATCTTACACCTACCCCGACTCAAATTGAAAATGTCCAGACAAAGCGGATGGTCGAGCGCCGCGCCTCGACCCAGTCTCAGGCCCCGAACGGTCGGCGCTCCGCCAGCGCAAGTGCTACCCTACGCCGCTCAGCCAGCAACAGCTCGATGACGGCCCGCACTTTTCGCGATCAGTCCCCAGGTCGCCCTGCGACGAGCTCTGGTCCGGCATCTCCGCCCAGAAACGTACCCCCATTGCCGTCACTTCCATCCCAATATACAGCGCGGAAGCAACCAGCTCGCCGTACGTTGAGCATGGAACCAACCATGCGATCACCTCCAGCGTCACCACCACGCTCGGGGGCTCGGGAGCAGGGTAGAGGATCTCCCATTCACATGGCCACGCATCAGCGTGTGACCAGTCTTGGGATGCTGCCTGAACTGGAACGATCGGCGAGTCGCAATTCGGTGAATTTCTCATACCCCACGGGCTCGCGGCCAACTTCGCCCATTGCAACCGAGAATACCCCCATGAGCCTTAATGGGGCGATCGAGGAATCTATACCAGAGGAGCCTATTCAGAAGCCTTTGCAAGAAAGATCTCCGAACAAGTCAAGAGCACGTGCATCCGATAGTGTTGAGGGAAGCCCTGTGGCAAACAAGTCAGGCCGGTTGGCTGGCAGCGCAGCGGCCGCAGCTCTTGCGGTGAGTGCGCAGAAGGACAGCGCGAAAGCAAGTCCCGCTCCCGAACAAGTGCGAAATGCGCCAGCGCCGCCAGTTGATACTTCCGATCGTAATTCCCGCACCACAAAGCCCGCGGCGACCATCCCGGAACGCGAGCACCCTTCTTCTAGGGCTTTGCCTGAAAGATGGCCTTCTGCAGTGAAAGAACAAGAAGAGCCCGAGGACTCCGATCGCAATGTCGAAGATATTCCAACACGGCAAGGCAGAAACCGGATGCCAGCTGCGTCTCTCACAACCGACCACACACAAGCAGCTGCCGCGCCAGTTCCCCCTTCGCCTTCATCGGGGCTGCAGCCTGATCAGCAACCGCATTTGCGTGAGTCAAGTAGTCCCGGTCGGTCAGCTCGATTTGCCAAGTTGCTTGAAGTAACTGGCACTGGCGATCAAGTTCACCAACCTCCCCCAAGATCGGTTTCTCCTGTCAAATCAGCACTCAAACACTCCAGAGGGAGCTCGCTGTCTCCTGACAGAAGGCTGTCGGTGGCTGGTCGAGTTCACCCATCGAGTGAGCTATCAGATGGTACTTCGGTTGCCTCTGATGAGGGATCACGAATCGGTGCGAAGAAGAAGTCTGCCAAAGTCAGTTTCGACGACGAGGCGGAGGTTGTTGGTGTGGCCGCTAGTCCTCCTACCTCCCCCGAGGAATACACGCCTGAGTCACCACCTAACAATAAAACCAAGTCTCGTATGAGTTGGCTTGGTGTTGGCAAGGGTATTGGCAAGAAAAAGTCGCCAACGGACATTGCGAGCGATGACGATTGGGATACTGTCATAAAACCGCGGCAGGAGCTTCCCTCGTTCGGGAGCATTCGAGGAAATCGCGATGGTGGTCTGAAACGGTCGCCTATCCCAGACTTCAGTGACAATGAGTCTAGCTCCTCATCCGACTCCGATGTGGCATCAAAGCAGGAGACCTCTCTCTCAAATGACCATGCCATTGGAGGAATACTTCCTCAAAACAAGCATCATGGATACTTCCCGCCTAACGATGTCACTCGCTTGGAGCAGTTGTCTGTCGTGGGGTCTGCTTCATCCGCTGCCCCAACTGCCGATGTGACAAAGGATACCCAAGCTACTGGTGAAACTGCTGAGCAGCAGCCTCACGGTGGTGTGCACTCAGATCTGACTGTGCCTGCGATCGCTGTCGAGCCTGCTACTCCCCCGGCAGAGGAGCCCAAACAGAGCCTTGAGTCAAAAAGATCCAGCATGGACCAATATCAAATTCCCGGCGGGTTCCCAGCTTCTGGCTCAGAGCGCAGTTTGAAATCGGCCGCGAAGAAGACCCAAGTCCAAGCTGTGGCAAGTGCCGCTCCCAAAGCTGACGGCGGGGATACCGATGAGGAATATAGCGACAGTATCTACAGTGATGCCGCTGAAGATATTGACATTGACGGTGATGGTTATGGATCCATCAATGCCATTGTTGATAGTCGATCAGCTCCAAGATCGACACCGGCGCAGCCTCTGGAGACCGTGGTCGAATCTCGCGATGCCACTCCAAAGCCATTGAATCGTGTATCGCTTGACGATGAACGCCCCCAAGATGCCACCAAACAGGTACCAGACCATCGCCCCGTCACTCCTACTCAAGAGCCAGGCGAGAGTCAAGTAGAGGAGTCCCCTGCATCCTCCACGGGCTATGCCTACGAGCCTGTGGCCCCATTGCCACAACCCAGGCCTGCCGCCCGTACCTCTCCAAGTCAAAATAGCACTTCCCAGACACAGTCGAATGCGCGGGCTCGTCCTATGTCGGTAGCTGTTGACACGAATGGTGCATCTCGGATGCAAGACCCTAGGTGGTCCAGCAACGAAGCCTCTCCTCAAAGCGCCCAAGGTAAACCGCGCCCACTTTCAGTTGGCCCGGCTTTCCACAAAGTGGGAGGATTGCCTGGTTTCCCTCAAAGTCTTCGCCGGAAAACCTCAAACGGAAGCGACTCGTCGAGCAGCTTCAAGCGCTCATCTCCCCGAGGCGACGCGGTTTCGATGCGACGGACCATGCGAGCCGGTGCTGGTGCGAACATTCGAACCCAGCCCCCGATGGAACGCAACGAGTCTCCACTTGACCATCGACCTATGTCAGCTGGCTCTTCCAATGGCACAATGCGCAAAACTCTTCGTGGCCCTGCCGGAGGCGAACGATATTCGTTCTTCTCCACGAACAAGAAGGCGCCCCCGAGAGCCAAGTTCACAAAGTCACCTCCCAAGGCTGGTCGCGCCACCCGATTTGCCAATTCCGATGATGAAAATGAGGACGAGGCTCGTCCCCAGACTTTTGCCAGTCGATTCGCTGATTCTAGTGACGAGGAACAGCCCCATAGCAATGTTATGCGTCCAGTCCGTGGCATTCCCCGCCGCCAAGGTGCTGACGATGGTGACTCCACGGAGCTAGACGACAGTTCTGAAGAGAGCCCGCGTCAGCAAGCGCGCAGAGGGATTGCCACGGCAGCAATCGGCTCTCCACCAAGTTCCCGTGGAAAGAACGCACCCCCAAACATGTCTGGGATGGCAGCAGTAGCCAAACAACGAGGCATGACACAGAGAGACTTGGAGGAGTTCATCATGGCGCCTCCTAGCAGTCGGAAACCAGGGCTCTTGACACGCCTCGGGATAAAGAAAAATAAAAATGCTGATCATCGGATTCGCAAATCCGACGCTGAAAGCCCTTCGCGAAGAGATACGCCGCTAGAGCGCTCACGCATGGAACTTGATCAAGTGCGTGACAGCATGGCAAATGGAAACCACACTACAGTCACTGCAGCCGCAAGCCCACCTCCAACACACTCCAAGCTGGTCAAGAGAAACTCTAAGCGCCAGTCAACAGGGCCTGAGTCTTGGCCATTGAGCTCCGGTGTCAGGGACGAGTCTCTCCAACCAGTTGCAGAACAACATCTTGACATTCCTCCCCCACCACAAGCCGCCGTGCATGCAATTCCAGCTCACGATGGGAGTGTCTTTGTTAATGGGGATTCTCCTGCTGCAGCTCCCATTGGAAAGGAGGCCGATGAGCCCCGCAGCCCAGATCTAAACAATGATAGTGCTTCCGAAATCACTAACCCCGAGGATCAGGGAGTTGCAGCGCGTGATGTTGTGATCGCTGGCTCTGGACGGAAGAAACGCTTCCCACTCCTTCGCAAAGCCTTTGGTTTGCGCTCTTGATCTGCAATTCGTCAGGTTGCATTCAACAGCCTCTTCCGTGATCTACTGACTCATGAGAGTCCTACGTTTTAATGCCCGTGTTCGATTTCTTCTTCATATTCTTTTCTTGTTGATTCTTGGTGGGAAGTTCCGTGCCCACGATGGCTCAGTTGTCTTCTCGAAAACTCCGCCATGTCGCCGATATCTAATCTTTAATGACTGATATAAGCCCTTTGGTTTTGCTTTCAGCCATGGTCTTCCTTGGCGGGATTGCTATAGATATCCTGTCTGACCTGGCCACCTTTCCTTTCTCTTCTTTCCTTCCATCCGGTGCGGCCCATTGGAATTGTTCCATGATACCCTCGTTTTCTTCTTCCCACCTTGTATTATTGTCCTTCGTTGATTCTGATCTTTCCGCCAAGGCCTTCCCTGCTTTCTAGACTGTTTTGATAGATGGTAGCCAGGAACTATTTAATTCATCCTTCCAACTTGATCCAGACCTATTTTGCAATTTCTTTACAATCTCGAAGGCTCCGTTCAGATTCTGAACTTTTAGAAGTTGATACCTTGCCCCATGCCCGGGTGTGTCCTTCCAAGGTTACCCCCAGGCGGGCTGCCCAGGTGGGTACTTAACCTTGGAAGTAGCCTCTAGAGCTGCAATTTACGTACCCTAGCAGTTTACTTACCTGACCCTGGAGGTAAGGGTCTAGTCTTTGCGCAAGGCCTGGGGCTCCAGAGGTTCCCCGCAAATCAGGTGGATATATCCATGGATCCATGGATTGTACGGCGTGAGCCCTGGGAGTCAACCTTGGAACTGATCCATGCGAGATCTGGGTCCAGCGGGGGTTCCCACGTCAATCCCAGGGTTCCAAAGTTGGGAATCAAATAGTGAGGATTGATGTTCTAGCCCTGGAGAGTTCTAAAGTTACACTCGATGACATGGTCGAGGCAAAATATACTCGATTGGCCAATCAAAAGGTGCATGTAACTCAATTGCATGGTTGTGCATGCTTCCACATACATTGTACATGCTAAATATATTTCCGGGTCATATTGCATCGCGTCCGACAGGGGGTGGCTTTTCAATGTCCATGGATACCTGTGGTATTGTGCGAGGTACGAAGTACGGAATAATGGGTACAATATTGAAACTTAGGCAATCTGCATATCTAGAGCTTCTCTATTGCATGATTCAAGTACAGTGTTTGGTGCCTGAAACATTGACGGCGATCCCATGCATGAGCAGACCGTAAGTTGTCTGTTGTCTGGGCAGGAATTGGGCTTTGGAGTGACAGAACCTGGCAAATTGGGGACCTCGGTAATTGTGACTGTTAAAGCGAAAATGAAACATGGAAAACCAATGCGAATCAAACCAATGGCAGCCCGAGAAAAAGAAAATAGAAAAACAAGAAAGTTGGCAAGTTAGAGCGCGAGTCATCTCGCCAAGTCTGGCCAACGTATGCGGGAAAGGGTTTCGGCCCAACCTCATCATTACCCGAAGTGGTAAGGCAAATGTCTGACCTCGGGAGAGACAATCAACGTCCGGGTTACGAGGAATTGGAGATAGTATACAGGAATAAATTGATTCGAGTTTTCAAACAATCTGCATACATCATTGAAGGAAATCGTCATACAAAGGAAAATTAAATCACACAAGCTAAGCACTATTTCATCACATGGATGAGGTACAAGCGTATCCAGACCTCTTTCCAAACATTTACAGGCGGGAGCCGTGGATGACCTTGTAGTCGACGACGAGCTCACGGCCACCGTCGTTGATGACAAGGGCGCGAACGGAGCCACGGCCATCGGAGAAGGCCTCGGAGATGCGCTTGTGGAGGTTACCCTGGGAGATAACCTGGAGGCCCTGCTTGACATCACCGGACTCGGTCATGGCAACGAGACGGTTGTCATCACGGATGTCCAGGATGCGGTAGGTCTTGAAGACGGGGCCGAGCATGGTCTGAACCACAACGGAGGGGGAGGGGTTGGCGACGAAGCTGGACTCCTCCTGGAGCTTGCGGGTGAAGAGGTCGACACCGAGGTAACGGTGCTGGCCGGTCTGAGGGGAGACCGAGATGCGGATGACCTGGCAAGGACGACCCTGGAGGATCAGGATGTCGCCAATGCGGATGAAGTGGCAGGGAATAGGGACGTTCTCGCCGGAGGAGGAGCCACGGCTGCGGGGCTCAACAACGCGGACATTGGCGGCGGGAGGGGCGACCTCTTCATGGTCGTCAGCACCAGCGTGGGAGTGGGAGGAGGAGTGAGAGTGGGAGTGGGAGAAGGGGTGGGCGACGCGGTCGACAGCGCGGCCAACGCCACGGCGGAAAGAGTGGTATTCACCTTCGTCGTCGTAGTAACCCATCTTGCGAGAAGGGGTGGTGTCTCTGACGATAGACTTGGAGACTTTGACTTGAGTAGGGGCCTGGGAAGAGGCCTTGGAAGAAGCGTAACGGGTACGAGTGGGTTGGACCTCACGAAGGTACGCGTCGTCGGCTCTGTAAGAGTCGGTGGGAGCTTGGGGAGTTCGGTTGTACGAAACTTCCGAAGACTCGGGCTGGTAACCGTAGGCGGAGTCTACGGGTTGACGATAACGACGGTCGTAAGAGACGTCGAGGTCGAGGGGAGGAGAAGTCTTGTGACGGTAGTCTCGTTCAGTGATGTCGATTTGATTCTCGACAACCTTATCGTAGACTTGAGAGTGATCCTCGTAAGTAGACTGAGGTTGAGGTTGACTGGGGTAGCTAAGGGTAAAGATGTCAGCCCAGGATCCACGGGTACCATAAACATATAAACAAAACAACCGGGTCACCGCTAATTGGGAGTGGAGCAGGTTTTGGTGACACGTAATTTTAGTCCCCGACTAAATCCGTAACACTCTAGGCCCAGAAAGGAGATCTCACAACAAATAGGACCAAGTGGTTGGAGTCCGCGGGCTGATAGTTCGCTGCGGACTCCACTCGCCAGCTGAATTGTGGAGCAATTCACTTGCTTCCGAGGCGTTTTTGATCAAAACAAAAAACAAATCGATCACCAGCCACCGGTAATGACCGTAATAACAGGTTTCCCCTCAAAAAAGAAAAAGAAAACAAAACTGAAAAAAACAGGGGAAAGTGGAAATTGGTAAATCTCAATACATACCGTTCACGGGTGAGTTCAACTTCCGGGGCGTAAGCCTGGTCGTAGGACTGCTGGTTGCGAGAGTACTGAGGGTACTGCTGGCTGTAAGACTGGTCGTAGTGCTGCTCAAACTGCTGCTCGGGCTGGTACTGCTGCGATTGCTGCTGGTACTGCTGGTCAAACTGCGGCTGAGGCTGGTGGTAGGGCTGGTGTTGAGGGTGCTCTTCGTTCACGCGCGGACGCTGTTGTTCTTGAGTCACACGGAATTCGATCTCTTCCTTCTTTCCTTGAGGAGCGGGAAGGGGAGCAGGAACCCTAGTATCTTCCCGTTCGACGTGCGAAGGACGATCGACCTTGACTTCTCCCTCTACTCGCTGTTGAGTAGTTTCAGGAACAGCGTCACTCCGGTACGACGACGGGAAGACACTGAAGGGGATGGGGACACGGGCGTCAAAGTCCAGATTGCCGGACTGATGGTCTTTTCTATGCCTTTCGAACTGTCGTTAAACAACTCGAAAGACTCAAGAAAAGACTTGGAGGGGAAAGTCTTTCTCGAAGAAGTAGAAAGGTAGTGCGATTAAGCTTGGAATGTAAGATCGGAATGGAAGGGGAAGAAAAGAAGAGAGGAATGCCTGGAGATGGTCACGATTATTTATGGTAACTGGAGGTTTGTTTACGCCGCCTTGCCGGTTTGGGGGTCCCGCTGATCACCGACTGTTTCCCTTTGCTATTTCTTTGCAATTTAGTTAATCTGGCAATAATATTTCTCTTCGACGGTATATCTGTGAGTTCCCTCTTGTTCTTTTCTTCAATTGAGACTTGTCTTGCAATCGTCGTTGCTTCGTTACGGGTGTATGGATTCCCACTAAACAATACAGAAGTACTCCGTACGGAGTACAATAGGGTATCTTCACATGGGCCACTGCGCGTAATCGCGCCACTCATCTCCATAGCAACATGAACGGGTCGAATCGGAAATCTGGATCTCCTTGCCGATCGTGTTTGCTGATGTGCGGAGAACAACGTAGGATTCAGGGGGTTGTTCGTCAATTCACCATGGTTCTGAATATTTGAGGGAATTCGAATTGTACAAGTACATTATACTGTACAGACCGATATACCTTCGTACCTACGGCCCACCGATGATTGACAACGCACTTTCGATACCGCAATACTGCACGATACACATGCAATTGATCCACCGCAAAGTGATTCATCAAGCTCCAGTTGCTGCCCCGAGACCCTCTTTTGGGTCCCCAGCCCCGGCCCAACCACCCCAAGGCGCCAGCGCATGCGTCTAGACCCTCTTACCGCAACGAGGCTGGGAAGGGAGATGGTATTTTTCGTACTTTGTCTCCTCTTATGCCCGTTTTTGATATCATCCATATGGAGAAAAACCAAGGACGTTCAATTGCTGATCCAGCCTCCGACTTTTCGTCAAGCTCCCAAGTGTGAGCTCCCCATTGGTTGCCATGGCTATTCACACCGTCGGCTGCATGTAACTCGTAAGATGTACTCGTAGCATGTGCAAATGGCGAATCAATAATCGACCGGCTAAAATTAGCCTGCGCCAGCTAGGGAGTACGGATTACCACAATCGTTTGCACCTTTGTACTCCGTACCCATGCTCCTACATTATGAAGGTCAATGCCATTCATTGGTTTAACTGTCCACAGGGTGGCCCAGGCTCCCTGCGGTCTACCCCGTACTCCGTAATTGGTCTACGGATGGTAAGGATATTCATGGCCGGCGGAGTATGGAGTATAACCTTCGAAGGTGAATGGCCTGGGTTGCTAAGCTCCATGATTCCCGAGGTCGCACTCAGCAGTGATATTCAATTCATTAAAGCTAGCAACTCTTGCGGAGTACATGCTGTAAATCCACAAACTAGATGTTCTCCACATGGGCAAGGTAGCGACCTCCAGATCGGGAGGTCAGAGTGTTTGCTCAGTGCCCAGGTGCTCCGTAAATATTGCCTCGGACAACCCTGAAGAAAGTTCGATTTGGATCCCGAGGCTCTTCCAAGGTTCATTCTTCATACACGGAGTACTCCGCACTGTGTTTCTACTACTTAACTAAGGGGGTTTCGGATCTCTCCAGGGCTCTATCTCTAAAGTCGTTCCTTCACTGTGGACAAAATATATTTTATTAGACCTGGGCACAACCTTGGAACATGATCTAGCTTTGGGCCGTCTCTGGGGGCCCTCTCAATCCATAGATTCAACGGGAATCCACTTGAGCGGTCCTTTACTACTTAGTACCGTAGCCCCGAGTTGTCCAGGTGTACATGAAGCGCGCAAACCCAAATCCTCCTCTACTTAGGTAGCATTGAGCCTGGCCCATGGGCCTCCCTGCTCAAGTGGAAAATGGCACCAAACAACTGGGCATGCTTCAGGATGAGCGCCGAACTTAGCTTCGCCGGAGCTTGATCGGTACTGACAGGAAGAACAGCTGAGTCTTGACTATCTTGCGCTGCTAAAAAAGACCAGAGTCAGTACCTGGGTATTCCAAGGTTGAAGAACTTGAGGACATCCTGAACTCCATGTGAAGTGAAAGTCGTGGTCGTTGTACAGAGCCTAGTCGCAGCTATTGCGCGAGTGCTCAAGTGGCAGCCTTGGAGAGAGAAATATATCCACGGATGTAGTATGAGCAAGTTGGTTTTGACGATGTTGGGGGTTTCGCGCGAAAATCTTGGAAGGCTCACCACCCCAAGCCTCAGAGCTCTAAGGAGTCAAGCCTGAATGGATTCTGTGCCTCAGTGAGTGTTACTTAAGTACCTAGTACTTAAGTATCCATGGATGGATATATTGAACAGTTCCAGGGCTCTCAAGTTGTGGGAGGACCACCTGGGCACCCGACGAGCCAGTGCTGAACTCAGGGATATACATCGTCTATAGGTTCTAAAGTTGGGCGTTAAAGGCATGAGCCGCGCAGTAACTTGGTAGACAAATGAGCAGTGATATTATTCCCAGAATGAAAGAATTTCCTACATGACAAGGCACCATATATGGGACCTGACTTTTCCAACACCTAGGGACCTTGGAAATATTCGCCGAAACGAGAGACGAAAGACGCAAGTCCAAGAGAATCTTAGAACACGATCTCAAGACTATACCAACAAGGAGAGTCAAAGTGAAGCATATAAACCCAGGCAAAAAGCAATAAAACAGAGGGCAATGAATGGGATGACCAGTTCATATCGTTTCCCCGATTGACGCCGGCCGGTATGGAATGACATAGAAGACAAAAGAGAAATGAAAAAAAGGAGCTGGAATCAGTTCTAGTATACATCGATAAAGCAATTGAGAGGGGTATCGTGATGCGAAGCAAGCTCAAACGAATGAAACCGGGATGAACTACCGTTCTCCGAACTTGCCATACTCCTGCTGCCACTTGAGCAGATGGCGAGTCAGCACGTCCATCATCTCGACGCTGCTGAGTTCCTTGAAATCTTTTTCGTGGTTGGATTCGCCGTATCCGCCATCTGTGGTTGCAGGAGCGGACTCGCCGCCGTCACTGCCGGCTGACGGCATGGCACTGTCAATTTGATCAACCATGCTTTTCAAAAGCAGGCCCTGCGCTCGGTCGCCGTTACCAGTCGGCGTCGATGAGTTTTCGCTGGCGACTGCCATCTCAACTTGCATGCGCGAGATGAACTCAAGGATCGCGGCGACTCGGCGCTTCATCTCATTCATGGTAGTTCGCTGCGGGTGCATGTGGCGGGGCTTGCTGGGTCGCCCCGACTCCCCGCCGTTGGTATGTGTTCCATTCATTCCGTATCCGATACGCGGAGAGTCCCCGCCAATTTCGTGCGAATGGCCTCGGCGCGGTGAATTCGCCATGTAACCGGCATCCCCATTGCCGTTCGTGTCCCGATCTTTAGTATATTGGTTTCGACCAACGCGGCCGCGACGAGCTGGAGGTCTGCCAGACTTGCGAGTGGACGGACGGGCAGGAGTAGGTTCTTGGGGTGTTGGAGTATTAGGGCTTGCTTGTGAAGGCTCGGGCTCGGGCGGCACAGTCTTAGTCGGAGATCCATTTTCATGATCGGACTCTGTTCGAGTGGTAAGTAATTGAAAACCAGAAATGAGTGGGATCACTGACCATCTCCTTTGCGCCGATTTGTTCTCTCCTTGCGCCGATTCGAGGCATCAGGGGCCTCTGTCTCGCCCTCGTCGGCCTCTTTCGCATGCACTTTATCGGGCTGGCTTCGAGATGGAGCTCGCTGTCTCCGGGTCCCATTCCCGTTGACTGAAGCCTTTGGTTTAGACTCATCGTCGGAGGGTACATGAGAGGCGGAGTTACTACGTTTTGAGACAGCGCCAGGTGATGGTGACGTAGTTCGAGGGCGTTTTGTTGCATCTCTGTTGCTGGCCAGGTTGTCAGTAACCAAACTCCGAGTCGGCATTGGAAAATTCAGAAAAAACGCACGTTACACTGTCACTTCGACTTCGCTTTCCGAGGCGAGTCTCTGTTTCATCAGGGTTGCTTTTCGTATCGGTCTTGCTCTCTTCAATAGCGCGTCGAATCAATTCTTCTTCGTCATATGCGGCATCTCGACTGTTCATAGTTGACCGCCGCTTGGCATGAGCAGCGGCACTTTCACTAGCCTTGTCGCTATTCCGAGATTTGGGATCCTTTGACCGGCGCGAGGTCTCCCTGGGAATCTCCCTTGATGAAGCCCGGGAAGACGGCGCCGGAGATGGGGCCACAGCTGGCAACGCGGGGGGTAATACTGGCGCGGGAGGAGGGGGAGGAGGAGGCGGTGGTGGTGGTGGTGGGGGAGGAGCTGGTGCGGCCGCTGCTGGCGCGACAGGGAGGTAGGTTGACGAGCGTGTACTAAACCATTGTTAGCAGGATTTTCCTGACGTATTGACTGAATGGATTCGTGAAATCATCTTATATGGACGATTGGTCGCAGCTCTGCAGTGGAAAGGCAATTGTCTGAAGCTGGGTCTCATGAGCAGCCCCTCCACGCAGCGAGACAACAAACCACCATAATTGAGATCTGATGTTGAAGCACAAGGTCTGCCAGGGATGATCATATGAAACAGAAGGTGTATGTCCACTCACCCATTAGGTTCGTCTTTGATCTTGTGCAAATCTTTCCGACACTCCTCACAGAAATATTCGTCTGGACTCGTTGCCTCGTCCATAATACCAACACAGCCACCATGCTGCCAGACTTTGCAGAGATCACACTGAATGAACATGCTCCCAATCTCATCTGAAAGAGGATCCGATGGGTCCAGAGGGCCCTGAAGTGCCTCCAGCTTGATGGTGCCGCGACCGAGCGCCTCGCGACGAGAATGAGGCAGCCCCGGATATTCTTGCTGAGCACAGAGACACCGAGTTATTTCTTCCTCGTCATCATCGAGGTCTTCATCGTCTTCATCGTGTGGCTCATCCTCCTCGTCTTCGTGGGCGCGCTGGCGTTGCCGCGTTTGCGGGAGGTCTTTTGATCCGGTCTCAGCATCATCGATAGACTGAGACCGATGACCGGAGGATGTGTGAGGAGAGGGATTTTTATGGTTTGATCGTGTGCTCCTTTCCCGAGTGTGAGAATTCGAAGAGCTAGAGGAGGAGTTGGTATGCTGTGGCAGAGCAGGAGAGGGCTGGGACGTGCGAGCCCGAGAGGAACGACGGGGAGACATGGTAGGCGGGAGGGATAAGGATTGAAAGAAAGTTGGGAGAGAAGCCCTGGAGGTCAGGTCAAAAGGAAAGAACGAGGGTTTGAGCCGATGGCTGGGATTGCTCGCAGCAAAACTTCGAGAAAAGCCGGTTGCGAGGGAGCTGTCGCGCGCGATTGTTAGCTCTCCGATAAAAGTAGCAGGACAATTGGCAATCACAGTATCTGTATCAAGGCATCACAAGGCTCGATAAAGAGCCCGATGACTACATAGTCCGAGAAGCGAATCCGTGTAATGGCGGGGAGGAAGAAGAGAGGAAAAGCACCGGTGCCGGAAAGGGACTCCAAAAGATCCAATCGCCGCTTTCCCCGCTCTCGACGCCTCTCGACGCGAGACTTTTTTTTTCTTCCCACTTCCCTTCGTGTGTTTCCCATTTCTGTCAACTTATTTCCTACCCTGCTCACTCATGAGAAATATCAGAGACTCTGAGAAATGTTTTGTTTTGCTGGCCCTCTCCGATTCTCCAGTCGCTGTTCCCATCCCGCTGCACAGTGGGACAAGAACGACAGAGCCTGCAAGTGAAACGGAGCTAACCAGTGAGAAGCAGCACCCACTCACTACCCAGGCACTTTCTAGCGCTGTGAGCATTCTATGCGTTATGCGATACCCCTTGAACTCGTGTAGCGCAGACTGAACCCAGAAAGATGGTACTCATACAGAAAAACGAATTAATTGCTTGAGGACACTGAAGTCGCGACCGCATACCGAGTACTCCGTATCCAACCCTCTTTGATGATTTCCCCTACAATTTACAACGGACCTTCTTCATGTGTCTTTGGTCTAAAGAAGTCCCATTGGGTCATCCACAGAGGAATGTGCAAGCTGCGGCGAGCTGATTACACTAATCAAGGCGGCGAGAAAAGATTAGGTCTGGAGGATGACTCTGCCGTCATAGCCCCGATAGTTCCTATTCTCGACATGATGATCCCTTCCCTCCGAAGCACCTTGCGCCTTTATGTGGTGGAAATGTATTGCGGAGGGCACCGTGGGCCCTTCGCTAGAGCCTAGGAGGATTTGACAGGGCCTCAATTGGGATATAGGGTTGTTGCACAAGCCTGGTGTTTGCCTCGTGAGGGAGATTATCATATATATGTTGTTTGTGGATTCACTGCCAACATTCCAGCTAGTCAGGGTACTCACGGGGATGGTTCGCTGCGAATGCAGGTACCGGTAGCTCTCAGATCGGAGGGGGCTATTTTTCCGACCAGAGGCAGCACATGTAGATCAAAGGGTTAGGTTGTACTTGGGCATGGTATACATTTAAATACCTGATGTACTCTGTACTCTGTACCCTGTACCTTTGAGATATATCAAAGATGGGTTATGCAATAGCCCCGAGGTCAGTTAGGAGGATTGCCTAAAGGAGATTAGCGTATCGTGTTCCGAATTCCCGTGACTCGTCTCGTTCTCTTCTCATCCTCAACCCCTCTTATTGATCCCCTCTGATTTGTCCATTTGGTTTGACTCCGGTCCTGGAATTGATTCCAGTCACATATTGGTACTATCTTCGCTCCTGAAGTCCCGTATCCCTCCGACCCTTGATATTGGATGTGCTGAGTAATAGCACTATTTTGTGGGTAGGTTGATATTCACCTCCGGATTGTGGACAACTAGACGAAAGGCGGGGATTGAACTGGAGTCTCACCTCCCAGGTCGAATGTTGTCTCGGTCTATCTTCCGGGTTGCTATTGCCGAGCAGGATACAAACTGACGGTGGATTTCAGACATTGGACTACATTCTCCTTCAATTTGGCCGACGTCCCGATCCCGAGTACCTATTTTCCAAGTATCGGTCCTGGCGGAACAGAAACGGTGGCGGGAAATATCAGGGCAGAGCCAACAGGCTGGACAATCACCCAAATAGCATCGCCGGTGGTTGAGGGCGAGCGTGGAGACTCGCATGATGGCAGCTACATTGAGTACGTCTGCTCAGGGACACATAGTCCAGACCGTGGGGTTTCCTTGGGAAACAGGTCTGCTAGTTATTCAATTACTGACGTGGAGTGCACTCATGTAGACGGGGCGCTCAACTCAGCCCCTGACACACCCTCTACCATCTATCCCGATCGTTTGATCCGCCCTCTTCCAAGACGAACATTGCGCTCTCGTCTCTCATCGGACGCCGCGGACACGATCTACTATCCTCCCACACCACCCGCATCCCAGATCTTCTACGGTGTCTCCGCAGATTCTGAAGATTCGGTGAATGAGTCTAAGGTGTACGTGCAACAGACCGTTGAGACCGAATTGTCGCCGGGGGTGGATGCCCATAACTTTGAGACAGCTGTAGAGTTGGAGAGCGGAGAGGAAGATGGTCCTGTAGTGGTCCGCAGAAGTGGTGTTCGGAGATCCTCTCTCTCCCCCTCCATCTCCAGCAATCATCCCAACTTCCCTGTTGACACACCCCACGTCAAGTCTTCGTCTGGCCCCGACGGCTACGACGCCTTCGAGAATACGAATAACAAGAAGAAGCGAAAAATCCCCACACCAGGCAATTTGGGAGGACATCACTCAACCTTATCACCTGAGTTTGCCAGCATGGGCTGTGCGAGCTCAACCCCCGCGCCTCCGCCTCCTCCGCCGCCGCCAGCTCCAGTGGACCCAACCGGCACATACAATGGCAGTGGAACTCCAGCGTCGCCATTGGCCAGTGGAATTTCTGGTTCGGGGAGAGGTCGTCTAGGAAGGCCTATCGTGCGTAGCAGCAGCAGAACCGCGTTGTCGGCGAATGCTCAGAATGGATGGATGCACACCCGAACACCAAGTCGGCGCGATGCACTGATGTCATCCCCCGATCCTGCCGGTAATTATCCTCGAATGCACCTTCCATTTCTGTGCCTCGTGCTGACTTTTTTAAGGTGAATCGTCTGACCAAGGAATTATCTCAACTGCCATTGCGAACGCAACCCTTTCCTCCCCTCCACGGGGTCCCAGCAATGTCAGTTTGCTAGAACAAGAGAACACCACGCCTACGAAGACCCAATTCACATTCACCTGCGAATCGGACTCTTCAAAAGGAATGGCCATGCAAAGAAATCACTCTATTCCCAACCGCTCGCCTACTTCACCTCTTGGTCCTGCAAGTCAGAAGCAGAGAGGATTTTCCACCCAAGGAACACAAACCAGTCCCAATATGGGAGCGTCCATGAGCCAACATGCCCCACCAGGCGCGCAGCAAACTGCTCAAAATGGGGGAGAACCACCTGTCGTCCCTAAGAAAAAGCGGTCCCCCGCAAGCATCTATGCAATGTCAGCACGACAGCGCAAGATTCAGCAACAATACACGAACCTGCACCATCCCCCAAGCCTGGAGGACATCTGGATATGTGAATTTTGCGAATACGAGAGCATCTTTGGGCGTCCCCCCGAAGCTCTTATCAGACAATACGAGATGAAAGACCGCAAAGAGCGCAAGCGATTGGCTGAAAAGAAACGGCTTTTGGAAAAGGCCAAAATGAAAGGTCGCAAGACCAAGAAGGCGACGAAGAACGCATCGAAGAATACCCAGCCCTACCAACAGGGATACGACCGCGCTTCGGTTGACCACTCCTCCGCTGGCGGTTCAGGTCTTCCCGACGACGAATACAATGGCCACGAGTATGATGATGAACATTCACCAATACCGCCGTCTGCGCCTGCCTCGCCGACCGATCTTAAACCCCCGCTTCCAGCCACTAATCATCCCAAGATAGCGGCTTCCGTCCCTGGTATCAAGGGACCTGCGGATGCTGGGGCAAGTCGACCGGCATGACAGGCCTGATGGTCTATTAAACCATTTCTTTTCTTTTTGTCATTGCATTTCTATTCTGGAACACCGGGGCGTTGGCTGTTTTCTTGTTTTCGGCGTTGAGTTTTGCATGAAGGAACTTGGAAGTTTCTTCACATCCCCCCTCAAGCATGTTGGATTGGCGAGCATATTATTGCGACTGTTGGTTATCCGTGTAATTGTAATGTCCGCCCCTGAGCGATGTGCATACCCTGAATCAATGTGAAATGATCAAATGTTAAGCTTCCTGGTAATCTGAAGAGCCGAAACTGGCGTGCTAGGTATACAGTCCTCCATCTACGAAGTACTAAGATGAGGACTCACCTTTGCCATAGTCAAGACGAAACACACCTGGGCAGTTCTAAAGTTGAAGTTCTAGCTGTAGATCCAAATGGCCGATCTAAAATAGTCCTGGACATTTGATTGGATCTCGAGTGCGCTGCAAGCGCCGCGCTGAAACGGCATCAAACCCGACATGGCGCGCGCGAACTGAAGACACCCCGTAGATCCCGTAGCTTAGGCTCTGCAGGACGGAAGCCAAAGCTGGGCATTCTATTTAGAGACATCCTTGTTTCATCTGTGCATACCTTGTTGGTCGTCTTTGGTTGAACAAAAGGTGTACCTGACACGATGGAGTCCAGGGCGAGCCGCGCAGCTCTCAAAGAAGAAAGCCGTGTTTCGTCCCTGCAGTCAAAAAATAGTAGCATTGAGCTCTCTTCATTGTTTACAAGACCTGAAGAAAAGGGGTCTGTATAGGGCTGGACTATAAAGAACTGGGTGCCCTGTATCAATTCATGAAACCAGACTCGGCTGCCACTCTATTTCCATACTACTTTCCTTTGTCCTTTGTCTATTCATCTCTTCTATTCACTCTCTTTTCCACAATAGTTTGTTGGCATCTGGTCTGCCACAAATACTGAACATAATACCCTGCGCTGTGCGCTATATCAACTGTCAACTATCAACCACCAACCCTCCCATCCTCCAAACCCCAAGAAAACCATGTCTTTCCTCGCCGTCCCCCTACTGAAGCTCGGCTTCTCTCAAGCCAAAAAATACAAAGCCAAGCGCGATGCCCAAAAATACCAAGACGCAGGCGTCTACCCACCAAACTACCAACCAGACAACTACCCATTGAGCGGTTACCCACCCGGCGCAGCCCCAGGGACAACAGTGGACTACACACCAGAAAGCAAGCGCGCCAAGCTCTCCTTCATGCTCTTCTCAGTCCTTCGATTCCTCCAATTCGTCTTTGGACTAACCGTCATCGGTCTATACGGTCGAGACGTGCGGCACGACCATGTCCACAACAATGCCTGGCATTCACAATGGGTCTACGCACTTGTCGCTGCATTCCTCGCCACAAGCACTGCCCTAATCCACCTGGTCAAACCATTCATCATGAGCAAGCTCAAGGCCACGACTGCGCCGAACCCGGCTCTGCTGCTGCCGCAGTTCGCGTGGGAGTTCGTCCTCTGTGTGCTTTGGCTGGCGCTTTTCGGTGTCTTTGGGAAGATGTATATTGGCGTTTACCCCAAGGAGGATGCGAGTGATGCTTCGAGGGTGAATCGGATGCGTCATGCTGTTTGGATTGATGTGATCAATCTTGGGTTCTGGGTTATGTCTGCTTCGTGGGTTTTGATGCGGTGGTTGAAGAGCCGGAAGGGTGATAGTGATGTGGATGCTGAGAAGGCTCAAATTTAGATTTCATTGCTTTGCTAGCGGGCTGAATTGTGCTTCGATAGGAAGTTGCTTTTTCTTTTTCTTTTTCGTTCTTTTTGTTGGACACCCTGGCTCCGGAGTCGGTGTCTGGCGTTGCGGTTCTCATGGCTGGCGTTCTTCGAATACATATTTCCTTGGCTCATTCTCAAATACGGTGTCTCTTTCTGTTTGCAAGAGTAACATGTTGAATATCAGCTAGAATCGAGATGTTTGAATATTATCTTTGATTTTAGAATACTTATGGCCAAGATTCGAGATTTTCGACAAGCATTTTCAATAGGGTAAACATGTCATCCTTCTCCGCTCCCATCGTGATCTTAATTATTTTGGTACATGTAGGTTATGTTTTGTTGGTCAGAGCAACATGTGCTGTCAGGGGCCATTAGGTAGGAACACGCATTTTGAGGCGACAGCGAGTTCTAACACTCTCATCAGAATGTTTCGTATGCATAGTGTTGTACAATCCGAGCTGGCGGAGTCGTCGCTGAGGCTTCGGCATTGAGTCCGGGGTCAAAGCTTGACACCCTCCATATTGGGTGGCATCAAAGGAGTATGCTTGTCCACAGGAATCACAGCAGGAACGATATCAGGGTCAACAACCGAGCAGGTCTTATCAGGAACAAGCTCTCGATGTTCGACGAGATTCTTGAAGGGCTGAGAGATGGGAAGGGTGGAGTCGAGAGCATCGACATCCGTCCAATCCCCATCAATTTCCTCCCTTTCAAAGTTGGGCCCACCGGGCAAACCAAGATCCTGGACGCCAAACGACTGCTTCACCCGGCTGAATTCCTCGGAATTCAGAACAGGGTGCTTCAATGATGAAGCGCGAGGGAATGGAGCATCAGATGCGATGGTCTTGGGATCAAGCAGGATGTCGTCATCAACTTCATCAAACAGCGGAACAGATGGCTTAACGGGCTTTGGCTCAGGTGCGATTTCACGACCGAGATCTCGTGCGATTTGGTCTTCTTCGTCGCGGAAACTCAGGTGCTGTAGAAGTCCCAGTTCTACGTAGCTGTCTTCGTACATGGCGTTAGATCCATCGGGTTTCGCGACTGGCTCGGAGCGTCGACGTGGAGCAGCGCTGGCAGCGGTAGAAGGAGACTTGGGGATGGAAGTCTGTGAAGATTTGCGCCGGTTGAAGACGGGACGACGACGTGGGCCTCGACCAGTTCGGTTCGCCGTCAGGTATGTCTTCTTGGGAAGTGGGCGTGGATCGGGGATGGTGGTTGGAGATGTCATGACGGTTGGCGAGTTGGATGGCTCGAGGGTTATCTTTGTGCCAATAGGTGTGTCAAGAAGGAGACGAGTGCTCTTATGGGACTCGCCTTCAACTGGCTGGGCTGGCGGCGTTGCCTGTGGCTTCTTCAAGATTGGGTGGATGGAGCAGGAGCCAGAGTGGCAAGGCTGCACCTGGTCAGTTGGCTATGAAGAGTGATGAGCAGGAATTCTGAAATGGGGAAGCTGCGTGGCTTACCTTTTCCTTTTCTTTGTTATCCTCAGACATGAAATCAGACTTCTCTAGTCCCACCAATACTTCGGGTGATTTGATTCGTAGGATAAGCCGATCCAAAGTGCGAGTATTCATTTGCTTGGAGAGTCCCCGATCGCTCCATATTCTCCAGAACAAATGTTCCAAGCGGTGTTCGGTCTCATCTTTGCTGGCTCGGCGTGACGTGTAGTAGGCTAGCTCAGTCAGGATCATGAAATCGGAGAGAGATGTGGATGAGAATACCTCGCCAAAGATTCTTGTAGACCGTAGCACTCAATGTCTCATGCAGAAATTCAGAGGGAATGCTCGACACAGTGACCAGACCATGGGGTAGCTTTGGGTCCATGTTGAGAGGAAACGCGATGACCGCAGCAAAAAAGTGATCTTGGAAGTGTCAAGGTGTAAGATCAAGTCCTGAGTGTCGCTCGGACAGTGAAGTTGAGTCAAGACCTGGGGTCATCCTTTGTTTCCCAGAAAGCAGACTTCCTCGTGCTACTGCTGAAGCTCAAACCTTTTCAACTGAGGTATCACGATTGCGTCAGTTTAAGAATTAGGAAATACGTATTTCATCGAAAAGGACAGAAAACAAGGAAATACATGAAAAGAGAGGGTGAGAAAAAGGGTGAGACAAAGAACTACTCACCTCAGGCCAGGTACCGTGTACCTGGATTCCTCTAGGCCAGAATCCTTCTAGATCCTGGATCCTAGATCCTTAGGAAAAAAAAGAACAAAAAGAAGAACGGGCAATTCTGTCGTCAAACTCCTGTCATCTTCGGGATCGCCGGCACGGGCCGGGATTGGGCTTCACCGTTGAGTTGAGTTCACGATGATCCCTTCGGAGGCAAAAAGAGCGAGTACTTGTACATTCGAATAAGCAAAGAAACAAAAGCAAAACCACGATCTGAGATCAGAGATCAGAAGTGGCAAACCCCCTTCACATTCTCGATTGCGCGTCCCTTGCAAGGGCCCAATACAATCACAGCCCTACGTCCTTCAAGCTCTGAGCTAGAGAAGCTCTTCCGAGGTGACATTCACCCCCCTTGATTCCACCCCGAGTCAGGTAAGTGGTATGCGGAGAAAAAGCTGGGGATGATTGGGTCCGGGGTCTCTTCTCCACGCTCCCCACTATTTGCCCACACCGCAAACGACCAGCTCTCGTGAGGTTTTTTTGATTTTTTTTAAATCCCCCCACAACTACCTGGTTTCAACCTGTCATTCTGATCAAGCAAGCAAGTATCGCGCCCGGGCTGACCCGGTTCAATTTGGCTAAACTTTTCGCAATTTTGACTATTGGGGACCGCCAAGACCAGCTTGCTATATATTCTCTTGATGCTTAATGACTATACATCCTCAGCTCATGAGCCTCGAGTAGCCATCAATTATAGAATACTTCCATCTTGCTGGAGGTCCTTGTGAACAACTGTTAGAGCTTGGTATGTAATGCATGGTCAGGCAGTCTTACATGCATTATAACCTTGGAACCAAAATTGAGATCAAAAGGTGGATATCGCTAGACACCAGGGGCATATAGCCCTGGAGGTGCATCCTGACTTTTGAATGGAGTTTCAAAGATCAAACCCCACCAGGCTAGTAGAGATTCCAACCTTAGAAGGTTGACAAAAATAACATTAAAGGTCATTACTTCCATTCTATAAAGTTCCCATCAAATACAACCTTGGGGCGGCTAACCCGGAGGCCATTGGGACCCGCTCCAATAAGGTTGAGTCTGAGAACGGGCTTCCAAAGGTTGCTTTAAGCCAGGACTCGTACTCCGTGTGGGACCCACATGCAGCCCTCTCGAGGCCCCCTGTACCGTTCTAAAGTTGACATTGGGAGGTTCTAAGTTCTACCAGCGGTAACGGGGTGGACCCGATTCGCGAAAACTGGGGAACCCCGGGACCCACAACTTGAGAATCATTGAGAGAGATTTCATACCTACTCGTACCTCAACCTTGGACTTTCAACAAAATGCATCCAAAATGTGCTTTCCTTACGAAAATTGATCCTTCCCGTTTTCAATTCATCCATGAGATTGCCTCCTCTGATTCATCTTCAATATTCGAGGTAGATCTGGATGGACAAAAATACGCATTGAAACTTTTCCACAACAACGGCGACCCTGGGTATGCCGAAAACGGTCGTGACTTAGATCGATTTCGCTGTGAATCACAAGCATATGAAAAACTTCTCGATTCCGATGCCTGTACGCGCGGCTTTATTCCGAAACTATATGGCCAGCTTGATCAGATCGACCCCGCAGACTTTCACCCTATTCTACGACATTTCGCGCAGGATAAGTACAAACCGAGAGCGCTTTTGCTAGAGTACCTTCCAAATGCAGAGGCGTTGAACTGCGTGAATTACCCAGAAGCGCTTTATCACCAGGCAGTTGAGGGCATGAAGGAGATACATAAGGCGGGTGTTCACCATCGGGATATCTATCCCAGAAATATTCTCGTTGTTCGTGAGGATTCCGAGAAGCCCAGGCTAGTCTGGATTGACTTTGATGTGGCGACGACCTTCGCCGACTTTGGGCCTGAGCAGCTGGCCCGCTGTGATCATGAGATTGCGCTGGTGGAGGGATTCGGGGAAGCACTGGTATGGGATCTGTTGCTGCCATATATTGGAAGTCCACGGGTATTCAATTTGCTGACTGATGAATACAGAGAGATGACCAGGCTGAAGGACTTCCGCCAAATACCAAATTTTATTAAGGGGTCCAAGGCCTTGTACCTAGGTAGCTATACGTACCTAGGTACCATTTTTCCTCTGCCGGGGCTTTCCTATCTAAGCTGCCGCCTTTACAAGGGCGCTCAGAGTCAGTCTGTTTTGAGATCCTGAAATGTTTTGTCACCATAGATTACGCGGATGGCGGGGTAACTTTCCTGAAACATAGATACAGTCGTTCTAAAGTTACGCTACAGTTAACTGAGAGGTTCGCTTCGGTCAGAGATTTAGTATTCCATGGCAGCTTTACACATGATACTTAAGTTCCCATGTTTAACTCATGAGTACTAAAGTAGTGTAAACGAAAATATACATCGTCTCTCAAAGCAGATACAGGGTATAAGGTCAAGGCAGATAATATCTTCTGTCTCTACCTAGGTAACCAGATCACCTACTTTATCCTGTGTGACAATCACCGTTGGGCCTCGCGGGACCCGGTTTCGCCGAGGGTTACCGCGGGCGTCGAAGTCAAATTGATAAGTCTCTGCGCGTTGTTTTGCATCTAGTGTCAATAGCGCAAATACGCAAGCTTCGTCCGTTAACCTCGCCCGGGTCGGGTCCGCAGGTTTCTCCGTCAGGTGGTTTGGGTTCTTCGGTGGACCTCGGATCGGCCAGGCTCTCATCGATGCCATATCTGTCCGACCGGGTATCTTTTCTGCTGGTGGGGGTTCTGGCGAGTCCGGAGTCCACGCCCGCGGGTTCTGGAGCTCGTTCTGTCGCTCTGCTTTCATTGCTTCCGTGCAGATTAACCTGCCGGCTTTTAATCTTCCTAGCCATTGCTTGAGCCGCTGCTGTTGTGCGTCTGCCGACGCCATTCTAGAGTGAGTAGAGCGTTTTCGCAAAAGGTGAAGCCGATCTGGCTCTCACGCGATGTAAAAGGTGAACAAAGTAAGAGTGAAACGACTCTCGCGATGCAAAAGGTGAACAAAGTAAAAGTGAAACGACTCTCGCGATGCAAAAGGTGAAAAAGTAAAAGTGAAACGACGATGCAAAAGGTGAAAAGGTAAAAGTGAAACGAGTGATGGGAAGTGGAAGTAAGTACCGCAGTCTAATTCTCAGTCATGTGACTTATTGAGGCTTTACCGAATTAGGAAGTTTGGACCCCTTTCGACTCATCAATTTGCGAATTCTACCTTTGACTACGCCTAGATGTCACATCTTCTCAATCTGCCCAGCAAACTGCTCGCTCGCACATTTTTCAATGTGGATAGTTCATCATTCAAGTCGCTGCACCACTCCTGCCGTTTCATATCACAGCTGGCCACCGATCAGCTCTTCAAGACCGTGCACCTGCAGCCCAGCAAGACAAGCCAAAATGGGTTACAAGAGATCTTGAACAATCCCAATCTACGTCGGATTCCGCGAAAGATCTACATAGACACCGTGGACGAGAGTCTTGTACGAACATCTTGATCCAGCTCCAAGCAGCAACTAATGCACACAGAATTATGATGATGAAGAAGAGCAAAAATGGCCCCAAGGCTGGGACAATCTTGTTCCGCAAGTGAAAGAATTGCCTCGGCTGAACGCCGCCGTTCTGTGCTTCGATAAGGGGTTTACTTCAGACAGCGAGGATGAGGATTACCCCCATTATACGGACTTCCCCCAGACCCCTCAATTTCGCTTCCACGCAATGCATAAGCTGTTCTCTCTTCTCGAATCCTTACGGCACCCAATACAGGATCTTGGTATTCGCAACCTTCAAGCGGATAACCCCAAGGATCCGAAAACACTTGCGAAAATGGGAAAGGTCCTGTCGGGCCTACTGTCCCTTCGCCTAAGCATCACCAGCGAGACAAATGACGCCGCTCCTGAGCATGATCTCGAGGTATAAATCACTCCAGCCTCCACGGAGATGCTTTTTCTAAACATATCAGTATCCGGAGATCCGCAAGTTTTTCAAGGAGTTGCCCAGCACATGGCTGAGTCCCGCTGCGCCTTCTCTCCAACATCTCTCGCTCTGCTCGCGTGAATACTCGGGCTTTTACCCTGACCTAGATCTCACCAATCTGTTCTTTCCACGCCTGAAGACGCTGTCACTAGGAAACTTCTGTTTCTTCCATGATGGCCAAATCGACTGGATTCTGAAGCATGGAGACACCCTCGAGGAAATCTACTTTGATGACTGCGCCATCCTCTATGACTTTGGTATGATGGAAGAGAATGTGGACGCCTGTGCTCTACCTAGGGACACCTTGGTGCGCCGCGAGGGCGATGAGTCTTTGTATGGTTCGTTCGAGAAGCGATGGCACCATATTTTCGATCTATTTGCAGAGAAACTGCCAAAACTGCGACACTTTCGAATCGGCCGTAGTGACTGGTCCCCGGATATTCCATTTGAGCAGGAGAGGGATATCAAGGTCGGACTGTATTACAATCGATACATGTGCTGCTATGATGGATGGGGCCCTTCGTCTTATATGGAAGGTGAGGATCCCAAAGAACTCGCAAAATTAGAGAATGAGTGGAGACCTTCACCAGAATGTGATGATGAGGATCGCGCGGCTCTGCGGAAACTGTTGGCAAAGCTTGGGCAATCGGTCCAGGAAAGTTATTCGAATGGACACCCTGGTGGTCGTATAGTAGATCTTGTTCAGAGGAGATACGAATCCGCAGATTGATACAGTATCCATGAATTGCAATCAATTGGATGTACTAAATTATTCTTCAAATATTTCTATCTTAAAGCTTTTTTTAATATGTATGTATTACGGGCGGAACACCCCTTGCGACATACATCAGTAATCAACGGCAGTGTTTGTCTGATTCCCATCACCCTTTGATCACTCTTCTTTAACCTTTTCGTTGCGCAATTTGCCCTGAACACCATGGATATCGCAAAATCTCCGGTAAAGCTCCATGTTTACAAATTAGATGATTTAGCTAAGCCCATACAATATAGGTATTTCATTTTGGCGGAAAACGTATCACCGTGACAAAAGATACACTTCTGAATCAGATCCGTCCGACCGTATACCGCTTAGAACTCGAGGAGCCCCATTTTGGACTTCCAGGGACAGTCATCGTCAAGCAACAGAAAGACGAACAGGAAGCTGAGTTTTGCGCAGAGATATCTGCCTACAAGAAGCTACAAGAGCTTCAAGGGACTGTGCTCCCAACTCTATTTGGCGAAGGCTCTTTCAATGGGCGCCCTGCCTTAATCCTTTCGGAGATCAAAGGAATTACTCTGCGTGAGTTCGCAAAGCTAGGCGAAACGAGTATCGAAGAGAATACTTTGAGGTGTTGTCTCGAGAACGCTTTCCAGGAGCTCTACAAGTACGGAGCTGAGCATTTTGACCTGAATCTGGGTAATTTTTTGGTCTGCGACAATGTACAAGTGGTTATTATCGATCTTGAAGAGATCGAATTCCCCGATAGGCAGAAGGCCTGGGAAAACAGCGTTAATTTGGGTAGTGTGAATTACCTGATGAGCAGATTCAGGGATGTGAGATATCCGCGTCGTGCTCCGTCACCTGTTCTGTATTCGATGCCTCACACTGGGGCTAGCGATGATAGGAGCGGCTCAGAAATGACCGGGCCCTGCTATTCCATGGAACTCATGAGTTGAGGCACAAGAAGCTCACGCTCCGAAGGGGAACAGTAGCCCAAACCGATTCTCAAGGATGAAAAATACCTGGTTCAAGTTGGAACTTCTATGACGGCAAGGGACTGACGAGGTTGATTTAGGGGTCGCAACAATCAGAGGAGGATCTATGTAATTCACTGTCATATCGTCATTTGTGTGACTGTCTGTTGGATATTGTATGTGATGTTCGCCATCTACAGTCATTTTCGAAATTGGCTTGACCGATAAACACTGAGTAGCTCTCATCGCCCCATCCTATAAAGAATAATACTCGGATATAAGTGTCTGGATTCCGATAGTCCCCGCCCCTTCCTCTTCTCCGTTTCGGAGCTAGACTGAAGGAGGCGGGTCTTGAAGGGTTAAGCTTGAGAGGGTAGTTGTGACGGGATCTTGAGGGACCTATAGACTAGAGATAGGCGTATAATCATAGCAACTGGTCCAGTAAAGTGTGGACCCGGCTCTCGGCCATGACGCGAACGCCGATGCAGCGTCCCCTCTCTCCCTCCACGACCAGTCCCTCCTCAGTGGGAAGACCAGTCTCTGGTGGGGCGTTGTCTGCGCTCTCAATTGTAGATGAAGTCAAGCGCCTCAGCACCTCGTTAATCGGGTTCACCCCCGGTGACCATTCCATCGATGACGGGGTACTGGGTGGGCTCGGTCTAGTCAACGCTGAAACCAAGTCCATCTCTACCTCCTCGAGCCGTTTCTCCCACATGGTAATATCAGTTTCTAGTACGGTTTCGCGCAGGAAGTCGGTCAGCCCGCCGACTACCTCAACTGAACTAGAGACGGGGGCCGGTCTTTGTTGTTGTTGTTGTTGCTTCGGGGCTGGAGAGCGACGGATTCTGATAAAAGAGTATTGTAAGAAGGCGCGGTCGTCGCTGAATCGATCACGTCGGTCTTTTCTATCTATAAGAAGCACCCAGCTCCCAGGGGAGATATCCCTGAGTCGGTCTCGGGACGGGTGGTCAAGGGCTAGCTCATCGAAAAATCCAGCGGGGATTGGCCTGACACCCAATTGATCTGGCCATGACTGGAGCGGCGGTGGGCGCGGCGGTGGCCCCCGGGGCGGCGACGCGGGCTCGTCGTCGTCGTTGTTCTTGTTGTCCTCGTCGATGGAAGCGAGTGACGAGAACGCCCCATGATATGCAAATCGCAAGATGGCCTGGTCGGGATCCGAATCCGGACCTAAGGATCGGAGGTATACCAAGAATCGGACAGCGAAGCCCTCGGCGTTTAACCCAGTATTATCCATGGAGTAGTAGCCACTGTACCCGGGACGAGTAGGGTGGACGACGTGTTGGTCTGCAGCTGCGTCCCAGACATCTTCGCGCTGGGGGCTGACAAATGTGAACAAATGGATCATGGGAACGACTTGAGCGCCCGAGGTGAAGCTAGAACCCAAATTCCTCGGCGAGGATATTGCTCAAACTTCGCGGCCGCGTAAACCGTTTAACAAAGCGGAGGTCGAATGGATGGTTCTCAGCCGGAGCGACTCCGAGTCTTCACTTGATGCCCTCGACCATAGCCAAGACAGCTCCGAAAAGGGATGAGCGGAGCCATCGTCGCTATTCCGGTCCGGCTGCTGCAAGAAGCAGAGCTGTTGAAGGGCCGTGGACTGTGCCAGGGCCGCGGCGAGGTCACCAAGGTCTGATTCTCCATCTTCCTCATCTCCCACCAGCTGGAACGGATTGAGGCAAAGGCTGAGCGCAGACGCACCTTGAAGTTCATCCGATGCAATGGCGGCCGCGATCACACGAGGCGGCAGGTTTCCAAACACCACCCAGTTGAGGTGACGGCATCCAGCGTATACCACGCGCAGCACATGACTGGAGATCTGGGAGGAGCCGAGCCTCTCTGGCACCTTTTCGAGCCGCTGCCGCAGCTTCTCGCTGAACTGAGCAAGTACTTGAAGCTTGGCGAGCGCTTCCTTCTCGAAGGGACCAGTGGCGGGCTCCTGGGTGAGAACAAGCAGATCATCAATGGTGCGGACTATGCCTACGGGGTCATTTTGCGGCGGTTGATGTACTAGGGTGTAACCTTCCATATCAGGCGGGGATTGGGTGGCGATCATTGAATGTTTGAAGTCTGTTACAGAGATTAGCAAATGTGATCGATATTAGTTCACCTGGAATAGCGCCAGAGATCACCTTCTGAAGATGTTCGAGCCGGATCATCCAGCTCTGGTGGCCATATATCTACCATTATTCCCCCTGTCAGCACCTGCAAAATCATCCAGGTGAACAGACGTACAATCCAAGGCTGCCGCATCAGCCAGCGGCTTCTGCTTTAATTTGAGGATGCAAGACGCCTCTTCCAGGCCCGACCAGTAGTAATACTTCGATACCCACTGCGAGATTGACAACAGCTCTCGAGGCCGCGGGTTTACGAGTACAATATCGGGCTCCTTTTCCGGTTGGGGGTCTTCGACGGGATCCCAGCCGATCATCTCGCCGCCGTATTCAACCTCGGCCATGTAGTTCATGGGGAACGCAACGATGCCGTACTTGACGCCGCTGTCGAGGTCAGAGATGTCGAGAATAATCAGGCCATACTCAGTGCAGTCGGCCCGGAACAGCGTCGATAGTGGTTGAAACTGAATGTCGCTGGGGCGGGTGCGGTTGTCGCGAGTATCGCGCAACAACGCCAGCAAAACACACGTCGCAGTGAAGGGAAACTTGCTGGGCGCATCATCCCGCCACGGCAGCGGGGGTTGTTGTTGCCCTGGCTCACGCCGCTTGTACCAGGGCACAAACGGGGGCTGCGCGGTGTCGGGTACGCTGGGCCGCTCATGAATCGGAGGCTCGTGGCACTGAGACCGACGATACCAGTCCTCCGCGAGCGCTCTCTCGGCTTCCAGCGGCGCGCGATTCGCGGGATCCGAGAGGATTTCGGTCAGCGCAAGGATGTCGGTCACCATACAGTGCACTCGTCCCCAGGATATCTGTGAGTTGTATTCGTCGTGGTGTTGGCGATAGGCCACGGCCAGACAGCGGCTGGCGCCGCCGGGGCCGACATTGGCGACGACGGCGAAGAGGAAAGATCGAGGGGTTCTGGAGTAGAGAGTCGTGTATCCCCGCATAATAATTGTATTTTCTAAAAGCTGGGGGGATATAAGAAAGAAAAAAAGCCAGCAAAAAGCGGCAAGGACTGAGCACTAAAACGGAAAGGAAAGGCCAAGAATTGGCAGAGGAAATCAAGTACATAGGTCAAAATCTCGAACCCCTGCTAGTGGGAACCCCAATAGGCTGGTCTGGGTTGAACCCGACGAGAATATACCTGCGGATTCGATGTAGGTGACCACAGTAGATTCAAACGTCCATCACATGCATGCAATACCATCGCTTCATATAGCAGCCGCATACAGATGATCATGCGATAGTGGAATACATAAAACAAGCCACTCAAGCCCCATGATTAGGTGACAGTGTAACCACCATCGACACGGAGGTCCGCACCGGTAATGTACTTGGAGGCATCACTGAGTAAGAAAGTCACGGCACCCATCAGATCCTCCGGCGTACCCATTTTGCCAGCCGGGATAAGGGAAGTCCAATGATCCCGCAGTTGTGGATTCTCATCCAGAATTTTGCGAGTGCTAGAACCATTAGCAAAACATCTATTCAAGAGTGGCGACTTGACTCACAGCGCAGTTAACATATATCCAGGACTGATGCAATTGACACGGATATCGCGACCTGCCCATTCGACGGCTAGCGAGGCAGCAAGATGACGCACTGCGGCCTTCGCCGCGTTATATGGAGCTTGAGGCTGAGGCACATTGACGATGGCACCAGACATGGAACCAATCATAACAATGCTGCCGGCCGCTTTGCGTTCCATGAGGTGTTTTGCGACGCCTGTCGCGAAGAGGTATGTGCCATCGACGTTGACGCCCCAGAGCTTCTGCATACGGTCGAACGGGTAGTTGATCGCGTCGAAGTTCTCCGTGAACCCGGCGGAGGTGACTAGGTTGTCGATCTGGCCGTGTTTGGAGAGGACTTCGGAGAGAGCGTTGTTGACGGATTCTGGGTTTGCGACGTCCGCATAGTGCGCTGTTACGTTTGGCATACTGCAGCTGTGTTAGCTTCGTACAACCTTCGGGTAATCAACGTACTCCTCAAGCCCGGGATTTTCTTTTCGGAATTGCTCGATTAGCGAGGCGGCTGCGGTGTCGGCTTCCTCTTCTGTGGTGGGTTGAGTATAGATCCAATGAGTGGTCGGGCATACTTACTGTTTAGATCAATGATTGCTAGATCAGAGCCCGATGCAACAAGTCCTTGTCCCATGACTAGACCTAGTCCACGGGCTCCACCGGTCACGATGCTGACTTTCTTTTCAAGGGAGAATTGAGCGAGAGTTCGCTTGAAATGCATGCCGCCTCGACCCTGGGCAACAGGCTGCGCGGGCATCTCTTCGTCCGGGGGGTATTCAATGTGCACACTCTGATCGGTGCGGGCGAATTGGCCTTCATGCTCACCGGAAGCTCCCTCGGGAGCTTTATTCGTGGCAGCTAGGATAGGATCGTTGATGGGATCGTCCTTTTTATTGAGGGCGGCTGTGTATGAAAGAGGTCGAACGAAGGTTGTGGCTCGAGCTGCCGCTACAGAGCGGAAGTTCGACGCCCTGATAGCACTGCGTGCAATGGGCTTGAACATTTTGGACTTGGATGGAGAGTATCACACTGTGAAAGATGCGATCAAGGGTACGGAGTGCGGGATAGATCGAGGATCGAGGGAAGGGGCGATTAAAAAGCCATCAGCTATTTTTGCTTCGAGGGGAATGTGACAATTGCGGTGAGCGGAGTACAATGCAGGATTATCTCCTGTTTCATGCTCTGCTATGCAGCAAAAGAGAGAGCTCTGATTGCCTCTGATGTCAGATCGTGTCAATACCTCGTACCGGGTACCTGTACGAGTGGTTCCTGTAGGTACGGAGAACACCTTGGATGTATTCATATAATCTTACTAGATTGGTGCAATTTCTTTAAATTAATATGCACTACAAGGACGATTTTCAATATTGTCATTACTCGTGAAAGCAGAAGCATACGGAGTACTCACGTCAAGTTTGTAGTACACATTGGCTTGCTTCTCAATTGATGGTTGTCGCCACTGCAGGTACTGGTACTTCGTATTCTTTACATTACGAAAAGTGACAGATCCGCAGTGGAGAACCCCGGCTTTTTTCTCCACTGTAGATCTATGACATCTTACTCGTACATTGCAGACATGCTGGGATTGATCTTTTTTTGCATTATTTCTATCAACCACCCTAGACGCAATGTGCACTGACTATTCAGACTGTTCGGACTCGGCGAATTCCACCAGCGGTGTCCCGCTTTTGCATTGATCCTGCAAGGTACGTTAGCCACGGAGAACTCAATCGGTAAGCGTATCCCAAAGACCAGACGTGTCCGAAACAATATCAAAACACCAAAACAACCATAATACAGAGGGAATACGGAGCAAACACCCCAAAACAAACAGCGTCGCGGGATGTGGAATTCTCGGGGCCAGGGGTAAAGGTGCGCGTGACTTACTCCTTGACGATGTACAACCCGCGCAATAGTGCCGCGTTGCGGACTCCGAATCACTGTTTCCATTTTCATACTCTCGATCACAACCAGTGGCTGATCCTTTTCCACAACGTCACCTGCCTGCACCTCCACTCGCAGAACCTTGCATGGCATCGGGGCCAGAACACTGTTCGTCACATCTTTCAGGCCAAGCGCCTTCTCCATCCACTTGGCTCGGGGAAGTGTGAGTCGGTACTGGGTTCCGCGCTGGAAAGCGATGACGGTGTCCTCATCCCGAATCACTGTCGTGTCCAGTCGGGTGTGTGGGAAGAACGAGGTGACGATGTGAGATGTCAGATCAAGCTTGCTTACGACTTGCTCGAACACACGCCCGCCAACTTCCACGTTAAAAGTGTCGTCGGCTGTTTGTTGTACTCGTACATTAAATGTGGACCCTTCGGGTGAGCCTGGGGCTGTGGACTCGGTAAAAGTGAGCTGTCGCTCTTGATAGCTGGGCGTGAAACCGATTGTCGAACCCGCGACGCCCGCGGAGTGGGCACCAGAGATGGTGTCGCGCTGTAAACACGCCAATGCGACCTGCGCAAGAACTTCGTCATCGATGACCTTCTTCGCGAACAGCTCTTCGCGATGCTTCTCAATGTAGCCTGTCTCCACCTCGCCCGCGATGAAGTCCGGGCTCTTGCAAATTGATTTGACAAACTCAATATTGGTCACTGGTCCTGCAACCTCGTACTCTTCCAAAGCAGCTGCCAGCTTGCGGAGAGCCTCCTCTCGATTTGAGCCGCGAACAATCAACTTCGAGATCATGGGGTCGTAGTGTGCCGAGACATCATCTCCTTCCACAAAACCGGCATCAATGCGGATGTCTTCCGAAGTAGCCGGTGTGCGAACATGAAGTAGGCGACCCGAGTCAGGAATGAATCCCTGCTCTGGGTTCTCCGCGTAGATACGGGCTTCGATGCCATGGCCGCTCTGAGCAATGCGCTCTTCCACTTCCTCCTGCGTAAGAGGGAGCTTGGCTCCTTCAGCCACCAGGATCTGCCAATGAACGAGATCCTGGCCGGTGACCATCTCGGTCACAGGGTGCTCAACCTGTAAACGGGTATTCATTTCCATGAAGTAAAATTTGCCAGAGTCATTGTCAAAGATAAACTCGACTGTTCCAGCGCCTTCGTAGCCAACAGCCAATGCAGCTGCCCGAGCTTTGTCCCAGAGATCTTTTCTGGTTGCATCGGGAAGATGGGGCGCCGGAGACTCCTCCAAAACCTTTTGGTGTCGTCTTTGAATACTGCAGTCTCGCTCCCCGAGAGCGACAGAGTTTCCATGCTTATCTGCAAATACCTGGACCTCGATATGTCGTGGCGTAGTGATATACTTCTCCACCAGGACATTTTGATCACCAAATGAACTCATGGCCTCCGACTTGGCCGACTGAAGCTGCGCTTGGAACTCAGACTTAGAGCTTGCAATGCGCATACCCTTGCCACCACCTCCCTTGACGGCTTTAATTAGCACCGGGTATTCGATTTGATCAGCCTGCTCCTCCAAGAACATGGGGTCTTGGTTTGCTCCATGGTAGCCAGGGACACAGGGAACACCGGCGGCTGTCATGATCTCCTTTGAGCGGCTTTTGAGATGTCTCATATCAGCATCTGCACACTCCAAGCAATGCAATGGACATACCTCTTATCTCCCATGTCCTCAATGGCCGTATATGGTGGGCCGATGAAGACAAGTCCTGCCTCGGTACATTTTCGTGCGAACGCGGAATTTTCACTCAACTGGTGCGCAATGCCTATTAGCCTTGGATTTTGTATTGTAGATCAATTGTCGACTTACAAACCCATACCCCGGGTGTATCGCCTGACACCCTTCTTTCTTTGCGATTTCAATGATCCTATCACCGTCCAGATACGCTGAGATGGACCCCAAGTTAAAAGCAAACGGCGAGCTCAAAGCATGTTGAGCTCGGCTATCGGGATCAGTGTAGAGTGTTGTCACGCGGATCCCGCGATCCGCAGCCGTGCGTCCAACTCGCCTGGCAAAAATTAGAAAGAAATTCGAAAGAAGAGCGTTGTAACGCACAAAGCAATCTCGCCTCGATTGGCAATTAGTATGGAGTGTAAAGGCTTGACTGTTGCTGCATTGACGGTTGATGCAGCTCGTGTTCTGCGGGCCGCTGGGGCTAAGCGGGGAGTAATGCGGAGAAGGGATGAGAGGGTCATGACGATGGCCGCCAGCTGCGCTGCTGCAATTAGGTGGTTTTGCAGATGGTCAAAGAATCACAGAACAAACATGATCAGGTTCTTTCGAAGGGATAAAATAGCAGTGTCGCTCGGAAGCTGGGTCTTGAGCCGACGCAAAGCGAGATTGCGGGGAAAGCCGAGACATGACATAATCTGCCGCTTTGGGAAGTCGCCCTGCACTTCTCATTCATTTGTCTTCGTCTGTTTGATGTGATAGTATAAAGCCCATTGGGGATTTAATGAAGGCGACTGTAATGAAGTTCCCTAGCCTAGCAGAGATTTAATATGAGGAATGATCATCTCAAACTAGCCATTCCGTATGTTGTTCTGCAAGCACCGTTGATTCACCCCTCTAAGGCCTGGTCGATGATGAGTCTGAATCTGTACAAACTACTTCCTTAATCTCGGATTGACCCAAAGTATGGATCAGGGAGTTAATTGATGAGAATGAGGGCCCATGGATAGGTTGTTGCTGCTGTTGTCCATTTGCATAAGTTGCTTCCGAGGTACAATTTTTGGAAGCTAAAAGTCGTTATGGTACAATGGGTGGAGAGCTAGGAGCTGTGGAGATATGAATACATGCGAGCCACATAGAGGAGAATGACCAGAACAAGAAGGAATCCGGGTACCCGTCAAGCATCTATCCACAAAGCTTACAATAGCTTTCAGAGCTGAGAATTGAAGGAAGAGTGGGGACTTCTCACTAAGCTCACTCAGCCCAGGAGAGTTAAAGTGCGGAGGACCGTGAATTCAAGTTCAGCGACGGACCTCGGAAGTCCACCTGGGCAAAAATCGGAAGCCCGAGGCCTACGAGGATTTATCTGGGTCAATTCTTCGAACCTCTACGTTAACAACTCCCTGTGTCAAGATCCGTCTATGCCACTTCAAGAGAGCGCGAGAGAACCCCATCCCAGATACTTGAGAGTGTGCCGTTGTCTTTAGCTAAAACACTGGCAAGATTTCCGCTTTCGGGCCATCAGTCTTCGAGACTGAGGTTGCAATGAGTGAGCACAGAAGGCCCAGACTTTGGAAACCATATTTCACGTCCTTTGAATATTACTAAGGAACCTGTTGGAGATTTGAGGCTAGGGAACCTCCCAGCGATTCAACCAAGTGAAAGGGTCCGCGGGACTCATCGGTGAAAGAAGGTAGAGCCGGGCCCAGGGCCTGGATGGCAGGTATGGATAGCACGAGCTTCCATCGAGGTCTTCTAAAGTTGGATAGAAGACGATGTGCAAAATTTAAGTTGTTCCCAGATTTGGAGATGTTGATTTGTGATTGCCATTGTTGACTCGTTGTGGACAGACAACTCTGCTCTGCATACCCCAAGCATTCGATCACGTATACGTTCGTTTGGAACAGTGGAATGAAGTGTTGGCCCCATCGCAATCGCCCCAGTCATGTAAAGCCCCAGTATAAATTGATGGTCACACTCCATATTCCTTATGGAGAGATGGTTCAAATCTGAGGGTTTGAAAAGGGGGACATTGCAATGGCAGTGGCGGTTCTTGGCGCCACTAAAAATAAGTTCTCCTTTAGTTTCCACGGTAGCGCCAAGAGCAATTTTAACGCCGACGCTTCCGCGCAGCGGAGGTATCTTGGCATGCCCCTTGTTTGTTCAATAATTTTCTACGCGCTTTCACTCCAATGAGCTAGAATTCGCCTGATATTTCTGTGGCAATGTTCGAGACATCATTGGATATGGGGGGACTGTCCATAGCCGTCTCAGGGGGAACTCGACTTGGGAGCCTGGGCGCTAATTGCAATGACCGCAGCAAAACTTACTTAGGGACGCCAAGTGATCGAGTTAAGTTACTTTGTTTGCAATGTGATTGGTCATGGGGGGAGCAAGGATCTTTAAAGAATCAGATGTTGTCTCACGAGGTTATCTAAGCTTTTATGATCTACGTATTCGTACTGACGATATTCCTACTCCGTACTAATGCGAGGGAGTCTCGCTTATTTCCAGGGTATCTGGGGCTATTTACGACTACAGACGCCACCTTCTCAAGCTAGTGCTCATGTCTCCCCTAACCGCCAACCCCGGCTAGGCCGGGAACAGGGGCGGGGTAAAAAGCGCCATTCGCACTTGGCATTACTTCACTCTCATTTCCCGTCCAAAGACGCATTCAGTGCCAAGCGCCTGGAAACTGGGCTATGCTGAGCCGACCTGAGTACCCAGAACAAGGTCAGGCAGCAGGATTTGGGGCGCCAATGTCTTGGAACATCGATAGAGTCCCTTTTCCTGTGTGATTCCGCCCACGAGGCGCCTCTTTGCCAAGTCTTTTGTTTCAAAGTGATGGCTCGGTACGATCTGATGGGTTCCATTATGCCTGCTCTTTTGTTCTAGGGCCTGCGCACTCCCCTTGTCTCGATGCACCTTACTCTTACACTCTCTCCGTCCTAGATATTTTTTCCAATGTCGGTCCACCCGTCCGCTCGCGTCAAATGAAGTCTGTCGTTCTTTCCAGGTGGTTGACCGCCCTTTCGGCTTGTCTTCTCCTACAACATGTTCTCGCCATCGAAGTCAACCCTGACGATGAGAGTGGGTAGTTCATATGTTACCTGGACCCCGCAAATGACTTACATGTGCCTTTCCGATAGCTTCCCTCCAAGATGCTGCCAAGACGGTGGCCTCGGCCATGATGGATTTTTACAATGCTCGCGACTCCAAAGATATTCCGGGTAAAATGGATGATACATGGTGGGAGGGTGGCTCGATGTTCATGACCCTCATTCAATACTGGTATTTGACAGGCGACGACCAGTTCAACGATGCGATCCAGGAAGGAATGTACTGGCAAAAGGGCGAGGATAACGACTTTTTCCCGAGCAACTACTCCCAATACCTTGGAAACGACGATCAGGTGTTCTGGGGAATGGCAGCAATAACCGCCGCCGAATTGAACTTCCCCGAAAGAGACAATGAGCCTTCCTGGGTTTCCCTCGCGGAGGGTGTTTTCAATGGACAAATTCCTCGCTGGGATATGACAAGTTGCAGTGGAGGATTGCGGTGGCAAATTTGGCCATATCAAAATGGAATCGGTTTAAAGAACGCCATCTCGAACGGAGGATTGTTCCAATTATCAGCACGGTTGGCACTTTACACCAAAAACAGTACCTATGCCGAATGGGCCGAGAAAATCTGGGACTGGAGCGCATCTACACCACTGTTGAGAAAGACCTGGGTGATCGCTGATACCACTTCTACCGCCGCAAACTGCAAGGACCATGGTGATCACCAATGGACCTACAACTACGCAACATATATCGCCGGTGCAGGCTATATGCACAACTATGTATGTTTCTCTTTTATCCCCAGCTCGCCTACGTCCTTTATTGCGCAATCTAACTGGTGTATAGACAAATGGCGAGGAAAGCAAATGGTTGGAAGGCGTGACAGGATTGATCAAGACATCTGATCAGTTTTTCCCTAAATCCGGTGATAATCAAATCATATCCGACATCACCTGCGAACCGATCAATAAGTGCGATCGCAACCAGAAGACTTTCAAGGCCTACTTCACCTCCTGGCTCGGATTCATGTCGCTGATCGTTCCGACCGAAATCACGGCCGACGTCATGGCGAGATTCAAAGTCTCCGCCGTTGCTGCTGGTCAGCAATGCTCTGGCGGCAGCGATGGAAAGCATTGTGGAATTCGTTGGACCAAGAAAGCAGAATGGGATGGTACCACCGGATTGGAGCAACAGATGTCTGTTTTGGGCGTCTTGAACGCTAACATGGTTCCTTTTAAGGCCCAGGGTCCTTACAATGCCGACAATGGTGGCAAGTCCGAAAGTAACCCACATGGTGGCAGCAACACCAAGAGTACAGTGGGACCTGAGCCCATCACAACAGGCGATAAGGCTGGAGCTGGCATATTGACTGCGATTTTTGTAGTAATTTGGGCTGGGGCGGTTTCTTGGATGATTAAGGGCGCTTGAAGGATATGCGGGTCCTCAGATATATAAACATATGTACATTTTCGCCTTTCATGTTGATCGAATCGGATGGACGATTCATCTAGGAATAACTTTAGAAAGTCACTGTTGAGTTGTATTTTGTAAGAGCACTGAAACACAAATGGCGAATGAAGAAACCGAGTGAGAGACGAAGGGAGACCGTAGGGAGACCGTTGGGAAGTGAGGAGAGACACTTAATTATGACGGACCAAACCGCTGTCAGAACCTTATACCTTTTCCACTCGTTTCCTCTTAGGCCCGATATAAGGCGTCGATCAGATGCGGGGCATCGACTTTGGTTTTATGCAGGACCCAGTCTATATCCACCGGATTGGAAAGCGCGACATCGTGTGTTTCATGCAGGTTGGGGCGAATCTGCAGAAGCTCTATCAAGATACCGGATGTATCTTTTTTGGTGCAGTGGGATTGCGAGCTGATCAGCGTTTAGTAAAACCATGAGACGAGTTCGATGGAATATGCTCGAGCTGAGAACCCTCCGGGCTCCAGGGCTTGAGAGATGATTGACCAATCCCATCCAAGAACATTATCAAATGTAGACTTGAAGAAAGTGAAAATCGTTTGCACTAGGTCAGAAGATGAAGAGACAAGAGTGATCTGGGTTACATTTTCGAAGATGTGACACAGTAGGTCTATCCTCAAAAAGCAAGCGGAGCCCAACCTGCAGCAATCTGTGGGGTATGGATAGAATGACAGCTCATTGAAATGTCCTCATTGGTAGTAAACGTAGAGATATGAAATACACGAAGCTGAAAGCGGAGATGCGATCCTCTCTGGTGCGTCGACGAAGCGATATGCGCGGGACAGACCTTCCCGGATAGGAATGGTGTGTCTCCTCGGACTGAGTCAGTGATATCTGAGTAACTATAGTCTCAATTACCACAAAGTTGAAATATTTGAACTCTGCTGTTTCTTCTGGCAGACTTCAATTCTGCTCAAATAGTCACTTCACAGCTCAGCAGACCTGCACCTCCGGAGTACTGTGTCAACAATGAACCCCCTCAGTTTCCTGCGGAAATGGTACCCGGCAGATAGCCCTAAGGAAGATGTATTTGATCCTAAGGTATGTGAAAGGCAATCCATTTCTCATTTATTCGGGAGAAATCCATCGCATTTCTCAACACATACCTGACACCTAAGCTTCTATTCAACAGGTGCATCTGGATTACGTCCCACCCTCAAAGAAATTCACGATGAAAGACCTGCTTTTAGAACCAAGTGCTACTGCATCCTCCATTGCAGGAACAGTGCCTTTCTCCCTCTTGTCAACCGAGGGCGTCAGGGCTTACCGGAGAGCTCTGTTTCAGAAAGAGGTGACAGACAATTGCGCCAGCTCTCCCTTCCCGGGGACTTTAGTACTACGTGATGCGGCAAAAAGATCGAAGTTCATCAATGACTTCTGGACACACCCCAAAACAATGGCAATCGTATCCGAGGCAGTCGGTGTGCCCCTGGAGGTGATAATGCCAACGGAGATCGGACACACAAATATTCAGGTTGAAGGAAACACCGTCACGGAAATGACAAGTAACCTGAGAGTTGAGCCAGTGGTGGAAAAGCTTGAGCTCAGCGCTGAAGACCGAGGCTACGACCCATTGAAGGACAAGAATTCAATCATACCCTGGCAGTGAGTTGGTTACCCCTAGTCGCTTCTTCTAACAGACCAAAAGACAAGATACCTAACTTGCAAAAGCTACGACTCATACCCCTACGTATGTGTACTGATGTTGAGTGAGACCGAGGGCATGATCGGCGGGGAGACATATATCAAGAAAGGAGATGGGGACGCACAAAAGGTGAGATTCCTCTTCATTTTCCGAATCCAATCCAGTCAACTAATCTTCTACATTCAGGTTGAAGGACCACAGCTTGGACATGCAGTGATGCTCCAAGGTGGAGAGGTCTGTCATCTCGCTGCTCGCGCAAAAGGCGTCAAAGAACGCATCTCCACCATCACCTCCTATCGCTCGAAGAATCCAGGAATCTACGACTCCAGTTACATAACCAATGTGCGGCCCTATGCAGACATAGACTCCCTATATCCTGAATGGGCTGAATACCGTCTTCGAAGATTGAGGGACGAGCTTACATACTTTCTTGGCGAAAAAAGCAAGAAAGATGACCCCGTCCGAGAGAGAAAAGAGATACACAACCTCATCGAACAACAGATCGACTACTTACAACGAACCTCTCGACAAATGGTCAGCCCCGAGCATACCAAGCGCAGCGTGGAGAAATACGGAAAGCTAGCATATTATGATTCCCCAAAGATATGGAAAGCTCTTCAATCGCTGCCTGATTTTGAGATTATTGCGTCGGCAGCAGACTCGAAGCGGCAATGGATGCCGGAAAGTCCTTACTGGATGGATCTACAGAGATCTATCGAGACGATCAAGCTAGGAACCCCGCTTCAGAGTGCGCTCGGAACGGCAGTGCTGGACAAGAAAAGGGCCTATTGTATGGGCGACGAGCTCTTGCGCCAAGGACTCAATGAGCTATTTCTGGATTGGCTCGATGATTCAGGCCTTTTAGAACTATATCATCAACTGAAGTGACACTTTTTGAGCTTCAAACAGTCCTTCCTTGGTCTATCCCCCCCTCCTATGAATTTATCCGTTCGAGTCACCTTTTCCTTCGGGAAGTGGGCCGAAGAGTTTGGTTATGTCTTCAGGAAGTCTATTTAATCCAATACCTTTCAAGTTTTCCCTCTTCTAACTTAATTAAGACGATCTCCGTTTCTCCAAACTGCCTTCACATTTGATATGGCATCAATGGACTCATCCGGTCGACCAGTAACAAGTAATAAATCGGCCTGCAGGCCCTCCTTGACTCTTCCTCGATCCAAAAGACGGAAACGGTCCGCCACCTTCGAGGTAGCTGAGACCAACGCTTCAAGTGCAGTGAATCCACATCTTTCCACATATAACCACAACTCCTGATGTACCGATGCGCCCGCTCGTGTGCCGACCAGATGATTTGACGTGTCTGTTCCGCTGGAGATAAACGTCAGCCTCATAAGACACGAAAGGAGAAGAATTTGCCGCGGAGCACTCGAGGTATGCTTTGATCTTACCATAGAATGTCTATTCCAGCTTGTTTCAACTCCCGAATCTGGTCGTATGCATGCTCCACTGAGAGTCCATCACGAAGAATATGGAGGCAGCCTTCCATGTGCTCTTTCTCATCGCCTTTGAGGTGCTTAGCAAAGCGATCTCGACAATCTTGCTCTTCTCCGCTGCTCGAAGTGATTACAGCAAATGTCGGAATGATGAAAGCGTTTGACTCTTGATATGCTTTTTTAACCTCGGCGCTCATTGGTTCACATGTCGAGTGCGTGATGCCATCTATGCCTACCTGAAGCATTTTAAGGGCTGCTTCATTGGTGGTGGCATGAGCCACAGCGAGGATCCCATGGCTATGGGCTGAATCTATGACGGCTTTTTGAATTTTCAATGTCGGTGTTGGAATCGGACGAGTTGGGAATGGGAGATTCATTGCCTGACCGTCTTCTTGCATGAGCTTGATGAAGCTAGTTCCAGGGTTGGAGATCAGCTGGGTCTTTTTATGTGTAGGCCTTCTAATTTGTACTTACCTTGCACCAGCAGCGAGATTTGTTAACATGAATGATTCAATCGAACTCTTATCTATGACATTCGGCCATCCAGAAAGTGTCTCATCGACCTGTAACCAATCAATAAGCAGGGATCTCTATACTTGGGATCAAGACATATTCACGGACATTGGGGTCCTGGGACGTCAGCTTCACGATGGCTGACGGCCAACCGTCCTGAATTGTAGCTGCAAAACACGCCGATTTCACATCAGCAAGATCGTTCCGCTGATTCGTTATCGCCTTCACTTTCTCAAACCATTTTGGCTGGTTGTGCATGTCTAGCACTGTAGTCACTCCATATTTTATGGCAGTCTCCAGCAAATCAACATCCTGGTACACGTGAACGTGTGCATCTATCAAACCAGGCAGCAAAGTGCACCCAGAGGCATCAATTTCATGACAACCCTGGGGTCTCAACAACGGCTTTTCGGTTGAAATTTCTTTGATTCGGCCAGCCTCGATGAGGACATGGCCATTTTCAGAAATCACGGATATGCCATCAAAGATTCGGACGTTGGATATAAGCGTAGCTAACATTCCGTAATGCCTGTTTCAGGTTCAATGATGGGTGAAATATTTCTAACGGCATAGTCGTGGTGTTTTTTGGCCTTGATTCAAGACAAACGATTTCAGATTTCTCCTTGCGTTGATACCGGCAGGCTACACACCGTCATTTCGGGGCCGATGTAGTTCTGTTTGTTTTGTTTGAATCTGCTGGGGGAATTTGGCATGCTTGGGGGCCCCAGGCACCATCCCCAATTGATCGCTCTTCCTCCCTCTCTGTTTTTCGATTAACGACTCTTGATTGGTCTCTCATACACATCTAGAAGCTCCAAGGGCGAGAAATCGTAAAAGACGCGTTGTCTGTGCTTGGAATAGAATATCATGGTGTATGATCAAAATTTCACCATCGAAGATACACGTACCCACACCCTAATTGTCTCCAACGGAAATGGTATACGAAATCTATCCAGTGCGCCAGATGAAACATGTGAAAAGGACGTTGGAAAGGTTCACTAGAAATGACGGTAGAAGCCAGCTGCTTGATCTGATAAAGCGGGAACAAAAAGCCCCGAGGGCCGCTCGTTGATCTACATATGGATCAATATTCAGAGCACAGGTCCCACAGACATTGGACCTAATGGGGTTTAGCGTCACTGAATCAATTTCAGTGGGACCTGTTTCCTTCCTTGGTTTGTTTTATCTCATTGGTCGGTTCACAAGCCTTAGTGCCCCCCACGAGGCACTGAATCCATGGATTGCACCCCACTTAGCGGTACATGTATTGCTCCACCAGGTACAATACCTCCTCCGTATCATACTCGTGGTTTACTGTATAAAGAGCGGAACTCACCCGTTTGTGTTCTAGTGAGAGATCTTCAAACTACCATCAACCTTCGTCTGCTTTACCTTGTCACCATGGTTAAGCGTGAAAAGAAACAAAAGTCCCAAACCCCACTTGATCGATTGCCCATTGAAAGGAGACTCGCCATTCTTAAATTCAACGTGGAGGATTGTAAAGATGCAATTCACGGCCGGAGAGTTCCGAGCACCTTTGGAGATCGAGTGCATCAGCTGTGTATTATTCGCGGCATCAGATATCACCATGGATTTGCCCAGGAGCTCCGTGGTGCGACCCCAGAGTTCACTCGGGCCTTGAATGCCAGGGAGATCATGAGTGGTATCATCCCAACCGTCTCCAAACCCGACGAGGCACCTTATTGCATCTGGCATCCAGATGTCCCAAGCGAGGATACCCTCCGGGCTCTTGTTCAGCGTTACCCGGATATGCTTTACAATGCCGCTCGTGCCTGTGCCGTTGCTGGGTACATTGATTTGTACAAAGAGCTCGACCCCCTCCCGGAAGTACACGTCGCAGAGGATGCTGGCTACGCAAGTTTCCACAAAAGCAATAGGGGAAGTCAGGAAATTTACGAGCACATTCTCTCCCAACCCGTGAAGTACGCAATCATGAATGACTACAAGCGGACAGTTGATGTCGCCGGACGTCGAATTGCAGTTTTGAATGGCGATACCGCCGTTTGTTCGAGCCTTGAAGCCAGATACAAATACTCTACAGCTGGAGAGATGTGTCTCACCGAGAGGCCTTGGGTATCGAAATCAGCATATTTCAACATCACCGAGGACTTTGGGATAGATGATCATGACTGCGAGGCACCGAAGACACCAAATGATGATGTGGAATTGCTTTACAGCCCTCTGCCTGCAGATCTCCCGCTCGTCAACAAGGACAGTCTGATATATCTCGCTGCATACACAGGCGACATTGATCGTTACGCACGCCTCCGAAGACCAAAAATGCTTGATAGTGAGTTTGACATTGTGATCCGCGGCATATATCACAATGCATTCTTTGCCAAATGGTGGAGTACGCAGATTCCTGAACAACCACAAGGAGCCAGCGAGGCGATCATTCGACGCGCAATCAATGCTCGTCGTATCATGTCTAATGATCTATCCTGGGTCACCGCGGATATCCCGCCCAGTCTTCTCCCTGAAATGATCTGGTTTCCCGCCGTCGCAACAGCATTGACCTACAGCAAGCTTCCATACATGGAGCCTAGAATGTATCGGGCATGTCTTAGGGCCTGCATTGCTGCGAACTATGCTTCAACGTGGGATGACTTGCTTCTTGCGCCACCCGAGAATGTCTTTTGGTTTCAGTCTCCAAGAAGACCAGATGAGCCCGAGGATCCTAAGTTATGGAGAATTTCCAGAATCATCGCTGGCGACTTTTGGAAAGAGGCGGAGCAGTCGCGAAACCCATACTTTCTGCAAGAAATGTCGACCGCCGTGCCCAAGAGACCCGAAGACAGCAACCGCGACGCTCATTGGTCATATCATTTCTGGGCGGACAGTCTGTATTTCCCACATGTGACACCTTTACTGTGCACCGATGAACCGGTTCAGGCGTTCTCTGGTGAAGGTCCATACGATGGAAGAGATGGCGGTATCGGTGATGCAGATTGTGCAGTGTTTGCAATGGATTCTATTGGGAGAGAAATTTTGGGGGAAGAGAAAGAGAAGCAAGAGTCGTCTTGTTTCCCTCTCGAGAAAATTTTTGATTTGATAGAGGCGAAGCAAAAAGCCCATGATGGATAGAGCTATTTTAACAAGAGAATTTGCAATTCCCATCAAATGTGTATTAATTAATTGATACTGAATTTGATGTACATATAAACCCCCAGGTCTCTGTAAACTCCCTCCCTTCATCTGACACACTCCACCATCGATGCCTTCGCATCCTTGATTGCATTTACATTTGCCCTGTGTCCTGTCTTTTGACGAGCATCATAAGCTTCATCAGTCTCGCCGGACTTCCTTTCAACTCCATCCGCTTTGTCGTACCAATCTTCGATCTTGAAGGTTTTGACCTTCAGTTCTTTCTTAATCCTAGAAAGAAAAGATTAGCCTTTTTATCTCGGGGCCATTGTCGTTATTCCCGAGGTCTCCACATACTTTTTGCTTGCCTCCATTAGATCAACGGTTGGCCATCCCTGCCCATTCTTGCTGTTTGCGCTCTCACTCATCTTCTCCGGGAATTTTCCTTCTGTCACCAACGGTGCATCTCTGACATCCTCCCTGGATGGGTCCCACGATTGATGATCCGGGTCGTACTTGTAACGAAGATAGTTACCCACGCTTCGATCCCTGAGGGCACTTCGTCCCTCGGCCACCCTTTGGCGAGCCGTAACTGCAAGCCGCCACTCGGCCGTATTCTTATTGCGGTCTTCGCCAACGAATCTGAATCTCGTCAGTATTTCAAATTCGGGTACATGAGTTATCTTTGAAGCTAACAGGGAAAAGATAGAGCGGGGGAAGAACTTACTCCCCAACGACCTTGAAAAGATAAGGAAGAGTCATTCCCTTCCCTTCCCACATTACCCTCATGTTGTATGCGCCTTTCACATTGCCCTCATACAGCCTGTTGGCAATAATGTCGACGCTACTGGATTTGCCGACATCTGCTGAAAGTCTCTTGATGTTTGCTTTCTCGTCGTCGGTACCAGAAATGTAGTAGAGAAATTGTCTGAAGTTACAGCGGCCATTCTCAAACTGACCCAGTCCAGCCTTTTGCACGCCAGCGTCTGTATGACATGATTTTGCCATCTTTTGTTTGTCCGAAGCTTTATCCAACTGGTAAGCATTCCAGAACATGACGCGCTCATAGCAGCCATAAAGACCGAAGGCAGCCGCTTGCGTTATGCAATAAGCCAGGAAGAGCAAGATGGGGGCCCTCATATTCAGCACAAGGATTCAACACAAGAGTAAAATGACCGGTTTATCTCGATGGTCTCCGAGTGACAGAGCACTATAAGTTATACTTGTAACATCAGGCCGTAATTTTCTTTCTCGACTTTTTTTTACAAGAATATTTCCCATACGTCCGGCATCGGTCGTGCCGAGAGGGTGGGATTGGAAGATTACTTCATACTGAACCAAAATATTTCTCAAACCTCGTACGATTACGAGTATACAACGCAGTAGAAATTAAGGGGTCTCCTGGACCCTGGCCCCCGTCTCCCGTCTCGTAGATGTAAACAAGTCTATCATCTCATAGTTCTCCACTGGCGGTTCTAAAGTTGGGTCAATTGGCCACTCATAAATGCAAGTCTCACGCCCCATATTTCTTCAGTCAATCTGACTTCTCAAGTTATACATACGAGTAGAATTGCGTTAGTTCGGGGCCTTGGCCCCAGTCTCCAGTCTCGTACCTAAATGTACTCGTAGTCTCAGGCCCCATATTTCTTCGGTTGGCTTATGGACCTGCATTAGCTCAGGGCCCTGAACCCTGGCCCCGTCTCCCGTCTCGTAAATGTAAAAAGGCCCATGCCCCATATTTCTTCACTAGCGGTTAAATTAATTGGCCTATGAGCTGGCATTGGCTTGAGGCCTTATTTGGTTCAGGGCACCCGGGGGCCGCCCCCAATACACTAAGACTTTAGTGGGACTTGGTTTCCACTTCGCCAAGATTTGAGCCGGACTTGGCATGCTTGTATTGTATACTCTTGCAACGTTCCGATAGCGCATGAGACCCATACGACTAGGTCCAAGGTATTCAGGACTCTTAGTATTTGCACTAAATGGATATTCATTCTCCGTTGTATCAGAATCAAACGCTAATGGGCCAGGGGGCCAAAAAAGACAAAATCGGCGCCGAATGGATTCCGAGTAATCCTTTCCTATCGCGGAGCAAAATGCTCCATATCGGCTACTATGTAAAGAGCATCTTGGTTGGAAAATTCTCTGCTTTTTGTCCAAAAGCTCGTGTACTTCTACCCTCGTGTTGGTTATGTCAAGGGCCGACACCCCATTGAAGATCGTCGCATACTCCGTATTGTGATTACGGTTGTCTCTTTGGACTGGACATTTTTCCATCTCTTCAATTGTTTCCATCTTGATTTTCAACTATCCTCCACGGCTTCAGCCCTTGGAGTCCTGAAAAAGGATCAAGATGCGTTTGTTGCAGCACTGGGGAGCAATAAGCCAAGTGGCTTTGTTGGCCGCCGCCGCATCCTCTCATACTGTGACAGACCCTTACGTTGCAACTCTTTGGAATGCTTGTCCTGTGGCCTGCGATAGCGCAAATCCAGAAAATTGGAGCTTCTATCCTGACTTGAGCATCCTCAAATCATGCGATGAGCCGATGCTACTGAACTTTGCCGTGCACAATCCTAAGGAGAGCATCGACACCCACCACCCACTGTACGCCTGTACTGCATCAAATGAGACTGATTTTGGTCATTCGAATATCCACGCTCCCAATACATCAACCTCGACACGTTATTCCGTCAAAAATGTCCAGATGGAGACAGCTTGGCGTGGTACCGACACAACACAATACTCCTCTCATGCTGAGTCCATAGCTCAACTTGTGCAGGCTCAAATGGAGATTCCTGAGAGAAAGAAGGCAGCAATTGCCATGGGATACTTCAATGGAGTCGCCCTTGGAGCTTTCTTCGGCTCCAATATGGAGAAGGGCAAGGACAAGACCTTGCTGCAAAAGTTCCTTGACAAGCTTCATCAAGGAGAGCTGAAGAAATCCGCTTCAATGATGCAGGTCTGTGACAGTGGCCGTTCATCTGCTTACAGCCTTGGTGTTGTATCTGAGGCGAGCAATGACCCAGTCAAGGCTCTCGCCTCTGTACAAGAAGCCCTTGTCACATGGAGCAAAGGTGAATGCCTTCATGGATACAACGGAAGCTCCATGTCACAGGTTTCCGTGGGCGAGATAGTCCAAGAGTTTAACACCCCAACCAACGCCAGCAGTCATGGCCATGGACATGGCAGGTTTCATCGGCAGAGAGAGCTCGCTGGGGTTCACCGACGCGACACCTGCAGGGCCATCCAGGTCGAATCTGGCAACACCTGCGAGATACTCGCATCTAGGTGCTCGATCGCGCCTGCGGACTTTACAAAGTACAACTCGGATAAAGATATGTGCTCGTCTCTACGTCCCGGTCAACATGTATGCTGCTCCGCCGGTACGCTTCCTGACTACTCTCCCAAGCCAAATGAGGATGGAACTTGTCACGTTTACACGATTCAAAACGATGATGACTGCAGTGCTATAGCTGGCGCTAATAGCATTTCCACGGATGATATCGACGAATGGAACAAGAATACATGGGCCTGGACAGGCTGTTCCAATCTCCAAGTTGGTGGTAATTGTCAACACGCACCCCGATCCTATAGACCCAAAACTTACGTTTGAAACAGGAACAATGTGCCTTAGCAAAGGCGATCCACCGATGCCGTCAATCCTCAAAAATGCGGTTTGTGGGCCCCAAAAGGCTGGGACCAAGAGACCGGATGACTGGGACGACATTTCGGACCAGAATCCTTGCCCACTGAATGCTTGTTGCAATATCTGGGGGTAATTCTAATTTCTATCCTCATCGTGTTTGAATACTAATTTTGCGTCCTAGCCAATGTGGAACCACAGACAAATTCTGTACAGCAACGAATGTATGTTTGCCTTTCGCACACCGAGTTCTTGTGTCCTATCGCAGTCTGTAACAACAACTAACTTCATTCCTCAACAGTCTACGACAGGTGCACCTGGGACTGCCAAAAAGGGCACAAATGGATGTATCTCCAACTGCGGGACTGACATTGTTCATCACGAGACCGGATTTCCAAGTAGTTACGATGGTGCACCAATCGTGATTGGTTACTATGAGGCCTTCCAAAACACACGTTCGTGTTTGAACATGGACGCATCAGCTATCGACAAGGACGTCACAGTTGGAAAATCGTTTGCTTTGACCTGGGACCATATCCACTTCGCTTTCGCCGACGTTACAGATGACTTCAAGGTTAACGTCTCAGCCGTGAAAGACGAGTTTGATGACTTCACGAAATACACATCCCCAGGCAAGAGCCCGAAGGTTCTGTCCTTTGGTGGATGGTCGTTCTCGACAGATCTGGACTCTTACGCTATCTTCCGGGAAGGAGTTACAGATGCGCAGCGATCTACTTTCGCCACAAACGTTGTGAAGTTCGCGGATGACAATGATTTGGATGGTCTGGACTTTGACTGGGAGTATCCTGGTGCCCCCGATATCCCCGGAATTCCCAAGGGCGATTCAGATGATGGTGAACGATACCTCACATTCCTCAAAGAAGTCCGAGAGAAGCTCTCTTCGGAAAAGACCTTGTCAATCGCTGCGCCCTCGTCCTATTGGTACCTCAAGGGTTTCCCGATCAAGAAGATCTCCGATGTGGTGGACTACATTGTTTTCATGACCTATGACCTTCATGGTCAATGGGACTATAACAGCACAGATCCACTTGACGGTTGTGACGGCAGCAATTGCCTTCGATCCCACGTCAACTGGACAGAGACCACCAACTCTTTATCGATGATCACGAAGGCTGGAGTCCCCAACAGCAAGATCGTTGCTGGACTCGCAAGCTATGGCCGTTCGTTCGGTATGGACGACCCAAAATGCCATGGACCCGAGTGCAAGTTCACTGGCCCGGAGTCAGGTGCCATGGCAGGGAGGTGCACCAAGACTCCTGGATACATTGCAAACGCGGAGATCAACGAGTGGCTGGACGAAAACGACGATATCACCACCTACTACGATAAACCGAGTCGATCGACAATCTCCTATTCTTCCAATGGTACTTGGGTAGCTTACAACACCGAGGACGAGAGAAATGACAGAATCACGACCTGGCACAAGGACAAGACTGTCCTCGGTACCAGTCTCTGGGCAATCGACCTGACTGAATTCGTCACTGAGCTTCCAAACGGCCAAGCCGTGGGTGATCTTTCGTATGAACCCGCCAGCTGCACAAAGTCGTTTGACAATCTCGATGACCTGGAGGCTGCCACTGGAATCGACGAGCGTTGCATGAACATTTACTTGATTCAAGCCATCAATGGCAATCTCACTGCCTCGCTGGACAAGTACGACGATATCATGAGTGATGGTTACAATGACGATTTCAACTGGTACAAGAAAGCCGTTCATCAATCGGCCCCCGAATCTCTGAAAAGCTTCCTGAAGAATCACGCCGGTGAATACTTTGATTGTACCAGCATCGGAATGGACCCAACTACGCGAACCCCTCTGAAGGGTGGGAAGAATGAGACATCTAAATGTCCCTCCAACCCGAAAGATACAGGATACGCTGAGTTCTGGTGGGATGTCAAAGACAAAGACAAGTTCGAGACTGACATTCTGAAGTCGGCCGGAATTTCTTCCGATTGGCTGGGTTATGGTATTGATGGAACTCATTGTGAGGCGGACGCAGCAGCCCATATGGATCATTGCTCAGGGAGCGTGAATAACGGCATGCCCTATCTCACGCCAGGTTACACAATCAGCAACCCAAAAGATATTATCTCCGATCAACTGCCCAAGATCAAGACATTCCAGGAACAGCTGGACTTTATCAGTGCAATTGCAGGCAAGGACGCCTACAATGGCGAAACCAGCGATGTTGTGGACGGTGCATCAATGCTTGCATTCATGGTATCACAATCCGTCACCAGCATGAAGCAAGTGATGAAGGTTGGCGAGGACTACAAGGATAATTGGATTGAGGAGATTGTCATCCTGTTCGTCACAGCTCTGCTCATGATCATTCCGGGTGTGGGTGAGGCCGCGGAATCGGCAGATATGGTGGTACTTGCATCCACGTTGAGGATCATTGGTGACGCTGGTGATGTTGGACTGACTGCTCATGATATTGTCAATTCAGCAGACGGTGGGCCAGCTGCGATCTTCCTGTCCTTGCTTGGTGGTATTGGCGCCATGGACATTTTCAGAGCCCCTTCTTATTTCGGGAAGGCAGCCAAAGCCAAGAAGGGGATGACCACTGAGCATTTCGCGACCCTGGGGCCCGAAATCAAGGGTGGAATGGCCCAGGTGGATAAGTTGAAGACGAAATGCTATTAGGCTTGTCTGGTCATGCTCAGGGAAGGAACCCTATTATCGTTTTCAAGATCTGCCCGGGTGATTTCTATGGTACTTCCCAATCACACTACTTAAGTCCCTCCGGGGCTGTGATTGATCGCTGTTTTACTTTCATTTTAGTATATAAATCTTGTCTTTTGTTCAAATGTAATCTCCTGGAGTCAATATTGCATCAAGTTTCTTGTTAGATATACAAGGGGCTTGGAAGCTCCATCGTCTCCAGGACTCTAAACATTGCAAGGCAAACAAACTTTAGAAGCCATCCAAAGATGGAATTTTGCTAGAATCCAGTCAAACCCCAACAAAGAAATCAAGAGATTTTTGGTGCCTATGGAAGAACCACTCCGAACCAGATCGAAATTCAAGAGTTGCGATCTCTTGTGCTCAAGAGCGGATGCCCATGTTGGAATGACTTGGGCCGTGATCGATGCCTCAGTTTGCAAAGCATGGCGTTTTCATAAATGCAACCAAACCGTATAATTCTTTCGCTTCCAGTGAAATCCATAGACAGCTGATGAGTGCCTGTCACGATAGATATAAAGATGAAGGCTGCTTCGAGACATTGTGTGGGAAATAAGAAAAGCCTTGAAGTAAAAGGTAAGATACCAAAGTACAATGAAGGGGAGGGCGAAAGGGCGAGTTTATGTATACCACAGCGCCGACGACACTTTGGGAATTGATTTCAGTACAAGTAACGGCGGGATGAGCACCATGGAAACTACTATTCAACCTTGGAATCAGTTTGACTTGGTTTTCGCTATATAAGATTTGCCTTGTACAAGGTTGTATACGCCCTAGTATGAACTGGAGATTGGCTGGCATTCAAATGATCCCCATAGTAGGCGGTTTTCCTTTCATCCAAGCAAAATACGGAGGATCGTCCGTACTACCACAAATCATTTCAATTTGGCCCAAGTACGTAAGGAGTTCCGAATTGCCTATTTGGACAGTCCTGGTGATGTAGGGGAATGAGATCTAATGTACCCTTACTCCATATCTCGATATTTTTGATATGGCATGCCAAGTGAAGATCAATATTGAACAAATACTGGCAAATATGTACTCCATAACAGCCTATGGTAAGAAAGAGAGAAAAGGAGAGAAAAAAAGGACAAAAAAAGAAGAGGCGACATACATAGTGAAGACAAAGTGGAGCTGACTCCGCTTTGAGGCTTATGTTAGCAGAGGCAATCTTCAATTCTTCGAGCCCTTCGCCTGTACACATATTCTTGTTATTGTTTTGCATTTTCTGTCTTTACCACTTGCATCTGATCTTGAACATGTCCGATGACGAGGAATACTACGAGTACGAGGAGGACTTCCTGTACGAGGATTTAGTCCCAGACTTGGTGGTAAGCATTTTCAGTTGCAGACTGCCCGCGCAAGTGTCGCGTCAAAGCCAGACACTGATGTTTCCTCACAGGACGACCTCGCCGCCTCATCCTACTACGAAGCCGCTTTGTACGAAGACCCAGCAATCGACGTTGAAGACTACTTCAGCGACTGGGACTACTATTCAGACGATCACTACGATGACGATCCAACTGCCGAACGAAGCGCCGAACGAAAGAAGCGAACCGATCTCGCAGCTGCCGCGAAGCGAAGAACAAAGGGCCCCTCCCGCAAGACGACCACCATCCCCACGAAATCTCCTCTGTGCCCAGACCCGGCGACTTTCCAGGGCGTGTTGTGGAAAACACCCGCCCTGGATCGCGACCAGGACGTCTCTATTCTGTACGAGCCCGAGACGGGTGAAAAAGTGGCGCTGCTAGCGAATTGGCGCGAGGTTTTCAAATCTGCGCAGCCTGCGCTGGATAAATCGAAATTGAAAAGAAGACATGTGGAAGCTAGACTGGACGAGGCGGATAATGAGATGTCCGAGGATGAGGAATCAAGCGAGGAATTTGGTGACGAGGAGCCTGATACCTCGGACGAAATGTCTGATGCGGAATCACAGCTTTCGGCGGTTGACACTGGAGATGCTTCAAACACGACGCCTGACCCGGAGCCGGATGCTCGTGTGCTGAAGCTGGCGTCACCGCCCAAGGTTGTGATTCCTGTCATTTCTATGGCTTCGGAGACACCTGCGACTCAGTCGCCGGTGGATCCGGTAGCTCCTACCAAGGGCGCAAAGAGGGGGCGCAAGCGAAAGGCTGTCCAGCAGGAAGAAGCGGCTGAGGAGGATGCGAAGCCTCGAGCTAAGAGGATTGAGTCGCGGAAGGGAGGTGGTGAGCGGACAGATTCGCCTGCGCCGGTGCGTAGGTCGGGTAGGCAAAAGAAGTAAGAGTCTTCTCTGCTCTGTAAGGTGTTGCATGACCCTGAAACGATTTAAATGAACAAGAAACATCTACTCCCAGCGAGATAGTGTGTGTGTGATAAAATTACTCTTTTCTCTATACACTAAGCATATTCCTTGTTAAAGGCACGGCCAATAACCATCCTGCGGATTTCGCTGGTACCAGCGCCAATTTCATACAATTTGGCATCTCGCAGGAGTCGTCCGGCTGGAATCTCGTTGATATATCCACTTCCACCCATCAGTTGGATAGCGTCGAGGGTGCATTCAGTTGCCCGTTCGGCGGCATATAAGATTGCACCGGCGCAGTCATGCGTACGGACAGTCATCTCGCCGGGGTTCACGGCACCGTTGTCTACCTGTCGAGCTGTAGCATAAGTGTAGGCGCGTGAAGCAGCCAGTTTTGTGTACATGTCTGCAAGCTTGCCTTGGATCAGTTGGTTATGGGCGATCGGAGAACCGAATTGCTTGCGCACGTGTGTGTAGGGCAGGACCAAGTCGAGTGCGGCCTGCATGATTCTAGAAAATGTTAACATGTGGACATATATCGTCTCATATTACGACGTACCCCAGTGGTCCGGCACTCAGGACCAATCGCTCCAAGTCTAGACCTTCCATCAACACACGAACTCCGCGGTTTACCTCCCCTAGGAGGTTCTCGCGGGGCACGAAGACGTCCTCGAAGATAAGCTCCCCAGTGTTTGAGCCGCGCATGCCGAGCTTGTCCAGTTTTCTTGCGCATGAGAAGCCCTTGAATGACTTCTCAACTATGAACGCTGTGATTCCTTTGGAGCCCAGCTCGGGCTCGGTTTTGGCATAAACGACAATATAGTCGGCATCGGGGCCCTGTAAACAGACGGGTCAGTCAATAAGACAATCCCTGTTATTTATACCAAAGAACTCACGTTGGTGATCCACATCTTAGTTCCATTTAACAGCCAACCCCCATCAACCTCTTTCGCTGTGGTTTTCATGCTAACAACATCGGATCCCGCTGAATGCTCTGACATTGCCAGGGCACCAACCTTCTCACCAGATAATAAGCCCGGTAGAATGCGTTCTTTTTGTTCCGATGAGCCATTGAGTGAAAGCTGGTTGACACAGAGCTGGGAGTGGGCCGCATAAGAGAGACCGATGCTTCCTAGTTTCAAAGTCAGGGTTGCTTTTTAGTATAAATTAGAGACCTGTTCGCATACCTGATGCACGGCTAATCTCTTCCATCACAACACAATGCGCCTGGTAGCCCATTCCCAAGCCACCGTATTCCTCGTTAGCCGTTACGCCGAGGAATCTGATGTCCATTAGTATGAACTGAAGACATGAACCCTCAATTCTCAAGGGCCTAGCCAATTGGGGCAGCTCACCCAGCATCACCCATTTTCTGCCACATTTCAGCAGGGAATTCATTCAATTCGTCTGTCCGTTGCGCAACCTCGGCCGAGATCTCGCGTCCTGCGCCAGTATTAGAGGTGCGGATTGATAGGAACACGTGTTACATACTTGTAAACTCTTGTACACGCTCGCGAAGCTCTAGGAGGTCATCCTCAGATGGGGGTACGAAGCCCGTGGGGTGTTTCGTTGAGACTGAACGGAAACCTGGGGTGAGTGCGGGGATGCGGTTCCGCCCCAGCGCGCGCGTCGAGGCGCGGAGTAGAGAAGGTAGCTTCAAAGAGGCCATGGTAGAAGTTATATGTGGTGGTAGGTGACAGAAGGAAGGCAGTGTGTAGTAAAGGGAGACGGAGCCCTTTAAGTAATATCAGGGTCTCATGCAGGAGCGGCAGTCCTCGGCGATCAATTAAGGCCCGGGTACGGGGTATACAACGTTGCGACTATATAACATTGTACCTCGTCCAACTGGACATGTGTCTTTAATTTTGTTTTTAAACAAAGACTCTTATATCAATTCACACTCATTCTTGCTTCAAATTCAATTGAATATACAATATTGTCTATATTTACTGCCACTTTGTTCCTTTGGCAATTTTGAGGTCATGACGATGGGGCGGGTAGACGCGGCAATCGTCGCACCTCCGCATCTGGGGAAACTCCAGCTTTCGGGCCTCACTTCTTCTTAAAGCCGCCGTGACCCCAGTGAAATCGTACATTGACCAGGCTCGGATATAGAGCCTTAAAACCTCAACTTCCAAAGCTGATCAGAAAAACCTCTGCATTGCAGCTTTACTACACAAACTCCCCCGCAATGCGCACCCCTTCCCCGCTCGTCCTTCGAGTCTGGGGCTCACGACTGGTACCACGCAGATATGCTCCATTGTGCTCAAATATCTACCGTCCAGCACAAAGATCAGTAGCAAGCTACACGCATCCTCATCATGCCTCCGCCCTTTCCGTTCTCCCCACAGCAGTGGACACCTCCTCACCAGAGTACAAAGAAAACAGTCAACAAATGCAAGAGCTCCTGGATCGCATGAATCAGCTTCATACAAAGATTGCCCGCGGGGGAAATGACAAAGCGCGCGAGAAGCACATTGCTCGTGGCAAAATGCTGCCACGAGATCGTATCTCTGCCCTAGTCGACCCTGGCACATCTTTCCTGGAGCTATCAGCACTAGCAGGACATGGAGTCTACGACGGCGAGGATGTCCCAGCCGGTGGTATTATCACCGGTATTGGAACTGTCGAGGGAGTCAATTGCATGATCGTTGCAAATGACAGTACCGTCAAGGGCGGTACTTACTTCCCCATCACCGTGAAGAAACACCTTCGCGCACAGGCAATCGCCCAGGAGAACCGCCTCCCTTGTATCTACTTGGTGGATTCGGGTGGTGCAAATCTGCCTCACCAGGCAGATGTGTTCCCTGACCGCGATCACTTTGGTCGTATTTTCTTCAACCAAGCCCGCATGAGCTCACTTGGCATTCCACAACTTTCTGTAGTTATGGGCCCATGCACAGCGGGTGGTGCCTACGTGCCTGCAATGAGCGATGAGACCATCATCGTCGAGAATCAAGGTACCATCTTCTTGGCTGGGCCACCTCTTGTCAAGGCCGCGACGGGTGAGGAAGTCTCCGCCGAGGATCTGGGCGGTGGTCAACTACATTCAAGCATCTCTGGCGTAACAGATTATTTGGCTGTTGATGATGCTCATGCTCTTGTAATTGCTCGCCGCTCCGTTGCAAATCTCAACTATCCTCCCACTACGACACCACTGCAGCTGGAGAATGGAAAGGGAGACTCACTTGTCGTTAAAGAACCGCTTTACGATCCGAATGAGCTGAACGGTATTGTTGGTACGAATCTGCGTCGACAGATTCCCGTGCATGAGGTCATTGCGCGCATCGTCGATGGGAGCGAGTTCGCTGAATTCAAGCGAGACTATGGCTCGACGTTGGTGACAGGCTTTGCGCGCATTCATGGCCATCGTGTTGGAATTGTTGCGAATAATGGAATTTTGTTCTCTGAATCTTCGCTGAAAGGAGCTCACTTCATTGAGCTCTGTGCTCAGCGTCGGATTCCTCTTATCTTCTTACAAAACATCTCTGGGTTCATGGTTGGTGCAGACGCAGAGAAAGGCGGTATTGCGAAGAACGGTGCCAAGCTTGTAACCGCTGTTGCATGTGCAGATGTCCCCAAGTTCACAGTTGTGTTTGGGTCTAGTGCCGGTGCAGGCAATTATGGAATGTGGTAGGTCTTCACTGCAACGTGCAGGATTGCAATACAGCGTGGAATGGTTTGACTAACTTGTGTTCCAGTGGTCGTGCCTACTCTCCTCGCCTTCTCTTCATGTGGCCCAATGCTAAGATCGGTGTGATGGGTTCTGAGCAGCTTTCTGCTGTTATGGAGGCTGTTGGACGGTCTGCTGATCCAGCACTGAAGGAACGCATTGACCGTGAATCAGAAGCCACATTCTCTTCAGCGCGTCTGTGGGACGATGGTGTCATTCCACCATCGCAGACGAGGAAGATGTTGGGTCTGGGTTTGACAGCTGCGCTCAGCGGGAAGTCAGAGCCAGATGTACAAACTAAGTTTGGTGTATTCCGAATGTGAGATACTGGCAAATGAAGCAAAGACATCCCTGGGTATAAAGCGACGCTTCAAATCTGGATAGACGACAGCACGAAATGCAGAAATGGCTTGCGTGATGTTCATTCTGATCTTCGTATCTCGAGGAAATGCAGAGAGGAAAGCGGCAGTATGCAAAAGCCCAATCGGGCGACAGCAGAAACCAAAATAAAGAAAGCACTTTTATCCAATTCGTGAAAGTATTCCAAGGTTTTTGTTTTCCAGAGTCCAGATCAACCAAATCTCATGTATGCCAAACAAGGGAAATAACATATGACCTCAAAGCACAGTCCAAATAAACGAAATGATACATGATCTGTGGCAACAAAACATGATTCTATGAGAGACACATCGGCAAGAAAGAACATCAGTCATATATGACATGTCGAAAACATCGGGGACGTTAGGTAGCAGGGGTTCGTATCGCATGAAAACAAAAGTCCGAAGATCTTCAAAGAATGACACATGGCCCGCGCTTCCTCGGGCGACGATTATCTCTCTTCCGGTCGTGACGGTTGGGGCCTTCTCGTTTGCGGCTTGGGTCACTGCTGCTCCTTGACCCCTCGGAGTCTTTGCGGATGATCTGACGGCACAGGTCGATGAAGACTTCATTGACGTTTGCGCGGCGTCGCGCTGACGTCTCGTAGTATGGTGCATTGCCCCAATTTTGGGATAGACCAAATGCACGAGCGCGGGGAACGGCCCGGTCTTCCTCCAGGTCGGATTTGTTGCCCACAATCACGATTGGGACGTTTTCGTCGTCTTTGATTCGCATGATTTGTTCGCGCAGTTCAGAAAGTTCGTTTAGGGAGGACATGCTGGTGATCGAGAAGACGAGTAGGAATCCTTGGCCTTGTTTCATGTACAGCTCTCTGTGGTGTGGTTAGTTGTGACGTCTCGTATGAAGGTGGGCTCGATCGTGGGTTCAGATCTAGATTTACCTCATTGCCGCTGAGAGAATGTTAGTCTGATTGCCACTGCCAGTTTCGACAGGTTGCCTACTTACTGAATTGTTCCGTGCCTGCGGTATCAAGGCTGCGGGTGTTTAGTATCATGCCATATACCCAAAACATCGATGCACTCACATCTCCAGTATACATTGCCGCCCCTGCAAAGCTTGGTTAGCGGCGGGGAATACCCAGCAACAACTAGACCACTTACGTCTACCTCAATTTGTTTCCGATATGAATCTTCGATCGTTGGGTCGTAGCTTTCGATCCAGACATTCTGGACGAATTGGGCTGGAAATCATGAACATTTATTAGCTTTCGGAGCTTTCGTCTTGGGAATGGCTTGCTTCCAACGAACCTGTTAAGCAACTCTTTCCAACACCGCCTGTTATCGCGCATAGGAAAACCTGCGGTCAGCCCATGCCCCATGTCAACTTGTCCGAAGCAAGGCCTATGCATACCAGCTCCCAGCACAACAATGTGATATTCGCGTCTAAGAGAAAAGATTCGCCATTAGAACGAGGCATTGACCTTTACCGAAGGGTGTATCGACTCACTGAGGCCGCATTGAGAAGGTGTGTGGGTGTGTTATTTAGTTGTTCCTCGGGAGTCGAAATAGCAATCGAGGATCAGGTTCGAAGATAGGGCGATCGTCCCACACGTGGTATCTAGACGACGATCTCGAAAGGGTCTCGCAAATCCAAAGTCCACAAAGCCCGTCGAGCACACGGGTGTCTTTATACCGAGAAGTAAAGGAGGGACGCGGGATCGGTTACATCGGTCACTGGCCCGCCTGTTGTATGCACGGATATCCCGATCGCAGCGATTCGAGGGTCCACCGAGGACAGTTGGGGACTCTGAGGCTCACAAATAATGGAGTGAAGAGTCTGCGGGCCCAAACAAGCTTAGGCGTTTCTGCATGGGATTTTTGTGGAGGAGAGAGGAGAATGGTCTGATAACGGGAGTTAGCCTAAACCTTTAGGTTGCGAAACCCTCTTCACCTTCTTCCCAGTCACATCATCTGCGATGAAGCGGTGAGGTCTGCAACCAAATCTGCGGTAATCCCGTCACTTCTTCAATTTGCCAATTGCCTGCCAATTGCCTGCCAATTGCCAGCAAACAAGTCCCTGTGTACACAAGGATCACGTGCCGGTTAGTCACGTGTGTGTGCTCTGGACAGAGTGTGCCTCCGAGGCCTAGATATTTGCCTAGGTGGTTAGGCTATATGTCACTGGGCAGCAAAGGCTAGTCCGATGAACTCGAGGGCTGACATCTATCACATTGACCAATGGGTCAATAAGCATAGGTCAAGAATAATTGATGCATCAAATCTGGAGAACAGACCAGGTCCTGCAGGGGTGAGGCCCACCAAAAACAAGGTACTTCCGGTTTCATGATGGAGCATGAACCAAGAGTACGGATTGTGCTTTTGAACAGAAAATCTTCAATCCATACACTTATACGAAGTATCTTGGTTTGTGAATTTATACTAATTGCCATATTAGGCAAAGCGGTACACTTGGGGGTGTACGAGTACATCTTGAAAATGTAACAGATGTCGACATTGATCGACATATTGAGCCTATTTCAGTCAGACACACCACAGCCACTGGAAATAACTATGGTTCTAGGCCAGTTTCATACTTGAGGTATTGAACAAGGTGCTTATGCGACCTCGGTCCAGGTCTACTCTGTACGTAGTACGGGTATACCCTAGTAGACATTTAACTCATAGATACAGCTTTACCTAAAGACATTGAGTCCTCCATGCCTAGGTACTTATAGGTACGGGAAATTACCCCTCTATGGGCAGAGGATAACCACATGAACCAATGATGGCTACTCCGAAGAGAAGAGGGCGCTTCACATGGATCGCTTTACCGGATACGTCATGAAAGCACGTGACGAGGGTAGCCGCTTGTCTCAGCTTGCCAGCTCTCCAGTTGCATTCTCATATTCCCATCCCTCGTTCCATTGTCATCCAAACAGCCCTTTGTCTTGATCCCTCAAAACAAATCATCAATCAGCAAAAATGGCTTCTTTCCAGGATCGTGCCCAGCACACCATAGCTCAGCTCGACAAGGAGGTACGTTTCTGTTGTGTGTTTCGCTGGGGCCTCAGGTCTAGCCCTCACCCGGCTATGCCGTGCCCCAGCACAACAGCATCGCGATCGCAACATTTTGAGCCGATCGGGATTCTGATGACATGCATGGCTCCAAGTTTGTAAACTGAAGCTAATCTGTCTCACGTCGCAGCTTTCCAAGTACCCTGTCCTTGCCAACCTTGAGCGTCAGACCAACGTCCCCAAGGTCTATGTCATCCTTGGCCTTGTCGGAATCTACTTCTTCTTGGTCTTCTTCAACATTGCTGGAGAGTTCCTTGTCAACTTCGCCGGTTTCCTGCTTCCCGGTTACTACTCTCTCCAGGCCCTCTTCACCTCCAGCACCCAGGATGACACCCAGGTAAGATTTTGCTCTAATACCCCTCTTTTGCTCCGTGCGAAATTCGCTAACTTGCTCTCAACATAGTGGCTCACTGTACGTTCTCATGAACCCCTTACCCCTTCTATCGCAATATTTCGCAGATATGACAAGGCCGGCGCACCCGGTCTTATCATGCACACACGTGACACGTCGACAGCAACCGATACTGACGTATGACTTAGTACTGGGTTGTGTTCGCCTTCCTGACTGTTGTTGAGAGTGCTATCAGCGCTGCCTACTGGTTCCGTGAGTCGTCGCAAGCAGCAATCCACCAAGTGTACATCAACTAACCTGATCGCAGCCTTCTACTACATCTTCAAGTTTGTCCTGATCATGTGGATGGCCCTCCCCCAGACCAAGTATGTCTCAGCCTCTTTTGCCCGGAATCATATGACTAACTGATTGTGCAGCGGTGCCCAAATTGTCTTCCACTCTTTCCTGCAGCCCGTTGTTGGCCGTTTCTTCTCCAGCTCCGGCACTTCCTCCAACCTCCGCGCTCAGGCCGAGGCCGCCAGCAAGCCCCACTCCACCTAAGAGGCTTCTCTTCCGCTCTAGCATGGAATCGCATCGACAATTTCACCTCCGTGTAAACCTATATGGGTAGATTCGGGGGTTCGATCCCATTGTTCAGCAGTACGCGTGAAGTGAAGTGGTGGTTTGAAGCTTCATCGATTGGTCAAACAAGAGCATCTTAGGTTGCTCGATGAAATAGAGAGGGCCCGTGAAACGTTGAGACGGGCCCGGGGTTGAAGATTCAGAATATGACGTTGTTATCTTAGTTTTTGCAGTTTTGTCTCATACCAGTGCTTAGTTCTTTGGTCGATGTGTCAATGTTACAAACGCACTATGAAGTCATGTTTACAACTTTGCCAATATACGGTTCCTTGCGATGTAAATTGCCATCCCGCATGTTACATGACTCTATGTACAGGGCGTAACTACAGCCGTTGGCTTCGGGGTACAGCTCGGGTGTCTGCTATAAAGCTTATAACTTCGCTTAGACCATTTTCGAGAAACAGAGCCAGCTCTTTGGTTTCCCTAAGGCTGTCGAGTGTGCGGAAGCCCAGAGTAGCAACGTGCGGCGAGAACCTCGGAGCACCAGGCATCTTGCTTTGATATGCTCGATTATGATGAATGGTAGAGTATGTCTCCAATTGTTCAACTGTTCATGTTTAACGAATGCATTCCCAGTGACTCTGCCAACACAGCCGTGCAGAGTCTTGTCTACCCAATTGATTTCAACCGACGTTATACCGATCTTGTGTACTCCGCTAGAATTAGTTTATGCTCATCAATGCATTGCAGGAGGGGTAGTTGCATACAAATCTTGATTGTACAAATTGCGATGAAGTATCATTGGTTTATCGAGCCCCTGTCGCTCATCATATGCACACTCCATGCAGGGCCCGGTCCCCGATGCCTTGGGCACATGTGTTCCTGGACCAGATACAAAGGATGTCGGGTATTTCAAAAGTGTGGAGGGGTGTGGGAACGTATGATCTTTTTTTTTTTTTTTTTTTTTGTCAATTTGGTTCTCTTGAAACTATGCAGAGATACAGAAGAGTATGTTAATATTGAATAAATCGAAAACATGACGCCTAACCCCAGTGCCGGGCCTTATTCTTAACAAAACCACCCAACATTCCTCAGACAACCTCCAGAAGGCCTGGGCATGGGATAGGCCGGGTGAACATGACTCTAGGGTTCGAGCCAGTGCACCAGGTCGATATGCCCGGGTGGTAATATTTTTGTAGTATGGCAAGTTCATAAATCGTATCGGCGTGATGTGTCGGTTGTTGCCGTTTGTTCCACAATGGGAACAAAACTTATGCAATGGGTTGAACCAATTTGGGAGACATTCAAAGCTTGATGGCCCAGGTATCCCACAACCCGTCTCATCTTCTGGCTCAGTAAAGCCCGATGCGGTTCCCCCAGCCATCAGCACGGGGGTTGACAACAATGCGATAAGGGAATGGATTGGAGTCACTGGTGGTAATAGGAGGGATGTGGTCCTTATCACGATTTACCACGCTGAGGATCTTTAAGGCCGCTTTCTGTAGCATATTGCCCATAGCCTTGCGAACCTTGGCTCTCTCTATGGGGAGATTAGTCGGACGAACTCAAGATAATTCAGTGGACATACCGGACTCGGTGCGTGGTGTTGCAATCGTGACATCTAGTGTCCATGTCTCCCAACAGACCTCTTCCTCTCCTTTCCCAGTCAATCCTCCGAACCAATTTCCCGAGCGGCGCCGTTTCTTCTCATAGAACTCGACTGCGATGCGCCCTCGCACGCCACCCCCTCCCCCCATGGAGCCATCTTGGCCCCCAGCTGCGGAGGAAAGGTGCTGGCGGACGAGAGCGGATACGCGCGAGTCAATCAGTGTCTCTAAGTCTGCGTCATTAATCGCTGGAAGGGTGAAGTCCAGCACATCGAATGTGACCGGCCGGATGCAAGGGAAGTAACGGTGGAAGAAGATGAGGTTGAGGACACCTATACCTCATGTATTAGCATCCCAAGCCCGCGATCGGTCCCCGGAGGCTCACTACCTTTCAGTACATCTCGAACATGAGTGGTATCTGCGAAGATCTCCAGAAAGTACTCCGGAGGGGTTTTGCGGGGCTCCATCCCCGCGATGACGCAGCGCGCAACCAAGATGGGTTTGAGGGATGTGACTGGTTTTATTTCACGAACACCGAGACTTCAAAGTAGGATGTTGGATATTGCATGGAGGGGTTGACGTAGGGTGGAGTGATAGTGTGAGGGGGCGGCCTGTGTCGGCCCTGATCTTATCGGTTCCGCTCTTGAATGTGATGTCCGTCTCGGGTGCAGCCATGCGGATATTTAGATAAAGGCATGAAGAACTTCCAGGGAGCAGACGAGAGAAAATAATAAAGAATAATAATAAAGGGATCTTTAACTAAACGCGGGTTGTTGCGGGATGGCCTCGCCGAATCCGGGGGAAGCTCCAACAGCAGGACTCTGATACAGTGGAGAATGGTGACCTTGAATGGGGAAATGGTAAAAGACTGGAGAGAACAGGTTACAGTCGACAGGAAAGGAGAATGCGACAGAGAAAGAAAATAATCGATAGAAACAACTACGGAGTATCACTGGCCCCATACGGTGCTTTATGTGATTTCACAATGAGAGCTGTAGCCGAGGCCGCCTGAACTACGCGATCAGCGCCCGAACACTTTCCTCCACATCGAACCATCACCATATCATGATCTGAATTCCCCCATCACATCCCCAAAATACACACAATCGACATGATCGGTGCCACAAGGCGCTGGTTCCAGCGCAATCGCAAGGGTCTTGCGATCGGGGCCGGCGTAATAGGAGCTGGTTATATGGCCGGCCAGTATCTAATATCCAAGATCTCCGAGGCCAGGGAACGCATGAGCAGTGATCGGATTGCCCGCGAAAAGTCAGTGTTAGCCCCCTTTCTGGATGGACCTTTGATTCTTCGCGCCAGAGCACGCGAGCTTGTGGCGGAGAGATCATTCCAGTCGGACTCGAACTTCCCGAATTGGAATCATTGACCAGGATGACAGTCTACGCCGGAGATTCGAGCAAAACCAGACCGATTGCACATACACCGTTCTTGCCCTATTGCCGACCGCCACCGAGAATATAATCGAGGCCCTTCCGGTTGAAGACTTGACGAAGGAGCTTCAACAGAAGCGAGCGGAGAGATTGGCCCGGTTGAATACTGGCGAGGCCACCGGCTCGGATTTCAGCTCGGTCTCACCCAGTCTCGCAGATGATGCCAGTTTCCAGAGTGAGGGCTTTGTGCACACGAGCCAGGTCGTGGATGCGGAAGGTCAACCTCGGCCCAAACGGAACAAGACCCAGCTGTGGAATGAAGTGAAGATTACCTGTAAGTCCTAGCTGGAGACTTCTTTGAACGTGGAATCGTGATGGGCAGAAACTAAACACTCGCAGCAATTACCCGTTCCTTTACTCTGATCTACACCCTCTCCTTGCTCACCATCTTCACCCGCATCCAACTCAACCTCCTTGGCCGCCGAAACTATCTCTCTAGCGTGATTTCTCTTGCTACACCTCCTGCAAATGCCTCAACTATCAGCCTCGAAGACCATGACGATGAGCTCACGCAAACATTGGGCGACGACTTCGAGACCAACCGACGTTACCTCGCCTTCAGCTGGTGGTTGCTCCACCGTGGATGGAAAGAGCTTGTCGAAAGAGTCCAGACCGCAGTGGAGGAGGTCTTCGGCCCACTCAACCCTCGCGAGGATATTAGCTTGGCAAAGCTCTCGGAATTGACTCTAGAGATCCGCAAAAAGGTTGAAGGAAGAACGGAAGACGAACGACGATCCCAGAAATGGCTCTCTTGTCTACTGCCTCCGGCCGAAGAAGAAGAATATGTTTTGCGGGAATCAGGCGTGGAAGGTGTCGCGGACCCGTCCTCGTCACAAACGGCCCTTAAGCTGCGTCACCTCCTGGATGAGACAGCGGATTTGATCGACTCTCCTTCATTTTCCTACGTCCTGACCCTTCTCAACAACGAAGGATTCTCAACTCTGGTCGACCAACGTTGCGCCGCTGATGCTTTCAAGGCGCCCACCTCTACCCCGGAGACTGCTCCTCAGTCCTTTGATTCGATAGCTACAGTCATTCCCTTGGCCGCTAATGCTGAGCGCAAGACCAAGCTGGCTAACCTGTTGGCTGTCATGGCTCGGCAGGCGCATATCATTGGCAACGGTACTCACTCACCTAACGAGTACCTAGTCGCAATGGACCAAAATGTACGCGAGCTCGAGGCTTTCTCGGCTGTGGTCTATAGCTCGAACTTCGATCTTGAGCTCTTGGGCGCCAAGGAACAGGCGGCAACGGCCAGGGAGACGGACTTCACAGATGCCTCGCCCGCTTCACCGTCTGTTTCGCATGTCATGGTTGAGAGGGAGGTTGATGTTGAATTAAACTTGAACGACGCCGAGCCTGCCAAGCCATCAATCGTTGAACATGTCGAGTCCTCCATCATCGAGCCCATCGAATCCTCTCGCGACGAGCCAATCGAGCCATCTGTCATTGAGCATGTCGAGACTTCCATTGTCGATCCTGTCGAGTCACCTCCCGAGCCTGTCGCCTCGTCCGCCGCCGAGCCCGAGGCTCCAGCTTCCGTCGAGGTTCTGGCTGACTCGACCTTTGAGCAGGCTTGGGGGAAAGCCGTTGATGACACGAAAGACGCCCCGGTAGAGGACCACCCGGCCGAACAGACCCAGCCGCAGTGAGTCTTGCATAGTTCGCCAATTTTATAGGTGTTTCGAGTGATGCACTCTTCAATACCCTTTGCTGTTTTAAATAGTTGGTTTTCACTTTTTTTTCGGATCTGGTCTCTATCTTCATTACACATACCATGTCTTTTAGATGAGAGTCAGTTTATGCTAATGATATATGTCGAATCAAGCCCTGTACCTTGAGAGGCCCCAGAGAGAGAGAGTGATCCACATGCTCAAGTGTTAATTCATCATAAAACCTAGTACGGAGTATGTCTCTCAAGGTTGTAAATTCCTGAAGTCCCCATCAACATTGATTTCCCCGATGTTTCTCCACTTTTGCATTAGAATGAACAGTTCTGCCTACTTTTTTTGGCTTCAATTGTGTACTTAAGTATATCCATGGATGTTCCAAAGTTAAAAGTCAACTCGTTTTATAACTTGCACCTTCCCGATTCGGAACTTGAGTTCACAATGTCATACTCGAATACTCGAATCCAACCTTGGAATATTCAAACTGCGATAAATGTTCCAGTTTCAATGCACCGTGGACACAGTAGTCCACCGCACAACGGAATTCGGCAATGCAAACAACGTGCCATAATCATTTGGCGACAGCCTTGACAACCAGGTGGAGCAGGGGGCTCTGTGCTCGGAGCTAACGGCGCGGAGAGGGCAAAGTACGAGTAAAAACAAGGACATTTGCCATGCCAACCCTGGCACACTTAGGCTATTGTTCAATACCAGCGAATGGGGAATCAAAGAAGTTCATTCCAAGATACCCGCCAAGGGCGCTAGTGTCGGGTTTTACAACTCAACGCATCGAAAGTTTCTCTGATGGACTCGTACAATTGTCGATGTTCGATGTTCCCACATCACACTACTGGTTTCCGTCTTCGGGGTGTCCCTGGTTCTGAATGCCAATATGTCATCAGGAACAGGTACGTTTGCATTGTCTCTTTGTCTTCGAGTGAAACAGACTGACGTCATGACTTATACATTTTTCCAAATGCAGCTCCACTGGGCTGATGACATAATACCATAAAGTGTGGCGCAGTGGTCTTTTCTGGAATCTCCCGTATTGAAGATACGAGATCGTGGGGTTTCAATATTTATGGATTTTTCTCGTAGCGCGTCAAAGGGTGGACATTCAGGCTCTAAGCGAAGGGGTGGTAGCGTACCGCCACTGCCTTGGTTTAAGTATGCGTACTTGCATGAATCTAGGGGAATATCGCTTACTCGGCGAGTAGTGTGATTTGGGTTATTATTCCCGGGTTATCGGCAAGTCTCTGCATTTTGTTAGCTCCGAAGGTTCGTTGACCGGGATGGATACCCCGCATTGTGGTTGATGGAATCCGGTGATCAGCCCCCGATCATGGATCCCCCGGCCGGCACTACCTATGGTCAACACTGGTACCTGAATATCAGAGGAGAAGACGCAAAGAATGGTAGCACGCGCCCTGAAAAGATATCTCGACCGAGTTTCGAATCGCAGTTGGACTGATCGTCTAGACCAGCATTCAAGCACTGGTATACGCGGCGGTCTCCACCCAAATGACCATTTTGCCTATCAAGGAAGTGCACGTCGAAGTGTCGCTCGCGAACAAAGACCAGCTCCAGCCGTAGGTACGAGTAGTATGTACTCGTAGAAGGACCGGCTGGGGCTTTGGTCATACATATTTCTGACGTCTGCATTGTGGACGCCATCGAGAAGGAACATGCCAGCTGACAAGGTATTACCAGCTAGTGCATGCTCGTAAGCGATACTAATGCTATCCCCGGCGTGGTAGATACGGACGCAAGTCTCTGTTGAACATTGCTGGACGAGAAAACTTGCAACGGCACTGATGAAATTGTCATATTGACTCGGTGGCGGGATACCTGCACACTCGGTGATTTCAAGGTTTCGGGCGCTGGCTCCTTCACCATCCGCCACTGTGGTTTTCGGGATCCTCCTGGCCCGAGAAGCTTGGGGCAGGTCGACCTCGTAACGGTAATGTCTACTCGTATTTCCGTGATTATCCCGGGACTAGCGAGGTAAGACGCGGGCATTGTGGGCCAGTAGTGTCCTGAATACAGTGGCCGATCGGGTAGATGGTGGAGTTTCTCGGAGGCTGTAATACCTGCTCCTGTGTGCGATATAGTAGACATCCCGGCTGGGAAAGCTTAAGACCACGACGCGTAGTTTGGCCCCCAGATATTCTCATGCACCGTAATCATTAGCAAAGCAAGGACTAGACCGCATCATTTGAGAAAGTCAGGTGACCTTATCTGTAGCACGGTGTTAGTGTAGCATTCATCGTACAAAGCTTATTGCAAGATGATAAATGATGACATTTCCAAGAGGCGAGCTGGTGAGAGACACCTGAAGTGAAACATTTGAAACCTTGAAATGTAACGGTAAGTTTCACCCAGCCTCAGTGTGGCTTTGCGATGTACTCCACCCGCCAAATTGAGTGGGAAAGTACTTGGTCCGCCGTGTTCCGTATCCGTCCAATCAGCAGCCCCAACCACAGAACCGCCGGTCAAAGTCCTCTCGTTCCCCCGATCTACCCTGTCTCCCCTTAAGGACCTGCCCATACCCTCCCCTCCCTGCCAGCAATTTTTAGGAGCCGCTCATTGCTCATTCAGTCCTTTGGTTGACTTCATTCTCACCCCAGAGCCAACACGCTTCGAGCCCGTGTGCCGATTGAGTTCTAAGAACAGACTTTCGTGGACGGACTACCCTCTGACCCTATTTCCTCGCCTCAAAGTACCCCGAGAAGGATCGGCCAATTGCACCACGTCCACCCGTTGGCGCCGCTACATATTCCAACTGCAAAACTCAGCCTCCCGCTTAAGTATCCTTAAAGCGGATTGTGCGGCTGCATACTGCAAGTGGGCGCTGAAACCGCATTGTCTCCCTACCCGTCAGCCGCGCGCATCGAACCAAGTCATCTTCTCTGGATCTCACCTTCCAATCTCCGCCTCAACACTCCTCCACCGGCTGGATCGCTGAAACAGCTGTTGCGCGTGGTGGGAATTTCAGGCGGATACCCTAATCTCCGCCCAACATGACCGAGTTTCGAATGCCCCTCCACCAGGGACCTCCTGCCCGAAAGCCCCTCGGTGGCCCCCAGCACGGATACGGATATCAGCATTACGATGCTCCCCGAGGTCAACTGGCCCCCCACTTAGCAAGCCCTCAAACTACACACAGCCGGACTCGTACCACATCCTCCAGCGTGTTCCCCTCCCAAGCTTCTCAGCAGTACTACGGCGCTCCCCCGCCGCCCCCAATCCCGCAAACAATGCCTCTCCCTCACCATCCCTCATCTCGACGCATGTCGAGCACTACAACTTCAACCTCTTCTACTGGCAACCACCCAATGGCACAAGCGGGGCATGGGGTGTCTGACATCCGACGGACCGCTTCGTCTCGCTCTGCCAACTCCCAACTTGGATATGTGGCTCTGATGCGCCGGCAAAAGGCCACCGTTTGGTGTGACCGTTCTCAGCCAGAGGACGCGAGAATGCGCGAGCAAGCCATGCGGGCTAAAAAGCGAGCCTATTTGGAAGTTCATGGATCAGGTGCCCGGGCCGGAACCCTCAATAGCGGCAAGATTCGACACGGCCCTAAAGGCGCAGCCGAGTTCTCGCCTTCAAACCTTGTCGGGGCTAAGGTCCCGGTCCGGTTGAGCGCGAACGAGGTTGGCGACGGTGATGATGACGCTATCAGCACGGACGGTGGCGCAGTTCACCGACGGACCGGTAGTGGTCGTAGCTCCCTGGGGAGCGCTCACCGTTACCCCAGTGGATACAACAGGCCACAGGGCACCATGGGAAGCAACAGCACTCCACCGAACGAGAAGACAGATCTGCCAGAAGTGTCTGAAAATACAACGGCAGAAATTCAGGAAGAAGAGAAGAGCCGACTGTCATCCCTCATCAAGGACGATGCTGCAACAACACACAGTAGTGAGCAAGAGCAGGAAGATGCGGTTGGTGACATGCAGGCACCAAGTGCCGCTACTGCAGCCGCTGAAAAGGCCAAGAAGGCCGCCGATCTACGACGAAGAGGAAGTGTGGACGAACGAACGACGTCCATGACCAATGTTCGGCTGTTTGTTGCAAACCCGGACTCCGACAGCGATTAATTACAATACCTCCTCGTCCCTTGTTTTCTTCGGTCTTCTTTTCTCTCTCTCCACGTACCGCTTTATTCCCTCATGATATCTACATGATTTACCTTCCCGACTCATCCATTGCACATAATACCTGTCTCGTTGCAACTTAACGAGGGTCACACTTGCGAAACCTTGATGGTCTTAGCCTGTGTGTCTCATCATCTTGTCTATAAATTTCCACCTTTTTGGACTGTCTTACTTCTTTTTTTCTCAGCGCCACATCCTTTTCCCGGGGTTACTTCGCTGTTTACTTTCGGCGGAAATGTGATTTTCTTAGATCGGCTTCTTGGATTGTCTTGATGCTTTTGCGGCTGCATGGAACTACGCTGGCGAATATTTGTCTTCTCCTCACCTAGCATAGCTTCTCTTTATCTAGAGATGGTAATAATCACCCGAAGACCTTCTTAGCATCATTTGCAGTCTACCACGTAGTGTTTCTTGTTGCTATACCCGGTAGTTACGACATCATAGATTCCAATAATTATTGCCATTACACCTAGACGCAGTCCCTTCAGAGCTATTAAACTCGAGCGATTATTGAAGAAGAAGAAAAAAAGTCACCGAGGACCATAACAGCAATATTTGTAGTCTATGAGAGCCCATAGATGACGTTGGAGTGCATTTGGGCACTTGGGCGGGCTTGACTAAGCCACACGTGCCTTATCGCGAGCGCGACACAATTAACGCGTCTCCCTTTGAGATCAACTCCCGTTGTGGAACGGACGATTACTGCCTCATTTCAGCGGAGATCTCAAATTACCTATTGATTACCAATTGAGCACATCAGCTCAACTTTGACTGATTTCTGCTGGTCTGGGTCCTTCTTTCCCCGGCTGTTACATGCACTGAAGTCGCGACTTGTCACACCACAACCTGTCCCTCTTTTCCCCTTACAAGTCGACTTATCCCCAAACTCGGGCTTCTCGAGTTCTGCCTCGAGAAATTTTGTTTCGGATGGAGTCTCATACAAGACTATCGCCGATGCCACCTGTCCCGTCATTTCAGACATCGCCGTCTGGGGCCCGCAAGCGCTCGATCCACGAGGTTGATGGTGATAATGGACCATCACCAAATTTCAAGTCCCCGGTGACGGAAACTACCGGGGAAAACCAAGAGAACCGTGATCCTTCACTCCCTCCGCCGGCTGACCATGCGGTGTCTACATCTCACTCTTCAAAACCTACGATGGCTCCCCGTCAATCTGTTGAAGTTGTGGTGAGAAGCTCCTCGAGACAAAGGGAGAATGCTGAGTGTCGCGATTTGGAACTAACATCTCCATCAAATAAGGCTTCTAATCCTGAACCTGACACCCCGGCTTCGAAAAAGCGCAAAGTGGCATCGGCTAGCAAGGATGCTAAGCAACAAGAAAAGGAGGCGAAGGAGCGTCAAAGGGCAGATGAGAAAATTAAAAAGGAAGAAGAGAAAGCAAAGAGGGAAGAAGAGAAATTGAAGAAGGAAGAAGAGAAGGCCAAGCGAGAGGAAGAAAAGCGCTTGAAGGCAGAAGAAAAGGCAGAGGAAAAGAGGAAGCGCGAGATCGAACGTGACGAAGAGAAGCGGAAGAAGGAAGCCCAGCGAGACGAGAAGAAGAAAGCCAAGGAAGACGAGAAGGCAGCTAAAGATGAGGAGAAGCGCAAGAAAGATGAGGAGAAGCGCAAGAAAGACGAGGAAAAGGAGAAAAAGATTCGAGTGAGTTAACCCCCGATATGCCAGATCATGAGTACGTAGTATACTAACAGCTCCAGTCGCAACCCAAACTCAACTCTTTCTTCGTCAAACCGAGCTTGCCTTCCGCTTCTGCCGCACAAACGACCAATGTACCTTCCTCTCCTAGGAAGTCATCTACGGCGGAGGACCCCAAGACTTCCCCCCGTTGCTTGAAGTCGGACTACGAGCGAGAGTTCCCCCCATTTTTCCTCAAGTCCCATACTGTTGTGGCACCTCCTCATCGTTTCGAACGCGACGATCAAGCACTCCATCACGTTCGACAAGCTGTCGACTTATCAATGAACAAAGATCCCGCGGATGAGGTTCTCCCATTCCGGCCGTCAGAGCTCTTTCAATTCATTCCTTTCCACCGCTCGCAGGGTGATTCTACACACTCCGTCAAGGATCTCGTCGCGCAACTCCAAAAGTCTGCGGACTCCGTGCAGCCTGGTCAACACCCGGTAACCAACCCATCTTCGCGGCCCCAAGAACTGTTGCGCAAAGTAAAAATGAAGTCGTTGAAGTTCGGTGAAGATATCCGCCCTCCTTACCAGGGAACATTTACCCGACCTGTGTCCGCGTCGTCTGCGAGGAAACTTTCGCGGAACCCCTACCATCGCGGATTGCCGGAAACCAATTATGATTATGACTCCGAAGCGGAATGGGAGGAGCCTGAAGAGGGTGAGGAGCTGGACTCGGAAGAAGAGGATGAGGGCAGTGACGATGGCGAGGATGACCTGGAAGGCTTCCTAGATGATGAGGATGACGCTCTTGCGGGGGGTAAACGCCGTCCTATCGTTGGTGACCTCGAGCCCGTTACGACCGGCATCCAGTGGGCTGCCGATGGAGTGAACCCGGAAACCAAAATTTACCAGATCCAAACCATCTCCGATGCGGTTCAGTTCCCTATTGATCCCTTTTCAACTGCATACTGGGACAAGCCCAAGCCGGCCGATCAGTCAGCGAAGGCACGGGGTGTGTCGGGCATCAGGTTCGTCCCGACTGTCCTCCCTGGCATGACCGTCACCACCGGTCTTCTGCCTCCCTCCAAAGCTAAGCGACCATTCCCGCCGGACCAACTGTCGGAGTTCAAAGAAGCGGTCGAGGGTAGCGATCTCAGCAAGATCGGGTTGGTCGAGATCTTGAAGAAACGGTTAGTCCCATCCACTTTCGTTCTACCGCATACGCTAATCTCTATCCGTGCGCAGATTCCCGAAGGTCTCGAAGGACACCCTTAAAGCGACCCTTGACCAAGTTGCTATCCGTGTTGGTCAGAAGGAAGTTGATAAGAAATGGGTGTGTCGGTGAAGAGTTTCCACTGTAGCATGTGTACGGAGTTCTCGGAGGGAAAGCATTTGTCATGCCTTTATGAATACAGATTCGACTTGATAGGATGTTCATCTTTTTGTCCAAGGGGGGTTGCCCCGGGCCAGCTGCATGCAATGAAGACATGCATAGTGTACGGAGTAGGGAATACCATTTATTATTGTTACATGTGAGAGAAGATGAAAACTTGTACTTGAGAATATTGCCACCCGATCTACAGGTCATTTCAGATTGCGCCTAGAGAGGTGTATGCTACAGTGTACTTTGTACAGTACAGAGAGTAAACGGAGAACCAAGGACGGAGATAGCGGAGTACAGAACATTTGAAAGCAAGAGTAAGATTCCTAATGACTACTGTACGAGTAGAACATAGTAAACTGTTACAGAAGAGAGGGGCGAATGAGGGGCGCATGATGGGACACCTCACTCCTGCACTGCCAGCGCATCGTCTCCGTTGTACCGAGTACCTTTTCCTTTCCCTGCGTTGTTAGTCTTTGCACCAAAGCCAGAGTCTCGGTGACTTGGTCTATTTCCCTTAGCTATTTTTACCTTGGAATTTAACTCTCTCTCTCTCTCTCTCTTCTTTTGTTTTGCTCTCTCTGGTTCTTCTCTCTCCTCTTCCTTTGGGTGCATCGTCACTCTGTGAGTTTCTCGATAGAATGCGATAAGGATCGCCTAGGGGGGGATTTGCGACTGTTGGCAAGATGGTTGACTACCACGGTCATTCTTTCGCCTTTTTGGCGTCTCTCTCCAGTGAGTTTCGTCCTGGGGTTCTCGCTGGAATCGCTACGCATCTCGGGGTCTCTCTCAGCCCCCCTGATTGCAGCCCAATCTAACTAACTAACCTACTGCAGCCGTGCAAAGACCGACATCCCCCAAGAATATTCCCTGTGACTTGTCGCATCACGCGCAAGATCCTGTATCGGTGCCTCTCCCTCCGTCACCTCCAGCCATGTCCCTGAAATCCGAAATCGCGGGACCAGGTGAGTTGGGTGGCTCGGGCCGATCCAGCCCCAAGGATGAGACCACCCCGATTGCCAATGGACACAACCCCGCGGCCGCGCCAACCATGGATGTTCCCGGGGTCACCTTGGAGGAATTCGCGACCCGCTACCATCAAACCCAGCGCAAGCAAGCCCAGAGGAAGCGACTGGAGAAGCGCCTGCGGGCCACCAAGGTCTCCATCGGCGTTTCATCCCGCATGATTCGTGTTGGGCTCACCTCACAGCGCGGTCTCGTCGAGGCCCTCAAACACGAAGACAAGCCCAACTTTGTTGCTCTCTATCAGACTCTTCATGATCTCCAGGAATCTTGTCGTTCGCCCGTCAGCGATGGCCCAGACTCCATGTCGGCTCCCACAGCCGACATGGACACTTACCCGGATTTCTTGCATCAATTAAGCCCTCAATCCCGGACGGATTTCCTGGATATTCTGCGACTGGTTCGCTCTGATCCTCAGTTCCTGGTCGGTCGCTTAAGAAGCCTTTCTTCCTCCCAATTGGCCGCTTTTACTTCTCCTGTCTCTGCTTTGGACTCCAATGATCCCGCTTTTCCTTCAACCTCCCGATCCAGGGGCCAGTCTTTCCTGAGCCGAACCCAGACCCAGTCGGCCGTTTTCACGGACCACGCTTATGCTTTCGAAAGGACTGACCCGCTATCTATACTTCTCCTTAACGTTTTTGCCGCGCCCATGGACCCAGAGACAACCGAATCCCGTTTGCGCATGGATGTATGGTCTTCTGTCTGCGCACAACTAATATCCAGTGACAGTAGTAGATACTACCCCCTCATCGGCCAGGTCTTATCTTCTTGGGCCACCGGAAGCAACTGGAAAGCCCGTTCCAAATTTGAACTCTACCTCATGGACATTTTGCAAACCGGTGCGTTTCTTTTGGAGCCTATACCCACACCACCAGGGTTGGACTATTCCACGGATGCTTTGGATCCTATGCGAACGGAAGTTGCAGAAGAGTTCTTTGCTTCTGCCGTGGATGACCTGTTCCAGGTGCTTGATGATCCGGACGGCGGATTTCCTCATGCTGTACTGCAATTTGCAAAGGCCGTTTTGCAAAAGCTGGACAGCCCTGAGAGCCGCAGTCGCTTCTTGGAATTTTTGTTTGTTCAATGGTTCTTTTCGAAGTTCCTCTACGGTGCATTAACGTATCCGGAGGTACATTATCTCCTGAGACTTGGGGTTTCCTGCAGAGCTGACTCGAATCTACCATCTCCAGACACATGGCCTCCTTCTTGACTTCCATATCAGAAAATATGCTCGAGAGAAATTGCTGAACCAGGTCGGGCACCGGGCATACTCTCAAGTTTTTGCTGTTTTACGTTCAATGTACGTTTCGACAATTGTGTTTTGTCTGGCATTGTCCATGTTGGTGCTAAAATCATGTTTTGAAGGCACAATTTCTCTATCTCACGTCCCCTCGTCAGAGAGCATGTCGAGAACATGCTTTCTCGATTCGAGACCACGAAACCCCCCGAGACACCGGTAGACTACTTTCCTTCTTTGCAGACTTCACAACCCCCACGACGAAACTCTTCCTCGACATTCCTTATGATGTCTTCTTTAGATGCTCTCACCCTCCTTGACGCTCTTTTCCAACAGACTCATACCTCATTCCAATCCTCACCAGCATCTACAGGAGCTCACACTTGGGCAACTAGTCCATCATCTATCAACTTACGTCCTGACTTCAATATGGAATCTGGATTCGCTCGCTTCAAGCACGACACTAACTCAAGGCCCACGTCAATGAATGGTTCTATATTCTCGGTTGAAGTACCGTCACCGACAACCTTGGAGAGTTTGTCCGAAAAGGCTGCTCGTATTCGTTTTGAGTTGACCGACTTGGATCACCCTAACGAGCGTTTGACTTTAGAGCACCCTTCGGATGAACACTGGACGATCTTCTCAGTTGCAGCCGATGGCCATGGTTTGACTTGGAGCCTCCTTCCGCAGAGCAAATTCGATGCTTCCAAGAACTCCATACTGGATAGCGATGAAGACGTACTTTCCACTACTTTGGGACTGGAGGACAACCATGAGGCGCTACAAACGGCCATCGTTAGACTTGTCAAGGAAAGCCGGGTCCAAAGCTCAGGGGAATACGATGCCTACCTTCCATCTAACCTCCAGCGAGGGACCGCCATGTCCCTGAAGCAGCGATTCAATGAAGCCATGTTTTGTTGCCATCACGACTCTGATTTCGTCGGTGCACACTACTGGTGGAATGCTTCCCGGCAGCTTGGTCAAGGCGTAGCGCCAAGCTCGTCGAAGGCTGCTGACGACTCGTGGATTCTGGGACCGATGCATGATTCTTACAGTCGCTCGTTGAGTCAATCTCGAGTCGTAATTGAGCGATGTGAAAGCGACTTGGTATCTCTTGACCACACCCTGCGCCGACTCCAAACTCAGGTGAAAGAACTCACCGACACATTCTCCAAAATCCGGAACAAGATGTGGTATATGACCGACGTCAAAAATTCCGTGAAATATGAAGAAGCTAAGCATGTCGCTATGGCTCTGAAAACGATGGTTTACTCGGCCCGATTGTTCAGCAAATATCCAGAGGAACCGCGATCTCGCTATGGACCAAGATCCCTGGGTGGCTCTCTGTTCCAGAAACCCGAAGTGCAAATCATGAACATGATGAAAGCACCTAGTAGCCAGGGTGGACCTAACAAGCTTTCAGATGAGCAAGTCGAGTTGACACGGAAGTGGTTGTCCCACAACGGGATCGAGAACTTCTGCAAGGGCGAAGAGCGGATCCATCGATTCTGCTATGAAGTGCGCATGAGCATCAATAAACTCGTGGGTGAAACGATGACCGATGCCCCCGTGCTGTGGTCAAGCGAGCTTTTCCAAAGGGAACGCTCAAGGTTTGAAGGCTACGGCTCTCGCCCTTTCCCAGGCTTGTCCATGCCCAGCACTCCTCGGCCGTCAACGACGACCAGCGAGGATACAAACCATACTTCTCACTTTTATGGATCCAAATTCCCAATGCCGGATCCGATGTCTCGCCTCGCTCAGGAAACACCTACTTTGAACCACAAACCCTCCATCCAGAGCATAATTTCTGACAAATGGCGACCCCAACGAGACCTGCCTTCAATTGATATGACATCGATCGGCGGCTCTCCTGGTCGTGCTGCTTCAACTTCTACCGGTGACACCTGCAGCACATTCTGGTCTGCACCACAGCGGCATCATATGTATGCTGCAAGTGTCTCCAGCGTGTATTCTCGACCACCATCCATGTTCAGTGAGACTGCAACCCGTCAGCCCCGTCATGTAGAGCGCAAAAAGCACGGGAAGACAGCTTTCATGGATGACTTGAGACAGACGTTGACTAGTCTGCTCCTTAGCGATCTGGGCTCCCCGGTGTGGAGCTGCGGCAGTGAGACTGATGCTTGGTTCACCAATGCTCTGGGTCAGAAACGAATCCAGGTGGAAATGCGCAGGCGAGCTGCGGCTCAGAGGTTCTACGCCGACTATGAGCAACGCTCTCAAAATCGGAGTCAGCAGCGTGGCACGCTACTAGGTCGCCGGAGCAGGTCTCTGGATAGTCTGCGGGAGTCTAACAAATCTGCTGATGCAGATTCCTCGTCGGAGCTACCGATATTACCTTCAGAGTCGGAGGGGCAGTCGGCCTTCTCATATAAGGTAGTCTTCCATCGATTAATCGAGGTGTTTTCGCGACATGGAAACCCTTTCGTGAAACTCAACGCCCTGCGAGACCTCAGGTCATTAGTCATTGCATCGCTTACCTCGTCGCAAGATACAAGTTGCACCTCCACTCGCGGCTCTCCTTCTAGCGACCCCGATTTGATGCGAAATGGGTCTCAACTTAACCGTGTTGCCCGCCACAGTTTCTCTGAACTGCGACCCTCCAACCTCCCTCGAATGGATACCATACCTTCTTCTATACCGGATTCGGTCACATGTGGCTCTCGACACTCCGATTACTCCACGCCATCTGAGTCTCAAATCGTGGCTGCCCTGCGTGATCTGATATTAGAAGTCAAGCCAAAGACTCTCTTCAGGGATCTTCAATTTATCTCTGCCTTCGTGCCAGTAGATCAACTCAACAAGATTGATCGAGGAACAGCATTCCTCCAATTTGGCCTGGCCGCACTTAGCCTCAAGGAAGAGATCTGCCACAGCATGGTTGAGATCGCCGACCGAATCGTCTCTCAGGAGCTTTCACGACGTCATCCCCCCTTCGCTTCAGACTTCCATTCCCACCCCGGTCGCGCCATCCAAGACGCGGCGGGTATGTGGATTATCACCGCCAAAGAGGGCAACCCAGTCGCACAGCGAGAACTCGCCATTCTCTACCTGACTCACCCTGAACTTCTTCCTCGCGTGACTCTCCCTCTGACACTTCCGCGGGATACATTTAAGGCGGAGATGATGTACCGACAAGACAAGGACTCCAAATCAGATCCGCAGAGTATGTGTTTGGCACTGCACTGGATGCAGCTGTCTGCCAGTGGGGGTGACACTCTTGCTCGCAATCGACTTCGTGAGCGTGAAGAGTTTGACTCTATTGCATGAAGCCGTTTGCCATCCTTTTTTTGTTGTCATTACTTTTTCTTTTCTTTTTTCTTTTTTTCTTCTCTTCGATTTTCTTTCGCTGGCTCGAGACTTTTTGATCTATATCTTTTGTGTTTTCCTATGCTGCTTTTGCATACACATCTATATACCCCGTTTGGGCAATCTAGTGGGTGTTTTGAAGTCATATTTGCAGACTTTGGACACTGCTATATTGCCTGAGTTCTCTGGAACATGACTGGCGTTCTTGAATACTATACATTGAAAGACTGGGCGGTTTGTCTTGATCTTAGTTCTAATACCATGTGCATATCATTTCCCAGTCAGGCATTTTGCCTTGCTTCTTGGTTAACCCCAGGACACTCTAAAAAGTACCGGGCTTTTAATCCCACGTATGAGGATATGCCATATAGCTTTGACCTGCAAAGATGTCCAACAGTTCAGCGTAAAATGCCCTTACCTAATCTCGGGTAGATGATCGGGCCGACGTCATAGAAGAGACCCCACGTTCACTTGACCATATCATACTGCACATTGTTCCTTTTTGATTCATTTCTCTCTTCTCTCTCTTGTGACTACTACGCTAGCTGACCTTTATATGAGTCAGACTGGTATTCGGACTTACCCGCTTCTATCCTACCACAACCGGTGCTCAGCCTCATACGGTTTCTGCAGCTGAACAATTTGAGACTTGTGATAGAATAAAAATAACGCAGGAACCTTGTTTCCCTGTTTTCTATTTGGAAATCAGACTCCTTATTACATCCGCCGCCCATTTGGAAACTGGGCGATTCAACTTTCCCCTTCATCATCCCACTATGACGACCGCACCACACATGCCGGCCAAGGCGCACAGCTCCGAAGATGTGCACCATCGGCCCAGAGGCAAGTCCAACCCACGCTCAATGCCCAAAATATCAGTTTCCTAACACTTTGACACCACAGGTATTCTCAAGAACTCCAACTCTTTCCAAGGCGCTTCCGCTCCGATGGCAGCTACCTCCCCACCATCCGTCCCAACTATCTCCGAGCCCGAAGAGACCAAGGAAATCACTCTTCAAAACACCCTGCAAAACGCAGGCCGTCGGAGATCTTCTTCCACCACCCGACCAGGCTCCAACTCCCGCCGCCAGTCGACCGTCAGCGCCCACGACGAGAACGAACCCCGCCTAAAGTGGGACGAGGCCAACCTCTACCTCACCGAGCAAGAAAAGACAGCCAAGATGAAGATCGACGAACCGAAAACTCCCTATGCTCCCCACTACGATCCAAGTGAAGATGACGAACAAATCCGCATGGACGAAGCCCAAGAAAGCCTAATCGACGCACAGGATATCGTCGTCGATGAGCTCGATTCTGCCAAACCCACCCACCGCAAAGGCTACTCTGAGGACGAAATTCCCGATCTGGAGCTCGGTGAGCCTGAAGATAACATGCAGGGCATCTCATCTGATTCCCGTGTCTTCCGTGATCGCAGTATGAGCACGGACTCTCATAAGAGCGAGAAGCACGTCCATGTTGGCGTTGACGGCACAAATGGTGCCGATGCACCCGCTGACGATCCACTCTTGACGACTGAAGAGGCTCGCGCAAAGCACGCGCATTTCGAGCAGCAGCGTAAGAGGCATTACGAGATGAGGAATATCAAGGAGCTACTTGCGTGAGTTTCATCTACATCTCTATCTCGATGATGAGTTATGTGATCGATTACTAACGATTCATTTAGACACCCTGAGGATCTGGATGAGGAGATGGAAGATGACGATGGATCTGAGCAAGCTCCCCCTCCCATGCCTGCTATGCCTCAGCGTTTCCACCAAAGTGAGCAATAGAAGAGCTTGATCGCCTTTTTGCATGCTTTTGTATCTTGATTTTACTATTTTATGTGGCGACATAATGTTTCCACCTGTTTCCATGTCATTTTGTGCTTTTATGTTTCTTCTGTGTATATTCCCCCAGCGAAAGCTGCCTCCAAGAGGCTTCTCAATTTCAGTCTCTGTCTTCATGATCTTCAAATGTAAACTTTGGAACATCCTGGAATTCGACCAGGTATATATATGATTTGTAGTACGAGTAAGTGGTAGTTTTCCAGCTCAGTATGCGATTTTTGCGATCTGGTCGGCAGTCTTTGGGCTGGGCCATTTCGCTTTTCATCTTCTCATAAGCTCCAAGGGCTTCCTGTTAATGTTGTTCATTGTGGTCTAATGTCATACTTGAGTTGTTTTGATTTCGCCGATTTGGCAGAGGCAAGGTAACGCATCTTGCAGTGCTGCGAGGGTCGATTCAGGCATAGGGCTGGGTTGCAGATTGCCTATGTAGGCTCGGGCCCAGGATGTTCATAAGCAGTGTGGACTGGGTCACTTTCTTTTATTGCCTTAAGTCCACATGTGTACCTGTTGTGGCTACGGTGATGGGACAAGTGACAGGGGTCCTAAACCGACATGATTATGGGGCTCTGTGTGCTGAGGTAGTACTTAAGTAGATTGCTATTCCGTACATGGCTACGAGTCTCTGGGTAAATTATTGGGACGTTAAAATTTGCGTCATTTACGGAGTACTGCACATGTGTACTAAGTAGGTACTCCTGAATTCCGTATAGAATAACCCCTAGCCTATCTCACTACATGCGATCAAAGCTTCCGAGACGCCTCGAGGCCTGGGAACTATAGTGTACTTCAGACATGCCTCGAACTTGATTGATGCGGAGCTAATTCCGTCACCTCAGGGTCATTGCACTTTCCTTGATTTACGATGCGTGTTCTGATGAGACCTGTCTCCGTCACCCGTAACGCAATATTTGACAATGGGCCGGGAACTGAAATCCCAGCTCACCATTTTACCACCAAAATAGTCTATTGGACATTCTCATGCAGCACGGTCCCCATACAGCTCAGCCACATGTTCGTAAATGTGTCCAGACGGACGTGACGGGACTTTTGAGCCTGCATTGCAGGGCCAAGTGATCACATTGGTCAATGGGAATATCCTGGGCCAACAACGCACATATGCCAACGCAGGGCCCACCAATTAGTGCCAGTTGCGTGTGTTTTTTCCGGTTCCCATGCCTTTCAGGTAGATTTTAATTGAGTTCATATGCATGCTGATCGTGTTCGCGGAATATTTGCCTTGAAATTTGTATTGTATTTCAGAGGTATTCGGTAAGGCCTCAGCGATCATGATATGGAGCTCACATCAGAACGACATTCGTCGTTCTTGTGGTGCGGTGAACTGAGGTTGAGTCCAGAGTTGATGCTAGCTAATAAAGAGATTGCGGCTAGAGATAGTTAGTATGGGTCAGAGTAATCTTGAAAGACCGAGGAGTTTCAAGCTCGTCGACAGGTAAGCTTACCAAGAACGCATTGCAGCTCGAAATACCCCAACTTTTCCACCATGAGACCGGTCAATATTGGCCCAACCAGTAGTCCAGACATCCAGCTCATATTTGTGATAGCAACGGCACGTGAATACCCTCCATAGGGGCCAAATATCCCGGGGTTTTGGGCTTCCAGCTCATCGACGGTTTCTAAAACGAAGAAATTAGTATCAAATCTGTAGATATGGTCGTCAAAAACTCACCTGTAGCCTCCATCATCCCAGCCCCGTTGAGCAAACATACAAGACACCCAATCGTGGTAGTACAAGTGACATAGATAATCTCTCCCCTGCTGCCTGTTGTAGCCCAAGGAAATCGCACATCACCCGCCACCCCAAGCAGCCACAGGAAAGGCGCAATTGTGATAAACCCAATTGTCGTCGGGACGCAAGACCCAACCCGATCTTTCAGCCAACCTACTAAAGGTGACAAAACCATACCCGGTCCCTGGATGGATGCAAACAGAAGTCCAACTGGGAACACTCCCCAGCCAAAAGTATGTCGGACATGTGTCGCAAGCGTGGACTCAAAACTCGCGATAAAGAGAGCGAAAACAAAGTAGCAGACGGTTCCAGCTGTAAATCGAGGTTGGCGGAAGAGGTATATATAGAATCGCCAGTCTCCAATTTCTTCGACGGAATGCTGCGACCCATTCAAAAGCGGCTCTTGCTCCGAGCAAACTCGTTCTTCTGCACAAAGCGATTCAGTATTTGTCGTCTCAGCTCGTTGACGATTCGGCTTCTCGATCATCAATAGGCGCATGATGATATCCACAATGAGGAAAAGAGTGGCGCCAGCCCATGCTGTCCAATAGCCACCAAGACCAAATAAGAACCCGGCAATCACAGGGCCGGAACATGTCCCAGCTGAAGTCAGAGTCGAGCTGAGTCCGGCTATTTTGCCCATGTGTTCAGATCCAATGTTTTCCGCCATGGCCGCAATGCCCACAATATATAGTGCGTTACTCACGATACATTGAAAGAATCGGCCGATGAACAGCCATGTCACTGCTTTAATTAGCACTTTTTTTCTCGCACAAGGGACTTGGATTATGCCAAGACGTACGAGATGCTGTGATTGACAGACATAGCACGCTGACTAGTGTCAATATGAGCAATACCAGCAGTAGTGCCTTCTTGGAGCTGGCTCGGTCGGCTATATTTCCGACCAAGGGACTTGAGATAATTGATATCAGAGCTCCCTCGACGAGAAATATAGAGGTATATCGTTGGGTAAGTGTGGTGTCTAGTCCGAGACGGGTTTCGAATATGTGAGGAAGCAGTGGAACCATGAAGGCGAAGAGCATCTCATCTAAATTTTTGACATTTGTTAGAGTCTATCGTCAATGTAAATAACATCACAAACCCGTAAACAATGCCATAGACATGCTGCTGAGAATGAACGTGTCGGATGAACGCCACCCATATCCCCACTTCGAGCCCGGGGCTCTCTTCGCAGCTTGAGGCGAGCAGAACATTTCAGAAGTTGATCACCCAAAGATCAAGTGCCCTAGGCTGGTTCATACGATCCTGTGAGGATTTTCAAGGAGAGAGAGAGGGTGAATTCACAGGTGGGACTGAGTATTTGGCCCGTGGGAAAAGGAGCTGCCCAAGTGAGCCAGGTTCCCAAGGTTGCAGGGTTAGCCTCAGCTGGAATCTCGGAATCTGCCCAGGTGTATGCTTGCTTTTTTGTGCCTGTCACTGCAAACACCCTTCGGTGTGCATGCATACTCGGCCCACCCCGTAGCTGCGAGCGCGAAATACGAGAAAGCAAGAAAACGGTGCAGTTCTACTCCGTACAAGCGAGATCATTATTCCGCGGGACTGTACAGATATGCATAACAGTGGTGTAAAATAAGACTCAACCTAGGCCAGCTCAAGGACACCATTCATGTTCACATGGCCTCGAGGTGTTACACCCCGTTGTAATAAGGGAGAGTTTCCCGCATATATTGATTTATATTGATTTGATTTATCTGTAGTTTCTATTCAGACCGGGCTGCTTCCAGGTGCTTAAACCCCATCGATCCTATCGCATAGGCTCCGAGGGCTGTCTTCCCCGGTGGTGAGGTCCTCAGCCCATGCACGTATGTGCCGATCAGCAAACACATTATCACAATTTTGCACTGCAATGTCGAAGTCTCTTTGACGCTGGCTCATTTTGAACAAATCCACCCAATCAGGTTCAAGAATTTTCATCCTTTCAAGAAACACATCACGAAGCAGAGTAACCTCATGGTCCAAAAGGTGCTCCCAGTAGATCTCGGAGGGTTCTCCATCTTCTTAGGGCTTGTAGTTTCCTAGTTCGGGTCTTACATGCCGTGTTTTCTCTTGCAGAAATTCAGGGTAATCGCATTCTTTCCACACAGGAAGTGCCGCAACACATTCCCAGTGCAAAACAGCAGTGAACTCTCCACTTTCATTGACGAGGATGTTCTGACTAGAAAGGTCATCATGAACCATGATCGATGGCTCGGGTCGGTCTCCGGTTGGCGGGAAAACAGACGGGAGCAGGTTTTGGAGTTTGCGAACAATTTCTAGTGTTCTGGTGGCATCGTCTGCTTTGTTTGCGTTACGTCTTTCAAGTTCCCCAGATGGGTGATTGTCTAGTGTCGACACTCAGTATTTCTCAAGAGAAAAGATGCGATGCAATCTAGTCTTTATACTTGCTTTCACAGAAAATGATACCGAATGCCGAATCTCTCCCAAAGGCTTCCCAGGCATTTTAGTCATGAGGATCCATTCAAATCCGATGTTGTTTTCGTGGGCTGAATGATTACCGGTATCCTCGTATTGCGGGAGATTCAGTGCACTGTGCACACTTCACTCATGGTTTTATCATACGGATGAACGAGCAATGAGACCCGCATGACTATAGATTTAGGGCTGAACGGGGTGCTATCACAATTTAGACAAAAACAACGGGATATCCGCCCAGTGCCTCGATCTCGCATTGGCGCCAATGTACTTGGTTTTTACTCCAACTTTAGAAGGCTTCAATATTGAATTAGGGCCATGATTGATGAAACCATAGCAAACTGATGTCGATGTAGGGTCTCCCTGCTTGCTGGTGGTTCGGACAATTATCATTAACCTTGTGCGCTAGCTCAAGACAAATGGATACCACTTAGCTTTGCTTCACCCTTGTGACCCTGGTTGGCGCGGGATGTTTAAGTTTCAGATGCCCACCTAAGAGGCTGCGTGAATCGTTCGGTCAAGCCCTCACAGCCTGGAGATGTTAATTGGTATACTCAAGCGTTTCGCCATGCTCTTCAGGGGTCATAATTTGGCTTCTGACTTTAGAGCAGGCGATAGTCCATGGCAGTGAAATTTGCATCCATAGATGTGAGCACTACTTAAGTACATTTTGCATGCTACGTACATCTATAGATCAGCCATAAGTTTGAACGGTCACATAATGTCTTCACTCCCAGCCGCAATAGACCGCGAAGGGCTCACTCGATGTGGAGGTACAATCTATCATCACTCAACATTTTTAAAGAACACTCCTTACTTGTGGATAGGGTAACTGCCCTATATTAACACTATGCACCTGCCTTCAGATAAGCATGTCTTCCAGGAATGCGAAGTCGGGCCCCTTTCCACTTGCGATAATTTTCTTTTTTCTTTTAAGATCGATATTTGTATTTCTAAAGTTGTTGTCGCAATACTAAGATACATTGACCATGGACCATATAATCATACATATAGTCCCGTCTGTACATATATGCCTGCACAATGCAGACTCGGTTTGTTTACTCCAGGAATAAATGCGAAACCTATGGTGTGGGGGTTACAATCAATGGCCACCTTGTTAAGATTGCGATAATTTTAAGAATTTAAGAAATCTACTCCGTACTTAAGTAGTAATTTTAGAAAGGACCCTCATTTCCATAACCGAAAGTCTAGATCCGAAAGATGTGAGGTGTCGATCATGAAACAATAAACTAGCCTGACAGGTGGGTGGGTCGTTGATTATTGACAAGGCAACTAACCTGTGGGTTTAAAACCCCCTTTCCCCTTTACCTTTTCGACACAACTTTGCCCAAACATGTCAGACCCCATTGAACAACCCGTTGAGAAGCGTGAGGAATCGAAGCCTGCGGAAACTCCCGTTCCCGACAGCTCGGACCCGACGCCCCAGGAACAGTCCAGCGCACCGAAGGAGGAGCCCAAGACTGATGTCGCAACCCCTGCAGCTCCTGTTCAGGAGACCGAAGCAGCGAAGACCGAGGAGCCAAAGGTCGAGAAACCCGCGTACTTGACCAAGACCCCCGCCCTGGGCGATCTGTTCGACCGCCTTCCCTCCATTCTCACCACCGTTGGACATGATGAGATGTGGGGCGTCCAGCTCAAGGACTACAACGATGTCCCCACCGTCAATGTGCTGATCAAATTCCTGCGCGCAAACGAAGGCAATCTCAAGGCTGCCGAAGACCAGCTCACCAAAGCCCTTAAGTGGCGCAAGGAAGTGAACCCTCAGGCATTGGCCGAGTCGGGCAAGTACAGCGCAGCCAAATTTGGAGGCTTGGGATACTTGACAACATACGAGGAGAACGGCCGACCCCTGGTGTTTACTTGGAATATCTACGGCGCCGTGAAGGATGCCAATGCGACATTCGCGAACGCAGACGAGTAAGTAGCGAAGCAAAACCGCCGTCGCAAAAAGACCACGACCGAAACTAACCGCGCAATCTACAGATTCTTGCAATGGCGCGCCGCTCTCATGGAGCTTGCTGTGCAAGACTTGAAGATGAAGGATGCGACCGCGGTCATCGACTACGATGGCGAGGATCCCTACCAGATGTACCAGGTGCATGACTATCTCAACGTCAAGTTCTTGCGCATGGACCCTGCCGTCCGCACCGCTACGAAGAAGGTGATTGATGTGTTTGCCACATCATACCCCGAGCTTCTGCGCGAGAAGTACTTTGTCAATGTCCCTGCCATCATGGGATGGATGTTCAGTGCCATGAAACTCTTCTTGAGCCGTAATACCACTCGCAAGTTCCACCCAATCAGCAACGGTGCCAACCTGGCACGCGAGTTCCCGGCATCGCTCATCGAGCAGCTCCCCAAGGTTTATGGTGGCAAGGGCCCGGAATTGAAGGAGAATGCCAGAATTGTCCCATTGACCGAGGAGCCGGTTGCCACAAAGGAAGAGGCCCCTAAGGAGTCCGCCCCGGCAGAGGCCCCCAAGGACGCGGCCAAGGAGGAAGCTCCCCAAGAAGCTGCAAATGAAGGCGCCGCCAAGGAAGCCCAGGAGGAAACTCCCAAGGTGGAAACTCCCAAGGTGGAAACTCCCAAGGTGGAAGCCCCCAAGGTGGAAGCTGCCAAGGAAGAGTCTGCGAAGGATGGAGCCCAGTAAAGCTGCTTTTGGCTGGTGCTGTTTCTCATGATACCCGGAGGAGCAGTCAAGCACACTCCCCGCTCTTGTTTACCTGGTTTCTTTGGTCATTGGAGACACTGTTTAATCATTATTATATTCTTAACCATTCATAATTCATTGTTCATGTTATCATCATCATTTGTGCAACCTGCGTTCCCTTGAGATCCTCGCGCGGACATCGCCAACATCCCTGATTCGAATACTCGATTTCAGGCCTATGTCCGCGGCTCTGCGGTGAATGATTTCAAGAATTTCTTGGGGCGGCAGCTTCAACTGTGACTCAATGATCGGGAGCGCCTGGTCCATCTCCATCTTGCGTGCCAAAGCTAGAGTCGAAGTATCACTACGCGCATGGTTATGCGTAGCGTTGGAAACCCGGAGACTCCACCCAGGGGACTGGCGCCGAAGTGAGCATTTGAACCTGCATCCGCAACTTTTAACCAGACGTTGTCGCCTGGTCTCTCGTGTCTTACTGCCCATGTTGTAGCCACGATGGCAGATCATGTAGATACAATTATCATTTGAGCTCGAGTTGGCTATTTCAAATCCCTCTTTGAGTGCCCACGTTTTAATGTATTGTTTGCCTTTCTCGGCTGATGGGAAGGATAATTGCGGAGGTATGGTCTGATATAAGGTATTGTAGATATGGGGACTTGGTTCGGTACCATGTTCTTGACCCCGTTGGACAGGTGCTGGTTTAGGCTCATGATTTGGAGTCCGTACTGGTGAAAGCCGGATAGGAAAGGTCATCTGGAGCGGTTTCCATATTTGGGAATCTTGCTGGGAGACACTCTGAACTGGCTGCCATAGTTGGGGAATAGTGGGGATGGAGATCACTTCAGGTACTGATTGGGCCGGTTGCCATAAATGTGGCAAGGGCTCCATCGATAGGGGAGCTGTCCTCAAAGATAATGAAGTTGGATTGTGTAGAATAAACTTGAATGAACATCGAATGAACATCAATTGATCGGATGCCCCTCACAATAGTATAATCAGTTCGTACGGTCGACTGCAGTACCATTCGCGCAGCTCTTATCGACAAGCTTTCTCCCTGGCCATTGAACCCGACCACTTCAAGCTCATCTCTCACTTTCTCTTTGATTGTTTGTGAGACGAAAGGGAAACGAGTTCATTCTCTTCCCCGTGAATTCTGGAGATCCGCTGGCGGTTGCATCAGAATGCGACTCGGTTTCTAAATCTCCATCCTCGACGAGCTTCCCGACACCACCTCACCTTTGCGATATACAATCTCAATCTAGTTCCAGCTCAGGCTGTTCTTGAACGCCATGTCTGTCTGGAATCCTGATAATATCCGCGACGTCGCCGAGTCCGTCGGTATCCTCAACCTCAACCACGATGTCACTGAGAACCTAGCACGAGACGTTGAATACCGAGTTGCGCAGGTTCTTGAGGAAGCCCTGAAATCCATGCGACACGGCAAGCGCACAGTCTTAACAACTCAAGATATTGCGCTCGCATTGCGAAATCTAGACGTCGAGCCGCTCTATGGTTATGACTCCACGCGCCCGTTGAGATTCGGCGAGGCCTCTCTCGGACCCGGTCAACCATTGTTCTACGTTGAAGATGAGGAGGTTGACTTCGAGAAATTGATCAATGCGCCTCTGCCAAAGGTTCCCCGCGAGGTTTCGTTCACTGGTATGTACCTTACCTTCCAATTGAGAGGTTTTGAGCGGCTGCTAACATCTGTCATAGCCCACTGGTTAGCCGTAGAAGGCGTGCAGCCATCGATCCCCCAGAACCCCACTGCCGCCGACTCTCGCAACCTCGAACTGGTTTCTAAGGGCCCCAACGCCAACTCAACATTGGCCGCCATGAGCGGCTCAGGAGATGTCGCCGTGAAACCTCTGGTCAAGCACGTGCTTTCCCGTGAGCTTCAACTTTACTTTGAGAAAGTTTGTAGCGCCTTCCTCGACGAAACCAGTGAAGACTACCGCACCTCTGGATATTCCAGTCTTCGGGAGGATCCGGGCTTGCACCAGCTGGTGCCATACTTTGTGCAATTTATTGCCGAGAAGGTCACTCACAGTCTCAAGAATGTGTTTGTTCTCACTCAGGTGATGCACATGGCCGAGGCATTGGTCCAAAACCAGTCGCTCTATGTCGATCCTTATGTGAGTAATAGTTGATACGTCAAAGTCGAGGCTTCCAAGCTAACTGGTCCAGGTTGCATCCCTCGTTCCATCAATTCTTACCTGCCTGATTGGCCGGCAATTGGGTGGAAACTCTGATTTCGAGGAGCAGTTTGCCCTTCGCGATATGGCATCCTCTCTCCTCAGCCTTATTGCTCAAAAATACTCTCACTCCTCTCACATGCTCAAGCCTCGACTTGTGCGCAGCTGTCTTAAGTCGTTCCTTGACCCTTCCAAGCCGTTTGGTGCCCATTACGGTGCCGTCATCGGACTGCAATCAATTGGAGGCTCGGATGTGGTCCGGATTCTTGTCATCCCCAACCTGAGTGAATACTCCAAGTTGCTCAGCGATGGCTTAGATGATTCTGCTCGTCGTCCAGCTGCCGAGCGAGTTTTGAATGCACTCCTGGCTGTGCTGGCTTCGCTCCGTAATTACAAGCAAGCCGTGACTAACGGTCACAGTGTGACAGAAGATGTGCGTTCTCAGCTGATTGAAAAGGTCGGCGAACTCTTTGCAGCCAAGATCGTGGAGGCCGGTGAAGTACAGCTGGCTCATGTCATTCTGGAGTCTTGATGGGTGCCCTGCATTTTCATACTATGTTCACATACGGCGTTATTTCGGGCGTTGGCTGGGAGGGCTATGAACTTAAGATCGACTTTGATGTCTCAACTTCACTGGTTACTGTGTCAGGTCATACTTGGCTATGTAGGGTGCTTTCATTATAAAATATGATCCATTTAATATTGAAATTAAACACTATATAACTTCAATGTCCCAAAGCCCTAGCTGTATGTATACAAGCCCCACCGCCTTTGGACCCTCCGCCAGGCACCCGGGAAGTCTATTCTGCCTGGCATCACCGCTCGCGTGAAGAGTTGCCAAGTCCCGCCTCGCCTGGTTCTTTTTTTTTTTCCCTCTTTTAATTTGGGTATGACATTGCTCACTGGATCTCAATACACCGTACAGCATTCATCTTTAAAACTCAGCTACCGATTCAATCTGGTGTGTTATACTCCCTCTTCCTTTTACCCCAGGGCTGATTATTCTGATGTCAGTGACTTGACCCGCGCCCCACAGCATCGCGGGCCCACAGAGAAAATCACTCATTACCAACCAAACTGCCGGAGCAAACATTTTTTTGCAGTTTTCCCCCTCACCTCGAGGTCCCTCTTTTCCCCCCCCCTCAAGACCCTAGGACGCACTTGCATTTGCAATTCTTAGCGAGAGGCTTTTATCGTTCTCTCTAACAGACCCGAGCAATCAATTCTTGATCTCGGGCACACATTGGGCTACTGGGTAAGATTGTCCGAGACTTCTTCCTGAATTCCCCGCCGATGTACACGACTGTGGCCTCACGCTACCTCGTGCAAATTTAAGTCGAAATTTATTTTCGCCTTCTATGAGCCCAAAGGACCTTCTGCGATTCTTGTCTAAGCCCGCGAAGTGAGTACGATCCCTTTGTTCGTTCGTTCAATCTGCTTCTCGGCGCAAACACAAAATACCTCAATTGAGATGCTATTATTGGATCGGGCTACATGGTCAATGCTTGTTCATCTATAAACCCCGTCACACTGTTTGACACATACCCTTTTCATGACATTCTTCTTGTGCTCTCAACCATTTTTCAATCATTGTCGCTAACCCACCTACTGTCCTCAGGCCCCGATAGCACGACTCCCGTCGTCTTTTCTTGTCCCGTTTTCCAATACTCTTTTTTTTTTTAAGAAGCAGCATTCTCGTCTGCTAGACCCGATACTTTGAACGGTATCGGTATCTTCCAGAACGAGGGTACCGACTGCAAGTCACCATTTCTCCGAGCAGCTTTTTCCTCGCTTTCGTGTTCCGCCCTCCCTAGCAGCCTTTTCGGTCTGTTTGGAGATTCTTCGCCTGGTCTGACCAGTTACAAATTTTTTTTAAGGGCCTTCTCTTCTCAGACGGGCATCGCCCCCTTGTTCGTCTGGGTAAGTAGACAGTGCTTCTACAGCCTTCTCCATCGAAGTACTTAGGGCGGTCCGACGTCACTTCCTTCTACTCCATTCAACGCAAGTACAACAGCGCCAGCTGCATCATTCATCATGGTTTACGTCGGTATTCCTCAGAACTACACCACCTCGCCGTCCTCGTTCACCGGGACCCCGGCTCTAACAATCAACTATGAGGCCACCCAGGATCTCGACTCGACCAATGCTTTCGAGGGTCCTGAAAAGCTTCTCGAAGTTTGGTTCGCGCCATCTGCCGCTGAGCTAGGTGCTGCCGGTCCCGAGGGCCTCAAAAAGGTCCCCGGTGAAATCTGGAAGGACATGCTCGACCTGGTCAACTGCCAGGTGCTGTCTGTCATCTCTTCGGAGGAGATGGACGCTTATCTTCTGTCCGAGTCCAGCATGTTTGTCTGGCCGCACAAGTTGATTCTCAAGACATGTGGAACTACCACGCTGCTGTCAGGTCTTCCTCGCATCTTGGAAGTCGCTGCCATGTTCGCAGGGTTCCCTCGCGCCACGGCCCCTCCATCTCGGGGTATCACGGTGGCTGCGGCCCCTTACAGAGTCTTCTACAGCCGAAAGAACTTCTTGTTTCCTGATCGTCAGCGTGGTCCCCACCGCAGCTGGCGTGATGAGGTCCGCTCCATGGACAAGTTGTTCGTCAATGGCAGTGCCTACATGATCGGTAAAATGAATGGAGAGCACTGGTACCTTTACCTCACTGAGCCGGGTACCATGCTCACTCCACCGGCGAGTCCCAAGGAGGAAGTCAACTTCCAAGAGACCGAAACCAAGGTCCTGAGCTTCCCTGACAACCCGCGCACCGACTGCAATGAGCACGATGAGACTCTGGAGGTCTTGATGACCGATCTTGACGAGGAAAATGCGAAGCAGTTCTATTTGGACAACGCCTCCGCCGTGGCCGAAAAGCGCCACCGTGAAAAGGAAGGAGGCGATGACCACGTGGACGTCTTCAGCAATCACTCCGACATGGATGAGGAGACTGGTGGCATCCTGCCACCTGAGCTGACCACCGAAGGTCACGCCTTGGGCACTGTGGTGTCTGAGTCATGCGGCTTGTCCGATGTGTACCCCAAGAGCAAGTTCCCCGACGCTCGCATTGACGCGTACCTTTTCACGCCCTGCGGCTTCTCTGCCAATGGTGTCGTGCCGGCTGCCGATGACAAGGGTCCCATCCACTACTTCACTGTGCATGTCACTCCGGAGCCTCAGTGCTCGTACGCGTCCTTCGAGACCAACGTCCCGCACTCCCAGAACGGCAAGGCTACTGCCGATATCATCAAGCAGGTTGTGGAGATCTTCAAGCCCGGTCGTTTCAGCATCACTCTGTTTGAGACTAAGCCATCTCTGGATGAGGCCGAGGAGGCCAATGGCACCCATGACCCAGAGCACGCCCAGCGCCAGGCTGCTCGTCGCAGCAACAAGATGGAGCATGTCGAAGGTTACCGCCGTGTCGACCGCATTGTTCATGATTTGAACGGTTATGATCTTGTGTTCCGCTACTACGAACGCAATGACTGGAAAGGGGGGGCACCTCGACTTGGAGAGATGGGAATCTAGGAACCTCTGGTTCACGGATCAACATCTTCCTCTCGCGGCTGCGGCCTTTCTGTCCGTTTAGTTTCATGTTAACTTTGCCGTGCTTTTCACTATTTCTTTTCTGTCTGTCGAATGTTTATTTCTGAGCCCATACATTGCACATTACCGCATGATCACGCTTAGCGATTCATTCATTTCTCTCTTTCGAATCATTGTTTTAGTCACTGGGCGGTCCGGGAACAATTATCGGGCCATCATAACCTATTGATTAGATTCTCACTCTTTCAATTAAATTCTTATTCATTCGACTCTTTATTGTAATATGACCACCAAAGAAGTCTTACAATTTGACTCCAGACTCAATAGGAAATGTAAGACCAACATGGAAAGTTGGTCGATCTAAAAGCTCCGTACTTCCAGTGTAGCTGCCTAATCCAGGAGGCGGTGAGATGCGTCCTTATCTCGTGTCTATCAAACTTCGGATTCATCATAGCTATCGTCTCCCATCGTCGCAAATCTACTATTTCAAACGGTTCAGCTCAAACTACTTTCTCGACAACCTTCGTCCAAACAGCTCGTCAGTGTCACCAATCGCTCCGCCCTTCCTCAGGCGCATCAGCGGGGGCGCGTACAGTACCAAGAGGACCATCTTGCGCCCAAGCTCTCGAATAGAGCTATACTCATTCCAACATGTCGTCGCCTCCGCCATACCAATCGTCATCTAACCCGCTCAAACGACCTTCTATCTCTTCCACCTCGTCATTACCACTGGGCAAAAAACAGCGCATGCACCCACTCCGTCAGACTTCATTCCCAAATGGCCTCGATCCGGAGCGCAGCTTTGGTGGCACAAGTGATGCTGGGAGTGTGACCGGCAGTTACACTGGTAGTCTCGGCGGAGCAAGTGCAGATGGAGTCTTTGCTGGAGCTGCCCGGGGTAAGAAGCGTGGACGCAAGAGCAAGGTGGAGAAAGAGCGCGAGCGGGAGCAAGATGCCCTCAGCGCCAGGGGAGGCGAATCTACGCGTTTTGGATCTGTTGAGAATGAGGGCTCTGTGAGAGGTGGTCCTTCTGGTGGTGGCGGTGGAGGAGGGGCAGATGATGGGGATGACGATGATGAGGATGATGAGGCTGAACTGTTCGGGCAACAAGACGGTGCCACGGATACTGAAGCCGAGAAGAAGAATCTAGCGTACGTTTTGGGATTTCATCTAGTTGATTACATTGGATGAAGCTTACATTTTCACAGGATCTTGGTTGATGCTTTCAATCCCATGCAATCGGAACGATACGATCTTTTCAAGCGAGCTAAGCTGCGCAAAGAAACACTCCGCCGCATTGTTAACCATGCCCTCTCACAATCCGTCCCGGCGAGTGTTGTCACGACCGTCAACGGTTTTACCAAGGTCTTCGCTGGTGAAATGATTGAAATGGCCCGCACGGTTCAAACCCAGTGGGCCGATGCTCATGATCTTGCTGCACGAGATGCATTCGAGGCCGAAGAAGCTGCGGCTGAAGCTGCGGCCCAGGCCAAGTTCCAGGCCAAGGCCTCGACAACGACCCCGGCCGGCACACCAGTCCCCAGCTCAGGCGCCAATGGAGTCAAGACTGAGCCCCAGGACTCTGATCAAACGCCCCGTTCTTCCCTCCCTCCCCATAGCAATATGACACCATCTCTCCATTCACCCGCGGGTCCTCTCCGTCCAAAACGGGAGTTCCGTCCTCCACCGAACCCCCACCGAGGCCAACTTCTACCTGCCCATCTCCGTGAAGCAGTCCGACGCACGAAGCGCAATGGCGAAGGCGGTGGAGTGGGTTACTCGGGATTGAGTTTGGAGAACATGGGAGTTCGCGGATCTTACACGTGGAATTCAGGAACAGCCGGTGGACGAAGACTGTTCCGGTAAACTCCCCCTAGTTATTGCATATTGGCGCGTGGGTCTCATTCTATTTTTCATGTCTAATACTAAGAACGACAATGGGGTTTTTGCGGGGGAATTTCTCGAACAGACTGGGTCTGCAACTTGTTTGATATCATGATTAACTACGTGGAACATAAATCCAACTCTTTGGGAGTACCCTATTAGGTCCCCACCCACAAGTTCACGATCTTTTTCCCGTAGATGAGCTTCTGGTTATCGTAAATGATTTCTGAAGACTGGTCTCAATTGTGTATTCTCTTGAATCGGATACGTGACAAGGAGTCGGCGCCTTCTTGGCGGTGCACCTATCCGATCCGTTGATGCCGAAGAATTACATGTAGAACAATGCCCTAATTTGTCGCGCTTGTGAGTCCGATATACTGAGCTACTACCCAATACTTAAGCAGGAGACCTACCTTTTTTTTCTTTTCTTTTTTTTTTGCTTCTCCTGGCAAGATGTACATCGTTTCTCATGAACATACCTAACAAGTCCTCACATTCAAGTTCAACCGATCACAATTGCAGTTCCAACCTCAGTCGACCCCGGTGTAACCGACGTCCATCGGAGTACGTCATTGCCCTAGTCTCCTCCGGAGGGCTGGTGGGTTTGGGAACTTCTAATCTGCTGCCTCACTCATTGTGTACAAGCAATAACTATGAAGCCTTTTTGTGACGGGTGCTCATTTGATAAACAGTTGAAGGCCTATATGTACTCTGTACACCACAACTCAATATAGTGGAGTATCTAACGTTCCAGCCGCAAGCCATGATCCAGGAATAGGAATGAGGGATACCCTGCAGAGCGCCCAGGCGCAGGGCTGCAAGGGTCAGTGTCCGAGTGGCTCCATTATTGCAATGGATGATCATCCCCCTCAAACAGATCTTAGTATGTGGGACCGATCCCGGGGTCCACGGACAATTCCTCAGTCAAAAGCGTGGTAGGTCTGGGGAGGTGTAATTGGATGTGTAGAAATCCCAAGTCAAACAGTTCCTTCTAGGCCGCGTCAAGTTGAACCCCCTTCTTTCTTGGCAGCCCTGGAGGCCTTTCGAGATACGATTTCCGAGAGTGATAATTGGATTTCTGTCCGGGCTGCTCTGATCATGCGTCTTTGTTCCTCTTCAAGGCTGTCATAATAGTCCCTACATTTATACCTACCTTATAGGCTTCACTGGCTGGGCGTTTCGACTCGATATATCGCGTCTGCTCCATAGCCTGGTTGTTATCCAAATCTATTCTACGGCTCTTGCTGTTCTTTCGCACGTTCATATCTAGAATGCAATACGTTCAACCGTCGCATCTATACACTCGCTTGGTAGATACGATACCGACAACCCTACCCTGGTCATCCAGCAACTCGTCAGTGAAGGGAGATCCCAAAAAGAGCGTCAAGTGGATCGATGTGAGTTAGATTCCAATTACTGACCGAAGATCAAAGATCATCGATCTAAATAACACATGGGAACAGGGTCTCCGGGGCATCGCTTCATTCTTAGTCGTATTAACCCATCTTGCACGAGCATGGGACTACAATCTATTCTCACCACGCGATAACGAAGATGCAACACCACGAATTCTCCAATGGCCAATTCTCCGCATTCCCTGGCAAGGTCGGATCGGTGTGACCATATTTGCCTTCCTCACCGGCTATGTCTGCGCGCTCAAACCGCTCAAGTTATCGCGAGCTGGTGACACAACTGGTGCATTCGTCACTATAGCGAAGAGCGCGTTCCGAAGACCTCCACGCCTAATACTCCCAGCAACAATTGCCCTTGTTGTCTCGTGGGTGGTTGCGCAGTTCGGAGGGTTCATTGTTGCGAATAGATCGGACTGTTGGTGGTGTCGATATGCGGCGCCGGATCTAGAGGATTCCTTTTGGAAAGAACTTCTTCGTCTGCCAATGAACTTCTTGTCGACTTGGACGACTGGATATATGGCTTATGATGATCATCAGTGGGCACTCTTGCCACTACTTCTGTCGTCGATGTTGGTGTATATCACTCTTTCGGCGACTATGTTTGTCAAGTTCCGGTATAGAGCATTGATCTATATTGGCATGATGCTCTATTTTCACCAAGGCGCCACAAAGAATACAGGTTGGTTATCCCTGGAACCAGAATCTTGACATTCACACTCTCTCTCCGGGTTGAATGCTAGAATACCATCGCTGGGAACCATTCACTGATCTCCATTAGAAACCTTCCAACTCCAAGCCGTATACGGCATGCTCCTGAGTGATTTCTCATACAACAAAGCCCTAAATGGATGGATCGAAGACCATCCCCGAGGCCGGAAGATGTTTACAATCCCACTCACCGTGTTCGGTTTATTGATTGCCTCATATCCAGGCGAGCATCCCGAGTGGGCGGGCTGGTCTAACCTCATGTTCAAAGCAAGCCAATACATCTTCCCACCAGAAGTCAACATTGGCAAGCGGTACACCGCGCTCGCAATCGACCTCATTATTCTCGCGATCTTTTTCTCACCTTCTACAAAAGACTTCCTCTCCAATCGACTGCTTCTCTGGCTCGGTAAGCAGAGTTTCGCCGTCTACCTTATTCACGGCACAATGCTTCGTGTCGTGCTCTGCTGGATGCTGTATGGAATCAGTGGACAGCCTTGGGAGGGATCTGAAGCTCGGACGGATGATCAGCGTGACTGGATTCCTATCCGGTCTCCAGGGGTGGTTGTGGTGAGTATTCCCATCTGGATCGGGTTAGTATATCTTCTTGCTGCGCTGTGGACGGCGTATGTTGATACCTTCTGTGCTTCCCTGACGCAGAAGTTGGAGCGTGCCATGTTTATAGAAGATGAGAAGACTCCGTTGCCGTTGCCTGCGACATCGATCCCCATGCAGACTGCGTAAAGGCGAGTGTTGTTGGCTCGCATGGCTTGAGGCTACACTTCCATGGCCGGTGCTTCCAAGGTCTCACCTACATGTACATAGGATCAGTGTCCAGGTGGAGTTGTTGAAATTAGTATGTTTTGCGCTTTCTATACATCTCCAATCCACAGAAACCAGGTGGCCTCAGGAGATCCTCATTCCATGATTTAAACGAAGATCGTATACATCCATAGATGGTCATCGGGGGTCCATAAACCTCGGGAGGTGGTTCTAATATTCAAATCACAAACATGCAAATGCCACAGCGCCATAATTTACAATATATATGAGTACAATCAACCTCGTCGAGAGCCGCGCTGACCCTCTCTGTTGGCCTTCCAAGACTGGCTAGCCTTGTTCTTCTCATTCTCAAGGATCTTCATGTGTTCCACTCGGCGGGCCTCGTTACGCTGGGCCCGCAGAACTTCATCCTCATTCCTGCGCTCTTCTTCGTATTCGCCCGCACGTTTCTTTTGCTCCTTGAGCTCTCGCTCCTCAATGCTTGAGGTTCCGAACTTCTCGGAAATTTCCTTAGACATGTTCTTGCCCAGGTTCTTGCCCTGGCTCAGCATGCGGTCAATGAAGCTGACCTTCGGGCCCTCTTCCTTCGGTTGCACGAGGCTTTGCTCATATGCCTTCTTTTTCGCGGCCTTCTCCCTCTCAATGCGTTCCAATGTCACACGGAGCGCTTTGCTTTGGATGTTCTTGACGGATTCAGATGGTCCATCCACAACGGGCTTCTTGGCGATAGTCATGTTCGCCCACTTTCGGAATGTAGGCGAGTTGATGATGTGGGTTTGGGTCAGACCGAACACACCAGAGGCAACGAAGTAAAGCTGAAGCGCACTGGGCATGAAGGACATGAAAGTGAAGGAGATAGCAGGAAGACCATACATGATGGACTTACCCGCGGAAGAGTCCATCATGGGCATAGCACCGGTTTCACCACCTCTCTGTTATAACGAGTCAGCAATCTAATCAGATAAGTAAACACAAGGTCACCAACTCACCTTGAGAGTAAGAACGAGCATTCCAGCGGCGACTGCTGGCAGAATGAATGTTGGATCAGCGACAGTAAGGTCATTGATCCAGCCGACCGACTCTGAGGCGATGCCGGGCACCGGCAAACTGGTCATGCCTCGCACAGTTCGGAAACATCCATAACCGAGAGGAATCTGCAACATGGGAATAACCGTCTTCATTGTGCTGATGCCCTCCTCCTTGTGGATCTGGGACAGCTGAGCCTTCACGATTTGCGCTTCTTGCTGCTTTCCATCGCGTGCCATGGTGACCATCTTGGCTCGAAGCGGGTCAATCTTGGACTTGGCATTGGTCAATCTGGCAGCATTTTCGGAGGCATCCATGACAGGCTTGAACAGAAGCATACGAGTGACAACGCTGACGGCCACGATACTGGCCCACCAAGGCAAATCACTATAGATGTGGACGTGCTCGATGAGCCATTGCATGACCGCTGAGGGTCCCCAGCCGTAGTCCAAGCCAAGTTCTTTCAAGTATCCGATGCGCTCGGGAATAGCGGTGATATCATGGATGTCCGTTAAATTGGTCAATGAGTCGGTTGCGGAGGCCTCGGGGGTGACTTCGGCGGGCAGTGGACTAGAGGAAGTGGAGTTGAATCGGATTGCGGCCGGGCCAGCAACGGCAGGTGCAATGCGCCATGAGGCATTGCCAGACAGGGGAGACTTTAATTGAGCCCGTTGGGTAGATTCGCGCAGGGTTTGTGAGCGGAAGGTGGAAATCTGGAGACTTGTCAATGTCGATGTTTTCTACAGATCCGAATGGGAGAACGAACCGACCGAGAAGAGCGGGAGATTGCAGTCATACGCTGACGGGCAAGCGCAGCGGCTGCACTGGGGCCTTTGAGGCCTTTGGATCCCAGCATTATGGTTGAATCGGTAAGATGTGGTGGATAGACAATGCGGAAGTGTGTCTCCTGCCTCTCGGCGCGGCTTTTTTTCTGCCAGGCGGAAAACACCCCGGATCACGGCTACGGGGATCTCAGGAACCAAAACAGTGAACATCGGAGACTTGAATATTCTAATTTTATCATGGAAAAAAACAGAACAAAACAAAGGGCTTAATGCAAATCCAAATTCCCCAAACGCCTCCCGATTCTACGGGCCTATGTACAATCACTAAAGGTGCGTACAACAGCCAGGTATAGATCCCAAATCACAAATGCTTCGGTTCGATGTCTCGCATAAATGCAGTCATTTTTGGAAGGACCAGAGCAAGCTTCCGACATTTATTCTAGAGAGGCTGTGTCCCTCAAGCCAGGCCGTCTGCGCTCTGAGGGAAGCTCCCGCATCTCGACACCGGGGCCCACTGGGTGTGAACGACGGTAGTTGGGGAAAATCTAAAGAATAAAAGTTAGCACACATAGAATGATGATGGTTAATTTTCCCACATACCTTGGTGTTAGACCAACCCAGGCGGAAAGCAGCCTCATGCGCAAACAACTCGCCGAAGCCAAGCATCAGACCGTTGACAAAAGGGAGGAACAGGTTGATAGCCGCACCACGCAGAAGTCCCCAGACACTAGGCGGTTTGTAGAGGATGATTGGAGAGCTTTCATTTGAATGTGTCGAAGATGACATCTCATGGTTGGCAGAGTAGTTTTCCGAGTCAGAAGGGACTGTCATGGTAGAGTCGTAGAGCTCGGCGGGAGAGACCGAAGAGGCGTCGGCGGCCATCGTCACGATTTGGAAGTACTCGGTCTATGGCGGATGGTGTTTAAAAAGACTTTCTGCGTCGTTTGCTTTAGGTATCGAACAAAGGCTTGGAGGAGGTTCGTCGTGATGCTCAAGTCGATGCGATCCGATGAACGGGCGCTTGGCGGTGCGTGAGGGTTAGTCAGCAGGTCTGGTGTGGGCTGCACCTGTGCAGCGAGTACTTCGAGAATTGGGCAGTTGACTGAAGCATGATTTCAGGTATTTCTTGTATGACTTGGATTGCTCTTGAGTTTTTTTTTTTTTTTTGGTACTTGTTATTGTATTAATCGATTTGCATTAGAAAATATGTGTATATGTAAAGTTAATGTAAATCTATGTGTCGGAACGTCATAAACGCCATTTTGAATGTTATGTCCTTTTCCACGTCAGTCATGCCCTCAAAAGCACTTCATCGTGCCATGAGACTGAAGTTTTCTCAACAGCCATCTTCACCACATCTTTCAACACTCTGATTCGAAAGTTTGTCAAGATCCCATGCTTTGATGGCCTGCTCTTCATCATCGCTGAAGGCATACTTCGAGAATCGACGAATAGCCTCTCCCTTGAAGTAGAATACATAGGGGATAGCACAGCAAGCCAGAGCAAGGAATGCGAGAAGGGAGCTGGCCCACTGGTAGCCTAGTCGGTTATACATCTGCTCTGTGAAGAGGACGGTAGAAGCGCCCCACATGGAACGGAGGAAGGTCTTAGCCGCGAGCGCAGATGCTGCTTGATGTTGATAGGTATCCACTGAATAGATGTTAGCAGTGTCCCAGATCACATATTGTAAGTGTGTACATACCAAGGTAGTTGTTGGCTGAGTTGTACAGGAAGATGAAGCCAAATCCAACAGGCCATCCTCCCATTGCCGGTCCCATCCAGTGGACATCAGAATAAGAGGTCCAAGCGAAAATGAAAAGACCAATGGGAACAAACCAGCAAGACCACATCATTGGGATCAGACGCTTTTCGGCTGGGGGCTTTCCACCGCATTGTACCGAAATCTTAAGGTAGTGCTTGTTGACGAAGGGAGCACAGGCCGCACTCATAAGAACACCGATGGCCAGGGGAATGAACATGAGACCCGTCATGGATGCACTCCATCCTTTGCCGGATTGATACACAATTGGATACCTAGGGGGGTTGAGTCAGCTGAGAAGTCAAGTTTAGAGCAAGTTAGGGGACTCACGCAACAAAGAACATGTAGAGTAGTCCGTACAAGACCGACATATAGAGAGCAAGGAAGAAGACGATAGGCTCAAGGAAAAGAAGCTGGAAGGGGCGGAAGAGGAAGATGCGCAGCTTCTCACCCATAGGCCGAGGGTCAAGATCACCTTCGGTGGTATACTTGTCGTCATTCTCGGACTTGCGGAGCTTTTGGGCTCTCTTCTTGAGCAAAATGGGTGCGTATGTCTCGGGGACAGTGAAAGTGATCAAGACCCAGGCGACAAAGCCCAAGATCAATTGGAGCCAGTACAGCCAGCGCCAGCCACAGTTGTCACCCAGGAAGCCACCAGCAAGTGGACCGATAGCCGGGCCGATGAAAGGAGCTGCACTGAAAGCTGCCATTGGAACACCACGTTCTTCACTTCTCCACAAATCTGCCAAAGTACCACCGACAAGAGTCATGGGCGCACTGAAAGCAATTCCATCAATCATACGGCAGACGATGAGAGTTCCGATGTTCTTGGCGACGGCACATGGGATGATAAAGACAACGGCAACCAGAAGGGTAATGGCATACAGAGGCCGGCGTCCAAACATCTCTGACATGGGAGCGAAAACCATTGGTCCTACGGTTGAATTAGCACCGCGCAGAAAACATCATAGCTTCGAGATACTTACCAATACCGAATCCAACAACGAAAACCGTGACAACGACCAAGCTGACTTCGCGTGAGACGCCAAAGTCCTCCATGGGTCCCTCCAAGTCAGCAGTGATGACACTACTGGCAAAAGCGACAACAAAGCAAGTGAAAGCCACCACCATGGTGCAGTACCATTTGTATGCCTTCGACCAGTTCTTAGGGTTCTCGGGATCATCGAGTGTAAACGTCACCAGCTTCCAGTCTTCCATTTTTCCTGTGGCATTGGACTTCACAGGCTTAATGATTTCGCCTGTTCGCGTTTCGGTAGTGTATTCACGAAGGTCTGCGCCATCACTGACTTCGCGGACAGGTAGGTTGAGGTAGTCTGGGCGTTCCTCGGACCCCATAGAGGTTGTCCGACTAGTGCCATTGGTGTAGGTATTTTCTGAGCGGGGTGTATCCATCTTGTGAAGTCGTATTAGACTAGTGGGTATGAGGGAGGGTCCAACCCAGATAGAAATATAAAGTATGGTCTGTGGAGTGCTCGAAACCCCCGGTGGGACAACATTCTTTTATATCTCAGGGATGAAAAACCCTTGTCCGAGAAATCAACGAACGGCCAATTCACGGGAACAGACATGGCATCAACCAGAGGTGGCACCGTTCCTGGATGGCGTTTGATACCCTCAAATTGCCTGATGTGGAACAGTGGCGCTAGCCGTATTGGGAAATATGCTACGACGACGCCGGAGCTTATGTTGAGAACACTTTAGCCCTGAAGGACTTTACCAATATTGATCTTTCAGCTCTCTTATACTTGAAACTTGAATTTGAGGGCACAGTTCTCAAGATCACAATTCTTCGCAAAATTAGATTTTTAGAAGATTTTAAAGCTCTGTAAGTTCCAAGGTTGAACTTTAGAAGGCAATATACTCTGAACCCTACGCCCGCTGTAAAACGCTGGAGAGTGGTTATTGTCATATGCCCAGATAGGTCATATACGAATTTGCGACGGCTTGGCTAATTACAAAAATTTAAGGATCTGCAGTCTCACTACGAGTAGGACCCATGATGTCTTTTCCGAGTTCCCATCTTGGCGAAACGGGCGGGCTGGGATCATGCGAGGGACTGATCAAGAACGTAATTTTTGCCGAGTAACGTAAGAGTCGAGGTCCGGCATATGTGCTAGTCTTTTTGGACTTTTCCATACATAACCTAGAGCCAGTGCATATATTCGGTCCTCACGTTTTGTCCAGTATGTATTCGACCTTCGGCAGGCCACATGACGGCTGCGATGCAGTGAAACACTGTGTATGAATTCATTCTCCTGCAGTCCTTGGGTGCAAGCTGCCTAGCTCCATTATTTCCATGGTTAACTTTAAGGAACGCAATATCTTTTGCCCCACGGTGGACCGATATCATGGTCTTTGCTTTTGATTTTGTCATAGATGCGGAGCATATTACCGTATTGGGAAGTTTCGATAATTGCCTCTTTGGGAACATATATCAGGCAAGGCGGATCAAGATTCTCCGCCTGGCCTAGATTCCCACATTCAAGGCTCTGATATATGGTTCGGTGATTTGATTGGAAGTTGAAACCTCGCACTTTATCAAAGACTTGGAATGACTGTAACATGGATATCTCAGAATTAGAAAACCGTGTCATAGTTTACTCACAGAAAATTTACTCACTTGTGAAACGAGGTCCAAAGTGAAGCTCTCAGGAGCAAGACTTGAATTGCCTCGACGACGCCATGGAATTCAATACTAGCTAAATACACACAGGAGTGTTTGCATCAAACTTTAGAACGATCAAAAGTAAGCATAGAGTCATTTCCCCAAAATCCGACTTATCTCCTCTGCGATAGCCAAAATGCGTTCTTCGCTCAAGCGTCGCCCAACAATCTGCACTCCGACAGGAGCACCGTGGTAAGCTTCCGGGTCGTACTCGGCTTGAACATCAGCATCAATGTTCCCCATAGCCTTGAAATCCGACATTTTCGGGTCTTTCTCTTTGTCCGCGAAAGTCACAGGAACCACGACACTGGAAAAGTCAAGCAGGTTGAAAATAGACGCATATCCGTAATATTTGAATTTGTCATGACGAATGGCCGCCGTTGGAGAAATAGGTGCAATGATAGCGTCAATTTCTCGTCCCATGTTTTCTTCTAGCTCGCGCCACTTATCGAGGTAGGCACGTTGGTAATGCCACTTTTGTAATTGTATATCCCAAATTTCATTCACGTCCGCTTTGGGGAGGTTTGGGTTTAGGAGGTCTTTGATGTTGGGGATCGCAGGCTCTCCAGAGGCGTTGATATTCCTGTATACATCCTGTGTATGTCAAAATTCTGGTCCTTTCTCAAGTTTAAGCTCTGGGGGGTGGTGGTTTGAGATAACTTACTGTGCATCCGTCTGCCGCGTAAATTTTGTTGACCAGATTAACTCCGAACTCATGCTCATACGGGGTCCAAGGGAACATGTTATGGCCAACTTTCTCGAGTGCTGACCGAACAATCTCGATTCCCCGCAAAATGGGAGGATGGGGAAGTACCTAGAAAGGATTAATTTTTTGAGCAACGACCCTAAGGAAGGTGGAGACGCACAACGCCATCATGATGGTAGAATCCAATGTTCAGCCCTTCGCGGGCGATCTTCATCTTGATCGAATCTTCCTCGGCCTGTCGCCAGGGTAATGGGATCACCTTGGAATCATACTTCCAAGGTTCTCCCTCCAGCACCGACTTCATAAAGAATGTCAGATCTGAATGGAAAGTGTTTAGTGATATGATTCTCTTCGCATGACATCAATTACATACCAGGAATGGAATGTGCTATAGGACCGACAACACTATGCACCGTTTCTTGGCCTTCCATGCTATTCGCCATATCAGCATACGGCAAACGACCGTGACTCGAACGAATTCCAAAAAGGGAGTTAAATGCTGCCGGAATCCTGATAGAGCCACCTGCAAATAAAACACCACGTGTCAGCGGTAAGAAGTGAGGCCTTTCTCATGGCTTCGTGTGAAATAAAGCCTACCGATATCTGTTCCAACGCCAATAACAGATCCCCGGATTCCCAGAATGGCACCTTCGCCCCCAGAACTACCACCGCAGGACCAGTTTTTGTTCCGCGGGTTGACAGTTCGTCCGATAATGTTGTTGACTGTTTCACAAACCATCAAAGTTTGGGGAACGCTGGTTTTCACGTAGAATATCGCCCCGGCTTTTCGTAAAAGTTTGACCAGTACCGAGTCAGTTTCATCGCGCTTTCCGATCCAGGCAATATAGCCCATAGAGGTCTCGGTGCCCTGGGAAAACAGTCAGTAAAGTCTGGTACTAGAAAGCTTCGTATTACCTTGACGCGCAACTGATCCTTCAGTGAGATTGGCAACCCATGCAGCGGTCCGATGGGTTTGTTATGACGTGCATAGTATTCGTCCAGCTCCTTGGCCTGCGCGAGAGCTGCCTCTGGGAAAAACTCATGCAAGCAATTAAGCTAGTATTTGTCAATTACCCGCAGTAAGCCGTTATCGGTTGAACTCACTAGTTGATGTGCCACGGCAGCCCTCTTGCAAAACGAAAGGGTCACGTCGACTGCTTTGAGGTCACCAGTAGCTAATCGCTCCACGAGTTCCGTGGCAGGTAGACTTGTCACCTCCAAATCAAAATGCGAGAGAACACCACATTGCTCAGGAACATGCATCACGTTCTCCTCTGAGGGAGATGTTCTAATCTTCCAATCATTTGGAATCGTGTTCTCAATCTGAGCTCTCTTTTCTGCGGAAATGCTTTGCCAAGACATCGAGGCCATGATGAATTGCATAAGAAGTAGACGGCGATAGTCCCCTTTTTATAATGAAGGACTTCCATCTTATCAAGGCATAGCCGGGCCGGGACGAGCGGGGTACAAGCTAATCATCCTTCGAGACCCTTTCGACATGCTTTTCTTGGCGGGCTTTGGGTATCGCTCAAATTATGAATCAGGAAATATCCGTAAAGGAAAGTGAACGAGCTCGTATCCCTGCTAGACTTTCCAGTCTGATATGACAGTCTTAGAGATCTAGGAATCATGTATGGGCTTCAAGGACACACAGCATAAGCTGAAGCACGTACCTAGGTATATTTAGACTTCAGACTTCAGGATCAGTGATAGTTGCACTTGCCGTTCGACCGCCTTGCACTTTCCGTTCGACCGCCGGGCGTTAATGAACGGTGTGTGTGTGTGTGTGTGTGTGTGTGCATACTTAAATAAGTATCTATCGTTCGATAGAAGACACTTAGGTACATTTCCGGACTTTGCACACTCTCAATATCTACAGGTGGATTATTTCTCGAAATAGGGGCGTAGAAGTTCAACAATCTCATCGAACCCCTTGCTTTCAGCACAATACATGGCATCGGATTCCAGGCTCACGTCCTCAATCTCATGGAATGGATGGTGTTCGAGCAGGACTCGAACTATTTCGATATGGCCTTCTTCCGAGGCCACCGTCACCGCTCTCAGAATATGCTCCTTTTTGATCTCCTGTGATCCGATGTTGCTTTCCAACATCAGCTGCAAACTGATTTCGTCGCCCCGCTCGGCAGCAAGAATGAGCGGAGGAAACTCACTGATGCTATAGGCATCACAGTAAGGATCGGACCCTTTCGCAAGCAGCAGCTTCACCAGTGAGATATCACCCGATTCGACGGCACATTGCAATGGCGACGAATCACCATGGCCATCGGGCAGTGCACCTTTTTCCAGCAGCAACGCGACGGTTGAAAATTCCCCATTTTCGGCAGCGAGGGAAATCGCGGTATGCCCGCTCTGATCTTCTATATCAGGGTTCGCTCCATGGTCCAGGAGCAGAGAAACCGTTTCTTCGTGCCCCCAAATGGCTGCGAACGAAATTGGAGTGATGCCTTCTTGGTCAGGAAGATTGATGTCGACTTCGGCGTTGATGAGTCCCGCAACCACGGCCACATGACCTTCTTCAGCAGCCCAGGACAGGGGCGTTCGACCAAAAGCGTCCGTTGAGTCTGGGTTGGCGCCATTCTTGAGCAACAGTTGGACTACATTCAACTGTCCGGCTCGAGCAGCATTAGACAGCGCTGTCATTCCATTCGTGTCTTGTGAATGAAGACTAGCACCCTGTTGGATAAATTGGAGGGATTTTTCTTCATCTCTATCCTCAATTGCGGATATCAAGAGATCGCCGAGGTGGACGCCATCGCGGATTGGCTCCGACAGGGATAGTTTTTGAAGATTTTCGATGCTGGCAATCGCATTGGGGCTCGAGTTTGGCTCGATTCTTGATTCTTTCTCGAGTTGCAGATGCCTTTCCAGAATTTGAATGATATGATTGTGGCCACATTCCATAGCCCATGAGAGAGGGGTGCGACCGGTACTGTCTGTCCAGGCAGTATTGGCATTCGCTTTCAGTAGCCTTGTCACAACGAGGGCATTGCCGCTCAGAGTCGCCCAGATCAATGAAGTCCGACCCAGGCGATCTGCTTGGTCCACCGAAGCATTACTACCCAGGAGCATTTGCACAACCTTGTCATGACCTTGCTCTGCCGCATATGACAATGCACTCCGCCCCTCACACCCATCTCGAATATCAGGGTTCCCACCATTCATTAGCAAACACTCAACTGCCGGATCGGAGAAGGCGAGGGTAGCCAACAGCAAAGGCGTTCGACCGTCATTGTCCCGAGTGTCGATGTCGGCACCTCGCTTGAAGAGAATTTTCATGGACTGTATCTGGCCCCTCATGGCAGCTTGCGATAGCGGCGTTTGGCCCTGGTGATCTCGGATATCCACTCCCGCTCCCCACTTCAGTAGAACCTGGACGGCGTTGACTCGATTTTCATCCACGGCCCAAAAAAGAGCCGTCTGACCCGCATCGTCACGGATATCAACTTGGGCGTTCGATTCGAGGAGGAGCTTGCACGAGAGATAGTTGTTGTTCCTGGCGGCCCAGAATAAAGGAGTTCGATTATTATTATCCCGGGCGTTGACATCGGCGTTGGACTCAAGCAGATATTTCACCGCTTGGATTTGATCAGTCTCTGCCGCCCAGAATAAGGGGGTTCGGTGATATTTCAAGTCTTGCTGATTTACATCCCCGATCTCGTGCACTGGTTTGCCTAGCAAAGGATTGTCCCATGCGAGTGGTACCGAGATTAGCATTTCAATAGATGAAAGTAGCTTGTGAGATAAAATGAGCTCGCGGAAGAGAAGGCTTGAATTTATCAAGGTTACAAGGTTGCGGCTCTGGGACTTTCAATATTGCAATTAGACACTAGAATGTGATATCGTTTTTTTAAGAGTTTTTCCACCGCAAGAGTATCTAGATCTGGATTTGGATCAAAACTAAATGCATAATCATTTCGAGAAAAACAATATATAGATATTCAGCGACCGTGGGATTGACTCATTGTTACATCGCTAATATCCTATTCTCATCATCCGTTTGCGCATTTGCATTTGCATACTCTGTACTATAAGAGCCGCTCTCCCCAGTGATCTCCATAGTCTTCTTCATCTTACTTAAGTAGTTCTCTTTGTCGAATTGGACCTTCATCTTCTGAAGCTTTGCCTCCCTAACACTCAAGTGCTCTTTCCATGGATCTAACAAACTGATTGAAACAACTCTAGAATAAATCGTAACAAACGAATTGTCCCAACTATTTTTTTTTACAGTCTAGAATGTTATTGGAATCTAAACTTTGCTACCTCCGGTTTTGATTTTCGTGCATTCACGGATATGTTCAGATATTTTCAATCTTTTACCATGGTAATGCTGAACCAAACAAGATTTTGGCAGCCAGGAACAAGAGCTTCAGTGATATGCTGTCGATTTACCGTCAATTAGCGTGTTGTTCTCCGTAATTTGCCCGCCTCCAAGGAGCCGGTATCGGCACGTGACCCACTTCGATAAGCCGCATTGGGCTTAGTGCGGGGCGGGCAATTTTTTAACAAAAAAAGGCAAATAGAGTCATCGGTCTACTCTAGAGATCTATCTCAAGTCCACTTGAGAGAGGCACTCGAGCCACTCAATCTCCCTTGATATCAGGAGATCTATACCCTTATCTCCCTGTGTCAAGTCTGACTTGGGAGACAAATTCCCCTCCACCTTCACAATGACTTCAACCGATACCTTCTTGGCCATCCCCGGCTCCGTTGCCTTCTCCCGTTCTCGGGGCCATGCAATTGCCACAAGCATTGGAGTCCAAGACGTTCGGGCTCAATGGGTCCACTACGTGCACACCACTCAGCCTTTGGATGAACCCCAGCGTGCTGTGCTTGAGCAGCTGCTCCACTACGGCGACATCACCGACGTTCCTGCTTCCTTCGAATCGACCGACGGCGAATTCGATACCTTCTACATTTACCCCCGAAATGGTACCGTCTCGCCATGGAGTTCGCAGGCAACTGGCATCTCCCACGTCTGTGGTCTGCAGAAGTACGTCAAGCGGATTGAGCGGGGTATGAAGGTTTCATGTCTTCGAAACAGCGCAGAGGACTACAAGCCCGCATACCTGGACACTCTCCATGACCGTATGACTCAGATCATTGGTCAGGATGAGCCTGAGTTGAGCCTTATGTTCTCCGAGCACGCTCCTCAGCCCCTCAAGACCATTTCCCTCAAGGACAGCACCAAGTCACCCAAGGAAATCCTCCAGGAGGCAAACAAGGAGCTTGGCTTGGCCCTGGAAGAGTCGGAGATTGATTATCTCGCTGAGGCATATGGTCCTAACGGTGCCATTGCCCGTGATCCCACCGATGTCGAGCTCTTCATGTTCGCTCAGGTCAACTCGGAGCACTGCCGCCACAAGCAATTCAATGCCTCTTGGGTGATTGACGGCAAGCCCATGCCCAACAGCCTCTTCGCTATGATTCGCAACACACACAAGAAGCACCCCGACCACACCGTCAGTGCCTACAGTGATAATGCCGCCGTGCTGGAAGGTCCTGAGTCCGCGTTCTGGGCTCCCGATCCTACCACCGGACAGTGGATGCACACCAAGGAAGTTATTCACTTCTTGGCTAAGGTTGAGACTCACAACCACCCCACTGCGGTCTCTCCTTATCCCGGTGCCGCCACCGGATCCGGTGGTGAGATTCGTGACGAGGGTGCTGTCGGTCGTGGCTCTCGCCCCAAGGCCGGTCTCTCTGGCTACTGTGTGTCGGATCTTCTGATCCCCGACAACAAGCAGCCTTGGGAGCTCGATGTTGGCAAGCCTAACCACATTGCTAGCAGTTTGGACATTATGTTGGAGGCACCTATTGGTAGTGCTGCTTTCAACAACGAGTTTGGTCGTCCCTGCATTGGTGGATACTTCCGCACCTTGACTACCGAGATTGATGTCGGCAATGGCGAGAAGGAGGTCCGAGGATACCACAAGCCCATCATGATTGCTGGTGGTGTTGGAACCGTTCGCCCCCAACACGCCATCAAGCACCCGGACGTTGTGAAGCCAGGTGCTTTCCTCGTTGTGCTTGGTGGCCCGGCTATGCTGATCGGTCTGGGTGGAGGCGCTGCCTCCAGTATCGCCTCTGGTGAAGGTTCCGCCGAACTCGACTTCGCCAGTGTTCAGCGTGGAAATGCCGAGGTTCAACGCAGAGCCCAGGAAGTCATCAACGCATGTGTCGCCATGGGTGACAACAACCCCATCAAGTTTATCCATGACGTCGGTGCCGGTGGTCTGTCCAACGCCCTCCCCGAGCTCATTCATGACTCCGGTCTGGGAGCTACCTTCGAGCTGCGCGAGATTGACAACACTGACCGCAGCATGAGCCCCATGCAGATCTGGTGCTGTGAAGCTCAAGAGCGTTATGTCATGGCTGTTGGCGAGGATAGCATGAACAAGTTCACTGCTATTGCCAACCGTGAACGCTGTGGCTTCTCTGTTGTCGGCCGTGGTGGTGGTTCGTCCGAGGAGGAGAAGAGACTCATTCTTCTTGACCGAGAGTCCAAGGAGTACCCAGCTCCCATCGACCTGCCTCTGTCTGTGCTTTTCGGAAAGACTCCTCGCATGACACGCACTGTCGACTCACGCAAGCTCAAGCTTCCTGTTGTTGACTCCAGCCTTGCCAAGTACCTCCCAGACATCTCCGTCAAGATGGACCTTGTTGATGAGGCTGTCAAGAGAGTTTTGTCACTGCCCGCAGTTGGCTCCAAGTCTTTCTTGATTACCATCGGTGATCGTACTGTCGGTGGTCTCACAGCCCGTGACCAAATGGTTGGCAAGTGGCAAACACCCGTGTCGGATGTCTCAGTCACTGCTACTTCCCTGGCCCAAGGCACCAAGACTGGTGAAGCTTTCGCCATGGGCGAGAAGCCCACCCTTGCTCTCATCTCTGCGGGCTCATCTGCCCGCATGGCTGTTGCTGAGTCGCTGATGAACCTTGCCGCCTCCGACCTGGTTGATCGCCTGAGCCAAGTCAAGCTGTCTGCCAACTGGATGTGTGCCGGTAACCACCCTGGTGAGGGTGCCGCTATCTACGAAGCCGTTGAGGCCATCGGTCTGGACCTGTGCCCCAAGCTTGGCATCAGCATTCCCGTCGGTAAGGACTCTATGTCTATGAAGATGAAGTGGAAGGATGAGTCTTCCAACGAGGCCAAGGAGGTCACTGCCCCTATGTCATGTGTCATTTCTGCCTTTGCACCCGTCGGCGACTTCACCAAGACCTGGACCCCGGCTCTTCGTCGCGTCGAGGATGTTGGAGAGACTGTTCTTATGTTCGTCGATCTTTCCTTCGGCCGTAAGACCCTTGGTGGGTCTGCCCTTGCGCAGGTCTTCAACGAGGTTGGCTCTGAGTGCCCTGATGTCCACGATGTTGATCTCTTCCGTGACTTCTTTGATGCTACTCAACAGCTCCAGGAGGCTGGAATTGTTCTGGCTTACCACGATCGTTCTGACGGTGGTCTTCTGACCACTTTGACCGAGATGATGTTCGCTGGTCGCTGCGGTCTTGATATCTCGCTTGACACAATCTGCTCTTCCTTCAACGTCAAGGATGTCATCGAGTCCCTCTTCACCGAAGAGCTCGGTGCGGTGTTCCAGGTTCGCAAGGAGCACGAGATCCAGTTCCGCTCATGCTTCGCCACCTGCGGTCCTCCTCCTGGTCTGATCCACAAGATTGGACGTGTCTCAGAGAAGCCCCAGCAGAACCTTGCTATCTACCACAAGGCCTCTTTGATCTACCGCAACACCCGTTCCAGCCTCCAACAGACCTGGGCCAAGACCTCCTACCACATGCAGAAGATCCGTGACAATGCGGACTGTGCCGAGCAGGAGTATGCCAACATCCTTGATGATGCCAACCCCGGTCTCTCCTGGAACCCTACCTTCGACCCCAAGGACAAGGCTCTGCCCGTAATGACCAGCCTTTCTCAATACTCTCCCTTCGCCAACAAGCCCCGTGTTGCCATTCTTCGTGAGCAAGGTGTCAACAGTCAAGCCGAGATGGCGTTCGCCTTCAACACCGCCGGCTTCTCTGCCGTCGATGTTCACATGACCGACATTATCTCTGGCCGTGTCTCTCTCGCCAGCTTTGCCGGTCTCGCCGCCTGCGGTGGTTTCTCCTACGGTGATGTCCTTGGTGCCGGTCAAGGTTGGGCCAAGTCCGTCCTGCTGCACGAAAACACTCGCAAGGAGTTCCAAGACTTCTTTGAGCGCCCCGACACTTTCGCCCTTGGTGTCTGCAACGGTTGTCAGTTCTTGTCTCGCGTGAAGGACCTGATTCCTGGCGCAGGCTACTGGCCCAGCTTCGAGCGCAACACCAGCGAGCAGTACGAAGGTCGTGTCTGCATGGCGCGCATCTCCGACCCTGACCCATCCAACCCTAGCGTCTTCTTCCACGGCATGGATGGCACTTCTCTGCCTATTGCCGTTGCTCACGGCGAGGGTCGTGCTTCATTCGCCAACTCTCAGGGCGTCTCGGCTTCAGACTTTGTTCGCGAGGGTCTTGCCCCCGTTCGCTTCGTTGACAACGCCTCTCTGAAGCCCACCATGAAGTACCCCTACAACCCCAACGGCAGTCCCGAGGGTATTGCCGGTGTCCGCAGCCCGGACGGCCGTGTCCTGGCCATCATGCCCCACCCCGAGCGCACTGTCATGAACGGCATTGCCAGCTGGCTGCCTCCCAAGGCCGAGACCTGGGGCGACATTGGTCCTTGGGGCCGTGTCTTCTACAGCGCCAGACGCTGGGTCGGTTAAAATGTGTAGTTCAATGTATTTACGAAGCTTATTATTTCCTTTTTCTGTTCATTTTTGTCTATAGTCGGTCCGTAAGGTGAAGCATACCAGAATGACCTCTTACAGTATATACCAAAATCAAATTTCTACTTAAGTATCTCACCAAGCCTTGATGTCCTACCAATTATGCAGCGTAACATGGAACCTCGGAACTTCGGAACTGATCCATGGATACCGAAGTACTTTACCGCCTCGCTCACCGCTTATATCCTAAAATTTTACTTCTTGCAGAATATTCTGTATTCATAAAACCAATTTATTTCGTACGAATGATATCCTAGAAGTCCATCTATTATAACGAAAATAGTAGTTTTGGTCAATAAAACTACGAAATACCCAGTGCACTCGGAAACTTCATATAGACATAATCAACGATTGATCTTGTTAGAATCAAAGATAAGAAATCCAGGATTTTGATAATTCTGTACTCTGTATTCTGTATTTTATGTATCTAGTTTTACTGGGTTGTATCATTTTTATCGTAGATTCATTCATAGAAATTATATTAAAATTTCTGCTTAGTATAAGAAGAAAAGACAAGAGAGAAAGATAGCCGATCCAATTTGAAGTGTGGAATTACTCGATGGGATACATTAAAAGAGAAAAAGTACGAAGTACATACTATACGGGTTTACGGGCCTACGGTATTACGGGTCTAGGTTACGCATGGTGGGGATGACTCTATTCAAATCCGTTTGACCCCTCTGTGCCCTCTCTACTCCGTACATTAGACTCCCCTGGTCCTCGCGCGGCCACACCTCTACATTGACGCATAACTTCTAGGAATATCCTACCAGCGCAATGGACTCCGCAACCCAGTCCCGTTTCGATCTTATCGCCTCGAACCTTCAGGAATTCCTGAACCCCGAGATCATTGAGAAGATCCTGATCGAAGGTCGCTCGCCCCGTGTTTACTGGGGAACAGCGACAACCGGGTAAGCCGAGAGGCGAAGCACACAATCACAAGCGCATCTCTAATCGCTTTGCGCAGTCGACCCCACATCGGATACTTCCTGCCCGCACTCAAGATCGCGCGTGAGTCAACATGAGATAAACAGCCAGGCATATGCTGAATTTCTTTCGAAGAGCTCCTCAAGGCCGATTGCGAAGTCACAGTTTTGCTTGCGGATATTGTGAGTCATGAGACATGCCCGACTTCTAAATCTGTTACTAACCTCGCTGCAGCACGGATTCCTCGATAACGTACGATTGCGCTCCCTTCGCTAGAACTCGCCACTAATACAACCGATATACAGTTGAAGGCTCCTCTCGAATTAGTTGACAACCGCGCCATCTACTGTTTGTGCCCATCCCAGGATCTAGCCATGCAATGACTGACGATCCAAGACCGAAATGTTGTCACAGCCCTCGTTCAGTCTGTGGGTGTCGATACCTCCAAGTTGAACTTCGTTCTCGGAAGCAGCTACCAAAAGTCCCCGGAGTACGTCATGGACGTTTACCGCATGGCCTCCATGGTCTCCGAGAGTGCTGCCAAGAAGGCCGGCGCCGAGGTAATTATTTTCTGCTTGTGTGGGAGCCTCATGCTAATCCAGTCGATAGGTCGTTAAGCAAACAGGCAATGCGCCATTGTCCGGACTGCTCTACCCCATTCTTCAGGTTCTTGATGAGCAGCACTTGAACGCCGATTGCCAGTTGGGCGGAGGTAAGCTTTACCAAGATCTTGCTTTTTGTACAGAAACTAATAACGTTTATAGTGTATGTTTCCAGATAATCCTCGATGAAGCAAAACTAACCTCATAATATAGTGACCAGAGAAAGCTTTTCACCGGTATGTGACTGACATCAAAGATTCATCCTAACAGCCTTATATTCATGCAATTCTAGCTGCCACGGAATGGCTTCCTAAGCTCGGATACCGCGTGCGAGCACACATTATGAACCCGGTTCGTACTCTACCCACGTATTTGAAAGTCGGCCATTCTGATATCTTTCTAGATGATGGCAGGTCTGGGAGGACAAAAAATGAGCTCTTCAGACGGCGCAGGTAACTTCCCCATCCCAATCGTTTCTGTGCAAATCGCTCCTTGCTCTATTAGTTTGCGACGGTGTGTCAAACTTCACCACTAACAATTTGTCAGATGCCAAGATTGATCTCCTTGACGATGCGGCAGCCGTTGCCAAGAAGATCAAGAAGGCGGAGTGCTTCCCTAAGATCGTTGAGGACAACGGTGTCCTCTCAATTGTCGAGAACATCTTGCTTCCCGCTGCCGTTCTTAACGGCCACGGCGAGTTCCGCGTTGAGCGCAGAGAGGGCGAGCCTTTGGTCTACACCTCTATTGCTCAAGTGAAGGAGGACTATGCCCAGGATATCTTAACACCTCAAATCCTGAAGCCTGCAGTCTCTGCTGCTATGGTTAGCCTCATGGCTCCCATTCAGGCTGCCTACGAGACTTCCGCCGAGTGGCAGGAGATCACACTGAAGGCCTACCCGCCTCCTGTTGTGCACAAGAAGGTGAAGAAGCCCAAGGACCGAGGCACTCGCTTCCCTGGTGCGAAGCAAGAGCAAGAGAAGGCTTCGGAAGAGGTGCCCACCGAGAAACTTGCCGAAACCAGCATTTAAGCATCTGAGTTACGTCTACATTGCAAAATCTTGAAATCAGCGACGACGTACGGAGTGCATAAACAAAATCAGGGGAGAAAGAGAATGTGTGTTGTATTCGTATTTAGAATCACTATACCAGACATGGCCAATTGCCATTTGAACATTCCCGCTCAAGCAGCCTCACTATATCCACGCTATCAATTCATCTACCTAATATCCACCACTCCACAAATTATGGAGTACCCTCGTCTTACTACATCAATTGGCTAAATGCCAGTTCTTCACAGTGCCTCGCATCACGGCAAAATAGTGGATCTGCGAACTACTACGTCACATTCCGATCGCAGATCAGCGATCCGCACACCTCACTCGATTTTCTCTTTGTCCAAACACCATGAGGTTATTCGCGTTCTTCGGCATGGCTGCCCTGGCCAGTGCCGCGAGTCAATTCTCCTGTATCAAGCCTGTTAATCCCATCCCTGCCGGACCACCGGGACTCTGCTGCCAGGAGCTGGTTGAATACCCCTTGTTGAGCTTCCTCTACACGGGCAACACATGTATGTTGATTTAAATGTCGATATTGTTTCACTCAGCATTCTATCTTTAGCTTTTTTTGGCTAATGAGAGGAAGGTACACGGGCGACTCAGATTGATGAAGCTACAAACGGAACGACAACCTACGATCCGTGCGATGTCGGTCAAAAGGCCGCGTGCTGCGATCCGGTAAGACGGCTATCTGGCTATTTGTTTCACCTTGGCCCTCTGTCTACTCGTATTCCATCCAATTGAACCGTAGATTGACATCCAGCAGGTCCTGACGGAATTGGAAAAGACCAGCAACATTGCGTGCGTGCTACCGGAATAAGAAGCGTATAACTATGGAGTACTCCAGACCAGATACGCACGAAGGATCGAGGAACCGAGAACAGACTCGAGATATCTGAAACAAGCTCGATCTGATCACATCTCGATTAGATCCCGATGTTTCCGATGTTTCGGGTTGGTTGAAACACGGAGAATTTGTCAAACACGATCGACTACGGAAATGGAAGATGGAGTATGCTGATCGCAATAGATCTATTATTGAACTGCGTGGCTCGTTAAGGCGCCGTGAAAGTCGCTGAAACCGAGCTTGGAACAATGGAAAACAATAAAAAAAAACACAATAGCCAGCCCAAAATTTTGCCCCAAACAGTAAAGATAGACATTAAACATCTTGGAACACGGTCCAAGGGAACGCCAGAACATATTGTGAACAGGCCCATAGAAATTACAGATTAGAGGTTCTCAGAAGAAAAGGCAGAAAGAAGGCAAAGAAGAAAAAAACAAAAAAAAATCAAGAACAAAAAGTGGAGTGAAAGTAGCTCCAAAAACAAAAACAACGGATTAGGACTTGTTTTTCCTCCCGAGCTTCAACCCCAGGAAGCCCCGACCACTGGGTGCAAAGCTATTATGGCGGAGATGACGACGCTGGCTGGATTTACGCACAGGGGTCGAATCTGCACGAGGAGGCTGGGAAACCACCGAGATCTGCGATGAGGCTGGACCACGGGGATCGAACTCGGAGCGTAGGCTGCTAAGTGAGACAACGCTGGAGGAAGAATGCTTCCTTGTCATGCGTCGGGGCATGAGTGGGGAGCGGTTGGAGAGGATGTTGGAGACGCTGTAGGAGCTTGTAGAGCGTTTGGCTGGGGAGGAGGCGATGGAGACTGGGCTGCAGGTGCGTGTGAGACTAGGGAGACTTTCGTGATCATGAATCGTGGAGAGGGATTCCTCTGGTGAAAAGGGTGTTGTTGGGCGAGATGTGATGCTTGCGGTGCTGAGGGTGCGCATGGAAAGTGGTGGGCGAGTTTCGGTTAGACGACGGGTGCGCACGTTGAGAGGTGGTGGCATTGCCATGTCTGAACTGGAGGTTCGGGGACGGGGGCGAGGGCCTGCTGGGTGGGTGCGAGGAGCAGGGAGGTAAGGGACTGGAGGGATATCGGAGACGCGGCTGATGGTTGCCGTTGGAGCGAAGTCCTCGTTGGATGGGGGGTTGGTAATTTCTTGGAGAGGGACCCTGGATTTGAGCAGTGAGTCCGGACGGAGGGACAGGCGGCTGTCTGATCTCATGGTGGCAGGACGAGGTCGACTGCTATCCCGTGAGCGAGGGCTAGGGCGAGACTTGGAGCTCTTGGATCGTGAGCCCAGGGCGTTGATCAGAACGACGGTAGGGCGGGTTCGGGGCTCCATGAAGGTAATCTTCTGGGCCACTTGAATATCTGCCTCCTCTACTGAGAAAACAGAGGATGGCGAGGGAGATCGGGATCTAGTCTTGACATGTCGTGGCTTGGGAGCGGCATATATGGATGGCTGCAGGAAAAGACTGGATGCCAGTTGAATGGGAGAGTCCGGTGAAGGTAGTTCAAGGACCATATCTTCCTCGGGACTCAGCACATAGGCGTCTTCGCTGAAGACAGCGCTACCGTTCCTCTTCACGGTGTCTGTGGAGATGGGCCGGGCCCGTTTAGTTACTGGCAGCGACAAGAGACGCTCGTCCCGGTCCGAGTCATGGTCCATGTGTGATGAGTTGTCGGTGAGATCTGAATCGAAGATCTCACGCTGGGAATCGACAGGCGAGGATAGTAAATCTTGAGCCCCGGCATCGGATTCCGATACAGTCTCTTCATCTGATTCATATCGATCTTGGAGGCTGTGCCGACTCAAGCGGTGTAGACTGAGGGTGGCCGGTTCATACATGGCGATATTAAGAGAATGAAAATGGAAAACAGCCAAAATAGTAAGCCAAAGATTGAGTTGAGAGATATAGCGAATGGAGGCAGTTCCACGGCAGAACAGCACTAGAAAAGAGAATCCAGTCCTCGACAAAGGGTATTTAGGAGAGACCAGCTCAAGGAGACTTCAATACTCCTCTCAGGCGAAAAATGCAAAGGAGAGCAGGGAAGCGTCCAAATCGGTTCACGGGCTCTTTTAAAGGGAGTGGAACTCAGGAGCAGGGGGATGCATAATTCATATATGAAAAAAATACTATAAAAAGGAAAAAAGGGAAAAAGAGCAATGAAGAAACAAGCCATGATCCACCCAGGGTTTTTTTTCCTCCCATGTCCCTGTGCACGTGTAGAAAGGGCTAAAGCGAAGAGTTAAAGTGAAAAGAGTGATGTGATTTGGTCTCACCCTTGCATGGAGCAAATAGGAAGCAAATAGGGCGGGTTGGGGCCAGTTTCAGCGTTATCCGCATTTTTATGCTTTGGTTAAAAGGCCATTTTAATATAAAATAGGAATAATCAAGGAAAAAGTCTGAAAAAAATGCACTCAAAAGAGTAAAAAGATTAAAAGATTAAAAAAGATATCGAATGTATCAACGTGAGCTGTCTTTACCACTGGCCCATGCACCTAAGGACGCTAACCCATAGTGACCCTCCACTACGCCTCTGGGGCGTGAATGATTGGACACGTACCCCCGGATGGAGCCAAGTGATATTCCACAGCGCTTGACTCCCGCATTCTCTGTGCTCCTACAGTACTCGTACTCCGTACTCGTACTCCTTGGTTATTAACATCTGATCAATTATGGATATTCCCAATAATCTGGAAAATACTCAGGTATAAACAATAAAACCATGGAAAAGTCCAACGAGATCGGAGCCCCAAAATTAGGATCAGACGAACAAGAGTCCTCAACGCCAAGTTTAGCCGCCGCCGGAGAGCGGTGGGGCATGTATAGCTCAAACACGCTACGACGAACTCCCTGCCCTCTCTTAGCTTCAAACCGTAGTGCCTGTTGAGCTCGGTATCCAGGTACCGAAATGTCCCCGTCCTTGCTCGGAAGGGATGTTGTTCTTCAGGGGAATTTTTTCAAGGCCCTGAAGGACTAGAATGGTCCTTGTACTGGGGGTAAGCCTGTCCCTATAACACCCAGGCCTTCGAACCTACATTGTTCAAACCTGTAAACCTGCAAACCTTCAGGGCTTCAGGGCTTCAAACCTGTATTCATAGAACCTGCAACTTGAGAATCCTGCCAACTGTCCTTGAAAATCCTCTCGGCTCTTACATAAAACCTCCTTGCCTCGAACCCGCCTGTCACCGGCGAATTCTCTCCACAGAATATTTTTATCCTACGCTATTGCCAAACCATTTGTTTCTTGCAGGCCATATCCGGCAAGGACTCCGGCCTCACTATGCACACTGACGAGGTTGGATGCAGGTACGCGGTTGACGGACGGACTTGACGAATCGCAGCAATGGTCGATATTAACACGCAAAGTCTTGACACTTCGAAAATCCTCCCATGCTGTGGGTCTAGTTCCCGCTACTCTTCCGTGCACTTTGCACTTTCTCCGTACCTTATGATCCAACGTTTTCCAAGGTTTCCGTCTTTAAAAAGTACCTGTGCCAGTGGGCCTTGTCCCCATAGTACGGCGATCATCGGGCTAATAACGTCCATGCAACGTAGGATTACTCCGTATGGAGCATCGAGTCCGGAGAACGGAGTAGTCGGACGAGTATGCATCATGCCATCATTGCTTTTTTTTTCCTTTTGCTTTTGCTTTTTTTTTTTTCTTTCTTCCCTGGCATTTCCGGTTCTTGCTCTTATTGCTGTGTCTGTGCAACCTGCAGCCTGCATAGATTATGCCGTACCCATGCCCAGTCTCCAGAATATTCCGCATGGCAGCCAAGCAAGGCGCCTTGAGTTTGTTTGCAGCAAGCCACCTTATGCATCTGCGTTGCTGTTATTGAATGCTGGCTGCCCAGCCTCATATATCACGAATGGCTGGGCCATGATCAAGTACTCTTGAAGTTGGGAGTCTTCGTTGGGAGATTGAATGGCTGGCAATGAGGCTGGGTAATGACTTACTTGTACAATCCCCGGTTTGCCATGGACTTTTCCCCTATCTTTGCGTATTGCTGTCCATTACCAACCGGGCCATGAGATCTGTCACTTTGTGGCGTTTGCGCTTCGCACAGGCCATGCGATCTACTCCACGGATCTTCCAGGCTTACAGCTTGCACAGATCCCCCGTTATGATACCACACATTGTGCTTGGACGCTTGCATCGACAAGCGGTTTGTTGCCATATCAACATGTTGATGTGGTTGAGGCGGTGATGGAGAGACTCTTTCGCTTCGATCTGGGGAACCCCTGGCATCGAGAGAACAGGGTTCATGGCGTGGCAATCAAACATTTCCGTCAACCTGGGATACAACCCCGGCTGTTGAAATGTGAACCACCGCACGACCCACAGCGAGGACTGTCGACAGTTCTGCACGTCTGCACTTGGGCAATTTCCCTTATCAAAACATTGGTGTCACAGATTCACAAGCAGACATGATTACATTTATTTTGGTTTTGGCCGTCTATCGATGGGCACTATACTAATGACAAGAGGGAAAGGGTACAATCGAATGGCCTGTCAACAGGGTGATAACGACAAACATGAACAGGAGAAGAAGATGACATTATAAAATACAACCAAGGCAAGGTGATCGGGGCAAAACAGACACACCTCCCTACCCCATCGGGTCGGGATGTGTGAGGTAGAGCCTGTTGGTTTTGGCCCTGCTGGTTTCCAACGTTTCGGTGCGTGCATTCCGAGAACTCCGAGGCACATACCCCATGTCCGGGCAGTGGACCTGGCATCATGAGGTGGTCATTCATTAAACAAATATAGAGACGCATCACCCAAGAACAGCCACTCGTTCTTTCTGCTTTATTTCTCCACAGGCAGTGTGTGGGCGTGCGATCCAACGGCGCGTTTGGGACTAGTACAGGAGCCAAGCCGGCGGCCTATGGAGCTCTGTATACTTGCCCAAAAGGAAGCAGTGAAAGGCAACTAGAATCCACCTCGGATCTAGGCCTTGCGGGAGCGGGTGACCGGGCCGTTGGAGCGGCCGGTGGCACTGCCGTTGGCGCTACCGTTCTGAGGAGTGGTGGGGGGGATCTCGAAGTTCCTCATGTCAACCAGAGTCTTCTGGCCAGTGTTGCGGCGGGGACGTCCGGCCTTGGCGGCCTTGTTGTAGGTGGCGATGTAGAAGGAGATGAAGAGAACCAGGTAGGAGCTGATGATACCGATACCGGCCATGGCAGCGAATTCCTCACCGGCGCACTTGCCCATGTTGGGCATCCAGGGGAAGTAGGCAGAGGTGAAGTAGGTGTAAGAGGCGAAGTAGATGAAGCCTGGGGATGGTCAGTATATCTTTATTGGCGGATTTGGCGCTCGAAACACTTACCGACGTCAATGACGAACTGGAGAATCTGCAGCATAGTGATGTACTTCTTCCACCAAATGCGCACACCGCGGGCACTCTGGAAGTAGTACCAGTACATGACAACGTGAACCAACAGGTTGATGGTGATGGGCACCCATTGCACGGCAGTCACACCGATAAGCTGGGTGTAGCACAAGAGAGCGGTGGCACCGTGGTGGTAGGTGTGGAGGAAGGTCAAGGGCTTCTTCTTGAGGACCAGGAAGATGGTATCAATGAACTCGACGTATTTGTTCAGGTAGTTGAGCTGCGCGCATTCGTTAGGACCTTTTCCGGTCAATCGATCCACCAACAATGACTTACGTAGTATAGGATGATGAGAGGCTGAGTCCAGCCACCGCTGTGGTCACAGATGGTGTAGAACACGCCGTGTCTAACGAGAGTAGGCAGAAGCTGCTCAATGAAGAGCACCAGGAGGATGCCGCTGACGAGGGTCAAAACGAGGTTGTGGATCATGAACAAGGTGTTGAGCTTGAATGCGGGCAGCTTCTTCATGACTTCGCGGCCTCCGAAGATGATCACGTAGTAAGTGACTAGCATCATGGTGGTTTCCTTGAGGGTGGACAGGGGAGTCACGCCCTGGGCGAAGTTGAACTCGCTCGCAGGGTAGCCCATGGCCTTTTCGAAGCCGATGTCGAAGAGAGGCCACAGGTGGACACCGAACGGCCGATCGAGGGTCGGGGTGGACACATGCTTGAGGATTTCGGACGCCATTGTGACAGAGAACGAGAGAGTTGGGTTTCCAATGGATGTAGACCCCCAAGGTTATGCGACTCTCTGAAAGGAAAAAGGAAAAAAAAGACCTCGATGAAAAGGAAAGGAAAGATAAGGAAAGTGGGAGAGGCGTGGGAATTAAAAGAAGGAGAAATACTGGAGAAGACAGGAGATAATCCTACTTTTTGCGTCCGGCGCGTCCGTTGAGGTCCCAAAAGGGTTTAGCGTGGGCATAAAAAGGGGAAACATCCACTGTGTTCCTTCCGATCGCAGAACAACTTATACTTCACTTATTGGATCTTATATTCTACGGACTTGATATTATGTTAAGGTATACACTATTACTATAGTTACTTAAGTATATATCACCAATTTCCCAGAAATCATCCAGTGTATTCAACTGATCTATACTCCGGACTCGATAGCTGTCACATGCAAGGCTGCTTGTATGTGAGGAACACTCTATAGTCTAATTTATCAGTCTTTTGCCGAGGGCCCCTCCAACAATTGAGTTATTGAGATCCAGGGCTGATCGTCAGACCTGTCTGCTCATTAAATTGGACCTTCGCCGTTTCATCTCCGGAAGCCACCGTCCATGCCCCTCAGGTTGCATTAAGAATTCTGCCCAGGTGTCTTTGCCGGCCCGATCCATGGTTCTCGCGCTCACTTAGGCAATGGCATGGGAGGATTTCCAACTATCCATTTCACAATTATAGATTCATCGTCATGTCATATTATTGAAGCGAGTTTATGCTCCATCAGACCCTTGTAGGGCTACATACTTTTGGGGTCTTGAAGATCATCCCAAGTCTTGTTTCAAGATCCAGGATTTGGGGCTTTTCCAAGCTTGTTCCTCCGGTGAATCAGGAATGAAACGGCGGGGTTTCAACGTACAGTTAGAGCTATCCAGGTGGTCATTGAAATGTTGTCACCTGGGTAGTTGGGTTATATCTGAGTTCATACTCAAGTACACCCTTCTACGAAGCCGGAATATCTGGTTCTTCTACATTCTGCGGGGCCTCTACATTGGCCTCGCTCGTCAGCTTCAATGGGTCCAGGGTACTCACTGAGATGACTATACCAGTTAGTGGTGTGTCCTCGGAATCGTACTTAAGTATCGAGCATTTTAGGCCAACCTCAGATGCAGTGGTCAGATTCCAAGGTTGATATATAAACCTCCGAGGTCAGAAAATATTCACTGCGAGTTTATAGCTTTGGATATTCATTCTCAATGTGCATATAAACGCACGTTGTCCATTTGGTTATGAGGTCCTACACGAGGGAATATCTCACCCAGTACCTGTAGAGATCCCAAGCCGGATATGTTCTAGAAAACCACCTGCCATGACCTTGGCCAATGGACGCATCTTGAATGTCACAACCATTCAGCCAATCAGAAAGCCGCATTTGAGATCCAGCGATGGCGCGGGCCCAACCGGATGCATGACTCAGCACCCGTGTATCTGCCTCAGGCGTCAACACCACACCACCCGCAAAATCCTAGAGCACTTCTCACCTCCCTTCCCGTCTCCATCCCAAACCTCTCCCCTCACCATTGTTCCCGTTCGGTCCAACCGTGGTCCTCCTCTCACAATGTCCGCCTTCTCCGTCTTCCGCATGGCGACCCGCGCCATCCGCCCCAACGGCCTTTGCAGAGCTCCTCAAATCACCCGCGCTCGGATGCAGTCCCCGGTGACTCTGGCCGCCGTCCGCGCCTCCAACTTCGGTACCACCTCCAAGCTCCTCTCCGGCCACGAGGACGAGACATTCGAAGAGTTCTCTGCCAGGTACGACCCTAATCGCAAGCCATTGACGCCGGAGCGGGGGAACAAGCGTTGCACATAGGCGCTTCCCGGAACGACTATCGGCAATCAATCGGATCCAATTGGGGCATGTCGTGCTGACTGGCATTCCGATAACAGATTCGAGAAGGAATTCGAGGGTGTGCAGGATGTTTTCGAGCTCCAGGTATGGCTATCTCAACTTCACCAGCCGCATACGCAATCGACTTGCGACTACATGGCATGAGCCAACATCCAACATCCATCACAAAATATACGAACATCTATGCCCCGAACCACCAGCTAATGTCTATTTTCGCAATAGCGCAACCTGAACAACTGCTTCGCTTACGATCTCGTCCCCTCCGTTGAGGTCCTCACTGCCGCCCTCAAGGCTGCCCGCCGTGTGAACGACTTCCCTACCGCTGTCCGCGTCTTCGAGGGTACGACTCCTCCAGAGCATATTCTGATGCCCTCGTGCATATCGCTGCTAGAAACAGGCTAACGTCCCAACAGGTATCAAGGCTAAGGTCGAGAACCCCGAGCAGTACAAGCAATACCTCGAGTCCCTCGAGGGTCTGCGCCAGGAGCTTGGCGTCGCTCTCCGTGAGGAGCTCTACCCCCAGGAGTAGATTCGCATCATAAATTCTTCTTGCACGTCAATTTTCTCTTAAACAAAGAGTACCCACCCCTTGCACGTTGTTTACCCAGCACTGTTTGACTGGTTGAGGATCAGGCCGGGTAGAAGAGAAAACTGTATACATACTTCTGATCTCCTGTGTTGTTGCCACTGTTTTTTAGAAGGTCATTTGTACCTACTTGGTTGGTGCTTAATCTATCTTGATTTCATCTTGTTCAATCGTCTTCCCGAGGTTGAAGTTGCATTATCAAATGCCCAGCCTTGAATCCTCAACTATCACCTGGGTAATTCGGTTTTGTCTTGGGTAGATTCATTGGATATGGAAACTCTCTATTGAGAACCATCCCGAGTCACACTTTTGTGCCTAAGTAGTCAATATGTCACAAATTGATGGACTGCCATTTAACAGCCCACGAAACGAAACAACCCATACCTCCAAACGTGATCATGCGCAATACATATAAGTACAATGAGGACGAGGCCTTGCATCTGCCAAGGAGACAGCAACACAGCCAAGAACATAGTTTGTGACAGGGAATTAAAGCAAACATGAGAAGACAGAAATGGAACACAAAATCATCAATACACAGGTATGTGTCCGCTCAAACGCCGGGTACCAAGCCACTGGTTGTTGTGGGATATAGTCGTAGGGGTATGCAAAGTGATGCAAGGGATCAAGTCGTGAGTAAGGCACTCTCTAGATTGATGAGGCGCAAGTGAACAGATCAAACAGACCTGTCACTTAGTGTGTTCCGACATACTTGAAGTAAGTTGGGCGACAATCCTCTCGAGAGAGCCAGTCTGCGCCTTGGTAGAATTGACCAGCCTTGCAGCCGGAACACTTGGGGGAGTTGGGGCAATTGAGATAGGGAATGTGGTTATATCCAATATCACGGAACCTAGAGATAGTCCATGTCAGTGAGGATTCTTGAAAATAGGCCAGGGAATGACTTACCAGTGTACATTGGCAGCATCGGCGAACAGACCAATGCCGAGTGAGTGGACAGGAGCATCGCCCCAGCGCTCATAGAAGAATCCACCCGCACGATCGAGGTGCTGGAAGTACGCTTCATACTGCTCGCCGCGGAAGAAGTCGAGATCACCGATCTCGAAGTTGGACCAGAAATGGCAAGTGGAGTATCCGTTGGCACCCTTGGTGTGCTTAGGACGAGCCACGTCATCTGTGAGCCACTCCCACATGTTGTTATCGCTGAGGTAGGATGGGTTGGCGGCGAGGAATCGCTGGGTCTCAGGCCAGAGGGATGGAATACTCTGGGGCGCATCGTAGAGGTTGATGGTGAAACCGTAGGTCTTGTTGCCATCTTCCATGTAGCGGAACACATCATAGTCGACGTCGCAGAAGAACTTGACGTTGGGCTCGATGCGCCAATAGTAGCGGTATCCAGCGAGAGCGGGGTGCTTGTAGAACAAGCCGCTGTTCCAGCGACACATCTGGTGGTAGGAAATCTTAGAGCTGTACTGAATATCCTGCTCCTCCAGGACCTTTGCGGATTCGTAGAATAGCTCCATGTTGATCCAACTTGGCACCTCCCAGTGTTCCTTGGGGACAAGCTCTACTCAAAATTAGCTCCATGTTTTCGCGCGAGGTGAGAATTCAGGAATCCGAACCGTATTGACACTTCGCCTTGGTGGCGGCCTGGGTCTTCTGCTTGAACTCCGCGGTGAATTCAACATCGTTGAAGAAGATATAGGGGTAGTTGAATTTGCCGTTCCATGTTCGCTCTAGATCGTTCATGGTCTGCAGCAGCTGATCCAGTTCTTCGTTGCGGACAAGGGTGATAAGCGCGGCATTGGTGCGGGCTGAATTCTCGCTGTCGGGAGAGTAGTCATGTTCGTCGGCTCGCCATAAGTTTCCAGCAGGCTCTCCGGTCGCTGGAATGAATTGTTAGCATGGCACAGGGTAAATGGTTGCGATAGGAGGTATGGCCGGAAGCCGGGGGATACGCACGATCTACAAGAGGATCCTTCTTCATGCCATGGGTCAATTTTGTTCCTTCCTCAGAGGAGCTCTGATTTAATTGGAAGACGAGGAATAGACAGAGAAGAATGCATGCTGCGCCCAGCATGCGAATCGGTCGCGCAATAGCCATGATGGTGGTGTGTGCTGAAAGGGGGAAGATGGAGAAGGGAGAGACCGCCGCATATCACAGTCGCCATCTTACCATATCGGGACTAGCGTCATCCAGGCAAAACATCCCGGTATTCCCTCTTCGCTCGTGACGTCGAACATATCCAGTGATCAATGTGAGACTGTCCTTATCCTGATCTGTCCTGATCTCGTCTTGCTCCATATGTCTCATCATGGCTCTTGCGGCTGATCTCAGTACGCTTACCGATGCCTTGATCACCTCGGTTGCCAGGATATCGCCATCACAAAAGGTAGTTCTTGGAATCGTTTCAGTTTGCGAGTTTGATATTGACCGAAATTTAGGGATCAGCACGCACCCAGACTTTGAAGCGTCGGGCAACAGGGGCTCTCCGGACTGGTGCTCATACCCGCACCGACCAATTTGCTGTCGCCAAGCAACTAGAAGGTCTACAAGAGAAGTTCCAAATTCTGAATCGAGATGAACTGGCAGAAGCTCTTCAAAGTCGCCTGGCAGAACTGGAAAAGAAGCGCAGCTCCTGGCTCCCAGAGATTCTGAGCTTGTTGCTCCAACTCTCCGATCGCCCGGCTTTAGTATCTTCGGTCCAACCCCCGGAGAAAAATGCCAAAGCACCACAGGCGAAAGAATCTCTCTCTTGGTCAGATATCAGAGATGAAGGAACTGCCTTTAACGACGAAGAAATTTGGGAACAAGTTGACTTCACTGCCGACTCATCAGAAGATGACTTCTCATCTGTGGCCAGTGATGCATCTTTCCCAAGACGCAGACCCCAGTCATCCACTACAGTGGAAGAAGGGTACGTGGTTCCGGATGACATATTTCTTCCAGCAGAAAATAAAGATCTCGTGGCCTCTATAGAGAAAGCTCAGTTTTGGAAGCCGCAGAATCATTTTGCAGTACCATCGGGAAAAGCGAGCACGTCGCGATCTATCACAGAATCCCAACTAGCTCGAGAAACCATCTTCATGCTTCAGGGGCTTCCCACTTCTATATTCCGTCATTCAGAGGACAGAATCAGCGTGGATCACAGATACACACTCGCACATTCATCCAACGAGGCTCTGGCGTCACTCTTGCAATGTTTCAGCGAAATCGGTACCAAAATTGATGGCACACGGCGTTTCACCAAAGTCCCACAGGACATACCGTACATGCAGACATTCTGCAGAGGAATTGAAGAACGAATCCTTGGTTTCGACCAGGTTCTCTCACAGATCCAGTGCAAATACCTTTCCCCTGGATCCACCATCAGTCTCCTTCAACTCCTCGCCGATGTTCGTGACCACTCCCATGAGCTAAATTTGCTATCAGAGATGATTGGCAAGCTAGGCAACCACTTAACCGACCAGCCCATGCGCTGTCTTGATCTACTTTACGATTTAATATGCATGCTTGAGGCATTGGGCGATGAAACCTCATCCGGTAACCTCATAAAGTTGTTCTTCCAGTGTTTCAGAACATACACCAGGTCGACCCGACTTTGGATGGAGACAGGCCAGGTTGATGCTTTGGACAGCACATTCTTCGTGCGGACCATTCGGGAGAATGGCGACCTACGGACATTATGGCATGACTGGTTTGTGCTTGACATGGGCGACAAGAGGCAGAAGATCCCTCAATTCCTGGCAACCAGTGTCCAAAAGGTCTTTACGGCCGGCAAGAGCATGGTGTTTTTACGCCACTTGAATGCCTTGCCAGAAACTGCCGAATCCCATGAAGATGACACCACTCCAGAATCTTCACTCCCACTTCCGTTCTCTGCATTGGTAGAGTCCGAATTTGAAAAGATTGTCGATGCCGACCATTCGATAAGTGCTGGCCTCTTACGAATGGAGCTCGATCAGAAATGCGGGCTATGGTCATCCCTCGATGCCCTCTACCATGTCTACTTTGGCAAAGACATGAGCGCTACAAGCACCATTGATGCCAAGGTATTCGAGATTATGGACCGGGGCCGTCCATGGGATAGATTCCTGCTCACAGAAATAGCAAGAACGGCGTTCCTCCCCGTCCCGGTGATAGACACATCGAAAATTCTCGTGAGGCCACTGAACACTGCCCGTGGAGATGAGACGCAGACACGATCTGTTGTGTCACTGGAGACAATTTCAATCGACTATGGTCTTCCATGGCCTGTTGCGAACATCATAACGGAGGATGCAATCCACTCTTACCAACGCATGTCTACTTTCCTGATGCAAATCAGACGCGCCAAATATTCCATCGTCAAGCAGCGTCTCCGTGATGCCCGCACATCACCCGACGAGAGCGATACCTTGGTGAACGTCCTTCACCATAACATGCTCTGGTTCTTGGATTTCCTTTACGGCCACTTTACCTATTTGGTTATTTCCACATCTGTCCAAGCTCTCCACAAATCCATGTCAAGTGCGCCGGACGTCGATGCTATGATTTCTGCACACCAGCATTTCATGACATCCTTGGAAGTCCAGTGTCTGCTTTCTAAAGACTTATCGCAAGTCCACGAAGCAATAATCGGAATTTTGGATTTATGCGTCCATTTCGCAGATTTACAAACCGCCCACTCCATCGGCAATGAGGACCAAGGCTTGTATGCTGGCCATACAGGGACGCCGCATCCAAAGAAAAACTCCGAGGATGACTCAGACTCCGACGAGGACGATTACGATCATGACGAACAGAGCCACGAACATACCCTCACAGCCTCATTCCAGGACCTGAGCTACAGTCAGCAGGTCAGAAAGACGAAACAGAAATTCGACCACCTTACCACATTTGTCACGGATAGCTTGAAAGGTCTCACTCGCGCAGATGGGCCTCCTAGCTGGGATATTCTTGCTGATAGACTTGAATGGAGGCAGAGATAACAATGAAAGTCTCCAGATTTTGCTAAATGCGATACTGCTTCGAGGAATTCCAGCGTAAAGATGTCGGGAATCAGAGTCTAGTAGGGACGTCTTTGAAAGAAGATGCATTGAGTAAGTCGATCCTACGGAATAGAAATAGCTAGAAGGATAGGGAACGACCAAGCACGAGGGGAATAGCGATCAAAGCATGCAAAATGCAAAGACAACACAGTAAATCGGAAAATCGTGTTCAGCCAAAGCCTACTTTCGTGCCTCCAGGGCAGATTTAATGGCTGCGCATTAGTGTTAGTGCACACCTTTCACACAAGAGACTTTGGGGTCAATCTTACCATCACAAGAAGTCTTAGCATCCCCAAACAGCATCCGAGTACCAGGCATGAAGAACATCGGGTTTGGTACGTCCGCTATAAACCATTAGAACGAGCGATATAGACAAATCGAGAAAAACATACCATATCCGCTGGACATGCCGCGCTTCATAACTATGACCTCCTTGCTCTTCCACGCGTGGAGAACAGGCATACCGGAGATGGCAGAGTCGGGTTCCATAGCGATAGGGTTGACGGTATCGTTAGCGCCAATGACAAGCGTGACATCGGTGTCTGTGAAATCTTCGTTGATTTCTTCCATCTCCAACACGACTGTTCTCTTGTAAGTATTTCTATTCAACAGTCAGGTGAAACATTGGACTCACTATCATATGGCACTGATGCCTCAGCTAGCAGAACATTACATTGACCAGGCATTCTGCCAGCAACGGGGTGAATGGCGAATCTCACGTTGACACCACGGGCGCGCAAAAGACCAACAATCTCAGAAAGAGCATACTGGGCCTTTGCAACGGCCATTCCATAGCCGACGACGATGATGACATTCTCGGCACTGGATAGCGATTCCACAGTATCGTCGATACTAGTTTGCGTGATCTCGCCCTCGATCTTCTTCTGGCTCTCGGCCGCTGGGCTTGAGATACCACCGAAAAGAACATTGGTGAGAGATCTGTTCATATTGACGCACATAATATATGAAAGGATGGAGCCACTGACTCCAATCAGGGATCCGACACTGGTCAAGAGAGGATTATCGAGCATTAGGCCTTCCGCCACGAGAGCGAATCCGGAGTAAGCATTCAGCACAGTGATGACAACTGGCATGTCGGCACCACCGATGGCGGCTGTTGTTGTGTATCCTTTCAGGAAACTGAGTACAGTGCTGGTACCCAGACAGGCGGCTGCGATAGCAGGGCTTCCCGGTGCCATAGTAAGGAATGTGCCCATGGTTGCAATGTTTCCACCCAAAAGAGTGGAGTTGACGACATGGCGTCCAGGTAGGATTGTGGGCTTGGAGGACATGCGACCTGCCAGCTTCAAGAATGCAACAATTGAGCCGGTGAAAGTGACACCACCGATGAGAACGCCCAGGTAAGCTGTTGTCATATGAAGGGTTGTGATATCACCTATGTCAGCCATCACGCTTCCAGCACTAGTGAGGACGGCAGCTAATCCGACGACCGAGTGGAGAGCAGCGACAGTCTGAGGAAGACCGGTCGGTGTGATCCGACGACCGATCAAGCCACCAACGATAGCACCAGTGCCAGCAACAGCGGAGAACTGCGTAAGGGTTTCCGGGGAAAAGCCCACTGCCGCCAAAGACGCCAAAATACCGGACACAACACCGAGGATTCCAAAGATGTTACCCCGACGGGCAGTCTGCTGGGAGGCTAAGCTGGAGATTGAACCCATGCAAAGCAACGAGCTGACTAGATAACCAGCTTGCACTAAACCAGCCATGCCAGTGCTAGCAGCGGCAATGAAGCCACCACCGAAAACCACGGCAGGGACAGCATACAGCCAGGGGTACTCGGGAGGATCAGTAGGGCGTTTGAACATGTCAAGCATTCGCTTTGTGACAACAAAGCCACCGGAAACGTTCACAAATGCCAAGAGCACCGAAGCAGCACCTAGATATTCAGGAATGGTAGTGGGCGTATAGCCACCGCCCATGATGAACAGTCCACCAATTCCGACCATACCAGAGATCGCGTTAGTGACACTCATCAGGGGTGAGTGGAGCGCAGGGGCGACACCCCAGACTGCACGGTAGCCGACCAGACCAGCAAGACCGAAGGTCATCATGTTAGCCATGAAGGCGGGACCGGTGGCCTTACCCAGTGCGAGTGTGGTACCCATAGCACCAGTGACTGCAGTCACATCACGAGTTGTCTTCTGCCATGGGGTCAAGGCCACTTCCTCTTTTTTGGCTGCAGCTTGAACATCGGGCTTTGGGGCTGGAGGGGGAGCAGGCGGGGCGGCAGGGGGGATGATTTCACCGTTCAGAGTCACGATTGAGCCTCGTACAACTTCATCCTTGAAGTCAATTCCAAACGACTTATCCTGGGGAGCCATGGAGAGAAGGTACTTGGTGATATTGTTGGAGTACAGTGTCGAGGACTGGGTGGGAAGACGAGAGGGAAGATCCGTGTAGCCGATGACAGTAACATCCTTGTAGCGACTTAGTTCACCAGGAACTGTAGCCTCGCAATTGCCCCCTGCCTCTGCAGCAAGATCAACGATAACAGAACCAGGTTTCATGGCAGCAACCATTTCCTTGGTAATGAGCTTTGGAGCCGGCTTGCCGGGAATCAATGCTGTAGTGATGATAATATCAACATCCTTAGCTTGTTCCATAAACAGCTTCATTTCTGCATCGATGAATTCCTTAGACATCTCCTTGGCATAGCCACCTTGGCCAGATCCATCTTCCTGGAAATCCACCTCGATGAACTCAGCGCCTAGAGATTGAACCTGCTCACGGACAGCAGGGCGAGTATCAAAACCACGAACGATAGCGCCCATGCGACGCGCGGAAGCAATTGCACTTAAACCAGCTACGCCGGCACCAATGACGAGAACCTTACTTGGAGGAATCTTTCCAGCAGCAGTAACCTGACCAGTTAAGAAACGACCGAAGTGATTAGACGCCTCCAGCACCGCCTTGTATCCAGCAATGTTGGCCATGGAGCTAAGGGCATCGAAAACCTGTGCACGGGAGATACGCGGGACGCGATCCATTGCAAAAGAGGTAACACCGCGAGCCGCGAGAGCTTCCACAAGAGGCTTGTTTTGAAGGGGATACACGAAAGAGATGATGGTTGAACCTTTGCGCAGAGCCTGGATTTCATTGAATGGTCCCTCGGACTGTGGACTGCGGACCTTCAGTACGATATCACTCTGAGCCCAAATTGCGTCGCGGTCGACCATTGTCGCGCCGGCTTTTTCGTAGGCATTGTCTAGAAGCTGAGCACCCTCGCCTGCACCACGCTCAATGAGAATGCGTGCGACCCCCTTCTTTAACAACAGAGCCACATTCTGTGGAGTGATTGCGACGCGGCGTTCCCCCGGATATATCTCCAGCGGGACACCTACAGTCAATGCCGAGTATGGAGTGGAAACAGGCTCTGGTGACTCAGAGGTTGTTGCAGACCGAGTAGAAGAAGGCCATCGGGACTGGGGTACACAAATGCGTTTCTGTGCAAGGAAGGCAGCGTGCCGAATCGGAGCTATTAGCGTACGTCAGTAACCGAGCATAGCTCCCAAGCCATCAGCCCCCATCAGCCCTAGAGAAGCTTACCCGAGCTCGGAACGAACGACCTATGCGCAAAGACCCCTAGACAGGGCCGCAGAGCTGCACGCACCGAACTCATCTTGAGTGCGAAAGGTGCATACGAGTAGAGTCGGGATTATAATTTAGGGAAGAACCGGGGGTACCGCATCCGGTCCGGAACGCAACCACGCCACTGAGTATTTTCCCCACTGAATTCAGGTACGCAGTATATTCAGGGGATTGAAGAGAAAAGTAGAGTGATGTTGAGAAAAGGAATCAAAGCACAGAAAGGAGGGGAAAATACCTATGAAAGCACCGATTCTCGGCAGTGCAAAGAGACCCAAGCGAAGTCCCAAAGAGGGGAAAGTCGCAGATCGGCTGAGAGGTATGTTTCATTGATTCTTGTTTCATTAATTCTCGTTGGTTATTGTTCAATGCCCAGGTATCTGTTTGGGCTAATCAAAGAGCTCTTCTCTACTTAAGTATACTCCGCGTACTTCAAACGCGGGGGAGCTTTCTCCACTTTTTACTCGCATTTACTTGCAGTCGTAGGATTTTCAATATTACTGCATTGTTGGAACATTCTTTTTTCTTAGAAAGCTCAGCAAATAGAATGTCAACTTTTGCCAACAGACATAAATTAATATAGCAAATACGATCTATCTCATTACGGGATAATTTTCAAAAGCCAGGCACACAGTACATCATCGATGAACCGGTCCCTGCTCTGAGTGAACTTCCTCCACAGTCTCAGTAGCGCCCTTGCTATCAATGAAGTGGGTGATACGGTCGGAAGGAAGCCAAGCACTTTCCGGCATCATGAAGTACGAGATCAAGGCCAAGATAGTAACTCCAGCCATGATAATGGGGGCGTCTAAAGAAATATTGTTAGCGAGGTCACAAATGCGAGTGGAGAAAAAACGTACAGTTCAAGTTCTCGCCAGTGACAGGCCACGCGTAGGGCGAAAACAGGATAGCGACGACCCAGCCATTCCAGAACACACCAATGAGCTGGAAAGGCTTGCTCCACCGACCGAGACTCCATTGCGGCTTGGGGAATCGGGTCGGGGTGCAGAACAGACGACCAAGGCAAATCAGACCGTAGGCTGCAGCGCTGGGGACACCGGCGGCCGAGACGAGGGAGGTGAATGCCACATTGGAGGGAAGGATGGTGCAAGTGACCAGAGAGGCGACACCCCAGACAACGATGACGGCGTTACGGGGCTGACCGTTGTTGACCTTGGAAACCCAACCCGAGAAGGGAAGGACACCGTCGCGGGCGACTGCGAAGACGAGACGCGAAGCGGCGATAATGGCAATGGCGGTGTTCTAGCAGTGTCAGCATGAGGGATTTTTTATCGGAAGATGAGAATGGCTTACCAGCCACAAGGCGAAAATGCAGATGAAGTTCATAAAGATGTGGCCGCCGTCGCCAAGAACGGCAGCGTACAGAGGCACGAATGGCTGAGGGGAGCCGAAGCTCATCAGCGTCTCCGTATCGGGCTGGAGGGAAAAGTTAGTATTTCACTTTGGAGGAATCGAGATGATAGAAACGAACCGCGCAGAATAGGAACAGGATAATTGTAGCGAGACCGCCAAATCCGCTTGCAACGGTACTCCAGAAGATACCGCGGGCAGCAGTGACTGAGGCGTTTTTGGTTTCTTCCGCAACGTGACCCGAGGCATCGAATCCAATGAGAATACCAGCAGTAGCCAGGTAAGAGAGACACCAGTTCCAGCCGTCTGGGGCTCCGGTTCCATTATAAGTGGTCATGAAAGCCTCATGGGTGGTACGGAAACCCCAGGTTTGTGCGACTCCAATGGGCAACCAAATCAGGTTCAGGAAGAAGTCAAGCATGACAACTGCCGCAGAGAACCAGAAGACATACTTGAAGTATCGGGCTACAGTGAGCGGTTAGAATGGATCGCGAAACAAAATGGGACGATACGCACGAGGCATGAAGTTCAGCAAAGCAGCAAACGCAAGCAAGACTTCAGTGCAGATCCATTGAACCGCGCGGAAATTGACACTGTCAGTGTCGGACGGGAAATCGAGCTTGAAGACAGTGATTTCCTGAAGCGCCATGTTAGAACAACCCAAAGAGAATCAAACAACCGACTGAGAGGGGAAAAAAAGCATACCGAAAGCATATAATTAGCAGCAGCCTGGGTGTTGCCTACACAACTGTCAGTATCATATCAAATCCAACCTGCAAATTGCAACATACTGGCACAGAAGGTCGTCCAAGCAGTGGTACTCCACCAAGCGACGATGAAACCCAAGAGTCGACCGAATCGAGGCCCACCAGCCTCAGCCGCCCACAGATAGATCGAACCCGCCGACGGGGAGGCCGAGCAGACCTCCGCAATAACTGCAGCAGTAATAAAGGTGAACACCATGGTCACCAGGTAACTGGTCCAGTAAGCCAGGTTACCACCGGCCGCGATACCGGTACTGAAAGTGACGCGAACACCGCCAACAAAGTACAGCGCAGCTAGGCCGGTCAGTAATTGTGCATGCATACTCTACGCAGCGAGAATGACATACCGAAAGTGGTCGCAAAGTTCTCGAACAAAGTGTATGTTCGGTGCAGAACCTATGTGGACAGTCAGTTGGCGATTGTCGATCAATCCCATCTATACGGGTCGGCATACCGGCTTATAGCCCATGGTCCGCTGGAAGGTCCTGTTAGCCAAGTTCTGTCCTGTGCATTGCGCAACTGGATTATCGGGTCTTACCAGCAAGGCCGCATCATCTTGGGCTTTGATCTCAGCTTGATCACCTTCGCCCTGACTGCCGTTGTCGAAACCGTTGTCGAGACCGTTGTCGAGGAGGTCGGCGTGACCGCTGACGTCTTGCGGGGCCATGACTTAATGCGTGATCAACCAGCACCCGAAAACACACAAAGAAGGCAGAAAAGACTTCAGTTCCTGGATGTTTTGGATTGTCGCAAAGATATAAGAAATTTCAGGATAGACTTTTGCTCCGATCACGCCGGTTTTCCGCCCCCGGTCAAGTCGACCGCGTTGACCCACTCAGCGGGAAGCGCAGTTCCACCAGGTTAATTCGTAACTGGTTTCTGGACCTTTGGATGATTTGCGACTTTGGATTTTGAGTTGAGGTTGTGCGGGTCAGGATTACAGAACCAAAATAAAAAGTAGCCCTGGACCTCCGGAGTAAACTCACCGGAGTTTTACTCGCGAAGAACCGAAAAATCCAGCGGAAAAAAAAAGGCCTGGAAAGTCTGGAAAAACTCCTAAAGTTCCAGCTAATCGAGCTAAGATTAAATCAGATGGTATGGAGTTCTCGTGTTGGGCTCGGAGCTGTCTGGTCCGTGGGCAGATTTCCCCTTACGACCAGATAGTATGATGTATATTTGCTGAGAAGTGAGAATCGAGAATTGAACGTTGAATGAATATCCCAGCGTTACATTTAATGCGTGGCAATCGCGTCTCCTCGCAGAATAAAGACGCTCTTATAGAAAAGGGTCCGTGCGTGGCCGAAACCGGTTATCGACCCACACTCGACTATACTCGTACTTACTCGTATGCACTCTGGCACATCTCTGGGCTGATTCAATACTTAAGTATTCTTGTCTATTCTATCTTCTCCTCTAATATCTCTTGAATAGTACGGATATCTATCACGGTATCTTCATAAACTACCAACCCTGAACCTCACCATTGTAGAGCACAACCCTTCCACCATGTTGCTCCTTGGTCGCCTTGGTAATCACATCCACAATACCACTGGTAGATTCCTCCACGGTGGTGGGTGCGGTGCCATATCCCCAGGCTGCTGCTGTGGCGTTGCCCATGTCGGTTTGAACCCAGCCCGGGTCAATAATGAAGGTGTTGAGCCACTCATCTTCCTTGTTGATGCGAACACCGTACCAGAGAAGACTGGATTTGGAAGCACCGTACACTGCATTAGGAATATCGGGCTGGTTTCTGAAGCGAACGTCAGTAATCCGTATCTGTGTTTACATCCCCAAAGGCTTGATTGATGTCACGTACCCTAGGGATCCAGTTCCAGAACCCATAATGCTAAAGGCGGGAGGGCTCAGAATGGACTTTTGCAGGAGATCCCGGGTAGCTTGGTAAAGAGACAGCACGCTAAGAACGTTCACTTGGAAATGCTCAAGGATATCGGCTCTCTTCGCATCCTTGGCGAGAGGGTACACTTTGGCGATACCGGCATTGGCCAAGACATAGTCGAAATGATCAACGCCTTGTTCAGTGGCCTGCTGGACAGCATCGAAGGCCGATTGCTCAACACTCGCGTCATACTTCACCACGATAATGCGACTGCCCTCGCCAGTTGGCAGCTGGGGTAACTTCTGCGCAGAGTCGTGTGCGGGGTCCCGCACTGCAGCAACAACAACCTACATATGCCCTGCGTTAGCGGCTGTCATTGATGGTTTTAATTAAGATAGATCTCACATAGTTTGGTTTGGCAGCGAATTTCTGTGCAATTGCAAAACCCAGCCCACGGTTAGCACCGGTGATGAAAGCGACGGTAGGAGCCATTATAGAACGGTAGGTCGAAAGTGACACTGAGTGACACTGGTTAATTGATGATCGGCTTTAGAATGAGAGTCAGGAGTAGATCCGAACCGGGAAACCGAGTGGCAGAATATCTACTCTAAATAGGTGACTTCGTTGCAATGGTTGGAGAATGCTGATTTTTAATCCAATCCATCGTGTAATCTATTTAGCCCTTAGAGCCCTCTACATAGAGGCTAGAGGAGCCCTAGTTGAGGGTACATGGACTCATCGATTGGTTGAAACAGCTTACTAACAGTTTCTCCTCAGGGTTGGAGGCGCATACCCCTGCAGCTGTCGTGATGCGACCTCCAAATAGTTGGAGCAGTAAAGTTAGCGCTATCGCGCAGGAATTTTGCGTCTTTCTAGAACAAAGAAGCGGACCAAGAAGCGATCCTCTGACGGCAATGTTGCAGCGTCGACGGAGTATTCCAGCCCACTTGAGCAGCTCGTAGACTCGTAGATTAATTGGAGATTGGGGATCTTGTGGGGGCTACCCGGCGTCTCCGATGTCACTGGATGCAAGAAAGGAATGTCTCGGGGCTTTCCCGGGCGAATTTCTTGGGCTCCACTTCGAGCTTTGGCGCACTAGGACCATATACAGAGGCTTTTTTAGGCAATTCCTGTAGAACCTCGCTACCATATTCAAGACTAATGTGAGAGAAATGATTTTCCTTAGACTATTGGGAAATAGAATCACTGTACAACAGTCAGCAGCGAATTGATATCAAAACGAGCTGACCCCCACGTGAAATGAGTAACACAGCCTATGCCATGCTAGCCGTGAAAGTCTAGTTACTCAAGCTTTAGTTTTTTTTTTTTTTGTTTTTTGTTTCCTAATATCTAAGACATGTGATGTCTAAGTATATGTGGCATCCTAGGGAGTGAAAATTTGGGGATGGGAAAATGATTGAACTCGAGAGCTTCCAAGGTTGAACAAACAAGGTACTAGGTAAGGAGTACAGAGTACTCGAGTACGCCACTTCTGAAAGGCCCTCACTAAGCCTTGAATCCCTGTCATTCAGGTTGCCTAAAGACAAATTGAGAGACTCTTGAAGTCGTAGTATCCCATAACCTTGGAAACACGTAGGCCGCAATGAGTAGAGAAGACTGACCTTCTAAGCAACTTTGGCCCACGTGTGTCACATAGCTCTCTCCAAAACACCGGGGCACTGTTAGAGTTTGATATGATGCGATTTTTTTGACTCTACAAAACTTTAGAACGTGAATTGGAAGCCCAAATTTCGGAAATGTTTGTACCTAGTACCGGTACCTCCGATTTGCCAACTTGCATATAGGAGGATACTTTGCTGGACTGGGATGGCATATATGCTGCCATCCTACCCTCCAGGGCTGAACGTCTTTTTGAGTCCCAGTAGCCCTGGTGGCAAACTGCGAATTTCTAGTTCCAGCGAGTCATATAATCAAAAACAGCTTTCCTCTTGGTATTGTAAGACAGTTTCCATTTGAGCTAAAATGGGTTCCCAGTTGCTGTATCATCATGGCAAGCAGTTACCTTGGTGTTTAGACCAACGGAAGAGATAGACGAGACTCCAGTCATCGGCTGAAGTAACACACTATGCATATCATTGATTCCAAGTGTCCTCCAAGGCTTCAGATTAGGCTCCCATAACAAATTGTGTTTTTACAAGCCCAATAGACAGCTTGTCATCTAGCCCAAAAAATTGTGTTTATTTGCATGGCTCGCAAGTGATAGCCGGACGTTCCAAACACAAACTCAACTTTCGCACTATTTTCAGGCGTAGAGCGACCTAGTCCTAATCATTACCAGGTAATGTCATTGACATCGGATGTGTTTGAATTGATGTGAATGAAATCACCCATACTCGCAGAAAGATGCTATCATCCGAGCAATTCAATACAAGCGACTTCAGCAAAAGGTTCAAGTCGAGATTTGGAGAATCAAGCCACACAAGTGAGCGACTTCTGGAAGAAAACACTGTTCAATTTCGTCGACCAATCAAGGTTCCAATTATCGTATCGCTTTACGCCTGCTGTTTGTTGGTTGCGTGGTCGATAATATGCACGTTTAGCAGGTGCCTTCTAGTGCCGCTACCAAAAGATTTCTACAAAAACACACAGCTCGGGACATCCAAGCAAGAAGCAGATGCTCATGCTCATATCAATATCAACTTGCGTTGGTATCGAACAGCCCGAGTACTCTGGGGAGTCGCCAGCGTGCTGACACTACCTTTGGCATCTTCCGTTTGCTCATTTTTTGCTGTCGGCTACGTGCAGGCCTAGAGATATCCTAAGCGGGGGCCTACTCTAAGACAGACTCTGACTCTCACAGACAGAGGATGGACTAATCCTTGTGTCATCTTTTCTTTTTTCGGGCACTCCAGAAAAGAGTGTACATCGTTCCTGTGGGTGGTTTTGTTATTACACATAGTGGGTATGTTGAAGTGATTGAGGCTTACCGAGTCTCATGCCTTTTACTTATGCAACTGACTTGAGGTTATAGGAGGAGTCATCAATCCCCTACAACAACTTCTTGTTGGCCAAGGGATTGGTACAATCGTCTTCCCCCCGACTGAAATTAAAACATTCCATGATATCACGTCTCTGACCGACACCCATTCACTCGCATATAGGGATACAGGTGCCACGGTGGCTCGGCTGCGACCTACACTAGTCAATGCACACACCAGCGGCACATCTAATTATATATGGCAAGGGAATAGTTCATGCCACTTTAATTCCTCCAATAGCGAGACTCCATCCTTATTCAAATGCCAACGGGCCACAGTCAATTCTGTCCCATACACTCCTTCAAATGCCACGCTTGATCTATTCACGTCGCCTATGGCACCCACGACAAACACGGGGATGTTGCGACAGTTTGCACCGAGAATGAACTCATCCTTGTCATGGACAGATATACAAATCGAGGATTTTCCTCGCAACTGCTCCCAGGGCAATGGATTTTTCCGAAACTATACGTCTCCGATAGATGAAAACTCAGGACGATATTACAGTTTAAGTGTGTGCATGCAAGGAAATCTCAGTCACACACCGTTCAAACGTACCCGGAACAGACAGGACTTCAACGAGACCGTCTTCATATCCACGAACTATTTTGCCGACGAAGCGACTCCGGGAAATACAACGTGGAAATTGACGTTATCATCGACTCTGGGATACTTCGAACTCCCAAACAAGAAAAGAGGGGAATCGTATGGTCCACTGCTCGATCAAGATCCATTGCTGAATTGCACTCCTCCGCGTTGTAGTGGACAGTGAGAATATTCAACCCCAATTTGAGTAGTGAACACTTGACTGATCTAAAGATAATACAGACAACCACCTACTTCCAGACCCCCCAATTACGGATATGATCAAAATGGGAACTGGTATCTCGATCTGGTACCAAGCAAAGGGCCATTGGCAGTCCTGACCCTGGCATTTTTTGGAAACGACTCTTTTATCGACACGCACAACGACATCTCAGGTTCATTCCACCGAGCGAATGCACAAGACGATGTCTGTTATGGCTATAACCCATTGAGCCTGGTCATGGGGGAAGACGAAGAGTGCTCGAGTGACAGTTCATTTGGAGATAGGGTTGCTACGTGGGTTAGTTATTTTTCAATGGCCGAATATGCAGTCAGTGCGCTCAGCCAAGCGTCTTTGATTGCAAACCATGCGATTTTAGCATCCGCTCGAGGTGGAGAAAAATTGACAATATATGAGAGAGGAAGTGTGGATTAATCAAGGCCTGATATTTCGGCTGCGTCAATGACTGTTCTCTGGCTTCTGATTGCGACTTATCTCTCCGCGCTGATTTTACTGTGTTTCCTGGCTACCATGAGTGTTGCATGGGCTGACTCTCTCGATAGTCATGCCATGGTTGCGATGACGGCTTCATTGTGCAGTAGAACAAGTCTTCTGAGTGACCATGAGCCTGACGAGAAGGATCTGCTTGATGCTCTTCCAGGATACGTGGGCGATGCAACACCGGATTCACCAGTTGGAACACTGGGGATTGGGGCCAACTCGCCATTGAAATGGAATCGACGATACTGGAAGAACAAAGACTTAGCACTGTGATGTTTATTGTGGCATATTAAAAAAAAAATCATGTTCATCCGAAATTTCGTGTATCTGATAAAGGAAGTAACAAGTTCATATAGTACATGCCTCTTATACATGACAGAATGCCAGCAAGTTAGTTGACAATTAAAGAGGGCCTCAAGGGTTGGAGAGGGGGTATCAAAAAATGAAAACAAAAGGGAATATTTTGGAGATCGTGGTGATCGTTAGGGTGGATTTGAGGGTATAAGTAGTGCCAGGGGAGTGACATCGTAGATCCAGGTGATCTACTTTGACCGAGGGTATCAAGCGAAATGCTGCATTTTTCTCTCACGGGAGAAGGATGTTTGTTTGGACTTCTTCCAAAGTCTGAATCCACCCGCCAGGAAAAGAGCGTCGTTTAAACCAAACGCCTTCCAGAAGCTCCAAGGCTTTATCGACGTTCTATATTGAGTGTTAGCATCTGATCACAAAGCTTGACGGAGCTTGTACACACCTTGAAGCCAAAACGCTTCAACTGCTCCATGGTCTGGCGAATGTATTTTTGTTCATCTTCGCTCCGAGTTTCTTGCCCGGCGATAAACAGTGGCCATAGGACAGCCAGCTGACCGACGCCTTTTGACAAGTTCAAGATCAGCAAGATGATCCGACTGACAAGCATGTCCATGTATGTCCAATCGGTGATCCAGCCTACACGCCCAGATCCAGCAATCTGAAGCAAATGGACGAATGTCGCCTTCTCGTATGCCTCAATACACCCCGCGTATTCGAGAACCTCCGGATAGGGGTATTGAGCAAGGCTCTCTTCGTCCAGATCCGAAAGGAGCTGCAGGCTAGGCGGGGCCATTGCTCGCCACACGACCAGTTGATTGAAAATCTCTTTATAGGTCATATCTGACTGATCGATAGTCATCCATGTCTTTTTATCGGATGCGAAAGTACTAATCGTCGCCTGCACTTCCATCAGGCTTGACCATGCTTCACGCAGCTCAATCAAGAGAGGATTGTCAGGGGTGGTGGTTAAACTTGGGGTCCCAAGATTGTACTCCCATCCTCCGCCCATGGTTTTCCAGTAGCTGCCTTCCACAACGGTGCCTCCTGGGGTCGCGCATGCGCCGGCCACATCGAGATAGGAGAGCAAAGATACAAGGAATGACCGGAGTGGGTGATTTGTCTCAGCAACGCGCTGCACTTCACGCGCCGGACTTCCGGTATGCGGGTAAAAGAGGGTATTGTAGATTTCACGAGCGCCCTTAAGGTGCACTGCCCAATTCTGATGCTGGGAGTCCATCATCTGCAAAAGCGTCAGCGAATTCCGTGTGTAGATTCCATAGGAGAGTGGGAACGTACCTCGAAAAGACATAGCAGTAGGCATGTTGCGAAATCCGTCAACCCAAGGTGCTGATTGGGATCTGCATATCGTGCTCGAAATCCCCTCACAACCAACCCATATTTTCCCATCGCTGTTTGGGAATGCTTATCGCGTTGCGACCCTTCCGACGTATTTGCGAGATGTAACGCGCCCAATGCCTGCATCGCGTTCACCATTGTCGGAGATGATTTTGCAAATTCCGGGAATAACGTGCGGTAGGGGTTCGCGTTATCGGGACAGTCGTAGATAATTAGGAGCGTTGAGACTTGATCAATGAAGTGCGCGAAATAACGCTCGTCGGTGCGCTGAATTGACCTCGTCACGCTGGCCGGCGTAACGGGATCCTGGAAGCGGAATTGGACAGTCGGCTGGGGCAGCACAGTGGAGGACACGACTTCCGTGCACTCGTCTCCCTCTTCTCTTTTGACGGTCGGAACCACAGCAGTCTCCCTGGACTCCGGGCTCGATGTCGATTTTTTCTGCCGTCTCTTCGGTGCCCTTGAGGACTCGGGTGTAGGCTCGGGTGCCTGCGAAGGCCCGTAGACTTTGAAGGTCATCTGACCCTGCGCTCCGTCGCATTCGCGGCCGAGTCGAACACAGTTATTGCAGGCGGGGGAAGCCTCGTCGCAGCGGACATGGCGGCGGCGACAGGTCGAGCAGCCCGTGAAGCCTCGGTGGTGCCAGCGGCGGGTGCGTTTGCGTTCACTTGGTTGTGAATCCGATGTATCCGGTAAGGGTGCGCCCACCGTTCGTCTCTCCATCGGGCGAGAGGGGGCAGGTAGTGTTCATGCATCGATACCGAGAGGGCATCAATTTTGGTTGCGGAAAACTCGCAAGGCTCGCGGGGGCGCTAAGCGGGAAAACGTAGGCGCAGGCGCGCCCTCCAGTCAACATCCACAAAATTGACCTGGTCACAAGTAATAGATTTTGCGCAAAGTGGTACTTTTGAAAGCCAAGTGAGGTCTTTGAATTTTTAATTTCAGTGTCCATGCACTGGCGCTTGGGGCGAGATGTGGCACCTCACATCGCCCGTTTTAACCACAGGTTTAATAACCTCTCCAGCACTTAGCTCAACAGCAGATCAACGGAAAAAAGAGAGGGAAATTAAAAGGTAATAGACTCCAGTGTTATCGGAATTCTACCTTACTTGTCGCACTACGCTGAAATGGTAGAATCCTCTGGCCATGTCAACAAAGCCCTCAACTAGAACCACAGGCTATTATGCAGTTCCAAAAACCAACACTGCCATCAGAATTGCCCGAAGAAATCTATTTAGAGAGTTGGATGCTCCGACAAATGCCAACTAGTCAATCGTCAATCATTTGTCGTCGTATCGAACTAAAATGGGCATTAGTTAGTTCCTAATGACGGCCACACACCTAAGTCTACGAGTACAAGTAACTCACGATGCATTCTTCGAAAGCTACACTCGAATTCAAATTAGCACCCATGGCAGCCCGAGCAATCGTCACTGGTACTCCGATATGCACCGCCTATTGATCTGCCTGTTCCAAGACAACCTTGGTGGCGCGCAGGGGCATTGACAGCAGCCCGCGTAGATTTGAAATGAGCTGCCTCTCGACCGTATGCAATTCTAATTGAAAACAAAAGACAGGCATACTTAAGTAACTGTCAAGATCCAAGGGCAATGGTTATGAAGATCATTGCTATCCAGGCCCGCTTTTATAGCTTCGGCCAAGGTTGACACTGAAACAAGGGGTACGAAGTCGATAGGCAACTACTTGCCTTCTCTTGACAAGATCCAGGAGCTAATCGTCGACTCTGTCTAGTGCAATGCGGACCTCATCCCAGGAATTGCAGCATGTCGTTGTCGTGCCATTCAGTGATGAGAAGTGGACACTAGGGGATCCTCATGGTGCATTGCGATGATCTGTTGAAGGAATGGAATTCACACTTGGGTCATAGCAGGGTGCCTAGAAACTCCAGAATAGTCAAGAAATGCATAATTAACCAGACCACCCGGACTGGGCTCAGAATTGTTCTGGGAGGGGTTGAGAATGGCTGTGAGCCCCCACGTTGGTGGTTTTGCTTATTTCCCAACAGGTACGACGATCAGCCATGAGAAAAGTGTAAATTATCCCAAACCATCCTCGGGCGAAGTGGGCGTTTTGAAGATCTGTACTTCGTATTGGTCTGAAACGTTGAGTGAGCGAAGTTATCTTGGGAGATCCTTGAACTCTTATCGATTTCCTCAACTGTGAGTGGTTTCATAGAACAGGAGGATTATTGAGCATGGTCTGTCTGTTAAAGAGCTCGTACATGCTACATGCACTTTTTCTGAGCTGGAATCAGCAATTCGAAGCTCATAATCATGTCTGAGATATTTCAGTTGCTGGAAATACTCGAAGGATCCTCAAGTTTTCTGCGGAGACCAATGATATGGCAAGACATCTTGTCATTTATTTATGACAAACTATCTCGCCCGTCGTTCTCTGTCATTGTTCGTTCTGAATGGAGGATTGTACTATTGTCTCCAAAACTTCTGCTTTCAAGAATTTACGTAAAAAGCATGACCTTAGACGCGAGTAGTCTGTACTCGGGTAGGGTAGAATGGGTCATTCAAGTTGCAAGATTCAACATCCAATCATGAATTGGGCCCCTTCATGATGAATGTCAAGTTCATACCTGTATAGTTGACAGGCTGATGCGGGGAAGGTACCTTCGGATTTCACTCCGATTCTTGTCTGCCGAAACCCCTCTTTGAAAGTTAACCCCTGGAGAGCTTACAAAAAGCCATTCGAAAGTCTCAAAGTTTCCATTTCTTCCAGATCAGCAATCGAACAAATATGTCTCAGAGATCAAGACTTCAAGGCAAGGTTGCCATCGTCACCGGTAAGAACTAATCCACTCGAACTTCCCAGGACGCGATTCACCAACTTTCTTCAAATAGGAGGAGGCTCCGGTTTTGGAGCAGCCATCGCGCGGCGTTTCGGCGAAGAAGGCGCGAAGGTCATTGTCGCCGATATCAATGTCGAGGGCGGCGAGAAAGTCGCTTCCCAGAACGCTAGCAACCTAATCTTCCAGCGCATGGACGTCACCCAGGAATCAGATTGGAATGCGGTTCTGGATTTGGCATTCTCCCAGTTTGGGCGAGTGGATGTGTTGGTGAACAATGCCGGGACTAGTTATCGGAATAAGGTGGGTCGATGCGCTGTATAGTCGAGACCTTGTGCTCATGTGTTTATGCGAACAGCCCACGTCGGAAGTCACTGAGGATGAGTGGGAGCGTGTCTTCAAGGTCAATGTGAAAAGCATTTACTTATCTGCGAAGACCTTCATGCCGCGTTTCATCGATCAAGGTCAGGGTGGGTCTGTGATTAACATTTCCTCGACGGGAGCGAGTCGGCCACGACCGGGGTTGGTGTGGTACAATGCTTCCAAGGGAGCAGTCACGAATGTGAGTTGAGAGATATAACATGAAGAGAAGGGTTTTGCTGATTGCCGATCCAGGCTACCAAGGGTCTCGCTGCGGAGTATGGTCCCCACAATATTCGAGTCAACAGTGTTGCTCCCCTCCTCTCCGGAACTGGGCTTTTCTCGATGTTCACTGGAATGGAAGATACTCCCGAGAACAGAGAGAAGTTCATTGGAAATGTTCCACTGGGTCGCCTCACTGAGGCAGATGATATTGCGAATATGTGTCTTTATTTGGCTAGCGATGAGGGCCGATTTATCAATGGCACAGAGATGGTTGTCGATGGTGGAAAATGTATCTAAACATTTAGTGTTCAATATTGAATCTTTGATCACATCAATGATTCCTGGAGCTCCAACTCTTCCGCTGAAAACAACAAAGCAGTCCTGTGGAACTGTGTCATAAATTGGCTATTTTATTCTATGTTCCATATCTAAAACCGTCTATTTTCAACAGCAGGCTGGTTCCCAACAGCAGCCTCAATCTTCTCAATGACTTCGTCGGTCAACTTGTCAACAAGTTCCAAAGCCCGGATGTTATCCAAAACCTGCTGCGGCCGCGAAGCACCAGTAATCATGGAGGAGATATTAGGGTTCTTCAAAATCCACGCAAGGGCCAACTGCGCGGTAGGCACACCCAATTCCTCAGCAACCGGCTTCAAGGCCGCAACTTGGTCCAATTGACGCTGCCATGTATCATCGCCGACAGTCTTGCGCAGATTTTGCACATAGCCATCGTTTGACTCTGCCAGGCGCGAACCCGACGGTGGTGCAGAAGCATCATTATACTTGCCGGTCAACACGCCGCCCTTCAGCGGTGAGAAGACCGTCAGACCGAGCCCGTGGGCATCGTATAGCCAGCGGTATTCCCGCTCGACACGCTCGCGCACCAGAAGATTGTACTGTGGCTGCTCGACGACTGGACCCACCAGACCCAATTTGTCGGCAATGCGCCAGGCATCGGAGATCTCGCTTGCAGACCACTCGGAGGTTCCCCAGTAGAAGGCCTTGCCGTGGTCCAGGAGGTAATTGAAGCCGCGGACGATTTCTTCCATTGGGGTGTCGCGGTCTGGCCGGTGGGCATAGACGATATCCACGTATGGAAGGTCTAACCGCTGGAGAGAGAGATTCATGCCCTCGATGATGTGCTTGCGGGAAAGGCCATTGTTGTTGAGGGGTTTGTTTGGGTTGGCGCTGTTGGCCTTGCCCCAGTAGATCTGAGGAAACGTGAGTAATCCAGAGCTTGAAAGTCTGTCTGAGTTGTTCTTCATACCTTGGTGGATATGACCAAGTCATTCTGCTTCCAGCCAAACTTTTTAATAGCTTCTCCGAGCACGACCTCTGACTGACCGCCGGAGTATACCTCGGCTGTGTCGAAGAAGTTGACACCGGCATCGTATGCAACCTTCATGCATTCAAGAGCGGTTTCTGTGACCAGTCAGCCGTGGCCCATGCAGTTAATTTCCATTGGACTCACCATTCCCGACGTGTCCGCCATATGTAAGCCAACTTCCCAGTGAGATGACCGAAACCTTCAAACCGGTCCGGCCGAGGAACCGGTATTGCATTTCAGGAAGGGCTTCAGACATTTCAATGGATAGTTTAATGAAGTAATTGAATACAAGTTCAGGCACAGGGGAATGGACCCTTTATAATCGGAGACCAGACACGGGCCGACGCGGGGTAAACAGACGGCATCCGCGGCGGGACTCGCTCCCCCATTTCCCCGATTGGGACGCCGAACGCGGGCTTGGTGGCGCAGAACGGGAGCTTCGCACGTTTAGCCTAATTAGCTACCCCACGTTGCATTTCTTCAGGTGGATCTTGCCTTGACTTCCAGGCATATAACCGCTACTGTTATTAGTCCATTTTCGGATTGGTATAGACAATGGCATCTACGAAGAGAATACAAGCATTGTCTCGCAGAAAACTGTTAGAAAACGCAGACAAATGGCCAAAGGCAGGATTATGACGAGATTATTAAAGAAGTCTGTCGTGATTTTCGCCATATTGCCGTAATCCCCGAGCTCCACAGCCAGCATGTCTCTGAAGCTTTCACTTCTCCCACTTCTCCCACCAGCGCCAGAGTGCACGATCAACATTCCAGGTTTCGTAAGGATTCAGGGTCTATAGTGACAAGCTCAGCAGCCAGGGCTCCCGGTGACCCCATTAAAGATTGGAAAGATTGGTTTCTTGGTTGGGCAGGCGCCGAGGCGCCTCGTTCTCGCGCAATCTTGTAGCTTGAAGGCGTTACCAGCCAGCTTGGGTCTTTCTCCTCATCGACATCATAAGACCCCAGGAGGAAAAGCAAGGCGAAGCCGGTGTCTGAATTCATTTTAGTTAGCGTTCAAATACTAGAACTCTAGCTTAAGGACAAACTCACCAGGTGTTTTGGGAGAGCTCATAGGGTTGGATTCCACACACACCCGGTGGTACACCCCGCGGCCACCGTAAGACGGGTTAGGGCTCAAAGATGAAGGACTCGGACTCAGGGAGTCCTTGCTCTGCTCACTGAGATCAGAATCCTGACTGGTCGCTTCCCCAAATCTTCCTGAAAGAGATGCTCTCTAGAGGAAAGCAAAATGTTTTTCCGAGGTCCTTTTAGGGAGGTTGGGGACCCTAGAATCTCATCTTCCTCATGCGTGAAGTCTTCTAGGTCTGAAGAGTTGTCGTCCTTGATCACGATCCTGTCAGGTCGAGGCCCAGGGAAACCTTCACAAAAGAATCCACGAGTATGTTGTAGAGGAAGCGAAGAAGCGAAAAGAAGCGAGGTTCGTCGGAGGGCTCAGAGACAGTGGTCGAAGCGGAGTAGGTCCATGGTCGGCAGTCTGGAGGCGAAGCTTTCGTTGAGCGAGAAATGAGAAGGACGGTGGAGGAAGGACATTTTATGAAGTGAATCAAATAAGAAGAGGATGCAGAGGGCACAATATCCCACAAAAGCGAATCATCCACTGATCAATATTGTGATCACATCACAGTCGCAGTGGACGTGAACTGCATTCTTGACGGTTTTTGATCTGTTGAGACCTCTAATCCCTGTTGAGAGAGAGAGAGAGAGAGAGAGAGAGAGATGGAGAACAAGCAAACATCTGTCGTCTCTCTCTCTCTCTCTCTCTCTCTCTCTCTCTCGTCTCTCGTCTCTCGTCTGTCTCTCTACACTTTTCTTTCTTTCTATGCTCTATTATCTCTGCGCTCTTTCGGATCTCTCTGCGCTCTCTCGCCTCTCTTCATATCTCACCATAATAGCTCACTACTTTCTATTACTCTGCAACCTTTCAGATGGTTTCTGGGTCCATGTGACTCTATCTGAAGATTCCAAGACCACATCCCTCATCCTCCGCCAAGGAAGAAACAACACATAGAGGGTTGAGACCTTCAGCCAACAACAAAGTGAAGTGGAAGACCCACGCATCCTGACTTCACAATCAACCCATCAACCCGAAGCAGAAGGTCTGTACAACGCAGCTTCATCATCAACATGTCGTCCTCAAATGGAGGCAGCACCAGTGGCTCTCAAGGACATGGCCAATTACAACTTCACCAAATGGTCACCAGTACCGGTGCAGACCCAACTACAATTGAACCCAACCCCGCAAAGCGTCCAGCCTACCTCGACAACCCAATGGTCAAAGCCGACTACCCAGAGTCGGAGGCAAATACGGACGAAGAAGATAGTGAAAGGGAGAAGTGGACGGATCAAGCGTGTGATCTCCCAAAGTGGGACGATTCAACCATAATCGAATGGCGAGCTATCGAGAAGCTGAAAGCCAATGGATCGAACCTCATGAAGTGGAAGCGCGACGTCAACGCTCAATGCCTCGCCCTGAATGTTAGCCAGGTGCTTCGGTGGGACCTGCACCGTCCCAGAAAACATTCTGAAAATCGGGATAACTGGCGGCACTGGTCTGGCGCAGTCTCTCACTGGATGGTCATGATAATGGAGACAAAAACCACTCATCTAATTACAAAAGGAGTGAAAGAGCTACCAAGTCGAGCAGATGATCTCCTTCGTGCCATCAACAAGCATTTCACGTATGAGGATCCAACCTTCAATGCCATGTGTGAACTAGTGCAGTACGACCTCCTGGATAGTTGTGAATTCGGCACGGCCATCGAATTCATGGAGGCTTTCATGAAGAGGCTTGAGAGGCTGGAGGAGTACGATGCTCGTCCAGCTCCGTTTTCGTGTCTCGTGAAACTCTACTGGGGGATTCACCGCAAGATGTTCGACTTGGATCCCATTAGAATTGAGCTTGAAGCCCTGGGCCACAAGCAGGCGCCAATGGACATGACTTGGGACCAGTTCTTCATCTTCTACAAGAAGATTGAGTCTATGGCCAAATCTCAAGATCGTTGAAAGAATGGTGATGGGTTTCCAGAAATATCTCGTGGGGTTGGCCTGCCTGGGGAGATGACAGCCGGTCGACCATGCATTCCTGTGCACATTTTCAATACCGAAAGAAGCCGTGCTTTACCGGTCCATGGCATCACAAACGAATTGCACTTCCTGTATCATTTTTCAATGACTTACATTCACTGCGAACTATCAATCAATTTTGCTTTGGCCATTTGCTTCACAATTTGATATCAGGGCCGTGATTAAAGCGACAGAATAACACACTCAGGTATCACTATGAGTCAAAGAATGATTTTAACGGAGCCACCGGTCATTTCTTTTTCAACAATTAGTCTCAGCCAATTAATCCAAACAGAGCTTCTACTTTGTGGGTTGTGATCTCAATCAATATGCACACCCAGTCGGTCTCGCGCCAGAGTAGTTGGGATAGACCGGTGTCTGCAATTCATCGGGGCAGATACAGAGATTAATCTCTGCTGTTCTAGGCGGAGAACACAATTTGTGCCTACAATCAGCATCCCAGACGGCTGTAGTTACCATGCCGGGCGGACACTGGCTATGCGGCATGCAGAAGGTCTGACTCGTAGAACCCACTTGCCTAGTACTAGTCCACTCATCACTATCACAAGAGCAGGAATAGCCTGTAATGCAAGTAGACATCAAATAGTTAACCAGGAATTCTACCTTGACGTATTGGGGCATGACGCTAGAACGAGGATTTTGGATATGTCTCACCTTTGAGAATGGTCGAGTATCCACCTGCCAAAGTGCCTTTGAAATAGGTGCTTGTTGAATATGGAAGGGCCCCGTTAGAGCAGGAAGTGGTGATCCATGGCACAGTGACAGGGTAGCAGGTCGACTCCTCCATGCAGTGGTCTGGATGCCAGACCGATGGGAAGGATCCCCACGGACAACCGATTGGAGGCTCCGGGCTGAAGCAGTATGAAGTCGGGGTTCCCATAGTACAGTCTGTTGTGTAGATAGCTGTTTGGTTCTCCAAGCAAACGAGCTCGGGACCACGCGTTATCTGTGCGGGTGCTGCAGTTGTAGTAACAGCGATGGTTTGCTGTGGGAAAGCCATTACAGCAGTAGAACAGATTGCGAGAAGCGAAAATACTTGACACAAGAAACCCATTGCGGCAAGTTCGGAGCTTTCAGAAAAAAAAAAAAAAACAATATTATGTGACGAAGAAAAAGTATTCTGTAACCGTGTTGATACTCGGGCGATTGAAAGCCCTGCCTTATATCGCAGCAATTCTAGATCAGTGCCACCTCGACTCTATCTCATTCGGGATGCTCGAGAGTGCGAGAGAATAACAAGGTTGTAAAAGGCTCACTCGACTGAATCGAATGTTGATCTCTTCGCTGTCGTGTTAGACACAGGGGTTTTGTCTATGCCACCTCGAAGTGAAAGTTGCATGCAACCATTTGATAGATTGCACCCTTGGGCGAGGGGTGTTCGTTCAAAGGGGAAATCACCATGGCCACGAAGCTGACACCGAACATAAGAAGTGCACTGATTGTGAATTTCATGGTGAGGCAAGATGTTCCAAAATTAGAATCCCGGCTGACTAGAAAGCGACCCCTGAGATAGCAAGGTAGCAGCTCCTGTAATTGTTATGTTCAGGGTGAGACATGGGGACAAAGCTTTGACTACCCGATATAAGATTGCATACTGTGCAATTTGGATTGCTACACAGGTTGTTAGCTCGAAATAGGTGAGTTGGCATATCGGCTGAAATGATTGTAACCTTGAATTAAGTGGGCAGTTGTTGAGACCCTCCGTCAATTATCAATGGAGAAAAGTTTTCTATCATCTTAGACATTGCCATAATTTTCGGATTGCTGTTTGCTATGTCTCAGGGCTGGGAACCATTCTCCCAATATCGAACTGAGGCGATGTCCCATCAGTCCTACATGATTGTCACACATGAAAATGTACAGCAATGTCGTAGTTGACACAGCCAGTGCAGAACACAGTCTGCTCCGTGGATATTGTAAGACCGCCGCCGATGAATGCTATGGCTGGGTTTCCAGTATGTAAGGCCCGGATTTCGTCTGAGACATTGAGTGATGCTGTCCTCATCTCTGTGACATCAACAAGTATGCCGAACGAGATACCAGAAAGAGACTGAAGGCTGGAAGGGCCGAGTGGCGAAAATCATAGCCAGGAATGCAGGGCGGAAGGAGGTGAGCCCGATCTGATACATTGTACGGGGTACGGGGTATACACTTCATTTTTAGAACTAATGCGATCAAATTGTACCAGCCAGGACGTATTCAAATTTCTATCACGAGAAGGACAATATAGTCAATGCACACCCTTCCCGCCTGAGAGAAGGATGGCCAATAATCGGGAAAATATACATAAATATGAAAGAAATCACCGAGACACAGGGTCAACAAATCCACAACTCGACCTGGAGTAGAACCATCAACTGTATCCATGGGAAGACATGGAATCGGACGCTCTGCGTGCTTTCCACGTTTGGCTTGAAGTATGTAAGATAGGCTTAGATGTTGTTGTGGGTGTGACCGTGGCGGTGGTGGAGGTGTCTGCGCACATGGCGAGAGTGCTTCTCTTCCTCAACAGGTTCGGGAACAGTGTCCTTCTTGACGTAGGAGACAGATGTAGAAGTCTCAGTCACAGTAGTGGTGGCTGAGGAGACGGTGCGAGCACTACCAGTGCTGGTCGAGATCGGGGTTCCCTGTCCATCGACGAAAACGACAATATCGCGCTGGAGGTAGACGATCTCCTCCGTGATAGGGTCGATGATGGTAGAGGTGACCGGGGTCGGGATTGGCGATGGGGTAGAAGTAGAAGTGAATGTAGTTGTGGGAGCAGCAGTGGTGGTTTCGGTGTCGGCAGCAGTGTTAGCGGCGTGAACATTGTCAAGCAGGTTGCCGGTATCAATCGAGATTCCACCTCCAAGAGACAAGGTGGGGATCGCGGGGAGCGAGAGAGTCGGGATGAGACCAGGAGCAGTAGTAGTCGATGATGAGTGGTGTCCGGAGTGGTGTCCAGAGTGTCCGGAGTTTCCAGAGCCCATGTCCATCATGGCGTAGGCAGGGCCCCACTCGATAGTCATGCCGCCTGGCAATCCCTCGGGGTACATGAAGACATTCTCATCTTTCAAAGCCGATGGCATTTCGAACTCGCACTGCTGCTGCTTGTCCTGGGTCTGGATGTCGAAAACCTCACATTCGTCGACGATACCTGTTTCACTGGTGCAGGTCTCAATAGCCTCCTGCAGCACACCTTCATCCCAAGCTTGCATGAAATCACCGTGGTATCCGTATCCGGTGGGATCACCGTTGGCAAGCGCGAAGTATCCATCCACATCCTTGAAAGCGTACGTGTTCCAGATCGTCTCGTAGAAGAGTGATACCAAGCGAGTTTCATAGCCCTCGGGACAGGTACCGTCCATGACCAGAGAGGGGTATGCGACGTGGGAGGCGTGGTCATCTGAGTCAGTATCCTTGCCGTTCCAGCAAGATGGGAACATCAACTCGAATCGAACGCCATCGGTGCAATGCTCATCAAGGTAGGTCTTGTTGGGCAGGAAGTGACGACCGAGAGAGGCTTCAGCGGTACCCTGATAGTTCAAACAGTTAAATCCAAGGGCCTTCTGGCGCAAGGCGGCCTGCGAGGCCTGAGCACCAGTCCATGCAGATTTGGGAGGGTCAGGGACCGGCCAGGTGAAGTTACGCTGGAAAGGATCGCCTGCCAGCATGCGGAAGTTTTCAGGGAACGCGGTGATGTTCTCTCCGTAGAGAAGGTAATAGCTAGCAAGATAGGGTTAACAAGAGATCGAACAGCGAGGGCGAGGCCAAACTCACGCAAGCATGCCTCCTACCTCCTCAACCATTTCGGCGCTGCCGTTGGTGTGCATGAAGTAAAGAGCCGGGGTCCAGTAAGCAGATTTATCCTGCGTGACTGCGCATGATGTGCAGTCAGATTCCTGGAGAGAGGCCTGGTCGGAACTCATTCCAAAGTCTGTTTCTCGTTAGCATGACTGCCAATTTGGTAGTCTTGCCAAGATACACTCACTTCCAGATCCGTGAACAACGTGCGTGTGGCCTGAGACCTTGCCAGGGTCCACAATAGGATCGAGTCGGGCTGAACCGGATCTTCCACGGCAAGGAAGACGCCAGAAAGCAGTTGCAGAGGATGGGAAGAGCGTCAGGCAGGCCATCAACATGGCCGTGAGTCGAATGTCCTGCATATTGCGATTGGGGAGCCGCGTCGACGGGCTCAATTGAAGATAATTGAATGAATGATCGGAAGTAGTTGATAATGAGGGTCTGCCAAAAGCACCGAGTCAACCGGTGAGGCGTTGTAAAAGAGTGTACGAGACAGCAATGTCTACAATGGCCAAGCAATATGTCAGTCTGGGGACGTTCCACGCGTTGTTTTTCAAAGTCCAGCGATAAAGCGCAGGTTCAACATGTCGCAGACCGGAGATTGGAATTGGCCAATCAATTGGGTCTCAAAGGCTTTGATTCGAGAGCGTGGAAGATCAATGGGGCAATTAGAGGAATGCCCCTTGCTGGGGTGCCACCCCTCCCGTACGAGGGATGATCGAAGTTGGGAGAAAAGACTTGCAGGTATGCGACTTACCGGCTTGGGGCGTTCTGACGTCAATAAACAATAGGGATCGCCGTCGGAAGGTTTAATTGCACACTATTGATCCCTGAATCATGCTATGTATAAGCCACCCCGTGTATTTGCTTGTTCCAAAGGAATTAAACTCACATAGGACTATGCACTCCGTACAAGATGTTTCTGGCGAGCAACTCCCTAGGAGGCTGGAAATAAAGATCGGTCGAAAATAAAAGAGTGAAAAACAGAATGATCGAAGGGAGCTGGGATGAACGAACGACAGGCCCTTGAGAGTAAAAAGAACGAAAAGACACAAGACAAAGCCAACAGCCAAGGAGTGTGACCAAGGAGGGCAGAGGGCGATGAGGGGATCAAGTACTTCAGAGAACAGGATCAAACGAGGATCGGGCTCACTAAGATGCCAACCCCCTTAGTCCTACGACATTTATGCGCAGAGGGGCCCTAAGTTTAATGACTCGGCCAATCCCTTGAAAAACTGGATATTAGCCAGACGCTAGAAGGAGCATAGCCATTAGGGTAACGACTAGATCAGGCCCCTCCGTGTCCCTCCCAATTTCGATTAGGCGTTCATCTGAAATTAAACCGAGTCACCATGGGGCAATCCGGCGGAGTGAGAAAAGGAGGGGCATTGGCAGACCTCCTTTAAGAAAGCCAAGATCGGGTGGATAACGTGGATAACTGTATTCTCCCGAAATGACCACTGTGAAATCCTATCCGCGACGCTGCGAACAGCGCGTTCCTGGACTAAGCCGCTAGCACAACGTCCATCGTCTCGAGGAGGCCCACGCTACGCTTCGCGATTGGACCGGGCGGCGCATCCTGAAACGACCCATAATTTCTCACTACCCCTGTCTGATATGTTCCTGGGGCTCCTGTTGGTTGTGTCTGCCAAAACTCGTATTGCAAGAGTGGTGAGTGCAGGGAAAGGTTGTTGGACGAGGGTCACTTGTATATATGTATCTCCGCCTATCACGAGGGTGAGCCCGAGAGGGTGTTGGGACAGGTCATCGATTTTCATGCCACTGGCCGTGCACACGATTCGGCAGTGGCATCAAACAAGAAGCGTTTGGGCAAGTCTAGGATATTGTTCCCGTCTCTGCAAAATTCCGATATGTAGCCCCAGTCTATGCAGTGGATGAAACACCCACGTTGAGGGCGTGAAGCTTGGTATCTTTTAGCCCTCCGGCATTTGTCCAAATGATGGATTTTGGTGTCCTGGTGGATCATCAACTGAGATCTGCCGTGGATCTAACCACATAGCTGGTCTCACTGTAATTAGTTTGGTCCGGGTGTTGCAGTTGGGTCAGAGCTGGAGGAACAGGAATTGTTGTTGAGCTGAAACATTGTGGAGGTTTCACGACTCAGGCCAATTTTCTACTTATAGAGCCACAAAAATGCTACATGTCGCCAGACAGGAGACTGTTCCAAGGTAGTGTATGAGGTGCAAAAAACCAATTTTGACATGTCAAGTGTCAAGTGTCAAGTTTCAAAACATACCCCGGAAGAGGGCGGCGGATTGGCCAGGTGGTTGGGTACTCTCAATCAGCGGAGAGTGGCTCAAAACAATATAGTACATATGAGGGAAAATCAAAGCTCTAGGTGTCTGTTCTAAGAGGGCAATAGATATACAGCCGATTTGATATTCATGCAGTTTAAACCTTGAGCTCCTCCAGAGCCTTTCTTGCTCTTGCAACATTCTCCCGCGGGCGAGGATCCGACAGATCTTCCACAGCCTGGCCCCCAGTCCGCACAATCTCGCGAAGAGAAGCCTCGGTTTCCAATAGAGAGGTGCGTCCTTCCTCACGGACCTCTTCCTCCCAGAAGGTGCGAGCGGCGTCCCATCGCTTCTGTTGCCGACGAATCGAGTAGATCAGACCAACCGCCGCAAGAGTACATGACTCATACACACCGGCAGCGGGAATGCCTACGTAAGTGAGTGCTGACAGAGCAGATGTCAACGTGGTAGTAGACACGCTGAAGAGAACCAGGCTCTGGGCAAGAGATTGGAGGGATGGTACGGTAGTGGTGAGGAGTTTGGTGCGAAGGTCGGAGATCTGGGTTGGCCATGATGCGGGAGCGAGGTCTTCGGGGCTCGAGGGCGAGCGTTCGTCCAACAGACCGGCCTGCTGGTACTTGCCCGAGGCCCAGATGACTTCTTGCTCGGCGCGACGCAGGAATCGCTTGTCCAAAATCTCAGATGTAATCATGCTGACATCGTCAACACGCCAGAAAAGTTTCCACCACGCGAGGCCACGCCAGCGTGGGCTAGCTAGGCCTTCTTCCAATGAGCTTCGGAGTTCAGAGTGAGCACGCTCTGCCCACGTGGTGATACCGCGGTCCAACTTGGATCGGATCTCTTCGGGAGCTATGCCGGCTGTCTGGTCGTGGAGGGCTTTGGCATCCCGGGCGAGCACGCTTGCATCTGCCGAATCGATAATAGACTCTACCAGAGGAAGCAATGTCGGGTTCATAGTGCTCCCAGAAGATGTGTTGGAGGAGTCTGCCAGCCAGTCGATAAGTGGCTGCACGCCACTGCCATTCCACCCACGTTCGTAGTCGCGAGCATGGTCAACGGACTCGCGGAATTTGTTCAATGCCGAATTAGCGCGATCGGTATCAACTAGGGAGATGCGTTCGCTGGTAGATTTTTGATCCGCAACGGCGAGCTCGATGGCTCCCCGGATTGAAGATACCTCATTCTTCAGGTTTGATCGGCCGATCATGGTACTGTATGAGAGTAATCCATCAACTCCACTCCCGCAAACAATGGTGCGGTGCACCGGGTACCGAACGGCATTATGTCGACCCGAGTGAGAGGTCTGTATGGTCACCGTGGGGACAAGGAAAGTGTCGGCGTTGAATGTAGCAGCATTTTGACCATCCTCCGAGCCAAGGGTGCTGACAAGAAGTTCCAAGTTGCCCCCCTTGAGTATAGGTGATGGGACCGATATCGTCGGGAGTAGGTCGTTGGGAATAGATTCTGAAGTTTCGCCGTATCTATAGGACAATTCGGTCAGGACTAACTCTGAAGATAGCTCGAACGGAGAGCTTGTTCTTACCTGATCAAAAGCCCGCGGGATGTATCGGCATCGTATGACTCCAGAATGTCTTCCCAGTTTGCCCTTGGTGTCAATGGGTCTGCAAGCAATAGCCTGACAAGTTTTCGGGCGGAGGTCGCATCGTTCAGACCTAGGACTAAATTCCAGATGAAGAGATTAGTGCCGTGTCCATTTCAAGTTTTGGCAAAAGCCACACTGCTCAAGGAGCTTGTGCCAATCACCCCATCCAGGACTCACCGGCTACCCTGATAAGAGGTGCCTCGGTTTCCAACCCCCGTAGCGCAAGTTGGAGTCTGCTGAGGTTTACTTGCTCCAAAGAGGCATCTTTGACCCCCTCAAGGGCTGCATGTAGTTCCTTGAAACGTGGCGGAACGCTCTTCGCAGTTATGACGGTCGAGCTCGTAAATGCCCGAGGACTAGGTGCTGTGATCGTGTTCTGGGGTCGGGCGTTGCGACGAAGAGTGTTGGTTTTGTCGAGGTTCCGCGTCGACAATGTTCGTCGCCAGATTGCGCACGACGGGCAGTAGAACACGGCACTGACGTCCAGTTGACGCGAAAGGCCGAGCGCGTTGCGCAGTCTGGGAGCCATTGAGGCGTAGGTTTAGTGGGCAATGTTCGCGGCGAAGGTGAACTTGATCGGAGGTGAACGCGGGAACAGGGCTTGGCACTCATCACTCTACTTCAGGTTTCTCACACCGTATAGTCACGATTTTCCACTCTCAAATTCACACTGCTACAATTTCAGATGAAAGTTTTGTTCAAAATCAGGTTCATGCTCAGAAGCTATACATTCCAATTATAGCCGAAGAAATTCTCCTACTATCTTTGAATGAGCCACCCCCCAAACTTCGGGGAAATGCACGCATATTCCACTGAACTGTCCTATTGATCGCTAGATTTGTAGATTCACAAGTTTATCGCCAGACAAGTAGAGAGGTAGGATCAAGCAGATAAATAGGGTATCGTGTCAATCGTGTCGGGGCAAAGGGTGTGTGCGCTGGAGGACAGAAAGAAAGAATGGATAAGTCGTGTCATAATATCGCAAGTCAGGCACATTTACAGCCTTTTCAAGCATCCTTGGGAGGATCCCGAGATCTGGGACGAGGGCGACCGGCACCGGCGGACCTGTTATATTTCGATTAGCCTTTGATTGGGATGCGAACTAGGATTGGTGAACACTTACATGCTAATCCGGCGGGCAACTGTGGCAAGGCCAGCATCGTTGGCAGCTTCATGCTCAGCCCGCTCCAGGGCTACACGGCGGCTCTCTTCACTCTTGGCGATAACCTCCTCCTGGCTAGGAGGCAAGTGCTCGTTCTGAATATCGACCTTTCGGGCATCCTCGAAGTTGTGGATAGCCTGCTTGATGCCTTCCGCGCCAAGCATGAGAGTTCCGGCAGGGAGACGACCGCCAGCCGCCGTCTTCAACTCAGTAACACTCTCGGATTGCTCACGGAGAACCTGGAACACACGAGAGAGACGACCGATGGCAAGAATCTTGTTTTTGATGGCACGTCGCTTGAACTCGCTGGATTCGGGGTCTGTTGACGGGGGAGGAGAGATCGGGTTGTTAGTCTCAACGGGAGAGACAGAGGTAGGAGTCTCGTCCTCCAGCTCCTCCTTGGAACAAGTGTTGAGAATGGCGATGAGCATGTCGGTGATCTTCTCACCAACGAACGGCAATGACCACGTGAAGACATCCATGAAGTTAGGTAGCCAGTATGGGTGCGGGGTACAATTGAATTGGCGAATGTTCATGACATTGTTCTCATATTTGAGGACGGCTGCCTTGTTGTTATAGACGTCCAGGTAGTTGGGCGCACTGAAGATTGTCATGACACTTGGGAATCCAGTTGTCCGGGTCTTCCTGTACATACGATACCCGGCATCTTGGGCCTCGTGGGCTCGGATGATAGAGAGAAGGTTGTTTTTCTCCAAAAACGCACAAGCCGCTGGGTAGGAGAAGAAGTAAGAGCAACCACGCACACTGTTATGAATGAAGAAATCGCCAGTCTTTTCCTGTCCAAATTCTTCAAGAGGATCGGCCCAAAGAATATCGCACATAAGTCCATGTGTTGGAGGCTCCCGGAAACGATCGATCTGTTTGCCATATCAGTTCTCCGCCTCCCACGACACAAAGGGTTGATACGTACAGCCTTGATATCTTCAAGGGTATGGAGTTCCGGGCTGAGACCACCGTGAATGCAGAGGAATTGCTTGTTCATCACAGCCGCCAGCGGCAGCGAGCAGAAGGACTCCAAACAGGCCTCGTAGATACGTTCACTATACTTGTGCTTGCATTCCAGCTTGAAGGTGAAATAGTCTGTCAAATGACGGCATTCGTGGTTACCCCGCAATAGCCAAAGCGAATCAGGGTACCAGATCTTCAATGCCCACAGGTAAAGGACGCACTGTGGAGTAAGAATGTCAGGGGAAGCCCACTAGATTCTGTGGGAGATATGACGCACCTCGATACTGAAATAACCACGGTCGACGTAGTCGCCCAAAAACAAGTACCTCGTTTCTGAAGGGTCGCCACCGACCTCGAAGAGCTTCATCAAATCGTAGTATTGGCCGTGGACATCACCGCACACTGTGATGGGCGCATCCATTTCGAGTAGATTGGGCTCGGACCTCAGAACCTCCGTACCGGCGTGGATGATCCATAGCGCCTGTTCCTCCGAAAGCCGTCCTTCACGGTACAGGTGCTGCTTGAGATACTGGAGATTGGGCTTAGATGGATCATCGGGCGACCAAAACATATCATCCGGGGGATAGCTAAGGGCGGGCGCTTGGACCTCTGAAAGCAAGAGAAAAAACACCTGTTAGTGATCGGGCACCGCAGCTTGCGAAAGCGACCGAGGCCGCGGCAATGGCTTACCCTTAACCACCCGCTCCATTGTCGACACCTGCGTGTTGTCCTCCATGGTGTGCAATGTGAAGTCAATCTCCGGGACCGGCTTCTTTTCGGTCACCGCGCGGGCCAGAGCTCGATCCATCATGGCTGAATTATACGAAGTCTGGAGTAAAGGGGAAGCGAAGAAGCGCGCGGAGAGGTAGCGGGGGTGAGTTCAGCGGGGGCGGGAGGCTCCCAAAGCGAAGAGGCGAAAAGATGATGAGATCAATATTATCTCAGGGGTATAGGTTCGAACAAAACCAAAGAGAACGATAGAGCCCAGATGGGAGGGAAGAGGTTGGTCGTGTGTGGAAATGTTGTAGTTGGGAAAAAGAGAAACAAATTGGATAAGCGGCCTTTCTGGGCCGTCCTGCTAAAGATCGGTGGATCACACCAACTTCGATCGTATAACTCTCGATCTTTTTGTCTTCTGTTTCTTGTTCTTTTTCTCTCTGCAAGATCTTTTGGCTCCGACAGAACTCGACTGATCAGAGCCTCACACCTGACTATTGTGCCTGAGGCATCTCTGGTCCCTGACGGGTTTTACCCCACGCTACTCGTATCAGATTCCTCCCATTTCCAATTATGGTGGGTTTCCCCGGACGTCGGGGCTGGTTTTCACCCTTGATCGGACATTTTCATGACGCTTTTGATGTCTGTTTGTCCTTCCAAGCTTTAATAATAGCAACATGGAGGCAACCTAGGCCCGATTTGCCTAGACCGCTACACCTGAGGTATGCAGGATGATCTGCATGAACAAAATTCTTCATAGCCACAAACATGGGCTCCAGCATACTTACCAAAGTTGATATCGTCAAAAGGATATATGTGTCTTCTTGGAAACTCAGAAGATACAAGATACGGCAGAGAACAACTCCACAAGCGTTCGGCGACAACGGAAATGCGACAATGGCAATGCGGCAGTAGTACTTGTCCAACGGGTTTCAGTGACTTTCGTGAGGCACAGAAGTGACCAGTGACCCTGATAGATTGGGCTAGATTTACTGCAATACTACAATCCCATCAGGACTGTCTCTCTGCCAGGACTCCCCCTGCAGTATCACCATCACCCGCTTTGGAAATGAAAACCTTCGAGCTTCCCCGAAGTATCACCCCCACTTGGTGCCAGGCTCAATGATTCCATCAAGGCCAGATAAAGCATGTTTTGCAGGGGATGCAATGACACCTCCCTTTCTTAATCATCTTCGGGGGTTGCATTCCCTCAATGTGACGTTTATATCGATGTTCATAGATTGTAGCTTCGGTCTCGAATTATACCCAGTATGTGAGGACTAATGTGGTCACTTGGCAGAGGATGTAATTTAAATGGCACTGGGAATTGTACATAGATCTTTTGTGCTAGTGCTTGAGTAGTTCTGGGGTATATTATAGCAGTTCTGCTCAACGTCGCAGTGTAGCTAGTGTATCCTGACCACGATGTGCAAGATTGCATGGAACAAAATATCCCTGGCTTCGCTATACTTTGTAGTCGGAGTCCAATCATTCGTCAGACCTTGCATCTATCAAGCAGATAAATGCGGCACTACCCTCGCCACTCTTTATGGTAAGGGTCCCCGGACGAAAATCCTCCAAACTTCACCTATATCACACGGCCAACAACGACTACGGGGACTGACACTTCGGACAAGGATACTCCATTGCTGAATTGACTGCTGCCGTCAATCAAACGGCATCTATTCCCCAACTCAGCTTGGGTCAACTTTTCCAGGTTATATATCGCTGCGAAGATATTTACGGAGGCATTGTGGGAAACAGCTTTTGTATCGACGGGTGTCTGGCGACGCCTGATGCTACTTCTGATGATCAGTGCAGGCTATCTGGGGCCACTTCAACTGTCACAGTGACAGAAACAGCCCCGATTTCCTGTTATAGACAGTGCCAAACCGTCTGCTTTGGAGGAGCATGCGCAACATGTATGATGAATGGAGCAGCAATTGCCCCAACTATGACGCCCCTGTTAAATCACACATGAGTGATTTCCATTTGTATGCCTAGTTGATAAGTCCTGGAGGTCATAGTGGACTGCATCAAGTCTGAAATACCACTTATTTGAGGCTTCTTTGTCCGGACTTGGACTGGTTTTGATCGTTGCAAGTGGCACTTATTCCAAGGTTCACTCCTGTGATAGTTACAACAACCATGGTCTATTTGACCTCTACTTTAGTATAGGGCATCAACTTTTAGAATCGATATATTGTTCCAAGGTTGACACCCGATAATCTTCACATCTTGAAGTCGCTCTCCAACCTTGGAAGTTTTTATACATTGTTTTTTCGCCGAGGCACACTGTGGGCTGCGGTTCAATCAAAAACCCTTGGAGGGGGACAATCAAAGCCAGGTTTACAGTTCTTGTGAAGATACCATGTTTAGTAGATGCGATTTTAGGTATACGAATAACAAGGTACATGCTCAAGTGGAGACCTGCTAGTGAGGTTTCCAAAAACGGTTATGGATTAACATAGAATTTGTCTAGCAACGAATGAATGCCTGATGGTCCTACTAGGCCAGCAAGATCGGAGGCCCACCTTATACATAGGACACGAAGGGAGTATGTGCTAGGCTCATACTATGAACAAATAATCGAAAGCAATTCCTCCAAGTCCATGAAGGTCACTGTCATGATGAAATATCATTCGGCCAGCCTAGTTTGTCGCAGACATTTCGAGGGCCCGGCAATTTCTTCACTTACAAGACACACTGGTCGTTCCGGGTACCGGGCTTGGTGTCACAGCCAGCAAAGCAGTAAGCATTTCCGGTGATTGTCCCAAGAATGTCGGTACAGTGAAACAGGGTTGCGGACAGCTGAGCGGTGGTCAGGGCGGGGATCGATACAGTGTCATTCACAGCTGCGGTGAGCTGCTCAGCAGTATAGCCTGTTCAAACCAGGTTTCTCATGTCAGTTACTTATTTTCTCCCCGGCTGTTCCCACTCGTGTTGCTTCTTTGAACAGCAAACTTGGAAAAAGACTTACTGTATGGCGCAGCAAGAAGCACCGACCCGCACTTAAGTGACTGATACTGGCAGTTGGCAGCCTGTTGAGCCTGGGCTCCAGCCAAGCAGAGGCCAATCGTCACGAGCACTTTGGAAAGCATATTGATAGAAGTTTGGAAGACTTTGGAATAATGATTGGAATGCTTCAAGTATATAACAGTCAATGCCCTGGTCAAGAGAGGACCTCAGAAGCGAGATAGAACATATTTATGTGTTTTCTTTGGACCATCACTGAGGCCAACCGACCCCGTTTCTTCCATCCACGCCAAGGTTCGGTACGCACAGCCATTTTCACCCCAGGGTCATGAGCTTTAGATTCCAGGTAATACTGAGTTGCCACAATTTCCAATTTCGCAAGCAGAGGAGAGACATCAGGCTTCATGTTACCCTTGGTCGGCAATGATTCGACAGGAGCAGTTGGACATAAGTGAAAAGCAACCCCACGAAAGCCATCTATACCAAAATACTTCACTTGAGTTTTTCGTACGGCGGTCCGGGAAACCAAAGTTGAGAATAAGCTTAAATATTGACAGTCTAGAACCAGTGCCTAGCCATTTGGGTCTGACTACCACCTGGGCAGTGATACCAACCGGATATATGCCTGGGTCATCACATCTTGGCAATGCTGTATAACCCGTCAGCAAAATCAAGCATAAACTATATAGAGGAGTAATTCAGCCGACAAGGGTGGTTTTGACTCCTTCGCCCTTCACAGAAAGGTAATATTAAAATTGAAATGACATCACTGAGCAGTCTGTCCCAGGAGATCTGATCATCCACCCCTTTAATGGCCAAAAAAATGCATACTCTACAACCCACTGAAGATTGTTTAGCCAGGCTATCCTAGAGAAAATGAACCTTTGGAGTTTTAGAGGTAGTATTTATTACATAAATACCCCAAGTCAGGTCTTAAAAGAAAGTAAACAGGGGTGTACTACCCTCCCCTTAATGGCTTTCGTATATCCGCGGAGCTCGTTGACCTTGAGACCTCAAGATGCTTACAATGTTACTCAATGGTGTATTTACGGCTTTAGAGGCAGCTTCAGATGTCCAAAGTGAGAAGGGCCTGGAGGTCTGAACGTGCAAACCACACAAACAGCACAAATGGTGCAAACGCCTTTTGACGGGCTCTTGGTGTTCGGCAAGCCCATCGCGTCGCTCACATCAACATGTTTTCTATCTATCGTCCATTTACCGGAATGCTCAGGCCTGGCGGTTGATTGCTTTTTTCAAATTGGGCATTAACCTCCCACACTCAACGACCCACACGGCTTGCAGGAATCAAGTCTATCGCCGGGACATGACCAAGTAGGACCAAAGTTGCCGAGATCTTTTTCTCAGCGCAACGAATGGAAAAATAAGCTGATCATAGCGGCGTCACATCGGAAGCAATAACGTCTAAATTACCTCCGCCTCAGAAGTGGATTTTTGAGAATGGTCACTATCAGCTGTTGGATTGGAAGCCCTGATCTACTCATTGGAAGACGGTTCAGCAGGTGCCGTGGCGCTCAAAACTTTTATTCTCTAGTGAATCCAGGCGAGGAAGTAAGCAGTTTGTCATCTATGTCACTGCGTCTGTCTTTCTATGAATATTCCATTTCTAGAACCAAGCATCATGTCTTGTCACACAACCGTGGACCCGGCAGCCAGAAGGTATCCAAGATACTTCCCCATCAGGGTTTCATCCAACTCAGGAAACTGAAGACCACCTGGGTAACTTTCCAGAGCCTGGGCGGTATTTGTGGTGTCGTACTGCGGCATGTTCTCGTACAGCTCCCACCGAGTCAAAGCCCCTTGCGCTCTTTCCGCCAACATTGGCTGGAGTGGCTGCAGCCGCTCTGGAACCTTCTTGCTCAACAGCTCAATCCACTCCGAGTAGGGCAATCCCCTCAAAGTTTCTTTGCCGCCCGAGACCATACCTACCAACTCCATAGTATCATTCATGTCAATCGAGACTGCACGATTAGGAGGTACGATGTGATAGGCATGACCCAAAGACGAACTCGCCGGTGATCCAGCAATATGCAGAATGGTGGCATTGACATAGTCCACGGGGACGAATTCCTTGCGTTGATTGGGCAGTAACGGATAATATCCCATTTCGGTGCAAGAGTGTATCAATCGACTGAAGAAGTCGTCCGAATTACACGCGCCTGTGCGACTATGCCCTGTGATGAAGCCTGGGCGGTAGATAGCAACGGGAAAGTTGCGGTCCATCACTCGTCTCAGAAGTCCTTCCACAACCCATTGACTTTGGGCATAGCCGTGGTCGTATGGGAGCGCCGCAATGTGTTTCAGGAGTGGTTCGTCTTCGACGATAGTCTGAGTGCCTGTCACAAACCCGGTTGGACCGAAACATGAAATGCTGGAGACATAGTGCAAAGCTTTGTTACGCCCTGCACATGCCAACCGCAGTATGTTTCTGGTACCAACGACGTTTGCAGGGCGATGCATTGAATAAGGCTGCGTGTAATTGACACGGGCTCCCAGGTGGAAAATCACGCTTGCCCACCTGGCAATCTCATGGAAACGTTCATATCCAAGCCCAAGATAGATGTCTTCCAATGACCCACAAAGCACCAATATTTTATCGAGGAATCGCTCTTCCCACTGGCCGTATTGGATCATTGCGCTCTTGATGCGCTCGAGCCCCGAGTCTACATCGGCAGCACGTACCAAACATCCCACTTGATGCAACTCCCGCATGCGAAGGAGGTCTGCTACCATGAACGCGCCGACAAATCCCGTGGCCCCGGTGAAAAACACACGTCCTTCTGTATTACGGCGCCAATCAATCACCGGCCCTGAGGGTGGAACGAGATCGTCGGCGACTTTGGTGTCTTCAACCCAAATCGACTGTTCGTGGCGGACGGTTTCATATTTCGCCCCATTGCAACCGAGTCCTTCTTCAATCACAATAGCCAACCGGCCGAGTGTAGAATTGTCATACAACGTCAAGAGTGAGATGTCCGCGTTGAAAACTTGACGAATACGGCTGATCAGGAGAGAGGCCTGCAAAGACGTGGCGCCAAGGTGAAAGAAGTCGGGATCTGTATCAATAGGTACAGAGGAGAAGCCCAGGATGTCTTGCCATACTCTGGTTAATCGTTGTTGAGTCGTACCTGCTTGAGCGTTACTTTTGTGAGAGTTGGGAGTTGCATGATCTGCCCACCGCTTGCGGTAAAGTTGGGAGAGGTTCTTTCGGTCAACCTTGCCATGGCTATTGAGAGGCAGTTGTGAGACCAGTTCAATCTGCGGTATCATGTACGCTGGCAGTGTTGCCTTGAGTGACTTCGTTGCCTCCGCGACAGCCTGATGATTTGAGGAAGCCGACACTGCGAAAGCGACTAGAACCGACCCAGCCCCCTCGCCGGCCTCGACCTTCAATGCGGCGACCTCTGAAAATTGACGAGTCTTCAATATGGCTGCCTCGACTGCTTCAAGCTCAATTCGATAGCCGCGGACCTTGACCTGGTGATCCTGACGTCCAAGATAATCAATCTGGTTATTGCTGATCCTCCGTCGTACTCTGTCACCGGTGCGATAGAATCGCTGCACCTCCTCTCCCTCTCCAAGAGTAACGAAACAGGTTGCATTCTTCTTGGGCTGGTCTACATAACCAGGTGATACACCTGCGCCAGCAATCCAAAGTTCACCTTCCTCGCCGTCTGGGACTGAACTGCCATTCTCATCACAGATACGCACGACTGTTTTGCCTACTGGCTTCCCGATACTGATAACCCCGCTAGAGGTGTCGTCAAGAGTAACTTTGTGTGCCAAGCAAAAAATGCAACACTCAGTGGGACCATAGGCATTTATCAGCTGGTGGGGTGGACCTTGACTCAGAATTGTCTCGAGTGCCGCCACATTCGCTGCTTCGCCGCCAATGAAACACGTCTTCAATTGCGCAAATGCACGTGGATATGTCGTGGCTGCAAGGTTCAGCAAAGCGGTAGTGGTTGCCATGATGCTGATCCCCATATGATCTATGGCGGTCGCCATCGCCGGCAAATCGAGGAGTGTGGCTTTGCTCAACACTGCAATGCGTGCACCACGTAAGAGCGGTACCCATATATCAAACAGTGCAACGTCAAAACTGGTGTTGTTAACGTGGGCCACTGTATCGGTCTCCTTGACCGCTTCAAAGGGCGCATGATACACAATTTGCAGGATGGAGCGAGCCACAATTTGCACTGCCTTTGGCTCGCTAGTTGTCCCTGAGGTGTGGATCAAATGGGTCCGATGCTCGAGTGTTGTTGGCAATGGTGCTTCTGACCAGCATAGCCATGATTCTTTGAATCTCCCGGGTGCTTTGCTGCTGACATCGAAGCGGCGAAATTTGAGGTTTCGATCTTTGTTGGGGCCATCGACCAGTATGCATCTTGCGTTAAGCTTATCCAGTCGAGTCTGAATCAGAATATCTGGCAGAGTTGGATCCATTGGCACACAGCTGCCACCGGCATATATGATCGCCATTTGGGCAATCACGTCTGCGATGCCATGTTGGACAACAATGCCCACCGGCTCCTCTAATTTGATCTGCTCTTCTTTCAGAGACCGAGCAATGAGAAGTGCATTTGAATGCAACTCTCCATAAGTGATTCTTAAGTCTCCATCAATGACAGCGGTTGAGGCATGTTTTCCTTTCACCTGGTTGTAAAAGAGCTGGCCGAGACCAAAGTTTTGGTCAACCGCCAGCTCGTATTCCTCCAAATTGGACAATATCTGTGATGGCATTTGCGGAACGTGGTGTCAAACAGTGGGAAGAAGACGTGATGTGCCGTTCTATGCCACATATTGTGCAGGCTATATACTCATTCTGGCGTGGACTTTCGTTCTTGAGACCGTATAGCCTCTTCAACATCACGATGCAATCATTCTTGCCAACCTAAAAAAGGAACCCGCCCTCGCACAAACTGCATCAGCCGCCATGCAATAGCAGCACACTTAAGGCTGGCTGAATCATGTAAAATGGTGGCATATGTGCCCAACTACACAAAAGGGCTCATCACACCTGACCTGCTTTCTTTTCTGTTGGTCGTCCACTCGGATCAACGCCTGTGAGTGGCGAGAACATACATGTGTAGGTTCTGTGCTCAGCTCGCTTTTGGCTTTGATATCTTCCACCCTGCCAGCTTTATGCCGAGTCAGCTCGGCATCGGCATCACACAATGTGTGTGTATGGGGAAAAAGCAGCTGAAATCTTTGTCTTATCCTGAATGGGCGACTGTGAACCAACAGGAACGAACCATCCAGGCCAAATCAGAAGCGATCAGCGCTGCCTTGTGATCTACCCGTACGGGGCTTTGTTCTGGACATCAGAACCGACTGGGCGTTGCAGTAATGAATCCATTCCCACATTTCCAAGTAGGATCAACCTTCTGGCTGTCTGATAATTTGGACAAGATTGGCACCTGAAAAATCACTACGCCCGCCCAGGTGGGCAGTCTATATTTGAATTGCTCTGTTCAATGAGAAGTGTGTCATACAAATGCCGAGGTCCATCTTTAGTATGACAAGGTTAAACATAGCCTCCAAGCTATTGTGCTGGATTTCAGGCTCATGTGTTTGGGTAAACCTTGGAGCCCCTGTATCTTTTTCGAGGCCATATTCTTCTTCTAAATCCATTTCCTATTGTCACTTAAGGGCTTTAATTACGAACTGAAGTAATACTAGTCCCAGGGCGGGCATAAAATTTCGGATAAATGTCCACAACTCTTTTGACCATCGTCAGGCTGCAGCTCTTTCAAATTGGATACAGCCTGTATTCACCCAGAGACTTTAGGAGTGTTAGAAAATCCGGCTGAGCCAAACCGGGCATCAAACCACTCAGTGGTTGTCACCAAATAGTGCTTCTTCTGTGGCCACCCCAGGGCCTCCGCCGTCGCTTGTTTCAACATGAAAGCTGTTTCAATCTCTGCATATTCCTCAAAAGATCTCCCACCAGTAATCTGGGCTAGCCCAAACATGAGTTTGACGTCCTCCAACTGGTGGATTCCATGGGTGTCAAAGAACTTCCAATCCGGCAAGATAGGATCGAATCTTGCCATCGAGCCTGTAGCATGATTGAAGTCCATCATAATGTTCTCGAAGGTGCGAATATCGCTGATACCATGCACAAACTTCCCGTTCCATCTAACGGGGTCCAGGTAGATCCCATGGACGATATCACCAAAATCATCGGAGATACTCAGCCAGGGCACATATCCATCCCCGCCCCAATTAGGCACGCGGAATGTGAAATATCCTTCACTATCCACAAAGTGAGGGAAACCTCCAAACACGGGGGCCACCTCCTTGCTGAGGAAGTTTTCCAGGAACCACCCTGCTCCAATTGGAATGAAGGTTTGGAAGGCCTCGGAACGTCTGGCATATTGCTCTACCTTGTATTTCACTTTTCATTGTACTCAGTAGGAGCTCAATCGCTCAATGGGGTAGCTCAAGTAGTACTCACTGTCCATGGCTTTCATTTGGACCTCACCATTCGTCATTTCGGTGCAAGGGGGCCCTGAGCTAAAGACAAAACACTGGACACCCGCCTTAATGGCAGCATCAACAATGATTTTTCCCATATCGAACTCGATTGGACCGTCATTGTTCTGAAAAACCTGTATCGTTCCAAAATCAGTAACAGCACTTAGGTGTTCCTTATGGTTGAGCTCAACGCACTTCATCATCAGAATTGATATTCACAAAAGCACCCCATGAATCCTGGAACGCTGCCACCATTTGGGCAAAATCGAATCCATTTGCTTGAACGACTTCCGCGCCCTGCTCAGCGAGTTTCTTGCTGGCATCTGAATTAGGGTCTCGGCTGATGCCTCGGACCTGAAATGTGGGGTTTTGCAGCAGGGATCGAGCAGCCGACCCTCCTTGGTTGCCTGTTGCCCCGAATATGGTGATACGCATAGCCATAGAGCTTATTATGGATAATGGTAGATCGCAAAATTTAGGGGGTAGGGTAAATTCGAAAGAAAAGGAAATCTGTCAATCTGTCAAGCTCGGTGGTTGAGGCCTGGGCACAAGAAAAACACCCAAACGTTCAAAATAATCGGTCATGTATAATTCCGGCTAGTATTTCTACGCTTGTAGTTTTGGGGCTGTTTACGAATAAGCCACACAGTCTACACTTTCAAGGTTCCGTCCATGAACGCTTCCATCTTTCAGCTAATGCGATCAACGTGTTTGGTCTCAGTCGAACCAATTTGGGCAAGACCCTGATAGGCAAACATCCATAAAGGTTCACATGTACATTGGTAGCGCGCCTGCAAGCAACCGGTTCGAGTAATGTCGACGTACTAGAGTATTGGCGCTCAAGATATCCCGAGAATGACAGCCAGCCACAGGATGCTTGGCTGCGGGCCAGCGTGGCTTGCACACGATGTCAGCTCATCCCATCTGCGGGGTACAATTTGACTGACTCGGTAATGATAAGGCTCAAAATCGCTAAGAAGCAGCAGCAGGATAGCCCTCGTTGCGTTGCATAGACAGAAAAAGGCTTAGCGGTCCCCTAAAACGGGCCCTAAAATCTGACACCGAACGGTGGGTCTCGTTAAGGACGCGCCTGAATTCAACTTGTTCTAGCTCTCTGACACGTCGTACTACTTCCATGTGTTCATGAACGAAGATTTGTCTGCTCTGGCCATGCTGTACGTATATCACAGGCTCGTATTCCACACCCCAGCGTTCCTAGCCCGTCACTTGGCAGCGCGTACATCACAGAGCTTCAGGTTAAGTGGGACTAGGCCCTGCCAGACCCCATATTCTTTCATCTCATGCGGATCGACATTGTCCGGGCGTGCTTCTAGATCAAAGTTCCAGAGGAGCCGAGCAATGATCAGGCGCATGTTCAGGTACGCCAAACTGATAAAACCCTGTCAGTACACTGAGACTCCAGGGCTACCCTCACAGGTGGAAATACGAACTTTATTCCAACACATTTTCTCGGTCCAATAGAGAAAGGTGCCCAGATTTGGCGATTATCTGATTCGAATTCGGGGTCTCCGAGCCATCGCTCTGGAATGAACTCCTCTGGGCGGCGCCAATACCTCGGGGATCTATAGGCGGCAAGGAGAGCCACAGATACCCATGTCTGGAATCAAGTCAGCCGGCCAGGACACTCATGGCTTGTTCAAAATGAAACTGTATGAAGAATGAAGATCATACCCCTCCCGGCACCCATCTCCCATCAATGTAGCTGCCTGACTTGGGCGTGATGCGATGCAAACCAACCGGAACAGATGGATGGATCCGAAAAGTCTCCTGGATGACAGCCTTGAGATACCCGAGGCCACTGACGGAGTTGAATGTGATTTCTTCCTCGGAGATATAGGCTGATCGTATCTCGTCCACTAGTTTTTGGTAACTTGTCGGATTATGAACTAGGTAGTAAAGGACCGAAGAAATGGTAGTCGCAGTAGTCTCACTCCCTGCAGTGGCCAAAATGTTAATATTGTCCAGGAGTTCATCCTCCGTCATCCCTTTCAAAATGAAGGATGCAAAGTCCGCTCGGGAAACGTCTTTTTCTTGTTCCCTATCTCTCAGGTATTTTCGAGCGTTTTCCATATGAGTTTCATAGGGCGCACTGATGTCATCTGGGATGAGTCTTTGCAGAATAGAGTGATAAGGCTTGAGCCTATGAGCACATTGCACAAAGTGAGAATGTTTCATTGCCCCGAAGATCACATACGCCCAGGGGTGATAATCAGCAGCAGGGAGACATCCTACCGGCTTCCCAAAGGACAAGGAGCTCAGAATGTCAAAGATGATGAAATTCACCCATGCCCCCATATTCACAACTCCATCTTTATCAGGATAGCAGGCCTCTCCTGAGCGGTTCTCTCGCAGGGAATTGATCATGAGGCTGGTGTACTCCTGGATCATCGGCTCTTGTTCTTTGATGGCCTGCTCTGAAAATGCAGGGGCCATAAGCTTCTTGAACCGTGGATGCTCGCGAGTATTCGCGAACAATATGTTCTGAGCAGCCCCAGATCCTTGAATATAGACAGCGGGGTTTTTTTCGAAGGCCATGTCTTCAGTGGCTTTCCCAAAAATTGTCTTGTTTGCGGACACAGTCATGTATGAAACTTCATTCGGACCAGTTCGGACAATCTCGCCGTATTTTTCGTGAAGACTGGCAATATACTTGCAACTGTCGCCTTTTAGCATATGGTACACGTAGAAGAGCTGTGATGCTGCATCGAGCTTGGGGCCGGCGTAGTTTCGCAGCGGGTGGAGGAAAACATTGTAGAAGGCAAGACAGATATGAAATGACAAAAACTAGTAAAGATTAACAAGTAGTTTCAAGCCCTCTTATTGATTTCATACCAGTACTCCAAAAATCTCAAGCCATTCGAGTAGCTCCATACTCAGAGAACTTGCTTCGTGTGTATCGTTACTTCGTCGATGGCTGCAGTGAAGAATGATGTGGAAGGGAAGTCTTGCGGGAAAAAAAAGGATATATTGTCTTGCAGTTGCATTTGAGCACCGAAGGCCGTCGCATCTCGGACTATTTGTGCATATGATTTGGAGACCGCCACCCAGGAGTTCAGCTGCACGGCTACCTAGCTCATCCCCGCTCAACAGATTGGGGTTTAATCTCTGTTTCTCTTAAATTCTCCTTTTCTTCAATTTCGATTGATTTGCTTCTATCTTCATTTTATCACTCAGAGGAATTCTCGCCAACCTGATCATCCATGGGTTCCCCAACCTCACCGTCTCAGACCCAGAAGCCATTGCGATTGATAGTCGCGGGTCTTTCTCGAACTGGAACTGCTTGTGTGTTTATTCCAAGGTTCTTCGCGGAAGATTGCTTTACTAACGTATTCCACTATCATAGCACTATACCTTGCTTTACAAGAGCTGGGATACACGCCGTGGCATATGTGCGAGCCTGTGGACAACCCAAAGCTCATGTATACCCAATGGACGGATGCAATGAAGCGCAAATTTTTCAATTCAGCCTATCCTTATGACCGAGAAGACTTTGATCGCTTGCGAGGCAAGTATGACGCGCTTCTCGACATTCCCGCATGCCTGTTCTGGGACGACTTCCACCGACTCTATCCTGAAGTCAAGATCATTCTCACCTCGCGCTCTGCCGATTCCTGGTTCAAATCTGTCAGCACTACCATAATTCCATGGCTTCAAAAGCCACTGCTGAACATAGTGCAATATTTTGAGCCTACTCGGTTGGGGCCTGAGTTCTGTATGGTCAAGACTGCTTACAGAGTTATCTGCAACAATGACTATTCTAGTGATTTTGCCAAGGACCGTTTCATGGAACACAATGACAGGGTGCGAAAGGGGGTCAGTCCAGAGAAATTTCTCGAGCTTCAGCTGGGAGACGGGTGGAAGCCACTGTGTGAATTTCTCGGCGTCCCTGTGCCAAAGATACCCTATCCGCGAGTCAACAACTCAAATGAATTCAATCAGGGGGCGGACCAGGCTGACAGGGCTGTACTGAAAGGACTGTTCATGACGTGGCTGGCGTGTGGTACTCTGATTCCAGCAATTCTGCTTGGCCTACTTTGTTGGAAGACCGGATACATAATCACCTTTTGAGAATCTAACCCCCAGTAACAGGGGTATTGGGGACACCCCCAATGATCTTTGATCTTTGATCTTTTGATAAGAGTTGTAGATATTCACATGCTTTTATGCGGGGACGTGCTATATCAACCTGTCACAGTAATATTCCTTGGGTACGGAGTAATTATGAAGCATTCCATCACAAATTTGCGTTTGGGCTGGCTGCATTGCAAATTCCACCATTTGTGGCTTATTTTAGCATACAAGTCCGGAGAGCGCCCGGCACGGAATAGATTCTTGAGCTGTGATGACAGCGGTTCATGCACTTCAGCTCGCCATGATCTTCGGCTGCCGCTGTCATCACATCGGCTGTCACAACCTCACCAAACGAACCTTTCAGATACAGGTGAATCTGACCGCATATGTGGCTTGGATTTCCCTAATCCAGCACTTGCCTCATGATCGTTCTCGTTTGCACCTTCAATCTGTTTGCTGCAGGAAACACTCTCCCAAATGTGAAGTGAAATCTGTATCACTTCTCTACGCACCCAGGGACTTCCTGTTACTACTCAGCGCCACACAAAAAATAATCTCCTTCTAGCGTTGACTCTTTGCGAAATGACAATTACCAAAGCGACAATGAATGACCTTTACAGTTCCCCTTACCTTGTCGACTACTACGACCTGGTCGCTCCAAATTCAGATTCCATCGACGATGCTTCATTTTACTGGAAAGTTTATCAAGAACTCCGATCTCCCCTGCTCAAACCCCCCAGAGAGCCGTTCATAATCATGGATCTCGGCACTGGCACCGGCCGCGTTATCCAAGGACTTTCAAACAGTGCGGCTATGATCGGGGATAACTTCTTCAACACCAAAGTACTGGGGGTGGACAATGCGCAGCACATGTTGGATAAGGCTGCCCAGAATATCGATCCTCTCTTCAAAGAGCATGTTTCCTGGATGTTGGGGTCTGCACTTGATCTAGAGAGCGTGATGGCTCAAAGTGGATATGACAAGGTTGATCTGTTGATATTCTCTATTGGATCCATCAGCCATTTGTCTGAGAAGGGTCAGCCAGAGAAATTCTTGGAGCAAGTCTCAAAGGTGCTTGCTCCTGGTACTGGACGCGCCTACATTTCCATTTACGATGGCTCGCTCCTTCAAAAGAGTGAGCAAATCGCCTTCCATCAACCGAAGGGAGTCACGGAAATCAAGAGTCACATATTTCCGAACATAATGTATCGGGAATTCAACCATCGGGGGGACATTCAAGACAGGGTCAAAGATGTGAAATTCGAGCTACAGGTGGTAGAACAGACGGAGCTAGGAGATCAGGTCCTGGAGACAAACAACATTTCCATGAAAATGAGGCAGTGGGATGAAGATGAGCTGGTTCCGATGTCCTCTGAGGCTGGTCTCAATTTTGTCGAGAAGGCCAGGGGGAAGCATGAGACATTCTATGTATTTTCAACTTCGGCGTAGAATGTATAGAGGGATGGAGTCTAGATCGAGCATCTCCTTGGCCTTGAAAATGTGTAGGTTCTCAAGTCCACTTTTTAGAGAGAACTATGAGTCAAAATCATTATAATCATTAATACTCGCCAAAAACCCCAATCAATATTCTCTTTCGCCATTAAGTGGCAAGGAAATCGACTGTGGTACAACTGCCTATAGCGGCCAGAGGTAGCTTTGTTTTTGTTTTACCGTGTTGATGCCTGTTGATGCCTGACTGCAAAACATTTCAGACACCGCATACAGTGTGTACCTGGACACTGTCACAAACCAACCAAATCGGCTCACTTGCATGCAAATCTACACTGCTTTGGGAAACTCTGTCTGTACCCCGTACTCTGTATTACAGGAAATCCGATTTTCTGCTGGCAGTAGCTCAGGTATCGACATGCCAATGCAGGCACTGATTACCAGCAAAAACCAAAACTTCATCTGACCGCTATAGGCCTTCGCACGCAGTGAGCCCATCACTCAAGGCTGGCTGAAGCTCTCATCCAAACTTTCAATTCATCCATACCCTCTCCGAAGACTGAGCTACACTCCTCATCATGTCTGTGTCAAATCGTCTCCGGGAGATCCGGTCCTCAGACAAGTTTATTCTGGTGGCGATGTGCTTTGCAATCTTTACCGATACATTCATATATGGAATGGTAATTCTCCCGGAAGCTTTTCTCGGTCTGCCATGTATTAATTATCTGATCTCACTTAATAGATTGTTCCAATACTTCCATACCTATTACTCCAGGGTGGCCAGGTTTCGAAAGGAGACGGTATTCGTCGCACTATCCTCTCTCATCCCGATATACGTTTCTGATTGATTTCTAGTTCAAAAATGGACGTCAATACTGCTTGCCGCTTATGGAGCTGCGCTTCTAGTGGGATCCCGTAAGCCTTACCATGCGCGCTTCTATATGAACGACTGATTAACCTCATCTAGCAATCATTGGTCTAGTCAGTGATCGTATTCGGTCGCGGAGGTCTCCCCTTCTATTCGGGTATATCACGATTGCTGCTTCGACATTGATATTCGCACTTGGGGGCTCGCCTGCTATGCTCACTGTCGCCAGGGTGTGCCAGGGTCTCTCGGGGGCGGTGATTGGGGTACTTGGTCTCGCCATTATTGCAGACGCAGCTCGTCCTGAGACTGTGGGAGAGTTCATGGCATATGGATCTCTGTCATTCACATGGGGAATGCTTATGGGGCCTGTTTTTGGCGGCCTTCTGTATGTTATTCCTTTCTCCCCAATGGCTTGGAATATCGATATCTGATTGTCTTGAAATCCTGCAGGTATGATCACTTTGGCTCTGTCGGCGCATTTGGGCTGCCGATAGCAATGCTGGTTGTTGATATCATTCTTCGGGTCTTGATTATCGAGAGAGACAACAAATCAGTCAGCGGCGCAACTGTGGAAGCTCCACGTGAAACAGATGCTTCCACAACATCGCAAGAGGAGACCCCCTTGCTTGCAGTTTCGCCTGCTGACAAACCCTCTCTTTCGCTTCGAAACTTTTTCGATACTCGTCTGGCGACCACAATTCTGATCGAAATCACGATCTCTTCCATCATTTCAGTCTTTGAGACGGTACGTCAACGACTTTGGCTTTCTAAAGCATACCTAACATGGCCATATCAGACTTTACCCCTGTTTACGATTGAAACTTACCAATGGGCTCCAACAAATGCCGGGCTCGTGTTCCTGGGATTGACCCTCCCTAGCTTCTTCAGCATTCCTCTAGCCAGATACACCAGCAAGCGCAGCTGGGACCGCCGAAAGATTGTCGCTATCGAACTCGTCCTGTGTTCGCTTCCTATGGTAGGGCTCAAATGGACTCAAGGAAACACCCTGCAACAAGAACTCCTATTCATCGCACTAATCAGTTTTGTGGGCCTGTTTTTGACTACCTGTCAGGCACAAGTTCTGGCTGAAGTATCAGAGTCGATCCGCCAGATTGAGGCCAGACATGGTATTGACCCGGACACAAGCAGTGGAATGGGCACCGGCTTTGCCTTTTGCAATATGGCAATCGCCGCTGGGCAATTCATTGGGCCTCTCATAGCCGGAGTAGCTAAGATTGGGCTTGGATGGAGTACTATGACTATCATGTTGGGGGTTTTATCATGCAGTGTTGGGCTGGTGTCGTTCATTGTCAACGTTTAGTCTTCGAATGTTCTCACTATACCCCGTACTTCAGACTGTACTTCAAATTCCAACAACCTATGTCAACTTTACAGGGCACCCCGCGTCTAATCGGAAGAACAGCTAGTCCTTCGCGTTCATTATTCATGTTTGAGGTTATCCTTTTTTTTGCTTTTTTGCAATGATGTTGGCATGTACTCCCAGCCAACTGGTCAATTTCTGGAATGACGTTTCCGCCCTCGATCTCCCCATCTCCGCTACTCCGCATCAACACCGCGACCATCATGTACGACTCATATCGTAAGGCATTCGGCTTACCTTCCAAGGCTTATGTTAGATCTGGTCATCGCTAACACAATCTAGGCCCACACCCTCTTCTCGCCCAGATTCCGCTGACGGTCTCCCCCTTCATCAATCTCCCCACCTCGGTCACATTACCCTACACATACAAATCCGTAGCCTCGATTCTTCCACCCTCGGTGACGGTTGATCCAAGTAATCCCGAGGAGAAAGCCCGTTATGTCGTTTCCTCCAGTGGAGAGCATGCGGCTCACCCCGACGACATCTTGGCCGCGTGTCACTCCCTCGAAACACACCTGAACAAGACCCGGAGCGATGCCGACCAGGCAATCGCGGCCTGGGAAGATTCAATCAAACAACGCGAGCTTGCTGAGAAGAGACGCCTAGCCCCTGGGTGGCTGGACCGCGAAGAGAAGCTGCTTCAGCCGAGCAGAACTGCCGTCGCTCCTCCCGGTGTCCAACCGAGTCTGTTAGATAGCTCTTCTCCCGACCAAAGCTCTTCCCAGATGCCAGCTATTCAGCCGCATGATGAGGGAGAGGAGCTGGATCGGGCGTTTGGTGGGCTTGGTGTGAAATGACGCAATCTCCCCTGTCAACCCTTGCTATGCTATGGTTTTCGCGCTCCAGGAATTTTTAGGGGCCAGGACACGCATAAACATCACACTACTATAGATGAGCTTGAGATCCAGTGACCCTACAATGCACCATTGTTGTCTCTGGCGCAGCTTCTTCGCTCCGGGCTGCTGATGACCGTCAAAACAGCTGCCGACCTGGATCCACTCGAACTCTTATGCTTTTCCCATGGGACTAGGCTTCAAGCCATCGTTACAGGTCTCTACATGTACCGTTGCAATCGGTGATTCGTTCACCTGCCCAGGTGCCCAGGGCATCCCATTACTTGAGGTGACTTGGTTGGGACTTTAGAGTACTTGAGTAACAAATGTCTATACACCTCAGCTAATGCTCACCTGGGCAATTTGTATAGCAATATACATCTCAATTTCATAATGTACTGCTCAATTTTAGAAGTCTTAGACCTGCTGTTTATCCATGGATTGGTGAAAGAAGATCTACAGATGTGGTGGTAGCCTTGAAGTCCACAAGATATATACCTCCACCAGGAGAGTTTGAAACCTTCTAAGGTTATAGTCTTTGGACAATAATGACTTCAGGAAGAGATATCACAAACTAAATGCTACTTTCTACTTATATTCTGTTGTCATTCCAACCATTAGAACGTCCCATTCATCGAAGTTTGAGCCTCAGTGCAGTGAATCCCAAGATTGGGGTCTCCAGGCTTATCGGGGAATCCACTCGGAAAAGCTCTCTCTTGACGCGACCTTACCTCCCAACCTCACCTCAATCTGAACCTCCAGATCTACCATAATTTGACTACAGCCAAAACGCCAAAACCCTCTTCACTCACACAAACAAAATGGAAGCTCTCAGCGGCGCCCCGGAAACATCTTCATTCGTCCCCCTCGCAGAGCACCAATCCCGCACTCCAAGCTCTTTCTACTCCGGCCCAGCGGTGCTCCACTACCACAGCCAGCACTGCAAGATCGTCATCCTCGAGCGAGAGCTACTTGCCTCTCCAGAATTGAATGCGCTCCGTGGCGAGACCGCCCCCACCAACAGCGCAACAGAGGATGACAAGGAGATCGCCATTGACGGCGTAGACGTATGGGTGACATCTGAGTAAGTTCCGAACCAAAATGACCAATTCCTCCCAGAGAGAGAGTCAAGCGCATCCCTCGCAGAAGCAATTTACTGACCAGGTCATGATTCCACAGTAAGTTCCTGCTGTATTCCCCCGCGGCCTCCGCCGGCGTCTCAATCCCCTACCCTTCAATCTCACTGCACGCTCTCCAACGACTGCGCGTGCCAGGTGCCGAGTCCGATGCCGAAGTCCAGGGTCTATACATGCAGGTCGCGACACCTGCTGCGCCTTCCGGCGACGATGACGAGGAGTGCACCACTCTGACGGTGGTGTTGGCTTCTGATGCGACAGCGCAGGCGTCTGCTGATGGCGAGGAAGTGACGGAAACACCTACCCAGCAGCTCTACGGGGCTGTCTCTGCATGCTCGAACCTGCACCCAGACCCTGTTGAGCCGGGTGATGAGGATGAGGACGATATGGAGGATGGACCGCAGTTTATTTCTGCGGAGGATCATGAGGGTGTTTTCCAGCTTGGAAATGGGGATATGCCGCCTCCTGTTGATGGGAGCTCGGGGTGGATTACGGCAGAGAACATGGATCAGTTCTTTGATGCGGATGGGAATTGGATTGCGGGTGGTGAGGCTCCTTCGTTCCCGCTTGGTCCTGGTGCTGGGACTGTTAGGGCTCGTGAGGGTGAGAATGGTGCTGAAGAGGGTGCTGAGGATGATGATGAGACAAAATGGCGGAAGACAGATTAAGTTGGAGGATGTGGGAACTATATTACAAAAAAAAAAAAGCTGTTACGGAGGCGTCTGTACTCCTTAAGATCTAACTGCTATCTATTATACAAATTTGCAGATTACCGGGAAACGAGGATATTCAGCAAGATTACATTGAAGTAAGAATAGCAGCTACCTATGTCAAGGTTTTCAGTCAAGGTTTTCAAGACACTGCACACATCCCCCTGGGCAGAAACAATAAAGATAAAGGAGTATCACCAGCTTCGTAGACAATAAAAGAGAGGTTTTCAGTCAAGGCTTTCAAAACACTGCACACACCAGAAACAATAAAGATAAAGGAGTATTACCAGCTTCGTAGACAATAAAAGAGATAAAAAGGGACAATCATAAAACAGGGGAGAAAGTAGCTCAAGCTTTGAGGCCCGAGATTAAGTATCAGAAACAATCCAACAAGAAAAGAAGAGAAGCTCGCTTCCTAACGTCACCAGAACTCGTCAAGAGATTCACAAATATCGAAATTATTCACGGAGGAAGCCATCACCGTCGTAGAGACTACCAGGAGTAGCAGTTCCGATGCCCTTTCCAAGGCTCTTGCTGTTTGGAGTAGCCAGACCTCGACCTCGTTGAGGGGAGGTAGGAGTAGGAGGTGCGTTGTTGGGACGGGGAGGCAAGGACTGATTGCCTTGGAAGGAAGGGGGGATTTTGTTTTCGCCATCGATGGGTGAGTAGTCAGGCGTGGTCAGTGTGTGAACCGACGAAAGCTGCTTGGGCTTAGTGGGAGAGCGGTCATTCTCATCAAAGAAAGTGACCTGTTTGGTGGGAGTACGCTCGGCATCCTCATAGATAGTGACCGGTTTACGCATCGAAGATCGGCGGGTGGTAGGAATCACAGAAGGACCGACGGAGCCAGCGCCTTGCTGAGCGGCTTTCTTTCCGACACTGCCCTGCTCGTCGGCTTTCTTCGCGGCAGCGAGTTCCTGAGCGGCCAGCTTGGCGGCTTTCTTTGCGGCATAGGTGCGGCGGAATTCGAGGTCTGCCTCACTTGTCTTGGAGCGGCGGGCCGGGTCTGTAGACATGCGCCAGTCGCTACCCTCGGTGCCAGTCATGGTACTGATCAGAGAGAGCCGATGAGCGATCAGATCAGATTCAAGGAGAGATTTATTGGTGACGGTATTGGAGGTTGCCTTAGACACACGGGTAGGTTGGTCTTGAGCTGCAGTGGCTTGGGGTTGGCTGCGTGGGCCTTTGACACCAGATCGTCGCGGGCTACCAGCACTTGGGTAGTTCTCGCGTTGAGATGGCGAAGGCATTTCAGGAAGCTCCCAAAGCGTAGGGGTTCGTTCAGGAGTAGGGGTGTGAGAGAGGTCTCCATGGTTGTCACTGTTGTAAGCATTGGTAAGAAGGGTAGTGACGAGCTCGGGAACAGTGCAGGGATCTCGGCCAGGCAGCCCGTTGGTAGCCAATTCGGCGAGAACAAGGGTTCTCTTGGAAGGAGGAGGGGATTCGTAGACGAAGGGCTGCGGCTCCTCGACCAATGGACCAAGAGAACTAAAGCTTGTTTGTTTACCATTTCGACTGCCGTACTTGCCTCGACGCGAAGAGCTAGGAGGAGCCAGCGCAGCCTGAGGTGGCACTGGCATCGGCTTCACCGGGGCGTTGATCGCGCTCTCACGGAGGTCCAACTCTTCCATCTTGTCGTAATCCTCAGGCTCCTCTTCGACAGTGGTAGAGAAAGAAGATGGGACAAAGCTCAGAGGGGGTTGGAATGAAATTCGAACACAGTTCTGACGGCGATGACCCTTGCGTACCGAGTTTCCACTCTTGAGGGCTGAGGGAGGAGCCATTCTGACAGACGGACCACTGCGTTGCATTGGGCTTGGAGGATTGGGAGAGATGCCCGCACGGCCCGGGGACCCAACTGGGTGGAACATAGTGCCGCTTCCCGGTGGGCCGACATAAAATGGATCATTCTCAACTTCATCATCCTCGTAGACGGTGGGATTCTGGAAGAAACTGGATTGAGACATGAGAGACATTTGAGATCCAGAGTGGTTCATTCGTCCCACTGGAGTCCCAGACCGGAATGATGCGTGTCGGGATGGAGGGTTGGAAGAACACAGGGAGTCCGTCCGACGAGGAGGAGCAATGGTCGGAAAATCAAACGAAGTGCCCGAATACTGACGAGTCGTCATACTACGCCGAGGAGACACGGACGCAGGCTTGTGTCGTGGTTCGGTGGTAGATGTAGACCGCATAGGGAAGTTGTGCATCGGGGGAATAGAAGTATTCGTAGTGATGAAAGTTCGGCGACCGTCTTTGACCCCAACATCTGCAGCGCTGAAAGGAACGAATGTGCCACCGGATGAGAACATGGATGGAGTAAATTCAGAATCAGCCGACCAGGGCCCAGTGCGACCATCATCAAGGATTGAGCTGTTTGTAGTGTCCAAACTCATCGAAGAGAGTCGGGCAATAGAGTCATTCCGTGCATAGCTGAATCTCTCTGGAGGAAATGCAATGGGAGGTGGAGGTGGGATTGTATGTCCTGGCATCATGCCTGCCGTCTGACTGGCAATGCTCACTCCTCGCAAACGTCGTGGAGATTCCTCGAACATCATAGAAGGAGGATCAAAGGTGCAAGGGGAGTTGTCGTCATCAGAGACGGAAAAGGGACCTGCGCGGTTTCCTTGGCCCGGAAGAGGCCACGCAGATGGAATAGGCTGCATACCTAGATGGAATCCTTTTTCGTCTTCGCTTTCGGTCGGTTCAGGTGTTCGGGTGGGGGTCCTCTCAGCTGGCAATTCAAGAATACCTTCGACTGCCGAAAGTGGTACGTCTTCTCTGGATATTGAGCCTTTGGGTGGGGGACTGGGCTGTTGATTACAATCGCCTAGAGTTGCAAAGGAGCTCAATCTTTTGTGGGAAGATTTTGACAAACGGGTGGAACGAGATCGAGAAAGAGAGTGGCGGAGAGATCGAGCTTTCTCAGTGAGTGGGAAAGGGGAGTCTGAAGTGCTTTTCGGACGAAGCAAACTTTCCCGGGATGTCAATTGACCCCATTCAGTTGGCTTTCCATAAGGCAGCTGCCCATGCGCTAACAATACACTTCCTTCTGCCTGACTCAATTCGGTCAATGTGTCAATAGGATATGATTGCAATCCACGAACATAATGTCCATGTTTTGATTTCAATCCCAGCAACGCCAGTAAACGGCGTCGCTTTCGATGTCTGATCCACACAAGGACACCCACCACCGCAAATATGATGACAACGGCCGCACATGAGGCGGATATGGCGACGACGGCGCTCAGCTCCGGCATGGTCGCCTTGCTGGCGCCTCACCGGCCTCTTTCCGGGACTGAAGGACGCAGTTTGGGAGTTCGCCCTTTCAACACGGCATCTGCGAGAGCCAAGGCTTCGTAAATTGAATGTATCCAGCGGTTGCTTGAGCCAGTGGGCAAGACTGATGTTTCGCGCCGGGAGACCTCGTACAACAGATGTTCACAGGCACGAAATGACACGGAGAAAGCATGTTACTTTTCCGTGGTTCAAGGGGGTCGACATTTGTTATGGAAACGCTGATGCCAGCCGAGGAATGCCCATTCATCACCATCAAAGGTGGGAGGAATGCTCGCGGCCACACTACCCCCTTCACTCCCAGATCGACGATGACATGGCCGCCGAATCACGTCCATGAACTAAGACCACTGGAACGTCAGATGAAAAGCCTTGGACGGGTGGAATGGGGACCTAACGCCCTATGCGGAGCACGCAGTGCTATACTCAGTGGAGCATCGGACACTCCATCGTCCCCGATACAGACTACATGCTGTAGATGCATCTTCACCCATCAGAGTGAATCGAAGCCCACCCAGCCAGATAATCAGATACTGGACTGTAAACCATTTGGGATGGTACAGCGAGTTCTACAGAGGAATACAAGGATGGAGACGCGAAGTTGGGTCTTCTGTGGGGGCGCTAGTCCTAATAGCGTTAGCGCCAAGAACGACTTCTTAAATCCGATCGACCTACTTTACCATCCCCGAGGTCCTACTCTCTACCTAGGTAGGTTCAGACCGAGAGACTTGCTCACAATCACTACCCTGTCGAGAAACCAGACCTGCTGTACTCTGTACATGCCCGATTTGATATGATGCATCTGGCGAACCCTAATCATGGGACATAGCGTCATGCTCTGGCCATGGTGCAGAAACAGCACCAGCCCCAGCATTCGATAGGTATGGCCTGGTCTGATCTGTTCTTCTTCGCCAATGCATCCTCACCGTATTTTGCATTGTTTCCTAGGGTCTTTATTTAAAGAGGAGGGTTTCACAGGGACTCATGTACTAACCCTCTTTTTCAGAAAACGAAAAAAAAAGAAACCAACATTGAGATCTGTCTTTTTCAAAATGGCTGCAAATCCAGTCTCCCAGAATGGGCATTTCATCCATAACAATACCACCGCCCCAGAGCACCCCAGTTTGATGAGCATGTTCTCCTTAAAGGGAAAAACTGCCATCGTAACAGGGGCTGGTGCTGGTATCGGTCTTGCTGTTGCTCACGGTCTTGCTGAGGCAGGTGCAAATGTGGCAATGTGGTATAGAAACAATACCAAATGCCCCGAACAGGCAGCTGAGATTGCAAGAAAGTATGGTGTTCAGAGTATGTGCAGACTCACTTAATTTGATTGCACTAACCCCAGCTAATCATCTCCAAACAGCCAAGGCATACCAGGTCGAGGTGACTGATGCAATAGCTGTCGAGAAAGCTGTAAGCGCCGTTGTTCAGGAATTCAACGGTCGCCTCGACGTATTCATCGCCAATGCAGGTGTTCCCTGGACTAAGGGTCCTATGGTTGACGGGCCGCTTGAGCATTACCGCGATGTTGTCGGTATTGACCTAGACGGCACTTTCTACTGTGCCAAGGCCGCTGCTGATCACTGGCGCCGTCAGAAAGAAGAGGGCACCGATGCCAATGGAAACAAACTCGTTAACTTCACATACGGTAGCTTCGTCGCTACTGCTTCTATGAGTGGCCACATTGTCAATTTCCCTCAGATGCAGGCTGCCTATAATGCTGCTAAGACGGCTGTGATACATCTATGTAGGTTGGGAGCCATTGGGTTGACGGGGGGTTGACGGGGGCTCAACTAACGCTCTACTAGGCAAGTCTCTTTCGGTTGAATGGGTTCGCTTCGCCCGTGCCAACACTGTCTCTCCGGGGTACATCGCCACTGAAATCTCCAATTTCGTTCCCGAAGAAACCAAGAATATCTGGCGTGACAAAATCCCCATGGGCCGCGAAGGACAAGCTCACGAATTGAAGGGTGCCTATCTATACCTGGCCTCTGATGCTTCGACTTATACAACTGGAGCTGATCTTATTGTCGATGGTGGCTACTGTGCACCATAGACGATCCCTGTCACAGCCAATAGGCCAATGAAGATCTTTGACTTTCGCCCAAAAGGCGGGGGGATACCGAGGTAGATGCAGGTTGATCTTTTACAACGAGGGACTAGAGATGAATGGAACGATTTACTCAGAGACTGCACTCGTATTGGCAGACTCAAACTCGATAAAAATGTCTCCACATTCCAAACGTTCAAATAACTTTCGCTGTCTCCTACTACATAGTCATCAGTTGTGGTCTGCGGGTTTGACTGGTGCCCGACCTAACCCAACCGAACCTTAAGAGCTTAGACCTAGCAATCTGCCCTATCGTAATTCTACATCAGGCATTTACCCCCGGGATAGATTGAGAATTTGAGACTTTCAATACGACTTACATGGAGATCACAAACCCAAAGACCCTTGCGTGACGCTTGAGGCCCGTCAATGGGTGTTAACCAGGCCCCGTCCCGTGACAAGCCACTACGTCAGATGTGATTCCCCGAGTCAGACGAGGGAGCCCTGGAAAACCGTTGAAGATATCATCATTTGCGCTTAGAATATCATAATAGTTGTACAGGTATCCAGCCTGATCAACAGGCAACGCCAGCAGGAACCAAAAGAGAGAAAATTATTGAAACACTCTCGCCAAGCCCATACCAGCTGCAGCTATGCTACCAAATTTCGGGGCCGGTTGTACCGCTCATTAATAGCATCCACGACATCAGGGGGAGCAACGACGGCATACGTAGCCAGCGCAGTCCAGTTAACGACTTGGTCCAGAATGGCCGTTGGGCCACCGTTGCTGAGATACAGCGGCTGCTCCAGCTCGTGGCGCCAAACCTGAGGAACACGATAGAGATCTTCGGCCGTGTCGGAACCCATGGATCCGGACTCAAATGAGGCTTCCGAATCATCGTCCCAATCATCATCGGAGTCAACTGTGAACTCAGAGAAAGATGGAGATTCGGACCTGCTGTCGTCGATATCGGATTCGCGTTCGCCGTGAGTCGCCAAGTTCGAGTTGTGGGAGATCTCAGTGTCAGGATAACGATTGGTCTGGTGGCTTTGGACATCCGGAGAAGGGCTGCCATGCGATGCGGTTGAGGATTCACGATACCGAGATTGCGAGCGTGGGAAGAACCAAGGTCGCTCGGGTTCAGACGGCAGCTCCTCGTGCTTCTGGTTGAGATCTTCATGTTTCTCGCTGGAATCTTCGTGATATTCATCGGGCGTGATCACCTCATATACTGGCTCGGATGCGAGAGCAGAATCATCGGTTCGGCTGAGCTTACGTTTGATCCATTCATAGGTGGGAAGGATCGCGTTGTGGTTCAAGGCCCTCGCATATTGTTGGATCGACGCGTTATAGAACAGCACGACGAAAAGGAGCGAGAGGGCGAGACAGCTCATTGGGAAGATGAGTGAAGCTTCGGCCATGATGGTGGTTTGGTTCCCACAGCCTTCTGTCGCCAGAGCAAGGTAGGTGTTGGAATCAAATAACCGATTTGACTGTTTAGGAGGGGAATGGAAAATTGAAAGAGAGCGGGCGAGAAGCATGAGAAAAGAAAGTGGTGTGTCGACACGAAGACTGGCTATCAAAATACACGTCTACGTTCTGACAATCTGGGTGGGACACCACAACAATGACATTATCTATGGGTGAAACCGGGCGCCAGCGAGTTCAGTATAATGATGATACTCAGACATCCAATTTCACCAAGTTTCTCTTTGTCTTTCTTTCCCCCCTGCTTTCCCCCCAGTAGACCACCTAACGATAGGCTAGCAGCCTCGTATGAATCATGTCCAAGATAGTACATATAGATAGAAGAACCGCCTTGGTCAAACTTGTAAGACCAATGAGAAGCGACTCGATCCACAGTAGCTACCTCGCATGTTGTTTGAGGTGCTGGGGAATGCCTTAGCCCGATGATGCCCAGTGGACGTTCCTCGGGATGATCTAGTCACGCTCTCGAGCCTAATCGCACCCCCAGATGACCTGCCTAAACTCACGTCATATGGGCTTAGACATTCAAACTGATTATATTTAGCCCCTACTCTCTCGGTATGGACTGACTTACTATCTTTCAAATGTATCTGGGATTTCATTATTAGCTCGGAACTCCCTTTGTTGGCTCGAATCAATGGGAATCAATTTAAGCCTCTCTTATTGTCCATTTTGATTGAAGATGGAATCAATGAAATCAATGGATTCTACTACTCACTCTCTTCCTTTGTTCACAATGTCAACACAAAAGCCTACAATCGATTGTATAAAGGCATACCAAACAATATCACCTTTGGCCCATATCTTTCTCACCACTCGGTTCGATCACGAACCCTCACACCTACAACACCAAAACCATTACGTGGACTTCATTGCGCAGTCACTCATCATGGCAATCTCCAACCAAAAGAGCATCACTCGTGTCACCAAGCCCAATACCACTCCAAAAAAACAGTGGACAGAAGCCCTCAAGGAAAAACTTGTACAATATGCCGACTACCAACAACCTGTGTGTGTCCAGTTCACTAACAGACTCAAGTCGCATCACAATGCCATCCTTCAGGAGGCCCTCTACTGCACCCAATGCAAGAACATCTGCACTACTGTCTATCAAATGCGAACGGATATTGAAGAGGGCGTCTACGTGGCAACCCAATACCCACCCTACTTTGCCGACAAAGCTGCACCAATCGAGGAGATATCGCCATTTGACACAACTCCAGACCAATCTCGGAACCAGACATTCTGGTCAAACATTACCCCTTCCCAACAGCGCCGCTACTTCCAAATGGTCGATGCCATCATCCGCAAAACCGAGATTGAGACAGGCCAAGTAGCCGGCGAGCTTATGGTGCTGTATGCCCACTATCAGATGGACACCCACATTCGCCGACACGCAATGCGCACCCAGAGCGTACTGAACATTTGCCGTGACAAGGAAGATGTCATAGGCCTGCGCCACTGGCAGTGGGAAGTCTATATGCCCGACGCGATGGAGATCACAGAAACTGAACCCATCAAAACTATGGAGTCTCCAGAACACCTCGAGCACGAGTGGGGAGTGGGCTGGGTGACTGACCCGACCAACTCGCTCGACCAGCAGTACGAGGTATGGAAGGCGGGGGAAAGCGAGCGTGAACAATGCGTCAAGGAGGTGAGGTCCCGCTGGGATCAGATCCTCGAAGAGAGGCGGGAACAGAGGGAAAGAACCGCTATTTTTTCTTTTCGTGGCGTGCCTTTCCAAACTATCAAATATGATCCGCCATCTGAGCCACCTTTGTCGGAGGAGGAGATAATGGCGATTGCTGGTGCATTTGGGCCTGTGGCCTCTGAGGAATGATCAGAGCAACTTGCGCTGGAGTTGTTGTTTGACCTCCTTTTCTTGTCTTTTCTGTGCCATATACCCATCACAGTTTTTTATCGATTTTCATGAAGCGCCTTTCGCTGACATCTTCACGCTATAGACCCTGGATGATAATGTAGACGGAAAGATATGAGAATGGAATGTGAGCGATTTCTAGATTTGCCAAATGTAGTTGGTTGCTATCAACATATTGGCATGGTGAGAGCCCGTGTATTTTTCAGTCATTTCTGGTCAGTCAACTAAATGTAGACCCTGACTTCAGGACTCAAGAAAAGCCTGTGACTTGAATGGGTTGGACAACAAGGCAAAGCCTGTTTCAGCAGTAGTAAACTGCAATGCAACATGTGAGAATATTTCGCATAGCAACCTTGGAAGAGGAATCTCTTTTGGAGACCGGAATTATCAAGCTGAAATACAGCCAATCAAGCCTGGATGAGTAGCAATATAAAATGCCGGGCTCTGGGAGTCTGACCACGGGTGAGGCAACCGCCTCCCTTGCTTTGCAAGGTGCCTCGCATGGCGATGTACTTAAGTACACCACCGGACACACTGATGAGTTATACTTGCATAGCCTTAAAGCACTATGGAGTTCTCATCAACTTTAGAATCATATCGGGATTTTGAGAGAGACGGGAGTATTGGCCGCAGGACAGATTCAGCAGCAATCTTGCATAGTCAGCTGGAATAGGTTTTTATTGCGCATCCGACAACCAATTGGATCGCAAAGCCTGGGTCGCAAACTTGAAGGTTGCAAAGGTTCAAGGCTTACTCCGTCTCCGTACATTGTCCTCAGGGGTCTATTGGATAGCAGTCTCAGACAAGTTTGCACTGTAGAAGCCCCTGAATTGAGTATTCTGACAGAAGAAAGCATATGTTCGGAGTGCAGACTCGATATTGAGAAGTGGTATTTCCACGGCTCACCTGACAGCATTTCGACATCCGTGGATCCGCTGAAGTGAACCCCCTTCTACCTACTCCGTATGAAGTACAAGTCTAATTCCCAGGCTGGAATGAACGTTGTCCGACCCTGTGTGATCTGTTATGAGGCATTATTGAGGAAGCCAAATGCCCTGGCTATTGAGCATCCCATTCTGGTCACATGCTTCGTCCTTTTCGACTAACCGCCCATAACGACGATCATGATTCCCGTTCCAGAACGTCACTTTGCTTGGGCCTTCTATTCCCCGCGATGATTACCAGGCGGGCCGGAGATCGTCCCTTTTATTTACCAGATGCAGAGAAATCCCCAAACTCGCGATGCGAGTCACCTTACTCCCCACCACTCGATTGTGCGGTTCTCAAACATGATGGAGGAAAACAAGACCACAACCGGGCCAGACCAACACGGCTAAGATCACCCGGTTGTGGCTTACGCCTTCTCAGCCCAAATAATTCGCATCAGCAATAAGCAATCGATACTATTGCTTACTATCCAGAGTCTTATAGGCAAATTCCGCTGATGATTGGCTGTGGCTCCCACTTTGGTGACGGCGCCACCAACGAGCCTGACTAAGCCATTTCGTCACAGCTCTCAGCTCTGGAAGGCTGTGTCCGCAATTGATCCTACTTTGTACTCCGTACTCTGTACACAGTGAGCTGGGACCTCGATCGGGATCTGTGACGTGGGTTTTCCAATATTCTGCACGGGGAACAAGGGGCTGTAAAGGGACCAGCGGGGCTTGGCCGATGGCACCTTGTGTTCAATACGGAGTGTTAGTCTCCTGAGCTTGTGCCTAATGCCCTCTCTCCTGTCTGCTGTCTGCTGTCTGATGTCTCCTGTCCTGTTTCCCATCTCCTGTCGTGTCTGCTGACCCATGTCTACAGATACATGATACTGCAAACATCATCATTAGCCCATTCACGGGAAGCCGTAGCATGTGACGTAAGACCCTGGGAGCCCCCCCGAACCGGCCCGTGAGAGGGATGCGGTTATGTGCCTGGGAGTATACGAATAATATCCCAGAGTGCTCGTCCATTTGTTTTTAAATGAAAAGAAAAGATTAAGAAAATTAACAAAGAGAGATCGAAGAATCAAAAATCAAAAATACCAAAAAAACAAGAAAGAGTCGAGGGAAACAAACGAACCCCCCAAAACGAGGGGAAAATCGACCCACTGGGAAAGTGGGTTAGGGAATTTATAACGTCGTCAGGTCCTAAACCTGTTACCCAATCCCTTCTCTTCCTCTCCATCTTCCCCTCCTTCATCCTTCGACTTTATCTCTCCATCTCTGATATCTCTTTTCAACATGTCGAAGACCAAAGTTTTGTTGGTCGGTGCTGCGGGTGAAACCGGAGGCTCCATTGCCAACGGCCTCTTGGATACCGGTGACTTTGTAGGTGACCCCAGCTACTCAAAAAGGTGTCTTTGATATTGATACCTCTTCTTTGGCGTGATAGGAAGTTATTGCCTTGGTTCGTCCAGTATCGGCCCAGAAGCCTGCTATCACGCGCCTTCAGGATCGGGGATGCCAGGTTCGGAAATGCGACTTGAAGGCCCCCGAGGAACAGCTTGTCGAGGCGTTGGCTGGAATTGATGTGGTCATCAGCTGTGTCGGTCCCGCCGAACAACAAGACCAGATTCCCCTCGCCAAGGCTGCCAAAAAGACCGGTGTGAAGCGTTTCGTGCCCTGTGGATTCATTACTGTCTGCCCACCGGGCGGTGTCATGTGGCTCCGTGATGAGGTACGAATAAAATAACCCCATGCTAGGATATACAGACCGAATGGAACTGACTGGTCATCTTCATTTACACAGAAAGAAATTGTCTACAACCAGATCCGTCAGTTGTGGGTGCCCTACACCATTGTCGATGTCGGCTGGTGGTACCAGCTGGCCTACCCCCGTCTCCCCTCCGGCCGTGTCGACTACGCCATGACCTCCGGTAACGACGAGATCATTGGAGATGGCAACATGCCCACGGCATTGACCGACTTGCGAGACATTGGCCGCTACATGGCCATGATTATTTCCGACCCCCGCACTTTGAACAAGAAGATCCTTGCCTACAACCTGGTCTCCACCCAAAACAAGATTTACGAGCTCATGGAGGAACTGAGCGAAGAGAAGATTGATCGCAACTACGTATGTTGCCCCGGCACTTGGATTTGAAGTCATCGAAGCTAACGATCTTTCTTCGGAACACAGGTCCCCGAAGAGACTATTTGCAGCAGAGTCGTGGCGGCCCGACAGGCTAGTGAGACCTACCCCTTCGACCCGATCAAGTTCATTCCTCGATACCTTGCCGAATACCAGCTCTCATGGGGAATCCGCGGCGACAACAACCCCGACTACGCCAAGTATCTCGGTTACCACACCACACAGGACCTGTACCCCGACTTCCAACCAACAGACTTCTGTGAATATCTCGAGCAAGTTATTCGGGGTTCCGCCAAGGGTGTTTATACCGATCGTGTGATCTCACGGAAGCACCAACGACACTTCCCTCGCACCGAGTCCAGCGACTCCCTCTACACCCGCATATTCCCTCGCACAGAGTCCAGCGACTCGCTCATGTCGCGATGAAGGGATAATTAGGAAACCCTCTCATATCTCATGTTCCACCTCCGCCTCACTCAGGGAGCGACCGTTACAGACCAAACGCCAGTCGTTCCCGAACCGCCACTTGGTAATTTTCGATAAAGACTTTATGACTTCTCCACTCCCCCTCTGGCCCCACGGGGACATGGAATTCAGTTTGCAACCGAATGCTTTGGGTGCGACTACTTTTGGGCGTTTTTGATCTGGCCTTTTGGAATTTAGACGCTAGCCGGCTTTTTGGTGCCTCCTCGATGGGCTTGGTGGCAATCATAGAGTTGGCATGGGAAATGCTTCTATCCACTTCTATCCTTTTTTTTTTCTCTTTTTTTTTGGCTTCATATGCCATCCTACTTGTCCTTTGATGGACTGCTTTGCATATAGAAAATATATACCAAAGAACTATGATCCAAACCTCGCTCCTTCCGTTTTTTACACCTGCCTAATCGGGCTCTCGTTGCCTTTGGGGAATCCAGATCCATCTGTTCCTCCATGCCCTCATTCTGACTATGTGACAGACCCCACACACATTGGTTTATCGAGGTTATTGACGGTTGCACACGTTATGTTTTTTAGACGTCCGCGACCCTTGCCCAGTGAGCCCAGCACCGATCCTGTCACGCCCCCGCCAGTACCCGACCATGCACTAGGCTTTACTGATATATACGGCTCATTGACACCCCGCCAGATCAGCGTCATCAGTATGCTCCTCGCGGTGAATACATGTGATTACTCTAACGCGCAATGCAGCTATCGGGTCGGCCATCGGAACGGGTTTAATGGTAGGGACGGGAAGAGCATTATCTATGTAAGGCTGTCTCGAAACGATCCTCTATCCACCAGAAATTGGTTCACGGTGAGCTGCGCTGATTTTCACCAGGAGCGGCGTGAGTACACCTCCACCGGATTGAGATACACACTAATTTGAGGTAGCCGGCCGCTATCATCATTTCTTATACTATCGTTGGGTTTGCGGTTTACCTCGTTCTTTCTGCCTTGGGTGAGGTGGGATCCTGGTTACCGAAGCCGTATACTGTCGCAGACCAGGCTGTGCGGTTCTGTGACCCTGCCCTGGGGTTCAGTTTGGGATGGATGTAAGTCAACCTTGCAATGCCGGATAGAGTTCCAAGGTTCGTGTGACGGGTTACTAATTATCCAAGCTTTTGGCTCAAGTACGCCATTGTGACACCCAATCAACTTACCGCTGCGACTCTCGTGGTCTCTTACTGGGTCGATGCAGATCAAGTCAACCCCGGTATCTGGATCACGATCTTTCTGTCGATCATCGTGAGCCTCAACTGTATCAATCACCGCCTGCCCAGTCGGATTGAGTTCTATATGGCTTCATGCAAACTTGTTGTCATGCTTGGTCTTATGATCTTGTCCACCATCATTGCACTGGGGGGAGGACCGGACCATGACCGGCGAGGCTTTCGCTATTGGTCATACCCCGGTGCCTTTGGCTCTCATCGACGTGATAGCTTAATCGACAAGTTTTCCATAACCTGCTCAACCATGTCCTCTGCGACATTCGCATATATTGGAAGTGAACGATCCGGTATGTGTCACTTTCCGAATGTTCGGAAAGCCACATCTCGAGCCATCAGGAATACCTTCTATCGGATTCTCGTCTTCCATCTTCTAGCAATCACGCTACTGGGAATGATCGTCCCCCAGAACTCTATGTCTGTGGCCTTCTACAGCCAAGCATCCCCCGATGCTGCCGCATCTGCATTTGTGGCGGCACTGTATCTCGCCGGCATATCTGTTTTACCGGACTTGTTGAATGCATGCATCTTAATTTTTGTTCTGTCAATCGCAAACTATGACCTGTATCTCGCAACAAAAGCAATGTGTGATCTCTCGTTGAAGAATCGCGCCCCAGCCTTCCTGTCTCGAACCACACGCCGAGGTGTCCCTATCTATGCCCTCGGAACGACCTCACTACTAGCAACACTAGCATACCTCAGCGTGAACCAAGATGCGACAGTTGTTTTTGGCTATTCTGTCGACATGGTCACCATGCTAGGCCTATTGACATGGTTTTCAATCCTTGTCACGCACATTTCATTCGTGCGTGCGCGGAAAGCTCAAGGAGTCTCCGACAAGTCTCTGGCCTTCCAGGCTCGTTTTGGACTGCCTGGCACCTGTGTAGCCTTGGTGCTCTGCTTGTTCATCTCTGTGACTATTGTCTTTGACTCTTTCAGCTTCGAATCTGGCGAGAGGCAGTTCGATGTCAGGTCCTTCGTTGCTTCCTATATCAGCATCCCTTTGTATATACTGCTTATGATTGGGTACAAGGTTACTGTCAATAGTGAGCGTGTCCATCCGAAAGATGCAGACTTATGGACGGACAAGAGCGGGCATGGCCAGTCGAATAGTGAGGGGCAGACTCGTTCAACTGAAGCGACAGGCTCGTGACGATTTTATATCCCTGAACAATTGAATAAATATCCGAGGTCAAAGAGAATGTAACTTCGAGTGAAAATTAAAGAAGATTTGCACATCCATCAGTATTCAGGGGCATCTGCAGCAGCGAGTGGAAAGTGGTGATAGTGACAGCTGTGGAGAACACTAAAGTGACCACCCGCGAAAACAGTTTCTTTTGCATAGCAACGGAGCGTTTAGATGTGTCGTTTACCCCTGCCTTTTCATCGATTGGTCTGCGTTTTGATTTTCTCGCCAACGACGTATCTCAATTGGCCTTTCACCCTAATTTCCTAGACGCCGAGAGAAAACCCATGCACTTGCGTTTGTTTACCCCCACCACAGCCCACACACGAGACTAACAAATACAGCCTGTCATTTCTCTTCATGTTCTTTGCTAAGTTCTCAGTTTCTGCCGAATAAGGGCTGCACGGCATGAACCCAACCACACCCAAACGTCAGAAGCCCGATTTTCGGCAGTACGTGAATGGTCTGAACACCACCTTCGGGCTGGAAATTCCCCTGCCGGGCATTGAGTCACCCTCAACCAGAGAGAGTAACACCACCCTACCATACCAGGTATACAAACACCTGCGTCCGTTGTTCTACAATGGTAAATTCATCCACGAGAGCCTTAGGGCAGACCTGGACGATTGGATCCGCGGAACAGCTGGGCTGCAAACCAGAGGTCGCAATGCACCCCCGCTTCCAGCCCCCACACCAAAGCAACGAGATGAGCGTACGAGATACCTGCTCAAATTGATCGACGATGAGCAATATCTCATAGGCAATGGCCGCCAGGAGAACGAAAAAAGGTTAGCCTGCGATTCATTGGGACCGGTCAAGGGCTTATCGCGTAAAAAACGAAGGATTACCGATGATGAAGATGAGTACCACACGGCTCCTAATTCCCCAACGAAAGAGTCGGGGCTGTCAATGGCACAGCCGCCGCCTGGAGCTTATGGGAATGGCAGTTTCCAGATGCCTCAGATGCCTAAGAAGACCCAGGCAAGGAGTCAGGCGCGCAGCTTTTCTGGGGCATCAAACTCTTTGGGAGGACAGGATCACCATATCCCGCCTAAGAAGACCGAGGGAACCAGTCAAGCCCCAGCGAAGTACTCCGCAAGTTTTCCAGTGCCACCAAAACCACAAGGGAATCACCCGTTGAGAAATCGTGGGTTCCCGAAAGTGCTGTCCAAGCCTCAGCCCGGACCGTACTCCCCGGCCCGGGGACAAGCAAGCACCCCATCATCATCATCAACAGCACAAGGAATCTTCAAATCGCCAGCAAGGCCCTCAGAGGTCAATTCACCGACAGGGGAGTGGCCCAAAGTCCCCCAAACCAAAGTCTCCCAAGGCGGTCGTCTCACCGTTGCGACAAACGAAAATCTCGGCATGGATGCAGAAACAGAGCCCAATCGTTGTTGCGCCCCAAGAAATCGATTCAGCCGAGTTCAAGAAGCCCCAATTGCTTGACACGCTGACAGCGGCTGCGAACCAACAAAAATACGATGACACTATCGTGCCACCTTCGGCGAACACGAGTTTCTCCACGCGCACATCGTCTTTGGCCGATCTATCCCACGATGCCATGGATCAATCTTTCGATACTGTGATGACTGAGATCACTGATCCAGTTGATACGCAATCCACATATGCCGACTCCGTCGTTGATGTGATGACTAGCGAAGAGATGCTTAGAAGTTTCGATGCTGCTACTACGTCCATGATGGTCAACCATGATCCCATTGAGACGAACGAATCTCTTAAGCAAGATATTCTGGACGAGCTGCTGTCGCAAGGCCCATTTTCGAAAGGTTCATTCCCGGCAAAAATCCCTCTAAAGTTCCGATATGAGTTGGAACAAGTTGGCCGTGCATGGGACGTTCCTTGCAACCGCATGCTTGTCGGGGATCATGTTCCACATGAAACTCAAGAGAAATTCTGGGCTTGGATCGCTGGAAACAATCAACGGAATAGAAACCCGCTTCCAGAGAGATCCTCGACTCGAGCCTGGGAATGTGCAATTGATAGCTTTAAGTCGAAGAAGCAATCCGAGGTGGTTGTGCTTTCTGGAGAAATGGATTGGTGCGATGAGTCCGAGCCTGGGATCTTTAAGCTGAAGCTGAATCCACTTAAGACTGAGCGAACGTGTCGTTTTCATCGGAGATTCGGATCTGATAGATTTTTGACCATTACCGTCCCTGCGCCTTCTCGGCCGCCCCTTCACCAGAAGATTGATTCCTCGGCCCTTCAGCAGTGTATGGCTACATGGCTTACGCGACATGACCATACTTGTCTTGGTCGCACATGGCGCGCGTTCTATGTCGAAGAAGTCAATATCAAACGGAAAGTCAAGGGTGAGCCTCGGTTCCGTGTTGAGTTTTTTGCTGTCAGTGGTGGAGACTTTGAGCCCTGGTCTAGGAAGATTTTCCCGGCGATATCTGCTCCTCGATTGCAAGGGGAAAGGCCTACGCCAATGAGCGTGGCAAAGTTGCTAGAATGGCATATGCCAAATGCTGCAAACGCAAACCAAAGCAATTGCAAGCTCTTCCAGCGAATCTCACTGGGCTTGTCAAAGACTTTCGACACAGTCACTGTACGACCAAGTCAGATCTTTCGTCTGGAGGATGTCAAGGGTCGCCCTGTTATGAATGACGGATGCGCTTTGATGTCCAGGGCACTTGCGAATAAGATTTGTGATCGTTTAGGAATCACCACTGCGACGCCGAGTTGCTTCCAGGGCAGGATAGCAGGTGCAAAAGGTCTCTGGATGGTTGATCGTCACCAGTCCAGTATCGAGGCCGAGCCCGTGGACGGTGAAGACATTTGGATTCAGATCTCTGATTCGCAATTGAAGATTCACCCTCATCCACAGGAATGGGTTGGTCCTTGTGATGAGGAGAAGCTGACATTTGAGGTTGTGAACTGGGCCAAGCCGCTCCACCCGGTCGACTTGAACATTCAGCTTCTTGGGATTCTTCAGCATGGTGCGGGCGCACCCGTGAAGGATTACATTGCTCAATTAATTCAAAATGGGGTGCAACGACTTTATGACGACTTCCTTGCAGTTCTCAAAACTAATAGTCCTGTCTCATGTCGCGCCCTACTTCAAAAGCTCAAACCCTCTGGGGATGATCCAACCGGTAAAGCGCGGCGCTTAGAAGAATGGACGGCGAATGAGGCAGAATCTATCATAAGATACTCGGAAGCTGGATTTGCTCCACGGGATTTCTATCCACTCCGCGTCAAGCTGCGGAAATATCTCACCTGGCTTCTCGATCGGCAAGTGGAAGAACTTAAGATTGAAGTCCCCCTTTCGACTTATGCCTATTGTATCGCGGATCCATACGGCGTGCTTGAGGCGGATGAGGTGCATTTCGGCTTCTCGAGCAATTGGCGAGATCCGAACGGCCAGTTTGAAGACAATCTTTTAGATGGTGTGGATGTTCTTGTCGGTCGGCTTCCTGCCCATGTTCCTTCGGATATCCAACGGCGTCGAGCAGTGTGGAAACATGACCTACACCATTTCAAAGATGTGATTGTTTTCCCTACAAAGGGCAATGTTCCACTTGCGCACATGTTATCTGGCGGAGACTATGATGGCGATACGCCGTGGGTTTGCTGGGATCCGATGATTGTAAACAATTTCAAGAACTCCTCTCTTCCATCGGAGTATCCACCCGATCATTACGGTCTTACCAAGCACTCTGTGCCAATGTCGGAGTTGGAAACCACGGAAGACTTCTTACGCAGTGCGTTCGAATTCAATCTTACGACCTCGAATCTTGGTCGATGCACTGTGGAGCATGAGAAGTTGGCGTACGAGGAGTCCATCGACTCACCCAAGGCAAAAGAGTTGGCCTGTCTGTTAAGTCATCTCGTGGATAGCCGCAAGGGCGGCGTTCTACTTTCGGACCAAGCCTGGAAGGCATTCAGAAAGACGCTTAGTCCCAAACTCCGTGCTCTACCGGCCTATCGTCCAGGCTCAACCCGCAAGCCTAAACTCTCGAACATTGTCGATTTCCTGAAATTCTCTGTTGCAAAGTCTGAGGAAATCAGGATTTTGTCTGGGTTGAACACTGCGTTTCCCGAGCACGAGATCCAAGAAGATATCGATCAAGATCTCATTGTTCCATGGACGGAAGCAAAGAATGCCGCAGCAGAAGAAAGCAAGCATCAGAAGAAGTTGCAGGCTGCGTTGAACGGGATCCGAACCTCGATCGAGACATTGTTCGAGAAGTGGCTTGAAGGAAATGCGGCAAGCGAAGGATTCTCGCCCCTCTCACGCGAGGCAGTCGAAAGTGCCAGCGGCATCCCTCCCCCCGAGGGCAATCATCCGCTCATCCATACTTGGCAAAATAGTCGCGACGAGTGGTTGCGAGTGCTAGCGTCATACACCTATCAACGATATCCTCGGACTGGGTTCGTCCTTCATGCGTTCGGTGAGACTTTGTGCCACATGAAGGCGTCTTGTTCGGCATCTCGCCTGGTCGTCGACGAGATCATCGCCACCTACCGAGTGAACCAGAAAATGGTCTCCCATCTCACCGCTACTGAAGTTCCTGGTATTGAGGCCGACAGCGACCTAGATGACTATGAAGGGGGAGACGTGATAGAAGCCATGATATCCTTTGGATAGGACGTGGATTGATTCCTGTACGGGTTACAGAGTATTACATCGGACCCTATACGAGTATTTTGAACGATAATGACCTGAACATATGAAGCCTTGACACCATAATCCGCACTCCTTACTCTACTGTAATCACATGCAAGGGGTTAAATGCCTAAACGATCTACCGGCAGATACAAAAGAGTTTGCCCGCAACTCCACTGCCCATATCACATGTATTCGGCCCCAACAAATATAAGGCGTTCGACCTGGGTTGGCCCAACAGGAAAAACCCCACGAATCGAAAGGAATTACTCCGTACTCCGTACATATGTATAGCCTCCGTACAGGATCGGCATATGATATCCATGTGATAGGGCGGACCAAAGTCTTCCGAGTACATTTTGTGTACGAATCCTCGCACTCTCCTTAAATAGCATAACTAACTGGTCTAATTGAGTCAAAGTGCAATAGACTTGATACGTGGAGAGCCATGGTCAGGGATCAGCATTTGAATGCAATCTCGTATCCCTATCCGACAGGGCTAGCGCCTAGGGAATGGACGTAGAATCCCGAGGGTGATATTCAAACTCCGACGTAGATACTCCCAGGTCATATACGGAGTACTGTTGAAGGCAATGTTCGAGTGTAGCACAGCACAAGTAGTACAGCAACGGAGGAGGTCCGAAGCTAACCACCTGGGCAAGCAACCCCAGAGAGATCGATCGAAGACCAAATTTGCGACTGCCGAGTTTTTCGGGTAGCGAAGTGACATGTGAGGGTACCTGCGGTGTCATAGCGTTAATTATGAGGGGTGGAAGTACCTGGGATTACCTCATCCTTCCTTCCTAATTGGGATCTAGTGTGTCCTTCCTGTTTTCACGTGAAAGCGCCTTCCCTCTGATGGCGAACTCTCGGCTTTCGCTGATATCAATATCACCCCAGCATGCTGCCATGATGGATCGATCACGACGAGACACCAGTGTCCTATCGATGGATGACCTCGAGGCGGCGCAGGCCCTGGAGGGGCTACGCTCCGGTATGTTCGATCCCGAGTCTCAAAATATCGCCCTTCCTAGCTGCTTTGGGATGACTGTACGACGGACCGTACTGATTTTACGTCGACAGATTTCGGACAATCTCCTCGAGCATCACGACAATCCCTTCCCATCGCTTCACCGGACCCACCACCAGAGCCACTCTTGTCTCTGCTTACATCGTCTCACCCGCTCATCTCCTCTGCCATTAACGGCTCAGTCTCGGCCTATGCCACCTCCAAATCATACTCACCGCGATTTAAGTCTGGCGCGGAGTTCATCGAGCGCAATATTGGGTCGCCCGTCGCAAACACCGTCGGCACGGTAGGTCGCAAGACGGGCGTGGAGAGCGGTCTACGTTGGGCGCTACAACGACGAGACTCGACAAACGAAGATTCAAACCAAACCAACAAACGAAGGAAGATGGACGGGAATGTTTCTCCCAGGACATTGGATGTTGAGAAAGGACAGGATGGCCCAGATCAGCCAACGCGGGCACGGAGTCCCTCCGATCTCTCTATGGCCGAGTCGCTACCTCCCTACGATGAAATGAGGTCGCCTCACTACGAAGAGAAACCAGGACGACGTGGTGAACCGACATGGCAAAGCAGACTGGTCATTTCCACTTCAGGCCTTGGAGTCGCCATGAGTGACGAATCGCTACGAAGCTTGCAGTACTGCCTCACCTGGCTTCGATGGGCTAACGGACGACTGGGCAAGTCCATCGTCGCCCTCCATGGTGCTGTCACCGAGTGGGAAAACCAAAAGGCTCGACAGCAGGACATGTCCCAAGGGGACGTCGAGGCAGGAAACAGTCGCCAGGAAAATGCGTCACTACTCATCCAGCGCATTCAAGCCGTCAAGGCAGACGTCCTCTCGACCTTGAAACAGGTCGTGGATGTTGTCTCCAAATATGCTGGTGGTGCGCTGCCAGAGAATGCCCGTCACCTGGTGCGCCGCCACTTGACCTCTCTCCCACACCGTTTCCAGGTGGCATCTACATCACACCCGCCTCCAGATTCACCCGCTGCCTCATCGGATGCTACAATTAGTGCGCACCGCATTTTGGTTCTGGCCCAAGAAGGCTTGGACATGATGGCTCAAGTCAGCGGTGTGGTCAACGACACCTTGGTTAGTGCTGAGCACTGGTGCGAAAGACTAGGCCGAAAACGCCCGCAGAGCGGAACTTCCTCTAGTGTTCCAGAGAAGCAGGGCGAGTCTGCTCCCGACAGTCAGCCTTACGGAATAGATGCGAAACCGCCTATTCTCCCGGAGAACGCCATCCAGGATGACGTTCAGATGTCTGGGGTGGAGAAGACTTGATTTTTATCAGGGCTCACTCTTAATTCTCAGTACATTTCTTCGCATCTCTTTTCTTTTACTCTGTCTCCACATTTCGGCATCGATCGCATCTTACTTTGTTATGTCCTCTTTTTCTTTATGACTGATATCCTCTTTGTTGTTTTCATCTTACTTGAGATGATGGGAAAACCTTTGAAATTTTGCGGTGTGTTATTCAAGCGTGTGATGGTTGCATTCTGGATGGGCCTAGGCTTCCTGCTATCTAGTCATGGTTATGGGTTTTGGTAAATACACGCAAGAAGCTGCTGGCTCAAGCTGAATGAATGCAGGCTATTCATCTACCATTTTTCCTGGGCTCAATCAGATCGTAGGCTTTTGATAAGCATTCTCCATTGTATGGACCAGTTCCGACGCGACTGCGTGGATTCCATGGCTCTAGAGCTGCTCGCTCTGTTATGCTATTTTTGTATGACGCGCACATCTGCCATTTGGATATCTCTTTGGCTTGTGCCTCGGCAACGCAGTCCGTTTACAGGTATAGCTGTCGTCTTGAACCCAGAATTAAGATCCATGGATTTCATCTGTTTTTCAAAGCACATGTCTTGAATTCTTAATTCTTGAATGCTCTCAACGGTTTATTCTTCTTTAACGCCACTGAAACCGAAACTTGGTAGAAAAACTTCCCACTAGATATCCGGCAATGCCTCGCTGTTCACGTAGATTACATCGCACGCACTGCTGAATCCATTGAACTGAGTGGCAGTAGTACTTGTGTAAGCTAAGAACGGTTAGTTGATAGCATTATTATAGACCTTTTACTGCACTCACCTCCCATGTTCTTATACTTGAACCAATCTCCAACTTTAACCTCACTATCCAAGGAGACTTCACGCACCACACAATCTGTGCTATCACAAGTCGGTCCCCAAATCGAATAGCGGTGAGCTGCTGATGGTGATGTCGCCTCGTTCCCCTTCTCGTTTACTTCAGCCGCTCTATGTTTCGGCAAGATCGCAGCTTTGCTTTTCTTGGATCTTAACAGGTGCGGAACCATGATCTCTTTCTCCATGATTACATTCATGAAATTTCCATACACCCCATCATTTTGATAAAGCATGTCTGGAATACCAGATGCCGCTGCGCTCCCAAGTTGGCGCCGACGTGAAATGACACGACACACCAGGGTATACACGCTGCGCGCATAGAACCGTCCAGGCTCTGCGATTATTGTGGTATTTGCTGGGAACTCGGAACGGATGGAATCCCGGATTAATGGAGCCATCGACTCGAAACAGTCGTCCTGGAAACCACCCCCAATATCAAGGATCCTGGGGTGGAATCCTAGTCGTTCAGCCTGGAGAAAAACCGAACGTGCATCTTTGATGGCATTGCAAAATGATGCTGGGTTAGTAGCGCCGGTTCCTAGATGTCTGTATCAATATCTTGTTTTCGAGCTATAGAGTGTCAGTCACATACCAACATGAAAACTAACACCAACAACATTCAAACCAAGCTCCCACGCCCGTGAGAGCAGCTCTTCGGTTGTATCGAGGTGTGCACCAAACTTTTCTCCTAGGCAGATGAAGGCGCCCTCATCATTGGCATATATACGGAGTAAGAGCTGAGCCTCTGGCATGTGAGCCTTGATAGTGTCCAATTCATCGATATTATCGAATGTCGTCCGTAAGACGCCGACTTCTCTTGCAAAGGCTACAGCAGCAGGGGCCTTGCATGGATTCGCGAACAAGATCCGGGCCGGATCTACCCCGAGATTGAGCACTGCGCGCATCTCCTCGATGGATGCACAATCAAATCCTGTACCGAGATCTGCAAGGACCTTGAGAAATGTGGGATCGCAATTGCATTTGACCGCTGTGGGATATCTTTAGCTTCCTATTCTGAACAACGATTATATGGATTTTGAGTACGGAACTCAGAGTCTCCAACTTGGGAACTCAGATGGGATGATGCATACCATAGAAAGGTCGGATTCCAGGCATGTTCTGGATCCAGCGTCGATGTTGTCGAACGATCTGACCCAGATCGGCCACGAAGAATGGATCATCTCCGCCAACAGCTGAGCGTTTGACTATACGTAGGATACTACTTTCGATGGCGAGGTCGACCAGATCGCCTGGTGAGGTTCGATATGCGGGGACCTGAATGGTCTTGTCGATGTTAGAAGGCTGGCGGGGAGCAGGAAGCAGCGTCATTATTGCAGAAATGACTCGATTGAGGAGAATTGGGGTAGATGGGGAATTTTGCAACTGAGACAGCATATTCCTGTAGCGACCAGCCAGACTATGGTACAACGTATATACGGTTTCCCAAGGGTGAAATGTATCGCGTACTGCCATGGAAGAATTGAGCGCTTATAGAGGCCTCAGACCCTGATCATCGCCCTCAGGGTATTGGGATTGAAGACCAATGAAAATCAAGTTTGCACGCAATTGAAACGATCCATTACGTTGGATTTCACGCTGAGCCATAAGCAACAAGTTGCACGGGATAAAGGCCTCATCAAAAGCCCCAGTCAAGCTACAGCTGAACCAATGATGGTCTTTCTTCCTGAAACGCATATGTATGCTTTTTATGAGCTTCACGTATGATGAGCAAGAAGGAACGCATGGGATAAGTAACTTGCGCCATTGAAGCGACTAGGCCAGCCGATTGAGACATTTCTGCATGGTTAGAGTCAAGTCTGAATGTGATCGGACCATTGGGGTGAAGGTGTGGATTGCGTGTAGTGGAGTCTTATTGTGAATGACGAGCTAGAACGAACGAGTACGAGTAGCAATACGGAGTATGCAAGAACTGCAAGAAAAGAATTGTCACACAAGTACGGAAGTACGGAGTACACATACACTAATGTCACTTTCACTGACTACACTCGCAAGTAGTGCAACTGACGCAAAGCCCAGCCCCATAGCCTACGTAGAAGATGAGTATCATCAATGTTCCTGAAGTACTCGTAGGGCTTCACGGTGACTGGGATGGGCCAGCTTCACCACCATATGCACCTAGGTATATCTTTTAGGTGATGGAATCTCTCGATTCAAGTTTTGACATGCAGGAACGATGGCCTCGATTCCTCCGGTGTGTACGAATTTAAGTGGGCTCTCGTGGGCCGTAGTGGGCTGTGGTGGACTGTACGAGTACTCCGGAGTGGCTGTAAGCAGGAGCTGAAGCCAATGAACCCATGCCTGATCTGGGCCCCCTCTGTTCTCTTTCAGCTTGATCGGTGGGACAAGTTCCACTGCAGATCACGCTAGGTTCTCGATGCATTTGTGCGCAAGTCGATCGTTCCGGGATCTGATGCGCTAAGACAGCGTAAGCGTACGCACCTTTGTTTTTGGCCACAAATCACTTTGCAGCTTATGTGGCTTGCAATTGGGCATGGTTGTGCTCGTATTTAGCGCAGGGAATAGATGTCCGCTGGTAATGTCCGCTGGAGGTCACGATTCGGAGTCGGAACGATCGGAAGAGATATCTAGTCTTGAATATGGCCGTGCGAGGGCACTGGAATTCCGTTGCATGTACAAATCATTTCCGTGTTTATTTTGAAGACGACCAGAGAGGAACAGAGAGATAGAGAGAGAGAAGGGTGATTGAATTGAAAGAGAGAAGTAGAACTATAGAGTTGGAACTTGTTGGGTAACGCAGTGCAGCACTCCGCCAGTCAGGGGAATCGCGCTAGCGTACACCTGCCTTACCACTCGCTCCGGCACCAACTTCTGGAGTATCTCCAAGGCATTTTGGTCCCTCTCGGCGTCACCGAATTTGGGGATGATAAGTCCGCCGTTGACAAAATAGAAATTCACATAGCTGGCTGCTAACTCTTGGTCCGATGCCACCAAACCTCGAGGGTCTGGCTCCTCAATGGTGTGGATTTCCAAACGCCGACCCTTCGCGTCTGTCTCTCGACCCAGGATATCCCGGATCTCCGCAGACAGTTCCTGCCACAGGTCTATCGCAATGGCGTGAGGCTTGGAGTAAGCGATTACCCCAGGCCGCACGAACCTCGCCTCAGCATCCATGTGCACGTCGGTAATGTCAACGTTGCGCCGGCCGGGGAACCAGATGACCTTGTCAACCCCGAGCAACCGTTTCAGTTCCACCTCAATGTCAGCCTTGGACATCCCAGGATTTCGTGCCTCGCAGACAATACTACTCTCTGTAATCAAGAGCGTCCCTTCGCCATCGGTAACCAGACCGCCTCCTTCCGCACGGATTGGAGCGTCGATTCGCTCAACAGGAAGTGGTTCGCGATCATGGTCGATCACCCACTGTGCAAAACCAGTGTTCTCTTTTAATGTTTGGTCGTCCATCAACGGCCATTGTTGACCCCAGCAGATTCCATCGTTTTCGGGTTTCTTGTCTCCCCACTCGTTGAAACGGAAGTTGATTGCAAAACGGCGATTCAGAAACGCTCCTGTCGTGTCACGAACGTAGACCGGACCTGTGTCGCGAACCCAGCAATGGTTGATTGGACACGAAATGATTGTTATCCTGGGCGTGCCCGTGTCATTGCTTTTGACCAAGGACTCGGCCAATTGGATATCCTCAGGTCGGACATAAAGACGGACGGGTTCGAACTCGGCAATCGCCAATGCCAGCTGTGCTAACTCATTACAGACAGCATGATATTGATCAGGGGGCAGGGAGCACCGTGATGGGAACCCCATGATAGTTGCTTCATGGCGCTCTGACTCCGCTGGAAAGATGTAACTCCCTCTTTGGAGGTTGCTTTCATTGCTGCCTTTTGCGTGGTGAAATGGCAGTCGGGCCCATGTTCCAGTATAGAGGTTTGACAAGGAATTCCGAAATCTCCCAAACAACTTCATGTTGGTAATTTCCTCTGGATCGGCGTCATTCTTTGGAGGCTGGAACTTGCTTCCTTTTGAAGTGTTCAAAGTGGCTGCCTTGGGCCTCATGACTCCTGCCAGTCAGCTATAGATTGGTGTGACTAGATGACTGATTCCAAGTTACGCACGCTGGTTGAGCTATGCTTCCATGTGGTACATCTCTGTGGAGGCATCCAATCATGAGGCGCTTAGTATCGACTGCATGTATGCATTGACCTCCAATTATAAACTTGCCATGATGTCCAGGGAAAGGACAGCGATACGAGGGCTTACGTTCGTTCGTGGATGACAACTCTGAAGCAAAGACAAGGGCTCTGCTTCAGTGAGCTGATTTCTATGGGTGACCTGCACCAGTAGATCTGGCTAACACAAAGAAATAATCATTCACCCAACAGTGGTTCCCGCTCCATTTCTTCGTCGGCAGACTCCGTCCATGACACCTTTTCCAGACGACCACTGAGCCATAACATAGGCACTGCAGTCAACGCTGACAGGACCCCGAGCCCAAGAGTCATCACTTTCCACCCGTAGCGGAACTCAACAAATCCACCCACTAAAGGACCCAGTGCAAGACCGCCAAAATGGGCCATATTTTCCAACCCGAAAGCCTGTGCTACGGCACCTTTTCCACCGAAAACACCCGGGGTTTTGGCTTCCATATCATCAAGTACACGCTGTATTTCGACAAGCAAGGCCGGCTCACTTAGATCAATGCAAATCCCGACAATAACTAATATCACACAAAGAAGAGCGACATGTGTGGCTGATCTTTCTTCGACCAAGCGAAGACAGATCAAAGTCGGTGCTAGGATGACGAAACTGACAAATGCAATTATTCGCGATCCAAGACGATCTGATAAAAATCCTGGAGTGGCATTTCAGCTCCAAACGTTCTGGCAAGATCAGTTCATGTCTGCTTACCGAAGAATGGTTGGAAAATCGCAGCCGAGGCACCGGGCAGAAAAATTAAGCCTGCCCCCAGCACATTCCAATCGAATTTGTTCTGGACGAATATGGGAAGCGTCTAGACTGAAGTCAGTGAAAAGAGTCTTGGCGACGTTCAGGGTTCATCCCGCACCGCATCGAAAGCAGAAATCACAAGTGCTCCAACTATGACGGCCCAAAGACTGATGAGAATCCGTGGCTGCCTTATAAGCTGTCCCATAGCGAATGTACCCTTCGAAATCTCCAAAGCAGTCTGTGCGTCAGTTGCTCCATTGGGCACATCACCAATTGTTCCATATGGCGGCTGCTCGGGCATATAGCCATTCTCTTGAGTTGGCTGTTCACCTTCCGTGAAACATAGCCAGCGCTCGGCAATTCTCTTCTCGACAACGGCAAGTCGCAAAAAGAGGTCAAGAGCAACAATTCCAAAAGCCATTCCAAATACTGCATAGAACCCTCCAACTTGGTAAGCCACTCCGCCCAACACTGGACCGGACATGAATCCCAGCGTCATAGCAGTGCCTATATACCCAAACATCTGTCCAAGACTCCCTCTGTCTACTGCATCTGTCACAATTGAAAGACCAGCTACCGACACCATTGCCGTTGCTGCTCCCTGGAGGACCCTCGCGGCAATGTACCACGCTACTGAGTGTGAAGCTGCGAATATCACCGTGGATGCAAACAACAGCACAAGCCCAGATACGTATGGTCCCTGGCGCGTTCCAGAGGTATCTATCATGTACCCGAACACTGGGCAACACGTGAGTGCCGCTATGGCTTGCGAGATGAGAAGCACGCTGTTCCAAAACTCCCCTACAGAAATATGCAAATATTAGTGGACTTCCTGCTTCTTGGCATATATCAGTATCTCTTACTGTCTTCAAATGCCACCCCTGCTCGTAAAACTAACGCATTAGGCATCACGGGAACTATCTGCGACCAGTCAGATAGGGTCGGGAAAGGTGATAATAACCTATTAAATACTCCGTACCATCGCATAAATAAACAGATCCTGGGCAAACACCCATTAGCTACACTTTCTTGTGCTTGGAATGGAAAGTCATTTACCGTAAACATAGACAGGGAAATCGTTGTCACGATGAAAGACTGCGACGACCTCAGCGGCAGCAGCCACGGTCGCTGATCCCGGAGTCTCAAGAACGGCTTCGACCAAGTCATTGTTAAAGTGACCTGTTCAAAGCCCCGTCCTTGATGAGTTGTTGTCTGACGGGAAAATAGACCCGTGCGGGGGAGGACTTCAGGATGTACTTAGAGACAACCTTGGAAGTTTTGCTACAATTCGGACGGGCGGACATGCTGTCCTTTACGTTTTGATTTTTTTTCTGGTACTCGTATGCAGCTCAGACTTCAATCCGCATTAGCAAATGCTATATTGCAACGATTATCGTGGAGAGGGGCACTGTGCTTGGGTGTGGCTCCAATTACAATTTGGTGTTGCGCTAGAATCTGTAAGGGAGATCCTCGGATCAGTAGTTATTTCTGGGGGAATCCGACAGATTTTTCTGGATGACGTTGGCTTATGCAAGATAGACTCGTCACTTGCGGTTTAAACAAGGATATCGATGTCTATGATAGATCTTTCTATGCCCGGTGAGTGGGATTGTTCAAGACTATCGGTCAAATGGAATGATTGACGCAGACGGGGAGAAAGACAAAAGACAATGCGAGGTAGGGATAATGTCAAGATACTCCGTACTTTTTTCTGAGTCATTGGATGTGCATTTCCTAGATTTAGAGTACCTAGAGTCTCTCTGCACCCAAGCTTTACCGAAGGTGTTATACCACTATTGAGGTCGTACGTGGATCTCTTTGTCACTGAAACCAAATCCTCCGGGCTTTTTTTAGATTTTCTTGCTCGGTGCTGACTGGGTTTTCTTTTTTAATATCTACGAGGATCGCGAGCAGACGTTGATCTAGACATCTGGGAGTACTACTACATAGTGATCGTGCCAAGCCATGTGGATACCCTGTGGAGCCTCAGGTCTCGACCACGGAACCGATGAGGTTATTTCTACATCTCTGTAGGGCACAGTTCATGACTTTCATTCTACCTGTGTTCAATGCTGTTTAGATGGATTTGACATTGATATGATTGTTGGAAAGGATTGTTCTCAAGGTTCTCTCCCGAACCTCCGGAAATTTGATATCTCACAGGCCAAATCAAATTGTTGATGTCAACTGTGGTACTAGTTGTTTAGAGGATGAGTTTCGTGAAAACTGCACTTCGCTAGATGTGAACTGGATTCATCATAAAAGAGCTAAAATTCGGAAACGCACAATGGGGAATGGGTCTGTGTGTCTTCCTCAAACGTAGTGAGAGAAAATATCATCATCGGCTTTCGTGGGAGAAATGTCACCAGGAATGCTGGTGGATGATTCGGTGTCATTGGGGATTTGATGAGAGGTAATCTACAGGCTCTACGGTGGTTGAGATTGGATGGATGCGAAATTTGGATGCAAATTAGAGAAGTCTATTAAGATCACAGCTTTGACGGAGGCCAGAGAGTGAGAGAACTGGACATATGAGAGAAAATGAAATCAAAGAAAAGGTAAACCACATGGGCGCTTTTTCCTCCGTACAAAGCTGAAAGGCAACAAGGCGAGTAGCTTAGAGGATGGAGCCGAGAGCGACACAGGGGAGACCGGCGCCGATGAGGTCCTCGCTGGCAGTGGAGGGAGAGTTGGCGCAGCAGGCAATGTTCTGCTTGCAGCGCTGGTTGAGGAGGTCCTGGACGGCAATGCCAATGATGGGAACTTTGAAATGTTAGCCTGGTCCGTAATGTGATGTGTGCAATGGAGCTTACCCTGGACATCGAGCTTGGAGCACTGGTCGAAGACACCGAGACCCTTGGCACCGGAACCGGCACCGATCAGGTTGGAGAGGGTTCCGCCGAGGAGGCCAGAGTTGACATCGGTGGTGTCACCGGCGTAGGTGGCGACGTTGCAGCAAGAGAGCTGAGCCTGGTCACCACACTTGGCCTGGGCCTGCTTGACAGTCAGGTCACCGGGGACGGGGAAGCGAGGCTTGCCACCCTGAGCCTCAGCGGGGGCGGCAGCAGCGAAGGCAGCGAGGCCAAGGAAGACAGCGGTGATGGAGAACTGCATTGTGAAGGTAGAGGTATTAAAGATTAAAATCTTGTAAATATAAAAGATGGTTTGAAGGTTTGGAAGATAGAAGAGTGAGAGAGATAGAGAAGTAGAGAGCTGATGGATGGAAAATAAAAACTGGCACCGAATGCTCGCCTTTTATCTCCAAATCCTCGAGCTACAACACGAGGTGATCTGCAGCTGTTCGTGGTGAGGGCCAAAAACAAAAGCCCCATATTTGCTGGTGGAATGCCCGACGCAAGGGTTTTCATCCCGAGCCCTGATTCCACTCACCTCCTCGCAAATTTAATTGGCTGCTCCTTGATTCTGGAATTTAAGGTCGATTAAGCATGCCCCTTCGGTCCTCGCGACTCATGAGCCCTGCATTCCGCCCTGGTAGCGTCCAGCTAGACAATCAAGGCGACCCTACTCCTTAGTGTGGGATCTGCCCCATTATTCAAATTCTAGAGCCATATTTTCACACCCTGCGAGCATCGGCAGTCTGCAATCAAACTTGTCTCTGTTGCATTTCACTCCCTGTACGAGTAGGATGTGGACCGATCTCAGACTCAAACGCTTCTAGAACTACATACGAGTAATGCATGGCATGTGCAAGCCCTACCGATATCCTCCGAAGAATTTCATCCAACCAGAGCCAGCCAATCTGTATACCCCTGGGCAAGCCAAGCAAATGCTTAATGTATGTGGCGCTTGGAGGCGTTTTTGGGCACCCTGATGAATTAATTCCTACGCCCATACAGAGTACTATAGGGTAAAGATGGTTCTAACAGGAGCGTACCTGCATGGAGGCCTTACCGATAGCCTGATTACTCCCATAAGATCCCTTCTTGTTTGAGAGTCCCACTTACCTGCGCTAGATCCGCTCATGTCTTTGATCCTGGGGAATCTAAGATCGACAGCGCCCTGTCGATCTTGATCACTTCCGAGCTCCTACCTTTCCCCGAGCATACATAGCTTGCTGTGTTACGACGGGCAACCATACTGATCTACGATCTTATTCCTTGATGCAAGCTCAATGGCTCACAGTGAGTGTCCAGGTGAATGTGGGCATTTTTGATCGCAGTACGGGCGCACACGCTTCAGCTACCTTTTTCTTCTCGGTCGGGCTAGATCTCGTGGACCCAAATTCTCGAGTGATGTGACTCAACATCGGATCCGACCTTGGGACTTCAGGAGTATTGGAGGGATGACCCATGCCCAAGTGTCGCTCCCAGCTTGCCCAGGTGATGTGCAAGGCTGTTAGCAACCTTGGAAATTTTTCGTTGTCCTCTCAAAAATTCAAAATGTGCATTCTCCGTGGATAGTACACCTTGTATTAGTCTAAGAGCGATTCATGGATAGTTTGAGCTTATGCCAAAAATCAAGTTCCGAAATTAGCGTCCATTGTAGAACAGTTTTCAACCTTGGAAGGTTTGAACATCTAGAGATGCTCTCCGAGGTCTACAAGACCCATGCCCGGGCGGGCTTGATAGGCATGATGCACCTGTAGACTAAGGCTCATGTGAGTTCAACTTGAGAATTCTCAAGTGCCAAGGTTGCCCTGTACGTCTACTTAGGTCACTTGAGCATCGAACCTTGGAAATCACCTGTAGACATGAACTTGTGTGTCTAGTGCATTCTACTCAAGTACACTATAGAAGTTAAAAGAGGTTTATCTGAGTGATAATTCTAAGGTTGTTTCTAAAGTTCTGTTCAAAGCTACTAAGTAGTGCCTTGAGAACTGAGTTATCTCAGTATTGCTATGCTATTTCTATACAAGTAGAGCCTTCTAAATCACTGGAGCTCAATGTTGGAACTTTAGAAGTGCCAGGTGATGTTCCAAGCTTGAAAAATGGTACTTAAGTAGATATATGTTGTAGATGTGGGAAGACCACTTGAGCACCTAAGTAGATGTATATATGGAGCAAAACCTCAGAACCCACCACCAAAGAAGCTATAGACCTCGGGAGTCTCGGCTTCTAAGTTATTCTAAAGGTCCACATAAACTGAGTATGGCGACTGAGATTTAAATGTTTTTAATGTTATTCTATCCTAAAGTTGCATACTAACATTGGAAGTCTTATAAAAAGTAACACGGCGAGTGAGCAGTGTTCGCCCGACTCGGTGGGTTGTTCATCCGCCGCTAACCACATCGGGAATATAGTATACCCCGGTTTGTCCGTCAATTGGACTACTTCGAACGTTTACTTTAGCCTCACAAGGCTCTGGCAAGGCTCTGGCAAGGCTTTAGGAAGGCTAACAAGGCTGCGTCGGGCATGGATAGATTCAATGGGGGAATTTATGCCCGCCTGGCTAACAACTTTAGAATACCCACGGTGTTGATAGGCATAAAAGATCACAGAGCCCTGAGTCCATGATAGACATTAAACAGTTTCTAAAGTTGAACATCAACACTTCTCTCAATAAGTTAATCATTTGCAAATTGAAAATACCTCGCATCAAAACCGCATTCAAGATGACTACAATCGCCTTCTTTGGAGCAACAGGCGGCTGCATCAATGCCTGCCTAGCCTATACCCTCCTGAACGGCTACCACGCCAGAGCTCTAGTCCGCACGCCATCAAAGCTCACCAAACTCCTGCTCTCACAGCCCGGGATAACACCAGAAATGCTTTCCGATCAACTGGAGATCATATCCGGCGATGCAACAGACGTCGAAAGCGTGAAAGAAACACTGGTCACCAACACCGACCCAAACGATCTCAAACTGGTAACAAGCATCATCTCTGGAGTTGGTGGTGCTGCCATCATGTCCTACACCAGAGAAAGCAGCTGTTCGAATTTCAAATTCCGGGTGCCAGCGCTGCCTCATATCGAGTTGGAAAATCCCCACATAACGGAACAAACGACCCGCGCATTGTTGATGGCATTGAAGCAAATTGCGACCTCGTTCCCATCAAAAGATGCATACCATGCCATTGCACCTCGTGTCACTGTTATTTCAACTACGGGTCATCTGCCCGGCAATAAAGATGTTGGGTTTTGGTTCCGGCCTATGTACTCTGTTCTCTTGCCGATTCCGCACGCGGATAAGCTTCAGATGGAGAGGCTGCTTGATCAGGAGGCTGGGATGGGGGTTAATGGGATCCTTACTGGTGGGTTGGTTGTTGTGAGACCTAGCTTCCTGACTGGGGATCATTTGATTTCTGTGCATGAAGGGGAGAAAGGGGGTAGGGGGGTAGGGGTGGAGGGTGTGAGGGTTGGTACGGAGACTAATCCTGCTATTGGATATACGATCTCTAGGGCTTTGGTTGGCGAGTGGATATATGAGCAGATTGTGAAAAATGGTGCCGACTGGGTTGGAGAGAAAGTCACAATTACCTCTTGAAGATAGATTACAAAATCTAGACTCGCGCATTGCCCCCTTTTTTTACTCTATAGTCCGTAACTACCAAGGTAATTAGAGGTACTGAGATATCTCTCAAATTTACAATAGAGTGGCCGTGAAGCACTGGTGTAATTAAATGTATTTCGCAATGTACTCGACAGAGCAGAAGATGCTTCGTGAAAAACTGAAGCAAAATGCCACTCTGGCGTAGGAGCCATATAACAGCAAAGGCTCCCAGGCATACTGGCAAAACGTCAGTAGCCTTGTAACAAAGATCCAAACGAACTCCAAAGCTAAGCAGATATAGAAATAGGGCCATTGAGAAGAACAGCAAGATTATCAACTGAGGAACTGTACAGTGAGAAGGGGTGAAAACCAATTCGAACGCTTGATGAAGGTCTTTCCCCCACCACTCTTTCGTGACGGTCGTTAACAAACAGATAAAAAGATTCGATCAAGTGCCGCTGTAAGGTTCTGGCCGGTCGATTTGACCGCTCTTCCGCTCAATCTGAGCACTCTTCCGTTCAATCTGGGCACTGGGGCGATCGATCTGCATACTAGAGCGCTCAATTTGAGCACTGCGACGCTCTTCTTTGATTTTCTTCTTTTCCATCTTCTTCATGGCTTCCTCGGTGAGCTCCTGGCGGAAGAGCCGCTCGACGACATCCTTCTTTCGTGTCCGCCGGTCTCCAATCATGATCAGAACACCACCGGTGATGTTACAAGTGATGGAACAGCACAGAATGACGGTTGTAAGGGCGAATGGTCGCTCTCCGGGGTCTTCCATACTCCAGGTGCAGGCACCAAGGGCCATTTGGAGTAGCGAATGCATGTCAAGGATGACGACAATGGCGATGAGGAATCGAAGAGGGAAAGCATGATGAGTGTAGGTTTCGTGAGGTTTGTAGAAAGTATGCGATTTGGCAAACTTTTTCTGGTGATGCATTAATCGAAGTTGTTGGCGAGCATCGAGGACAGAGAATTCGTGTTCGTCCTCCTTTTTGGTGTCCCCAAACTCTACATCAACATCCTTCTCTGGCTTGGAAGGCAGATCGTTCTTATCCTTCAGATTTGGCAATGCTCGCTTTGATCGTAGCTTCCATGTCAGGAGTGTGTAATGAGCAATGAAACTCATATGGTAAGTATCAACAGCCCGGAAAGGAGCTAGTCCATCACCCATGATGGCGAAAAGGGCGACTAGGACGTTATCGATGACATTGACAACGTAGAGTTGTTTTCCGCCAACATTGATCCAACCTGTAGGACTAGTTAGCATGCAAAATAATAAACATCAACTGAAGGGATCTTACCAATCAGGAAGAGTACCCAAGCCAGACCGAAAAGTGTGATCAGAGTTGCGTACAAGGTTACAAGAAAACCGAGGGCTGTGTTATGTTAGTAGAAGTTCAAGGATTTCCAAAGAAAAAAACCATCACTTACGCTTCCGCACATATTGGCCAAAACCCTTCATAGAGCGCTTGAACTTGGAACGTCGAGAATGAAGCATGTGTCGGACATGGTCGTTCAGTTCGGCAAAGTCCTCTCTGGTCCACCCTTCGAGTCCGTGACCTTCAGGCAGAACGGCATAACGAGGACCACGCAGCACCGAGGACATGCTCGTGAACGGGCGGAGTTGTTCCAAGGTCGGCCGTTGCTTGAGCTTGGCCTCTTCAGAGAGCTCGCCTTCATCTGTTGTGGTTCCCTGCTCTTCATCCGAGGAATATTGCGGCCGGGTGATGGTATAAGTTGGCATCCGATTGATAAAGCCGCCAAGATTTGGGATGAACAGAGAGTTTTGCACATTGGTGAGAGTGGAGAGTGCCGAGACCTCAGGGTCTAGGGTCATATGTCAGTTCGATGTATGATTCTCTTGGCGCATTGAGAGCGACTTACCGATAACGTCCAACACATCCACCACATGAGATCCATACTCATTGGCCGGCTCCTCTTCTTTTTGTGTAGACATTGTCGGCGGGGCGCCTGTGACTGTCGAGGCGCGATTCCGCGAGAAGCGATTCAACGCCGCTTGGCTTGTTCGGCGAAGGCGACCTGGGGGCCGTGCGACTGCGGCGGGGGCCTCAGGCTGCTCCCCTTCTGGCGCCTGGAAGTAGTCCCCTCCATTCTCTCGCCCGGACTCGACTGGTGGCGGAGAGGTTACCGACAAACTTGGGCGAGATGACTCTTCTGTCACCGGCATCATGCGCCCAGGGGTCGCCACCCGCGCGAGCACATCCGGCGGAGGGGAAGACCATCTTCCCGGATTTGGCTCCGAGCTGCTGCGTCGTCGACCGCCTGACCAGGCTTCATCTTCCTCGTTGGGAGGAGGGGATTGGATAGCCTGTCTTTCGATGGCTGGAGCCTGGTTCTCCGGTAAATTCGTGGTATCAAGGGAGGGAATAGATGGGAATCGTGACAAGCGGATACTCGGTCTTCGCGTTCGCGAACTCGATCGTGTGCGCAAGGTGGACGGGCCTGGCCTTGTAGGCGGAGACTCGGTGGACTCGGTGGGCTGACCCTGTGAGTTGTCAGAGTCCCCGGCCGGCTCGATGCGATCCATGTTGGAGCGGCGAGAAGAACCAATTTCCAGAATACTGAGACTTCACCGTCTACTCTGTACTCGAAGAACCCAAAACCTTTTCCCCCTTGTGGAAACACTCGAGAAATAAGCTCCAAGGGGAAATGCAGAGTGGATGACTCAGCGTCCCCATGGGAAATCTTGTTTTTTGGAGTCGATGGAGTGACGAGCCAAGTGGACCGGTAGACCGTCAGTCTGGCGCTAGACCCCGTCGATCCTCATTCAATAGCAGATTCTCTTCACAAGTGGGAAGAATTCCAAGATAGTTCAGATGGTTCAGAAAATATTTTTCTTCTGGCTCTGAAGGATCACACACAAACCAATGGTGGCGAAGAAAAGGTCAATTGTACATCATCGCCGGCTACTTTGGGAAATCAGTGGCCTGAAAGATCAGGTGTCATTTAGGGATCGTCCTCAGTACCTTACGCGGCCTAACCGCAAACACCATCCTCAGACGTCACAAATGGAAAAAAGCCCTGGAAAAAGCCATGCAGATCGAAAGTCACTGTAGGCCATAACAGGCTTGTATCTCTAGTGGGTGCAGAGGGTTAAATCACTATTGTAGATCTATGCAGTTGTACCTTGGTAGATTGCAAGCGCGGGCGGAATGCTCCGTACTTAAGTAGGTCTACTCTAACACGAGTACTTTCAGTCTGCTGTCTGTACGGAGCACCCCCGTAGTCCAAAAGGATTTTGTTGCCGGTCTGGGCCTTATGTCAAAGTATCAAATCTGGTAGCTATCCTTGAAGATAGGAGCCTTCAATCTCAAGAACTGTAGAGCAGACCACTATTTCAAGATCCAACAGCTTTAAGAGATCAATTCTAAGCCGAGAGAGACCTAGGTGTGTAGTACTGTACTTCAGTGGCCTCAATGGCCCCTTCTGATGGATACTTGTACAACCGGTCTGAACTCTTGGCACTCTTCAATGATAAGAAACAAACAGCCGATAAAATAGGGGCTAAGGCCTTATATCCAAATCTTGAAGTCGATATCAAATACGACAAAGACTTATTAGAATTAATGAAATTCTATACAATATATTCCACTCTGTTCATGACCAGAAGAAGACGCGGAGTGGATCTGGGAGATCAGCCTATGATTTATTTATGGAACATGTCACACACATGCACATGTGTGGCGGTTCCGAATGATCTGCAGATGAACGTGAAGAGGAAGCACAAGGAGCTTAGTGACATTGAATGCGTACAAGGTGAACAATGTGTACAATGTGTTGAACAGAAAAGAAGTGGAAAGAGAATATTAGAATCAAGCTATTGATGACTCATTTCAGAGGTCCCGCAGAATGACATCAGGTTGTTTACGGATGGCGGGGGGAGCTCATGGCCTAGAGCTGCCCGGGCTTGTTCTTGCAGGGAGCCCTTTGGGGGCCACTTGGGGGGGGCATTGGGGGGAAACTATGGGCGTGCAGTGCGGAGACCCTCAGCACCCGATCGCACCTGATCGATCGTAAGCTCTGACTGGGCTAGTGCCACACCGCCTCTCCTTTCCCTTTCCATCTCCTTCTTCCATCATCCTCTTTCCTCTCTTCAAGATCCAGTGAATCAAAAACTTCAAACCCATCTTCTTTTTTATAATCGGTATCTAGGGCACGAAGCTACCCTGCTCCTCACTCCTCTCCGTCAAGTTATATTCAGCTGCAATCAACCCCCTCCCGACACGTTTCATCCCTCCAAACATCTCAACCATCAAGATGTCTGCCGTCGACGCACTTGCTGACTCCGTGGCTGCGACCACCCTCTCCGACAAGCCCGAAACCAACGGTGTGACTCCATCTCAGGCGGCCAACGCGGCCGCTGCCAGCGCAGATGAGGGTCGCCGTCTATACATCGGAAACCTCGCATACGCGACCACAGAGGAGGAGCTCAAGGAGTTCTTCAAATCCTACACCATGTAAGTGGCTCTGTGGAAAATTGAATCCACCAGCTACCCTACCTTGGATGGAACTCTCAGAATGAGAGATTCCCATTTGTCCCATTGTTCTTTTGGCTCATTTCCTCTTCAGCGAGACCACCTCGATCCCGGTGAACCCCCGCACCAACCGCCCCGTTGGATACGCGTTCGTGGACATTGCCACTGCTACTGAAGCTTCTGCTGCTATTGAGGCCCTCTCTGGCAAGGAAATTCTGCAGCGCAAGGTCTCCGTGCAGCTTGCCCGCAAGCCCGAGCCCTCCGAGGCCAAGGAAGGCGCTACCAGCGGCGGTGACGCCGCTAGCGGTGCTGAAGGTCGCAAGCGTGCTGGTGGTCGTGGCCGTGGCCGCGGTCGCGCCCGCGGTCGTGGTGGCCGTACTGGTCGCAGTCGTGCCGTATGTTCAGAATCCCTCTCCCAACTTCAACGAGTCCAAATGGGCTTCCTTGATCGGTTACTAACAGTTTAAAAAGGCTCAGGAGGGCCAGGAACCCACCGAGACCGCTACTGAGGAGGCCCCTCTTGCCGAAACCACCAACGACAAGGACGCTGGCTCCGATGCTGGCAAGACCCGTGCTGCCCGTCCTCAGAAGCAGCGTGGTCCCCCCGAGGATGGAATCGCCTCCAAGACCAAGGTTATGGTTGCTAACCTGCCCTACGACCTGACTGAGGATAAGGTGCGTTGCATATCAACCGCTTCCCGTTATTTACCTCCTTCATTACATCGACTGACTTGATATTTTTGCTCTTTTTAGCTCAAGGAGATTTTCGCTGCTTACGAGCCCGTCTCGGCCAAGGTTGCTCTGCGTCCCATTCCCCGTTTCATGATCAAGAAGCTGCAAGCCCGCAACGAGCGCCGCAAGACTCGCGGTTTCGGCTTTGTCAACCTTGCCTCTGAGGAACTCCAGGCCAAGGCCGTCAGCGAGATGAACGGCAAGGACATTGACGGTCGCGTCATCGCTGTCAAGGTCGCCATCGACAGCCCCGGAAAGGAGGATGAGGACATCAACGCCCCTACCGATGAGACACCTGCACCTGCTCAGGAGAACGCCGCTCCTGCTGCTGCTACTCCTGCTGCTCCTGCGGCTACCACCGAGGCTTAAATGCCCCCAGCATCACTACCTCAAAGCCTTTGCTAAATAGGTCTGGGATAGGGATGGCCCGCAGAGGGCCGTATGAATATAACCACCGCGGTCTGGTGCAACATCCCGGCTGCCGTGGATATTTTAGCTTTGGAGGAACTTATGGGGGAAATGAGGAGGATTGATGACTTATTTATAGGACGACATGGTCCATTAGTGGACCTTGCTGAGGAGACTTCTTTGCTGATGTGAACTCCAGTCCTTGACGACTTTTTTTTTGTCCTTTTGTATTGTATCTTAGCACCCATTTACCACATGATAACGATCTGCCACCTGGCAATTTTATATGAGTACAGTAGTTCCAATGCTTCTCCAGGGCTGTCTCTCCGAAGTAGAGTGAAAGCTAGCGGGGATGACGCTAAGTCGGGCAACCCTTGCCGATCAGAGGCAAACCCATCCTTTAACTGTTTACCTTTTCTTTTGTATATTACCGTTGACCATTGTCCCAATTCTTCTTGATCCGGAGTGTTTGAACCGAAATTCAAAAAAAAAAGGGTGTTGATTTACTCCGTACACGCGGAGCTCAATTCTCGCATCCTCGCGCACTCCTTCGAACTCCGTCGCCTACATTCACTTCAAGATGTCTCGCATGTGGGAGGTCGACCCGGAGACCAGGACAAAGGTGTGCTCATAAATCCAATGCCTCGAGGTTATTACTGACAGGTCTCACAGCTCCTACAAATCTCCAAGACGAACGGAAATGACAGATGCTGTGATTGCGGTGCGCCATCGCCTCAATGGGTACGTCTTCTTCGCCCCTCCCAAGTCTTCGCGACTGCTATTTGAACGCACTTCGCTGCTGCTGTTATGGACCGATACCGAAGCCCTCATGTACACCGGCTAACCCTTCGCCCGCTATGGGCTTCACCAGGCTTCCCCCAAGTTCGGTACCTTCGTCTGTCTCAACTGCGCGGGCACACACCGAGGTCTAGGGGTGCACATCTCCTTCATTCGCTCGATTACAATGGACGCCTTCAAACACGCTGAAATCCAACGCATGGAGCTGGGAGGAAATGAGCCATGGAAGACCTTCTACAACGAACACCCCGTCACCGTCTCGGAAGGCCGTACCTTCGAAGACTCCACGATTAAAGAACGATACGAAAGCGACTCCGGGGAGGAATGGAAGGAGCGCCTGGCGTGCAAGGTGGAAGGCCGCGAGTACGTCCAGGGCCAAGAGAAGAAGAACAACCCCTCACGGTCAAGCACGCCCTTAAGTGTAGGCGGTGCTAAGGCCGGTGCGCGCGCTGGATCACCAGCTGCGTCCTCTATCCGCTCAGGCGATAGCCAGCGCGGTCCTACAAGCAAGAAGGAACAGAATGAGGCTTATTTCTCAAAGCTGGGGAATGAAAATGCTACGCGCACTGATGCCCTCCCTCCTTCGCAGGGTGGTAAGTTCACCGGCTTCGGGGGCGGTATGCCTGCGCCATCTGCGGATGATAAACGTTCTTCTACCTTTGGAGGATTTGGAGGGTTCGGAGGTTGGGGTGGAGGTGGAGGCGGCGGCGGTGGTCAGCCATTCGATGACCTCCAGAAAGATCCTATGGGAACCATTACCAAGGGACTTGGATGGTTTGCATCGACGGTTGGCAAAAGCGCTAAGCAAGTCAATGACTCTTACCTCCAACCAACAGCCAAACAGGTAAATCCACCCTCATATCTCTTCACCCAACGGCTTTGCTAACAATGGCCAGCTATCCGAATCCGACTTTGCGGCCCAAGCGCGTGTCCACGCTGCATCTCTCGGTCAAAACGTGCAGACAGGAGTTCGCGGCGCTGCAGACCATTTCAACCGATTTGTCGAAGGTGAGGATGGGCGCGTAAATGGGCAACGCACTCGCGTAGAGCCTGAGCGCCGGGACTTCTGGGATGATTTCTCGTCTTTGGGTGATCAAGAGCAATCAAGCCACCGCCGGAGTGGATCTCAACGATCTCAGCGGTCTGATGTCGTTGGTACGGCTGCTATGCGGAAGGGTCCTACGGCCTCTTCGCTGGCTAACTCTAAACCCGCTGGTTCTGGCGCGGATGCAGACAAGAACACTACATCTGCTACGGGGAAGGGCAAAGATGAATGGGATGATAACTGGTAGCTGATTGGTGACTTGAAATTCATCTCCTATGCCATTTGTTTTCGGGCAGTGCTTGTACAGCCCTTGTTATTTTCTTCTTTTTGCTTGAATACCTAGGTACACATACCTCATTAGAATCCATCCTCCTCTTTGACAGAGGTGATATCACGATTGACCTATTTCGAAGGCTCATATACAGCTTTAAACACTTTGGGGGATACCTAGGTGGAAAATTTTTATGCTTCATCGCTACACAGTGTATTTAGTTGCTTTACGATGTCAAGTCCAAACCTTCTAAAGTTGGAAAGAGTAGGAATCCTTGAATACATCCAACCGATATAAAAGACTGGAAATGATAGACGAATATAGTACAGCGATGAGATATTTCAAGATTATAGTATACAAACTTTGGCCGCCAACCTCGCATCCTCTCACCACAACGAGAGAGGTATCAACTATCAGAGTCCGCCTCTCAGCTCCGCAATTACAGCCTTCTGCCTTTGTCCAGACATATTCTCAAACCGATCAACACTCATGACAAAAGTGCCTCGGCCAGCCGTCAGACTCCGCAAATGTTTGAGATACCCAACCATCTCCTTCAGCGGTACCTTGGCTGTGATGGTCCTCGGCCGTGTCACAGAAGCAGGGATCTCAACGCCGATCGATGGCGTCTCAAATGGATCCGGGGGAGCATAGACACGAGTTGTGTCGATGGGCGGTAGCACCTCTTCTTCAAGTGCCTGAGATGCGGACGAGGCATCGGTACCAGGTAAGGGGACTTCCTCGTCAAGCGAGATGATGTGGCCACCCCGTGAAGATGAAATGTCGTGGACGACGGATCCCAGACTGGCTTCGTCTACACTGATGATGACGTTCATCACGGGCTCCATCATGGTTGTGCCGGCTCCGGCCTGCACGTCTCGCAGCGCCGCGACGGTTGCTTGCCGAGCTGCAGATGTCAATGCTGAGGTGGATGTCTCATTGCCGAACAGGTCGGTGGCCGGGTCGATGGTCAGCGTGACGCGGGTGTTGTGCATTGGGAAAGTGAACTGGGGGCCACGAGCGAGAGCCGCCACAGCGCCGTTCTGTAGAGCGGTGCGGAACTGGACCAGGTCCATACCCGGTGGGAGTAGCGGGCTGCTTTCTTCTTCGCCGCGGGAAGAATGTTCGATCTGCAAGCCCGGGGCGCGGATGATGATTTGGTTACCGTCGTAGGTTTCAACGAGAAGAGTATCTTGGTCGTGCGGGGCCTCGTCATTCTCGTCTAGTTGCTCCGCAACTGCTGTACAGCCTGCTTTTCCTTTGCGGCCGGCGATTTCTCTGTCGAAGACGGTGGTTATTGGGCTGGAGGCACCAAGTGCAGTTTCCCGATAGCCGATTTCAATGCGGCCCATAGTAGCCTTTGCCTTTAGGTCATTTATGAGGCGATCACGAGCAATTTCGAGATGCAATTCGCCCATGCCACTCAAGAGGGTCTGACCTGACTCTTCATCAACGTTGACATGAAGACTGGGGTCTTCACGGAGGAGAAGCGCCAAAGATTCCTGCATGCGCTTCTCTTCACTCAGGCTGTGTGGCTCTACGCTGGTGAAGAACACTGGTGGGGGAACGGCAATTGGCCGAAGTTGGAGACTGATGAGTGGTTCCGGGGGTGTGGCTTTGTTTCCTGCGTAGGAAACGAGAGTATCTCCGGTCCTGGTTTGCTTCAGACCGACCACAACTCCAATATGACCGGCTGGAATCGAGTCTACCTCCACGGCATCATTGGCATACATCTTCAGTAATCGTGGTGCACGCTCAGATAGATGTAGATTTGTGTTGAAGAGTAGACTGTTGCGGTCTAATGAGCCCGAATATACACGGACATAGACCAGAACTCCTCTCTTTGCGTCATTGACCACCTTGAACGCCAATGCACAGCTTTGGAGCTTGCTGATAGGATCGTTGGAGTTTTGCACAGATGTGCTCTTCTTTTTCTGTTGTTTTCCTTTGGGCGAACCTGAAACCTTCTCACTCTGTTGGACGATCAGGTCTCCAGACAACAGGTTCCGGAGTCCTCCCTTGACTCCACCGATGCTCACCTCGGGATCAGGAGCCTCGGGCGGACTGGGTAGAAGGTTCACAATAGAATCTAGCAAAGGCTGAACACCCATGTTTCGGAAGCTGGCACCTGCAAACAGAGGGATAATCCGGCTGCTTTGGTCCAACACGCAGCGACGTAGACTCTGAATGATATCAGCTGGCGAGACTGCAAGATGATCCTCTTCGCATTCAAAGAACTTTTCAACTATTTCTTCGTCATGCTCGCTAAGTAACTCGACCAATGCGATACGAGCACGTCGTAGCTCTTGCGCCAGGGCGGGCTCCTCGGTTTCCAGTTGCTGGAGACCAGTCATCTTGACAGCCCGACCATCCTCTCCTTCCTTCCACCGTAGCCCTTGGAGGTGGATTGCATCTGCCACGCCAACAAATGCACCATTTCCACCAAGGAACCAGGGGATCTGGCAGACTGCTGGATAAACACCCAAGCGAGAGCTGACTTCCCGAACTGTCCGACCAAATGCGGCTCCATCGCGGTCCAACTTATTCACAAAAATGATTCGAGGGATCTTATATGTGCTAGCCTGGTTCCAGACCTTTTCTGTCTGTGCCTCAACACCAGCAACGCCGTCCAAAATGCAAACAGCACCGTCGAGGATACGCAGAGATCGCATGACCTCAAAGGTAAAGTCTGCGTGGCCGGGTGTATCGATCAAGTTGATTGTATGCGGGTATGCAGACCGCGGAACTGGCTCGCCCTGCGCCCCAGCTTGTGGACTTGTTGATCCATCAACTTCCCCAGGAGGCCAATGGAAGGTGATAGCAGCAGATTGAATAGTGATTCCGCGTGCACGTTCAGCAGGGAGAAAGTCCGTCACCGTTGAGCCTTCATCAACATCACCAATGCGTCGTGTGAAGCCACTATAAAACAGCATGCGCTCTGTCGTAGTAGTCTTGCCGGCATCGATATGAGCGATAATTCCAATGTTCCGGGTTCTGTCTAGAGCCTCGGTTTGCCATGTTGTTGAAGTGGAGAACCGCTGAAGGTGTTTCAAGTTGGACTGACTGCCTCTAGCCGAAGAGCATGTTATGTTGGCGATATTAGAGGTCTTGTATAGGGTTGACCTCATACGGCATATCCCCGAAGGGAGGCGCGACAATGAAGCTACGACCATGCCGGAAGATGCTCATATGGTGAGCTGAGCAATTGAGAAACTTCAATGCAGCATTGAATTTATGTTTTTGTTGTCAGTATCGTGTTGAGTGCGCTGGTCAAAGCAAAGAAAATCAAAGCGTAAAGCGGACTGCGTACGAAGGTGCATAGCGCCCAGGGGCCCCCACTATACTAACCGCGTCACAGGATGGCAGAATCCATTACGCTGTCTTGATAACCTTTCATCAATTAAGGCGATTGACTCGAACAAGGAAAAATTCTTATAAGTTCTAATAAGAAAATTTTCTTAAGGAATCAATTTCATTCGGATAGGTTGAAAGAGAGGGCTCTAGAGAGGGTTCTAGAGATCTTAGATTACAGTGAAGCGGTGTCAACTGCGATCTAGAATCAGGCATCTTCAGGCACCAAGTTAGTCACTGGGCACCTGGCCGCTATGCACCTTCGTAAGAATCGCGAGGCTTGGCACACGCATATCTCCACACCCCGACACTTGTCTCCGACTCGGACTTAACTAGCTTGTTGCTTGCAATACTTGAGGTTTCTTGATTATTTGCATGTAATGCTAGTTTAGGCAGTATCCTCTGTTTGTCATCTCAATCTGAAGCTGCTCGAGGTATGTCTTGGGTCTCTTGAAGCTAGCTGGCCGTTGCCGTGGGGGGTCTGATCTCCAGCCATCTGAATACTGACGCCTATCACCATCAGCAAACCCCCCTTGTCAGCGAAAAAACTCCTTGCATCGACCTCCGGACGAAATGGACTACTCTACCATCACTAACGATCCGGATCATCCCAGTGATGGGTCCCCCTGGGGTTCACCGCGCACTGAGCGAGGGACGTTCCCCACCTCCAACAATGACATCCCGTCCTCTCCTTTGCCTGGACAAGAGCAGGTCGCGGATCGAACGGACCAAGGCCTCGGCGCAGAACCGCAATCCCCAGATCTCTCTGCGCAACTCCAGAGCGCCCAATTGGGAGATCCGGACTACCCCCAGGAACAATCCCCGTTCGCTGCCCAGCAGTCTTTGAATGCTCAACAGCAATTGCCCGGTCCCGTACACCCACACGCCGAACAAAGACAAGCCTCGCGACCTCCTGCGCCCACCTTTAAGATACAGGGTAAAATCACCGGTTTGGAAAGGACGGGGAAGAAAGACCCCATTTTGCGCTTCGAGGTTCACGTAGGTCTACCCTGTTGAGCATCTTGTGTCCTGGTCGATGGCTGATTGATGTTTGTTTTGGGCGCAGACCAATATCCCCAAGTTCCGCACGACCCAATACCGCGATGTGCGCCGTACCCACTCCGAGTTCGTCAAGCTAGCGGACCACCTGGTGTCCGCTAATCCGGAATCCTTGGTCCCCGCTGTGCCCTCGCCAGTTACACCAGCGGGAGCTGGTACAGAGGAAGATGAGATTCGGATCAAATCGGCAATGCAGCGATGGCTCAACATTGTGCTCAGCAATGAAGTGCTGATCCAAGATGATGAGGTCGTTCTCTTTGTGGAGAGCGACTTTGGCTATAGTCCAGTACTACGGATGAAGCAACCTGCAACAGGAGTGCGACGCAAGATGCTTAAGCAATTCGCACCTCCGCCTGATGATACCCCTGAACTGCAAGCTGCTCGTCCAACTGCAAAGATGCTCTACTTGGGAACAATGGATTCAAGCCACAAGGTTGATAGAGTAGTCAAGGCCCGCCGTGGTAGGTCTATCGAGGAACATTTATTCCTTCCAATATTTTCTACCGCCCAGACTAACTTCTTTCAGGACTCGGTTTGGCAGAAGCTGATTTCGGTGTGAAGCTTGGTCAATTGCACGTGCAAGAAACCCATCCTGGCTTAAGTGCGGCTTACCGCAAGCTCGGCAAAGTCATTCAGACTGTTGGCGATTACCACGCCGTTCAAGCCACGGCAGAGGCCACAACTCTTGGAGAACCACTAAGCTATCACTCATCCGACGCTTTCATTGTGAAAGAAACCCTGACCAACCGACACATCCTGCTCCGCGATCTGCTACAGGCCCAGCAAAATGCCCGAAGCAAGCGTGCTGCTGCTGACCGGTTGAAGGTCAGCTCATCGGTCCGCCCAGACAAGGTTGATGAAGCGATCAATGCCCTTGAGGAGGCGCAGAGCCACGAGGACCACTTGACCAAGCGAACTCAGCGTGTTACTTCGAACCTTCTCCAAGAGAAGCGCCGCTGGTTTGACCGGACTACCCAGGACCTTTTGTCTAGTCTAAGAGAGTACACTTTGCGCCAGATCGAAGCAGAGCGACGTACCCTGGCAACCCTAGAGAGTGTCCGTCCGGACATTCGTGCCATCGATGCCTCCGGGGGTCTAAGCCGACTGGGTCGCGAATCTCACCCCACGGCTCGCCGAACAAACATGGCTTCAAGCCAAGGCCCTAAGGGTGATTCGTGGAGTGGTGTTCCTCGCCGCAACGACAACATTGGGCGCAGCGGTAGCTTCACTGCACCTTCACTTGAGGATGACGACGAGGCGAGTGGTCAAGGTTCCGGCAAGGGACGCAACCGGGCTCCTAGCCAGGTTGGATCCATCGCAGAGGAGGATGATGACCGTCTTGATGCCCGAAACGCAGCCAGCCGGCTGGCCACCAGCACGTTTTAACCGGGTTCTCAGTATGCAACGAATATGTACATCTAGCCCGGGCACGGATTTGTGATTCCCCTTTCTTCCATTACCTGTTTTTGTCTTTTCATCCTGTTACTTAAACTTATAAACACCATAAGTTTATTTTTCCTGGTCACGCCGAATACTCCAAGTCGATCACACTCGATGTAGTTATCAATACCAGTTCATGTCTCCAACTGAAACATACACCAGGAAATCAACATTTTCGGATGCTGGGCTCGTTCGAGCTTTGCATAATTTACCATTCACTCCACAAATCCCACTTCTGCGCCCCATCCTCTGGCACTTCAAACCATGCCGCCTTTTCAGCAAGGAAAATATGATGGCTAGGCCGAGGAATTGGTGCATCACCCTCATTGAGGGTCCCCGCAGCTAGGCCAATGAGCCCTGGAATCCGATCTAAAGCCATACTGACGGTCGAGCCGCAACGAGGACAGAAGCTGCGCGTGGCTGTGCTGCTTGCTCGTCGCTTTGTTGGTTTTATTTGCCACTCGATGTCGTCAGTAGAGAAATGTGCCCATGTCTGGTATGGTGCACCAGCTTGCTTGCGGCAGGTATTACAGTGACAATTGACGAGACGAGTTGGCGGGGTGGTTGTTGTGTAACTGATGTAGTTACAGGCGCAAGCCCCGGAGGTCATTGTAGTGGTTGGGTTTCAGGATAGACCAGCGTTGTATATGTATGGAGTATCAAGTGGGGAGTTATTCCCTGAACATCGTCTGAATCCGAATCTGAGCCGATAATTAAAACCAAGCGTGCTAGAGTCTGAGTTCAGAAGGGAAAGTATTAGTATAGGTTTTCGGGGTTTACTACGTGCTAAGTATCCCCCACATCTCGGTCTCGGGCCAACTTCCCTGAATAGTTGATTTCAAAGCACAGCACGTAACTTCACTGTTCATGCTCGTGCTTCATCTTTCTTGACACTCACTTGAGTACATCATCGATATTCAGTGACTACATTATGGCCCCTAAAGTCTTTATGTATGTTAGCTCAATCTCAGCTGTGAACATATCTGATCCAATCCCAGTACCGGCGCCACTGGCTACATTGGTGGTGATGGCCTGTTTGCCATCGTTAATGCCCACCCTGACTGGGAGCTCTCGGCTCTTGTCCGTAGCTCGCAAAAGGCTGATCAAATCACCACCAAATACCCCAAAATTCGGACTGTGATCGGCGATCTCGACTCGTCCGATTTGATCGAAGAGGAAGTCCGGAATGCCGACATCGTCTTCCGTATGTTGAGCTTTTTAAAGGAAATTGCGGCACTAACACATGATACGCAGACTTTGCCGACTGTGACCATGTCGCGGCAGCTAATGCCATTGCCAAAGGCGCGCAGCACCACAGCCCCGAGCGCCCATTGTGGTTGATCCATACTTCTGGCACTGGTATCCTGACCGTCGAGGATCAGCGCGCGAAGACCTACGGAATTGAACGACCAAAGCAGTATAATGACTGGGAGGGCGTGAGTGAGCTTGTCAATCTCCCCGCCGACGCCTTCCACCGCAACGTGGACGAGATCATCATTGGTGCTGGTCAAAAGAGTCCCGCCAGTGTCAAGGTTGCCGTTGTCTGCCCGCCAACCATCTATGGTCCTGGTCGTGGTCCTGGTAACCAGAAGAGCGTCCAGGCATACTGGCTCAGTGATGCTGTGCTCAAGCGAAAGCAGGGACTGCTAGTCGGGGAGGGTAAGAACGTATGGCACCAGGTCCACGTTCAGGATCTGAGCGATGTATACTTGGCTCTTGGCGAGGCGGCTTCCCAGGGAGGTGGCAAGGCTACTTGGAACAACGAGGGCTATTACTTGGCTGAAAATGGCTCGTTCGTCTGGGGAGATATCCAGCGTGCAGTTGCCCAGGCTGCTTTTGATAAAAAGCTCATTGCTTCGCCGGATGTTGAGTCTCTGGACGGCGCCCAGACCACTGAGGTTCACCCATTTGGAATTTATGCTTGGGGCTCCAACTCCCGGGGCAACTCGCTCCGGGCTCGCAAGCTCTTTGGGTGGTCGCCTAAGCAGCCCAAGCTGATTGATCTGATCCCAGAGATCGTTGAGGGCGAGGCCAAGGCCCTTGGATTGTTGTGATGCCGGCTCCATGATGAAATGGCACAGCATTGAATGAAAGTATTTAAAAGATCAAAAAGAATTGCACATAATTCATTGGGATATTCTAGGAAATTGACTAAATGTGCCATATTGAGTATTAGATATTCGCTTCATTGGCGTAACTTGATAGACTCCCCTTTGCCTAAAGGGAACATTTGACAACAAGTACAAGTACGGAGCACATCATTGAACCAACTAGGTATTCAGTTACTTATTGGACTTGAATGTATTCTATAATTTCATTGTGAATGACACCTCAATAGCTTTGCGACGATTGATCAACACGGGAACAATAAGAGAAACTATATAATCGACACCTGAGGCACCAAAGCACCATTCGGACCAAGCTTCGACCATCACCATCTTCGATCTTCACCTTACACGCCGTTGGCTCCGCACTTTCTTTGACACGGGTCACCCTCTCTGGTATGCTTGCTCTGCGCTCTTCACAAATGCCGACCTCCATCAAATTTTAATCTCTGGCTTGTGCTTATTCTAGGTTCAACAGAAACGTCTGCATGAGTCGCTACCTTTCAGTATTCCGTCCCACCCTCACAACCCCTCGCGTCTAATTCGGTTACCCACCATGGCGCCTGGGCACGGTGGTAAGCGGAAGCGCGTCGAGCGCTCTCATTCGGGGGATTCGGGAAGCAATGACAATCTGCGACCTTCTCCTCATCGCCCCGGGAACATGAACATGGCGCATTACCCTTCCAATCCTAGGCATCAATCTCCCTCCCAAGAACAGAATGAAATGCGCGATAAATCTCGCCGACACTCGCATTTCGGACGGGCTGGTTCCCGACGCGGATCCCACGACGGCCCGAATTTTTCGAACCCGCAGGCCAAAGAGCCGAACGCGATGTCGCCTCCACCTGCTTTTCAGCCCAAAGAACCAGCTTCCAATGTCGAATTAGCTGCTCCGCAACCCACACCATCTCCAGCTCCCAACACCCCTTCGCAGCAGTACACCAATCTACCTTCTCGCGCTAGCTCCGAGGCCGCTACCCATCTTCCTCCTCCTCCCCCATCCCCTTACGAGTATGAAATTGTTACCGATAACGCCGTTGAAGATTGGACATCGACAGGGAAGTCAAGGGTAGTGGAAGAAGGCTCCGCAGCTCGTGTTCAACAAGATCTTCCTCGACTCGCATCGGTCTATCAAGAGCTTCTGCGCTCTGCGATCTATGGTCGATTGTCGCCGTCAGACGCAGGAACTGCTGTGAAAGATATTATCGGAAATCATGGAATACCCAATGATGTCGACATGGAGGGCAGCAGCGGAAATGCTTCGACCTCCGAACTTGACCCTCGCTCGCTATTCCTCGATACCCTTTCTATCGTGACCGATGCCGATACCTCGAACCCAATCCTCAAACCACTTGTCTTTGCGACCGAAATTGACGCATCCCTGATGCGCCTTCAACTTGAGACTCCGCTCCTCCAGGCCCTGGGGTTGGTTCGCGATACCTTTGCGCGAATGGGTATTCGCAAGCAGACGAATCTACTCTACCGGCAATCAAATTATAACCTGCTCCGAGAGGAGTCTGAGGGGTACTCGAAGCTTTTGACGGAACTATTCACTACGAGCAACAACGAACCGCCATCAAGCGAGGTGGTTGAGAATACATTTGAGAGAGTCAAGGCCATGATTGGCGCATTCGATATGGATGTCGGCCGTGTCTTGGATGTTACATTAGATGTATTTGCTGCAGTCCTTGTCAAGCAGTACCGCTTTTTCGTGAAGCTTCTGAGGGCTAGCTCCTGGTGGCCCAAGGAAGATGTCTTTCGCCACATGGAAAATGGCCGTCACCACTCTGGACTTCCCAACTGGGCGCTTCCTGGGTCCACTGGCTGGGTGACAACCGAGAATGAACGCTCGGCCATCATGCAAGCGAACGAGGGGCGTGACCGCCTGTTCTGGGATCGCGTAAGACAAGTTGGACTACGCGCCTTTTTCGAAATCGGCCGCAAACCGATTACAGAAGAGGAGAAGGAACGAAGCCTTTCAGAAGCGAATGGCGTCTCTTTTGACGAGGATGTTACCCGTTCATGGCTTGAGGAAACAGGCACATTACCACCCAAGGGAAATCGGGTTGCGGCCCAGCTCCTTGGTTTCAAGTTACGATTCTACTCTTCTTCAGCGCGATCAAAAGCTGATGTTCTTCCTGATAACCTCATTTACCTTGCCGCCCTACTCATCAAGGTTGGCTTCATCTCCCTTCGTGATCTTTACGCCCACCTTTATCGCCCCGATGATACTATGGATGTATTGAAAGGTGAAAAGATGGCAGAGAAAGCGGAGCGGGTGAAGGCTGGCCGTCCAGGTGGTGGCACCAACGCTCTGATGATGGCCGGTGCTCTGTCGGATGACACAGTTCCCCCTCCCCGCCTCCGTGAAGAATCCCGACTGGCAACACCTGCAAAGGACCAAGGTTCTGAAAAGGGAGCAGCTCAATCTGAAGACGAGCTTCCAGATCCTTCAGACCAAAAGGTTCTGTTGCTCAAGAGTCTTCTCGCCATTGGCGCAATTCCCGAATCGCTGTTCGTCATCAGCAAATTTCCCTGGTTGATGGAAGCATACCCCGAGCTCCCTGAATTTTTCCACCGAATCCTGCACCATTCTTTGTCCAAGGTCTATGAGCAATTCCGACCAGTGTTCTCTACCCGCAATTTCCCTGGCGCCCAGTACCTGGTATCCTCGGACCAAAATAGCCATTCCAAAGGCCACATCGGACTCACACCTCCCCCTCCGAAGCGAGTTTTGAGATGGGCTCAACTGGATAAGGAGGACACCGATGGCACTGATTATCGATTCTACTGGGATGATTGGGCCGATAACATCCCGATCTGCCAGTCTGTAGACGACGTCTTTGCCCTCTGTTCATCTTTCCTTAACCTCTCCGGTCACAAGATTGGACAAGATGCCAGCCTTTTGGCGAAACTTGTTCGTATTGGCAAGGGAAGTCTGGCTCAGGATGAATCCGAGGAAAACAAGGAGCGCTGGCGCGACCTTTGCAAGCGACTTCTGCTGCCTGCGGTCAGTCTGACAAAGGCCAATCCTGGTGTTGTCAACGAAGTCTTCGAACTTATCAGTTTGTTCCCTCGTGATGTGCGATACAATATGTACGCTGAATGGTACTCGGGACAGACGTCTCGCTTGCCGGACATCAAAGAAGCCTTCGACCAAGCCAAGGCAGAGACCAAGGACACACTGAAGCGACTTAGCAAGACCAACATTCGACCTATGGCTCGTGCATTGGCTAAGATTGCTTACGCGAATCCTGGAATCGTCATAACCGTTGCCATTGGTCAGATTGAGTCCTATGAGAATCTCATCGAGGTTGTCGTAGAGTGTGCCCGCTACTTCACGTTCCTCGGTTACGACATCCTTTCATGGTCTCTTATCAATTCGCTTGGTCAGAAAGGACGAAGCCGTGTTCAGGAAGGTGGCCTTCTCACCAGCCGATGGCTGAATGCCCTCTCCACTTTCGCGGGTCGAGTCTATAAGCGGTATTCCGTGATGGACCCTGCTCCTGTTCTGCAGTATGTTGTGGAACAGCTTCGGCACAACAACTCAACCGATCTCATTGTGCTTGAGCAGTTGATAAGCTCGATGGCAGGTATTATCTCAGACAATGACTTCAACGACGCTCAGATCCAGGCTATGGCTGGTGGTGATGTTCTTCAATCTCAAACCATTCTACAATTGTTGGACAAACGCCATGAATCTACAATTACTTCCACCCGGTTGCTCAGGTCTCTGACCCGTACCAAACTTGCTGGGCAGCTATTAGTTGCCATTGCCCAGGAACGATTAACTTGTGTTTACAACGAGAATTCATCGGAACTCAAATTGCTTGGAAATATTTTTGATGAAATCCACCGCATTCTCACTCAATACCTTGATTTGCTGCGCAGCAATCTTTCGATCGATGATTTCGATTCCTTTGTGCCAGATTTCTCTTCGCTGATCAAAGACTTCGGAATTCAGCCCGAAATTGCCTTCTGGATCAGGCGGCCTAGCATTGCTAAAAAGATCACACAGGTTGAAGAGTCAAAGGAAAGGAAGGGAAGTTCGCCTACTGATCATACTGGTGCCGCTAAGCCGAGCGGCGACAGCATGGACACTGGCGAAGATGGGGTAACACCCACCTCCGCGGACAATTCCATGGATGTCGACAAAGCCGAATCAGGTGCCACAGCCTCCGCCGAGGATTCTGGCTCTCCTCCGCAAGTCCCTCTCGTCAACGCCGACCCACTGGCAGCAAACCCCGTTATGCAAGAGCTTATCGACAACGTCAAGTCTGCTTTGCCCGCGGAGACATGGGAAACTATCGGTGCACACTTCTACGCAACCTTCTGGCAGTTGTCCCTTTATGATGTCCATATTCCCCAGAAGTCCTACGAGGACGAGATCGACCGACTCAAGCGACGAGTGGTGACCATCAACAGTGATAGATCTGATATGAGCATGGCAGGAAGCTCGAGGAAGGAGTTCCAGAAGAAGCAGATCACGCAGCTTCAGGACCGGATCTTGGAAGAGAACAAGGGCCACTTGATGGCCTATGGACAGACACGCTCCCGGCTACAAAAAGAGAAAGACAGATGGTTTGCCGGCATGCGTCTCAAACACGATTCTCTGAATGTTGCACTCCTAGAGCAATGTTTCATTCCTCGACTCCTCTTGTCACCTCTTGATGCCTTCTTCTGTTTCAAGATGTTGAAGTTCCTCCACAGTTCAGGCACACCTAATTTCCGGACCGTCGGTCTCCTTGACCAACTATTCCGCGAGCACCGGCTCACGGCGCTCATTTTCCTCTGCACCTCGAAGGAAGCTGACAACCTTGGTCGTTTCTTGAACGAAGTTTTGCGCGACCTCACCAGATGGCATGCCGACAAAGCTGTTTACGAGAAGGAGGCATTCGGAGCCAAGAGGGATCTTCCTGGATTTGCGAAAAATGTCGACCCCGAAGGTGTGCCAGTGATGTTCCTGGAATTTGAGGATTTCCGTCGGTTGTTGTACAAATGGCACCGACTGTTATCCAATGCACTCAAGAGTTGTCTCAGCGGGGGTGAATACATGCACATTCGCAATGCAATCAGTGTTCTGAAGGCGGTCGTCCAGCATTTCCCCGCTGTCAACTGGATTGGTCGCGACATTCTGAACTGCGTTGATCACCTGAGCAAGAACGATGAGAGAGACGACGTCAAGATTCCTGCCGCCTCGCTGATCGGTGATCTTAACCGACGAGAGAAGAAATGGATGCTTCCCCAGGCATTCAATCTAGTGGCAGCTCAGCCCCAGTCTGCTGACAAGGCTGGAAAGTCTGGGACCCCGGGATCTGCTGCGCCCGCACCTTTGAACGCTTCAGCGCCAGAATTCAATCCCAGTGGCCCAACAAAGTAAGTGATGATTCTTATAGCCTATTGTTCGCTTTAACTAACCTATCGATAATCAGTCCCCGGGGTATTGCAAAGCAGACCCAATCCGGAAAGACTGAAGTTGAGGATGGTGAGATTGAAGATGCGAGGATGGGCGATGTCGGCGGAGGAAAAGATGATGAGACCAAGTCCAGCGAGACGCCTTCCCAAGTTGGAACCACCGCACCTTCTGCCGCCGGCCTCGGCCAGGACGCTCCATCTGGAGATCGGCCAAGATCGCGGCCCAATTCTCGAGCCCCCGCTCCAGGGCACCAGTCCGACATTCCTAAGCGCCCTGACCTTCGCCAGCAAGTTCACCCTCCTGTTCGTCCACCGCCACGTCACGGCGATGGAAGACTGCCTCCGCGCCCCGAAGGATTAGACGACCGACGGGACAGACACTCGGACTTCGGTCCTCGTGGTCGTCATGGAGGCGGCCCCCCCGATCATGGACGATCGTTTGATGGTCCCATGAATGACGTCCGTGGCCGACTCAACGAGCGTCTTGCCGATCGCGAACGCGACTTCCCCATGCGACCTCCAGCTGACGATCTGATGCGCGGCCCTCCCCGAGATGCCCGTGGTGGTCGTGAGAATGGCTGGCCCATGGACCGTCCAGGTCGCATGCGTGGACCTGGGCCTGGACCCGGACCCGGACCTGGACCTGGGCCAAACGATTCCTTCCACGGACGGGATGGTCCTGTGCGAGGAGAGCTGATGCCTGACCACGCGGATCGACCTGTGGACCGACCTGTGGATATTCCTCGACGTGGCGATCCTCCTAGGCCAGAAAAGGACGATCGCAGACCTTATGCTCAACGCCCTGTATCGCCATCTCGGCCTACTGACTTGCCCAATCGTCCCGAGCGGTTCCCACCCCCCGATGACCGCCGGCCACCTGTTCTCACTGGTTCCTCCCGTATCGACAATCTCCCCAGGGGCCCCCGAAGCGACCGACAAGCCGATCCAAGGGACGCTGCGCCAGGCCCTGATATGAATCACGGCCGTCTTCGTCAACCAGAGCCTCCATCTGAGATACCTGCTGGGCCAAGAAGACGCAACGGACGCAACACCTCTGGACAGGCCCCGCCTAACACAAGCTCGGCGAATGCTACTGTGCCACTTTCAGATCGCCAGGCACCCACGGGACCTGGCCGACAAAATGCGCGCGTGCCACCAGAACAACCTGCTACTCCACAGTCGCAGCCCTCGGGCTCCACCAGTACCCCCGGTATTCATCCTGATCGTCTTAGGAATCTTGTTGACGATGCACCCGCGGGTGCTCCTGTTGGACCTCGCGGTGGCTCAAGCCCACAGCAAGCTCCACGAGGCCCCGTTGGCTCCTCAGGGCCGCCCATGACCCCTGGAGCTTCCCCACCCGCTGGGCCTTCCGGTGCAGGATTTGGTGGAGAGCGTGGCCGTGGTGACAAACGATTCGCCGGTCTCAACAACATGCTTCAGCAGTCCAATGGCGGCGGTGAGCGCAGTGGAAACTCTCCCTCTGTTCGTGGAAGAGGCGCCAACCGCCAATCGAACACAATGGAGCCACCGTCGGCTCCGACTCCAAACCGTCCACCTATGGGCCCTGCAGGACCCCAGGAAGATCAGCCCCGCAGCCGACCTAGCGGTGGCCGGGTGGCTGATCTGATTGATGATGTTGTTGTTCCTGAGTCCAATCGTTCTGGACACGCTGGGGACCGCAACCGAGAAATGGGTCCTGCTCGTGAGAATGAGCCTGAGCGTCGTGATGGTAGCAGCGGCGGCCGCAACCGACGCGATGGCCGCCGCGGTGAGCGTGAGCGCAACCGCCGAAGTGATGTAGGCGCCAATCGCGATGATAAAGAACGCCCTGGCGAACCACGCGAGAGCCTTCGTCGCGTTCAAAGCTCCCGTGAGGAGCTTCGCCGCCGAGACCGCCGGGATCGCCCCGACGGACCACCAGAAGTGAGCGGGCCACCATCCAGCAATAAGAATGCCCCAGAAAGCGAAGGACGCTTGCGCCCTCCCTCCTCGCAAGGCGCACCGCCACCACCCCCACCTCCTCCCCCTCCGCCAATGCCTGCAGGAAATGATCGACGTTTCAATGCCGGTGGCGATCGGGGTCCTCGATCCGACAACCGAGACCGCGAGCGCGAGCGTCGCGGCGATCGACGTGATCGGGATCATCCCCGTGAGGGCGGTGGTTCATCTAGCCATCGCAAGCGTAATCGACCAGGTCCTGACGACAACCCTGACGGTGGTCGTGGCATGAGAATGGGCAATGACAACAAGCGCCCTCGCCGCGGTGCCTGATCACCCTCCATCGATATACTCCTTCCAAAATTCCCTTCAAGATCCCATGGGGCTTCAATTCGTTTTTCTTATCCTGTCCCCAACATCTATTTGACTTTGCCTCAATTCTTTCATATCTATCTTGCATTCTGTCCGGTGTTTGGGGGCCATTTTCTTCTCCCTGTACTTTTTATCTAACCCCCAAAATTACCTGAACACAAATGGCAGCAATTCCAATTAGCCTAATCCCATTAGGGCTATACACCCAGCCTTGTCGTAGTCCTAGAGATGCTAGAGATACTATAGGCCAAGTAAGCACAGGCTCCGCGGCCCGATCTCCGACGCCTTTGCCCCGCCTCCAACGATGTCGGGTAAACTTCGGTCTTCTGTTTCCCTCCGTGGCTTTTTGAGAAATCGGTGGATCAAATGCAGGTTGTGAGCCTGTGATTCGACGTTGACAGTCCATCTGGCCCTTGTGTTCCAAAAGTTCCCCGCCCAGTTGGCTTCGTAATGAGCTCACTTTGAGCTCGGTATAAAGCAGGCTGGTCAGCTCATCCCAATCTACCATCTGTGATCTAGTTTGAGGGAATTTGCAGCCAATATTTCCGAGTTGGATGTTGAGACACCGACATTACCATCTTTTGGCACAGAACTAAATCGCACTACATCATGCCTCCAATCGACGTGGAAAAGACCATTGAGGAGCTGACACTCGGCGAGAAGGTCGACCTCACGGCTGGTATGTAGTCTCGCACTCTTTTCCAACGATTTGATACCAAAGCTGATTCCTTTACTAGGCAAGGATTTCTGGCACACGGCTTCCATCCCCCGCCTGAATATCCCTGCACTGCGCATGTCCGATGGACCAAATGGCGTCCGCGGCACACGCTTCTTCAACGGCATCCCAGCCGCCTGTTTCCCCTGCGCAACAGCCCTAGGAGCCACCTGGGATGCCGAGCTCTTATCCCAGGTCGGTGCATTGATGGGCGAAGAAGCCATAGCAAAAGGAACGCATATCGTGCTTGGTCCCACGATTAATATCCAGCGGTCGCCGCTGGGTGGCCGTGGGTTTGAATCCTTTTCCGAGGATGGTGTGCTTTCCGGTACGTTGGCGGGCCATTTCTGCAAGGCATTGCAAGATAAGGGCGTTGCTGCGACACTGAAGCACTTTGTCTGCAATGATCAAGAACACGAGCGTATGGCGGTTAGTAGTATTCTTACTAACCGGGCGTTGCGTGAGATCTATTTGATGCCGTTCCAGTTGGCCATGCGTATCTGTCGCTCGCAGTGTGTGATGACGGCTTATAATAAGATTAACGGAACTCACGTCAGTGAGAACAAGGCTATAATTGACGATATTCTTCGCAGGGAGTGGGGTTGGGAAGGTGTTGTGATGAGTGACTGGTAGGTTTTGTCTGCAGATTTTTCCCAGTCTTTCATGGCACAGAACTAATTCGTCTTAATAGGTTTGGAACCTACAGCACCTCTGATGCTATCATTGCCGGTCTTGATATTGAGATGCCAGGCAAGACCCGCTGGAGAGGACAGGCGCTTGCACATGCCGTCTCGTCGAATAAGGTTGCACAGTACCAGCTTGATGAGCGTGTACGCAATGTGCTCAACCTTGTCAACTGGGTCGAGCCTCTTGGGATTCCAGAGAATGCACCAGAAAGTGCACTCAACCGGCCAGAAGATCAGGCTCTCATGCGCCGTGCCGCTGCCGAGTCTGTTGTGCTTATGAAGAACGAAGGAGATATTCTTCCTTTGAAAAAAGATGGTTCATTGCTAGTCATTGGACCCAATGCCAGAATATCGGCCTACTGCGGCGGTGGTTCGGCGTCTCTGGCCCCATACTACACAGTTAGTCCCTTGCAAGGTGTATCTGCCAAAAGCAATGGAGATGTCAAGTTCAGCCAGGGTGTGTATTCACACAAAGAGCTACCACTCCTCGGCCCGCTGTTGAAGACTGCCGATGGTAAGCCTGGGTTCACCTTCAAGGTGTACAATGAGCACCCCAACTCTGGTGCAGACCGTCAGGTGGTGGATGAGTTGCATCTGCTCGAATCATCTGGTTTCTTGATGGACTACGTCAATCCCAAAATCAAATCTATGACCTACTACGTCGACATGGAGGGGTCTTTCACCCCCGAGGAGAGTGGAGTGTATGACTTCGGTGTCACAGTCGTTGGAACAGGACGCCTCCTCATCGATGACGATGTCGTCGTCGATAATACCAAGAACCAGAAGCAAGGCTCTGCCTTCTTTGGCACAGCCACAATTGAGGAACGTGGTATCAAAGAGCTCAATGCCGGTCAGACATACAAAGTCGTCTTCCAATTCGGCAGTGCACCAACTTCGGACCTGGACACCCGTGGAATCGTAGCCTTCGGTCCAGGTGGCTTCCGCTTCGGCGCCAGCAGACAAGTCAGCCAGGAAGAGCTGATCGCCAATGCAGTCGAGCAAGCCAAGACAGCAGATCAGGTCGTCATCTTCGCCGGCCTGACTCTTGAATGGGAGACTGAGGGCCATGACCGCGAGCACATGGACCTACCACCTGGCAGTGACGAGCTCATCAGCCGTGTGCTAGATGTCAACCCCAACGCAGTGATTATCCTCCAGTCTGGTACCCCAGTCACAATGCCGTGGGAGTCCAAGGCCAAGGCCCTCGTACAGGCCTGGTTCGGCGGCAATGAATGTGGAAACGGTATTGCCGATGTCCTCTACGGCGACGTCAACCCTTCCGCGAAATTGCCTCTTACCTTCCCCCGCCGCTTGCAAGATAACCCCTCTTACCTCAACTTCCGCTCCGAGCGCGGTCGCGTCCTCTACGGTGAAGACATCTACGTCGGCTACCGGTACTTCGAGAAGAGCGAGGTGGCTCCCGGATTTAGCTTCGGACACGGTTTATCATACACGACGTTCGCGCGTTCAGATCTGCGCATCGAGACTGTCCCCGAGCAGTCCAAATATGCCGAGTCTGGCGAGCCGGTCACTGCTTCTGTCACAGTGTCCAACACTGGCTCTGTGGCTGGTGCTGAGGTGGTTCAGCTGTGGATTGTGCCTCCGAAGACGGATGTCGGACGGCCTTTGCGTGAGCTGAAGGCATTCAAGAAGGTTTTCTTGCAGCCTGGAGAGACACAGACTGTGCAGTTGGTTGTAGAGAAGAAGTTGGCAACGAGCTGGTGGGACGAGGAGCGGGAGCAGTGGATCTCTGAAAAGGGGACCTACCAGGTTCTTGTCACTGGTACTGGAGCTGATCAGCTACATGGGGAGTTTGATGTTGGAAAGACAAGATTCTGGCTGGGTCTGTAAGTCTGTGTTCATGGCAAATTTCTGTCTACACTTCCTTTATAAGACGATTAGGATTAGGGAGATTGGCATGGTCTTTGTGGGTATCCCGAACTATGTAAGATCTTTCTGAGATGGTTGACGCAAACTTCTCAAGTTCTATCTAAATTGATTTCAGAAAGAAGGTTGACCTCAGGAATCGGCGCGTCCGTTTTCAAATTGCATCTCCACGAATTGAGTACGAGTACTAAAGCCCCTGGATACTACATGGTACCCCCGTACAATGCTTCCTTAGGAGGCCTAAGCCATCTGGCGTCCACAGATGGCAATAGAAAACCCTACGCCCCCTGTCTTTACGCCATTTCAAGGGATGGTGCATGAAACAATGCCGGCTTAGTGTAGAGCTAACCCAAAGAAGAGATGCAAAGGGGGCATTTGCCCATTCCCCATTAAATAAACAACTGGAGCAAAGCCATGACAGATCCACTTTCATAGTTAAAAGGGAGACAAGTGATATATTGACACAAATAGTCCATACTCGTACTCTGAGTACGAGTAGGGTCTACGTGTAGAGTTGTGATGTCACCCTTCTCTGCGTTAATGTGACTTGTACCCCGTACTCGCTCGGGTGGCAAATGCCGCCACAGTAAGAGATTTTGCAGATTTTTGATTTCTAGGGTAGTCGGGTTCCAAAGACGGGAAGAAAATCGAAATGACTGATTCGTGTAGTCCTGGATATTCGGGATCTTAACGCTCTATAACCGGACTACTTAAGTATGGAGCGGTCTTCGCGCCATGGTTTATGGACCGAGCGCAGATTCATCTTGTATTTTTCTTTTGAAAATAGTTGAAAATAGCGATGAAAATAACGAATACATCTGAAGATGGTATGTATGAGTATTTTCTCATTCCAACTTTTCACGTGGTTATCATTCAGTATCTTTCGCGGGGGATAAGCCCTGGCGCGATAAGAAAAAAAAAATTCTACGATCCTATACTCCGTACTACACTAGAAATAGATCTCGGTTGAAATAATTCTATACTAAGATTTTGACCGCAAGCCCTGGACACATGGCCATGCTGACTCGTGGAACTCCAGTAGACTGAATTTTACTCTCACAGCTCTCACCCAGTGAGGCTTTTTGTCCAACACATGTGCGCGATACCCGATAAGAAGCGGTGAAACGAACACAAGTACCGTTATTTGAGTCTGCGCCGGGCGTCTTATTCGTTTATCATATTAATTTATTTTTACCCCTGGCTTGGGGCTATGGCCTTGAGTCTGGATGTAGATGTACAAGCCCTGGAATGTCTACTTTTATTTTTGCAATCCGTGCTTGTAGCTGACATCGAGCTGAGACTATAGTCGGTTACTCCGTACGGGTGCTCCGTATTCAGCTCCGGACCTGACCAACGGTTCAACATAAACTTCGTACCGTCGTGAAAATACGGAAAGATCGGGTCCATACAAATAACATTCTGATGGCTATCAACTTTGAAAAGGCATTTAAGGGAACGACTACGCCACCCGATTAGGAGTGGCAAAGAAGGGTGCAACGACTTACGGAGTACCAGTGAGAAAATTGAGCCAACTACACATGACTGCTTTACTCCTATTGAATCCTATTGAAGGCTGTACGTCATTGTTCAGTGAATAGAAAAGGTCTCAATAAGGTCATATGGCCATTGCAGCAGGTCAATGGGAGATCAGAACAATAGAATCCAATAGACCAATGACATTATCGCCTTGGTCCCTATTGATGATCACTCTGTTCTTCCTCCTGAATAATGAAGATATCGTATGGACAATGTACCAAGTACAAGTTCAATGTACAATCGACTTCATGGAACTCGATTTTCACTAAGCCTGAATGGGTGGCACTGTGGTGGGTAACCAATCACAGAAAGGTAATTCGGGCGAAAGCAGAACGTGCACCAATGAAGAAGCAGATAAAGATACACTAGTTCCTAGTTAGGATTAGTGCGGGACAATTGAAAAATTTTCGTTTTAATCAATTTCTTTTTTTTTCATTTCTTTTTTTGCGCATAGGGTTTGCCGCAAAAGTGCCACACGATAAATATCTTCGCCCCCCTTCTCTCCTCCTCCCCTCCTCCACTCCTGCATCTTTTTTCGAGGGTCGGCCTCATCTTTCTTTATTGTGTTTTTTCTTTCTGTTTAGACACAGATAGAACGCTCTGATCTTTGAGCGTCTGCGTCTACGCACCTGAGCCCTCCCGCTCAAAAAAAAAATCTCGATACCCCTCATAGAAAAAATAAAGGAAGATTTTTTCTCTTCCTTTCCTCTAATACCCCTTCGTTTTACGAACCGCCAAAATTTCCTCCAAAATGCCTGCCGCCAACGTCGCTGCTCCTTCCAAGGAGACCGCTCAGTCGGTTGCTGTCCTCGAGGACCTCATGAAGAACCTCAGCGTTGCCGCCTCCGCCGATGAGGCCAACGCCGCGGCTGCCAACATTGCCCACCTCTTCAGTGGCCCCATCCCCGAGCAGGTCCTCCCTGCCAAGGCTGCCGAGCTCTTCAAGCAGCAGCTCGCCAACAAGAAGGACGCCACCGCCCGTGAGCGTGCCGCTGAGGGTATCCGTGCCATCGCCCTTCACCCCACAATCGAGGCCGGTGTCGAGCCCCACCTCGTTGCCCTCCTCGGCCCCATCCTTGCCGCCGTCGGTGACAAGCAGCAGGCCGTGAAGGAGGCTGCCCAGAGCGCCGCTATTGCCATTGTCAAGAATGTCAGCGGTAACGCCGTCAAGGCCACCATCACTCCCATTCTCGACTCTCTCGCCAACGCCCAGAAGTGGCCCGAGAAGAAGTGTGCCCTCGACTGCCTCGACCAGCTCGTCGACTCTGCCAAGATGCAGCTCGGTTACCAGGTCCCTACCCTGCTCCCCGTCATCTCTGAGGCTATGTGGGACACCAAGACCGAGATCAAGAAGGCCGCCTACTCCACCATGGAGAAGGTTTGCAACCTGATTGTCAACAAGGATATTGAGCGTTTCATTCCCGAGCTCATCAAGTGTATCGCCAAGCCCCAGAACGTCCCCGAGACCGTTCACTTGCTCGGTGCCACCACTTTCGTTACTGACGTTACTGGCCCTACCCTCGCCATCATGGTTCCCCTGCTGGACCGTGGTCTCGTTGAGCGTGAGACCGCTATCAAGCGTAAGACCGCTGTCATTGTCGACAACATGTGTAAGCTGGTGGAGGACCCCCAGCTCGTCGCTCCTTTCTTGCCTAAGATGTTGCCGGGTCTGAACAAGAACTACGAGACCCTCGCCGACCCCGAGGCTCGTGAGAAGACCAAGCAGGCCCTTGACACCCTCGCCCGTGTTGGTGAGGTCAAGGACGGCAAGATCCCCGAGGTTTCCCGCGCCGCTGACATCAGCACTGTCGCTGCTATCCTTAAGGAGATCCTCGAGGCCACCAAGCACAAGGATGCCATCGCTGGCTCCGAGGAGCTCATCAACTACGTTGCTGCCATCTGTGGTCAGCTCGTCGACGAGAAGGAGAACGACCACGTCATCTGGACTACCAACACTCTGCCCTTCATCACCGCCATTGTTGGTGAGGCCGACGCCAAGTCGATTGCCGAGACCCTCCGCCAGAAGGCCTGCCCCGATGCCGCTTCCGCTGACGCCGTTGCCTCCGACGAGGAGGAGGGTGAGGACCTGTGCAACTGCACTTTCTCCCTGGCCTACGGTGCCAAGATTCTGCTTAACCAGACTCACCTGCGTCTCAAGCGTGGTCAGCGTTACGGTCTCCTCGGTCCCAACGGTTCCGGAAAGACTACTCTCATGCGCGCCATCAACAACGAGCAGCTTGAGGGTTTCCCTAAGAAGGATGAAGTCAAGACTGTCTACGTCGAGCACGACCTCGACTCCGCTGACACTGAGATGAAGGTCTGGGCTTGGGCCAAGATGAAGCTCGCCCAGGTCGGTATCACTCTTGAGGAGCAGGAGCTGAAGGATCGTCTCACCAGCGAGTTCGGTTTCACCCTTGAGCAGGCCGACGGTGCCATCTCCGCTCTGTCTGGTGGTTGGAAGATGAAGCTGGCTCTTTGCCGTGCCGTCTACGAGCAGCCCGATATTCTTCTGCTTGACGAGCCTACTAACCACTTGGACGTCAAGAACGTTGCTTGGCTCGAGAACTACCTCAAGACCTCCCCTTGCACTTCCATCATGGTCTCCCACGACTCCAAGTTCCTTGACAACGTCATCCAGCACGTTGTCCACTACGAGCGCTTCAAGCTCCGCCGCTACCGCGGTACCCTCTCCGAGTTCGTCAAGGCTGTCCCCTCCGCTAAGTCTTACTACGAGCTCGGTGCCTCCGAGATTGAGTTCAAGTTCCCCGAGCCCGGTTTCCTTGAGGGTGTCAAGACCAAGTCCAAGGCCATCTGCCGTGTCTCCAACATGTCCTTCCAGTACCCCGGTACCGCCAAGCCCCAGATCCACGGAATTACCTTCCAGGTCTCCCTTGGCTCCCGTATTGCTGTCATTGGTGCCAACGGTGCCGGCAAGTCTACTCTTGTCAACGTCCTGACTGGTGAACTTATCCCCACCTCCGGTGATGTTTACCAGCACGAGAACATCCGTATTGCCTACATTAAGCAGCACGCTTTCGCTCACATCGATCACCACTTGGACAAGACTCCTTCCGAGTACATCCAATGGCGTTTCCAGACCGGTGAGGACCGTGAGACTATGGACCGTGCCAACAAGATTGTCACCGAGGAGGATGAGAAGGCTATGGACAAGATCTACCAGGTCGAGGGCACTCCCCGTCGTGTCATTGGTATCCACTCTCGTCGCAAGTTCAAGAACACCTACGAGTACGAGATCTCTTGGTCTCTGGGTGACAACATCGGCATGAAGTCCGAGAAGTGGACTCCTCTCATGTCCGCTGACAACACCTGGTTGCCCCGCTCCGAGATTATTGTCTCTCACCCCAAGCAGGTCGCCGATGTTGACCAGAAGGAGGCCCTCGCCTCCGGTCAGTTCCGTCCCCTTGTCCGTAAGGAGATTGAGCAGCACTGCACCAACTTCGGTCTCGATGCCGAGCTTGTTTCTCACTCCCGTATGGTCGGTCTCTCCGGTGGTCAGCGTGTTAAGGTTGTTCTTGCCGCTTGCTCTTGGCAGCGACCTCACTTGATCGTCCTTGACGAGCCCACCAACTACCTTGACCGTGACTCTCTCGGTGCCCTCTCCAAGGCCATCAAGTCCTTCGAGGGTGGTGTTGTTATCATTACTCACTCACGTGAGTTCACCGAGCACCTGACTGAGGAAGTCTGGGCCGTCAACGACGGTATGATGACTCCTTCCGGACACAACTGGGTCCAGGGTCAGGGTTCCGGTCCCCGTCTTGACGCCAAGGGCGATGACGACGAGGACAAGTTCGATGCCATGGGTAACAAGATTGTCGTCGAGAAGAAGGTCAAGCTTTCTGGTTCCGAGCTCCGCAAGAAGAAGAAGGAGCGTGCCGCTCGCCGCAAGCGTGGTGAGGAGGTCTTCTCCGATGAGGACATGTAAAGTGTTACTTGAGGTGTTTATTGATGCATATCATGATCGGTTGATGAATTTCATACGTTTTGCTAGGACAAAATACATTTCCATGTTCAAACATTCGTTAAACCTATCAAATTCGTAGAATTGTATACTCCGTAGTAAGTAAACATTAGGCGAAGTATTCTATTGTTCCAACTTTAGAAGTCCTGCACGTTGTCTTTGCTTGCTCAAGGCTGTTGAATACACCATGTCTCAGTCTTCAAACATATCCCCATGTTTTGAATATCCTTGGATGATAACTCTATTTTCATCTCGAATTCGAAACAAACCGTTTCGGCAATGGAAGACAGGGGAAAGCGACTACCCTCGTGGTATTATATGCAAAAACAACGAGCAGGAGCTACTCATGCCTTGTGTTTCATGATGCTTTCTAAAGTTCCAGATTCCCCAAGAGATCAAATGTCACGATCAGGGTCTCGGGGCGCATTCGGACCAACCCTAACCGCTGCGCCAGGAGCAAAAGACCAGGAATCCAAGCGCGTTGATGCCCTAACTAAACCATCAATGTTAGCATACATCTGCCTTCCCTCTTTCCATCTCTCTTTTCTTCTCTTCATTTTCTTTTCTTTTAATATATGCCAATCGCCGCCCTGGTTTCCTCGGGTCCATTCCAACATCTCATCGGTATGCTGGTCGTAGATGTCGTGTTCGAGATGCTTCTTCATACTAAGAAGCTAGAGGTTACTTCCAAGGACAGGCTTGGGAAAACACCATTGGATATGATCCAGGGCCGGTGTGGGGTTAAACAGAGACTGCTGATGGCATATGTAGTCCACAGAATCAGAAAGTAGATACAATCCCCTAAAAACAAAGTGAGGCCATGGCATGTGATGTTACATGTACACAAGTGACAGAAATAGCCGACTCAATGCCTAAGCCAATGCACAAAGAGACCTTCATGTTCAGTTTCGGACCCCGATTTCCGCTATGCGATATTTCCAGCCCATATTTATTGACCAGGCATATGTATTGTATGAACAGCCACCTGTATTGTGGCGACTCCGTGGCTCGGATGTCGATTTCAAGCGTCGGATGGGTTTTGCACAGATTCAACGGGCTGAGACTGGGTCGTAGAGTAGACCAACTGAGCAGCGGTCCGCAAATACAGACGGGTCATCTTTCGAATTTCATCGAGCCGCTCCACGCTGTCGAGCTCAATCATCAATTGTATGCCCTCGTCGCATTTTTGGTCGTAGATCGAGGTCAGCTCGCAGATGACGGCCCATACTGCGTCTGGTTCCTGCTCCGCGATCTCGAGCATGGCCGAGATATGGCCACAGGTAGTGGCCAGACTAGCTGTGTTGTCGTGGATCGCCCGGTACAGCTCTCCGATCCTTTCATCCCGTTCGTGAAGGATACTATCTGCCTAAAGATCAAAGCAGTACGTTAGCAACCTCAATCGCAGCCATTATGGCTGACATGATGGTCGACTGCTCGGCATGACATACCAGCCAGAGATACTCCATTTGGAGCATGGGTGGGCTCGAAGGGCTGTTGTCCATGATGATTCGTCTGTAAGATGTCACTGAACAGCGATTAAGGCAAGGATCGAGTAAGTTTTGGGTCAATTGCCTGAAAGATCGAGGGATGAGACTCAAGTGAGGAAGTTCTAAAGTTCAAGTGAAGTCTTGGATGCGCCAACAACGATTCACATTCACAGTGCATTGACTCTGAATTGCCACTTACTTCCAATCATAGTGCTTATCTGTTATGAATTAGCATACGCTGGAAAGGCTAGGAATGTTTAAATGCCATCTTCCATCGCAACCTCGAGTAAGATATCCTTGGAACTTACTGAGTAGATGGTGGTTTTTGATAAAACCACAGTAATACGAGTACAATCTATAAAACTGACCGTCAGGAATTGAAATGAAGCATTGGGCACTGCAACTAGTCATGAGCTAGTTATTGTAAGGATATGCCCATGGCACTCGATTATCAATTCTGTCTCATGAACCATCTTCCACCACACCAGTCCACCTCCGACATTATTCCCTGCTCCTGAGACTGCAATGCGACCTTCGTTGAGGGCGACTGTTTAAGAATGTCCTCCATCATCACGCCTGTTGAAGTGTAGCGGCCACCTCCAGTCCACCTCCTTGCCATAAGCAGGATTTAGGTAGGAAAGGCGAAAGGGGCGCTTGCAACTCCAGCTGTGCGTTAATTTCGAGAACATTGACAGCGGAGCATAGATTATCAGCGAGAAATGTCGTCCGGCATTGCGCACAAGGGCAACCCATTCAGACGACGACGCTCATGGGAAAAGGCCAGGGTCCAGGGTTTCCATGATAACACGGGGGTTTTCAAATGGTTGAAAGGTGCAGACTGTTGCGTCAAGTGAATAGAACCTGTGTCAGGATAGCAGTATCGTTCATTACCAGTTGACATCGCTGAGCTGAAGCTTGCGTGAGCGGAATGCGGACCGGTTGGCACCGGCTTTGTCCGTCCGTTGGCTTGCGGGGGTGCGCTTTTCCTGGGTTGCTGCTTTGGTTTGTCTCAGCGGGAAGTCCTTGCGATTCGGGTTCTCCGGGGGGTCATTCTCACTCTCGGTTGGCTCGGGTTCATTGGAGGCCTCATAGTTCAAGACTAGGTTCTTGATGCGTTGTTGCTCCTCGCGGTCGGCTTGTTGCTGGCTTCGCATGGCAATGGCAAAGGTCGAGTCCGAAGGGAGATCAATGGTTCGAGTCTAGAAAATTGAAAGTAGGTTAAATCTGATGATAACGTGTCAACACAGCTATGAGATACTCACCTGTTGCTTGTTGCCCTTCTTTGTCATCAGGGAAAATGCCATCGTCTTTGGCGGGACTGGTTCGGCGTGGACTGGCTCCGGGCTAGAATCACTGGGCATGTTTTCACGGGGAGGACGCTTCATGGGAAGAGGGATATCAAAGACAGTCTTGCGCTCGAACCGTCTCGAATCCATGCTGTCAGCCATCATCTTCTCGTATTCTCGGTCAAATTCGGCTTCGGTCACTGGATCTCGCTCCTCTTCTTGGCGTGTAACGACAATCTGTTCGTCTTCATCCTCGGATTCGCTTTCGCTTTCGTCATTGCCCTCCGGGTTAGGTCCAGACACCTTCGTCATGTTAAAAATATGGAAGGCGTAGGGGGGAGTTGGGGGACGTACTTCTGCTTCGTCGCTGGATTCCTGGTCTTCGTCAATTTCGTGAATCGGGTCCTCTTCAAGGTCCTCATCAGACGAGCTGCTTTCTGCATCTTCCTCGTCGGGTTCAACGGGTCTCTCGGAATCAGGCACGTTGTAATTCTGAGCAACAGCTTCACTGAAGATGCGGGTCGCTTCTTCGGTATCAGTGGCAAATTTCCATTGCGGGCGAATAGAGTGGTAAGTATCCTGGACAAGGAAATCCACATCCATGGGCAGGGGGTCCTTCGTAAACAGGTAATACTGGAAGAAAGAGAGGAAGAAGTCCAGTTTCTTCTTGGCCGAGCCACGGTCGAAGCAGTGGCCACATGTATCCAGAAGGGTACACGCTAAGCGCAGGCGGAAGTAGTCGTCTGGCAAGTCGAGCATGCTGATTCTTCCAGGAACAGGGGTCCCACCTTCATGGCCAAATGTGATGATGCGATACAAGGTGTCGAAAATGACAGGAGAATCGATCATCTTGTAGTTGTAAAGCTCGCCCAGGTACTTGATTTCGGCGATACGCTTCTGGTTAAATTTGAAGTCGTTCTGCTCAAGACCAAGCGTGATCTGCTCCAGGACGTTGTCGACAATGCCGATCACGAACTCCTGGTGATACCGGTACAAAGCGCTTACAAGGATCGCCAAAAGATGGATGCTGCCATACTTCACCTTGACGGGCTTGCTGAACACACGTTCCAAGATTTCAACAACCTCTCGCTCCTCCCAGTGGAGTTTGCGAATAGACTTCAAAATCTTGGTGTAGTTACGCTTGTTCATATCGAGGTAGATGAGGCGACGGATGTATAGCTCCATGGGTGTGCGTTCTTTTTGCTGAATCGCAGGGCGTGGTGGTGGGTCAACGTAGTAGATGGCATTTTCGATGACCATTCGCTCCTGTTGGGCCAGATGTTGAACAGCCTTCTTCCGGCTCAAGGTCTCCAGGAATGAAGCCATTCGAGGGGATGTCTCCGGGTTGCGCAGCAAGTAGCGACCACAGTTCTCCAATAAATGACCGATTATCTCAATGTTCATCCGCGAAAATTCGTCCAATGAAACTTTGAAGCAATGGAAAATGATGTGCTCAGGGACCACGCCGAACTTGGTCAATTCAGCCAGGTAGCGAACGTTGGCCATGCGGACTTGACCAAGGAACTCCTTGGACTTTCGCCGTTGCAGACTGCGGAACTCTTCATCGAGATAGGTAGTGATTCCTTGCGGAATGTCGGGCAGGTATTGCCCCAGGATGGCCACCAGACGGGAATACAAAGGCAAAAGATCGATACGTCCTTTGGGAACCTCTGAAACAGCCTTGACCAACCGGTTGCGTGAAGCTTTGGAATTGACCCAGCAGAAATCCAAAGCAAATTGGTCGACTTGATCTTTGGTCTGCAATTCAGGAAGCTTGGCGAGAAGAGAGTCTACCTGCGCGCCGACAGTCTTGCTAGCAATTGCGGTCGACTGGTCGTCCGTATCTGCGACAGGAGTCTCTTCAGAGGCCTCCACCGTAGTCTCGGTAGCTTCACCCTCGGGCTTCTTCTTGCCTGTTTCCTCGGCCTCGGTTTTCTTCTTTTTGCCGTCCTCAAGTAGCATGGCGGGCACCTTACCCTTCAAGTCGACTAGATTTTCGTAGAAACGCCTTTCCTCTTCATCTTCCCAGATTCCAGCGCCTTCGCCTTGGCCTCGAAGGTAATCCGTGGTCTTCACAAGACCGATCCCACCGCTGGCTGAGGCATCAGTGGTCTCCTTCTCGGCGATGTCGGGCATCTCAGTTCCAAGGGCCTCGCACAGCACTTGGGTATTGGCCACGAGCTTCTCCAAGACTTTGGACTGCTTTTCGAAATTGGCCTGGCGGTCCTCGAAGATTTCACCGCTCTTCACGTACGCCTCGGCATTGCGACGGTTCTGTTGAGCGAGCGCTCTCTGGTCACGGACTACATGAGCCTTAACATCTTCAAGGTATCGATTCAAGATGTTTCTGAAGCGCTGTTGGGTCTTCTCCGGGGTCAGTGGCAAATCGGCCTCCGTAGACTCTGCGTCGGCCTCTAAAGTCTGTGTATCCGCACCGGAAGAGGTAGCGCCATCAACCTCGACTGTTTTCCTGCCATCTTCGGCAAGCTTTGAGCCAACAATGTCCCAGCTAAAGCTTTTGACAAACAAGACTGCAAGAGGAAGGTTGGTATGGTCTCGGTCATGTCCTAGAAGCTCTTTCAAAACCTCCAAGGGGAATGGGTCTGCGGGTCTGTCCTGATCTTTTTGTCCAGCAGTAGGAGTCTTTGCTTTTAGCGGGGCATCTGATGGCTTGTTCCCAATTCCGACAACACCCTCTTTGCCCTTGGCGCCTAGATCCTCAGGTCGCTCGACGTCATCAAGCGTCTTGAGCACATTAACAAGCCAAAGCTCCGTGACAACCCGAAGGAGCACACGATGACGAGACAAACGGTCCTTCTCTTCGCGCTCACGTATTTCCTGGCTGAGGGCCTTCAGTTGCGCTTTGTCTGGTGTGCTTAAACCCCTGCCGAGCAACCACCCGATTTGGCGCGTGAACTCCCATGGTCCGAAGCGCTGATGCAGCGCGCTAACAACCTCGACTCCTGCGGCGATTTCTCCGGGGGATTTAAGCTTGCAGAGGCCTTCGTAACAGGCGGAGATGATCTCGGAGAGATACTTGTGGAGCGAGAGGGTTCGGATATCAGCGATAAACGTAGATAGTGCAGAGGCACTGATGCCTGTGCGAAGGCGTTTGATGAAGGCGGTATTTTTCTTCAGCGCGGAGTCGAGGGACTTGTTGGTGGTGAATACATCTAGGACAGGCTGTTAGAATCTCCTTTGGGCTTTCATGGATTTCATGATGACTGAATTTCTTTCAGATCTTACCAGATTCGCCTGCCCAAGCTCGATCATTCAGATCGCGAAGCTCCCCTGCTGAGTGTTAGCGACTAGTCTGCCCGGTGAGTCAGTCACCCTACTTTTCCGCTGGCGATCCATAGGTGCAGCAGTTCAATGGGTGTCCGAAAGGAAAGGGCATAGGTGACTTAAACGCCACATTGAGTAGAGACACAGTAGAAGCGCGAAGCAGAAGAGGGCGGTTCCCAAGGCGGTGGTGCGGAGTTGATACCGGACTTTTTGCTTATCCACTTGTGCGATAACCTCTTTACTTCTTCATTTGTCCACTTCTGCTTCTGTTCTATTCCTCTCTACTCGTACATCTCTACTCTGGATTGTCTTCTTGATATTCGGTTCATTCCAATTTTAATTCCCCAATCTGAGCTCTTTCATGTCAATTTGAGTGCCCCGAGCCCCCCACTTTGTCCATGTCCCATCCAGTCCCCACCTTACTCCGTATTGGCAAAGAACTTCCACTGCATTTTGAGCAATCTAAGCCGCATGCGCTTCAGTGAACCCCATTTCCTTCCCTTTTTCGAATCCAAGTAATCTCTCCTGCAGCTGGTGCTTGTGATCCTGGTTGCTCCAGCTCTGTCGCCGATCAAACGTCGGTTTCCATGACTTCTCCGGAGCCACATCGTCTTGGGGGCTTGGGGGTCCCGCGATATCAGTTGTGGGCTTCGGAGTGAAAGGGAGGGTCATTGTTTGTGCCTCGTGCGTATCCGCTAACGGGCTATCGGTTTGGTTGTTTGATGTCATTTTCAAGGGTATGGAGATATGTAAGTTGGGTACCTAGATAGATTGTAGGATAGGTACGAAGTAGGAGTAGGCTTTGATATGATATCTTGATACCAAAGCAAGTTGTTTGCTGGATTTGATGCTAGTTCATGACTGAGCAAAGTTGAAGCCACCGGTGGATTTCCTTGCGCTTTTATACCCGCCGACGCGGACACTTCGAGGGATCAATGCTCTGTGTGGGTGGCGATGGGACAATTATCCTGGAGGATGCGTTGACATGAGTGTGAAGATGACCTCTCACAAATCTTTGAAAAGCTGCAATCAGGCGGAGAGTACGGGTATGACGCGCAGGTGGCAAAAGCATCATGATATAGCCGTACTGTGCTCCGTACTCGGTACTCTGTATACTTCAGAGGCCAACGCGCGAGACTACTCATATGAGTGTCTCTTGATACATTCGTGAATCTTGCTTGGCTTCTATATATCGACTCTCAAGGTCCATAGTGCCAGGTTGACTGGCGTCTCTGGCACCTACAAGGTTGTAGTCATGATACATCATATGCAACAAACAGCTACAACAAGGTACTCCGTAGACGATTGTGAGTATGACTAGCCATGGATGCTTTCACGATTACATCTAGATTTTGTAATTGTCGGGAACTTCGAGTTGTAATTCATGTTGTAAAATTCAAAAGCTAACATAGAAGTCATGATTGCGTTCAACCATCGAAAAGCAGAATGACTGAATGGGCAAACCCAATCAAGTCGAAATAAGGATAAGATACACATAGTCCAGTTGCGTAACTAGGACAGCAATGTCAAAGGGCATTGTTGGTGAGGTCCAAAGAGAAACAAAAAAGTCGGGGGGTTCGAGGTCCGCGAAAACGATATACAATGTACAGAGGCTTTTGGGACACCAAAAAAATCATACAAGAGGGTGGTGGAACAAAAGCACAAGGAAACACAATAAGTATGAAAACAACCCAGAAAAGCAATTAAAACGAATCAATAAGAATGAAGTAAATCAGGGTATGCCTCACGCCACGCTATGCTGATCTCCCAAGAAAGTGGGGAGACCAAGAATCACTGCAAATATGTACTGGGGGAGTCCATCTGATGACAGAAAGACTTGGGTCTAATTTGGTCAATGATTCATTTAGGCTTGCGCCAGAAGTATTGCTGGAAACATGACAGATCAGTAAATGTCTCAAGTACATACGACGATGTATAGTAGGGATTGGATGGACAAACCTTGTGCTGTTTGCGACAGTTACGCAAGCCCGGTTTCCGAAGATCATCTACCACAGCAGACCGACGCATCACATCATCATCCTCATCGGGAACATAGTAGTATTCACTCTCGAGTGGTTTACCCGCGGCATCTTTGCCTTCACGAGCAACACGGCCGATGAACTTGGTGTTTGCGAGGATGTTGCGGATATCAGACTTGGCGGGGCCAGTGGTGTTTCCATGACCAGACTTCCAGTAGGCAGGGGGAAGGTTGTTCAAGATGGTGGAGAATGGAGTCGAGGATAGCCGAGAAAATGCGAGTTGGTTAGCAGCGTGGTTGCGGACTCTCTCGGATGCTTCATCGGTATACTGGGGCTTGGCCTCGGCGGGCTCGTCGTCTCTATCCTCGTGGGCCGTGGCAGGCTGTCTAGGGGACCGGGTGGGTTGGAGAGGTTGAGCGGGCAGTAGACTGCGAGGGGACCGGGCAGGGTGGATGGGGGAGTCACCAGCCCGGAAAGAGGCCATACGTGGAAGAAGGTTGTCTCCAAATGGGCCGAAGGAATGAACGATGGGGTCGTTCTCCTCGTCATTATCGGAGAAATCGTCGGATCTACTCAGGTCACTCAACTCGTTCGCATGCGAGTTATGCAGGAGGGCGGTGGCTCTGCGAGCACTTGGGGAGGGGATCCCAGTCACTGTGTTATGACGTTTTAGCGGGGATGGCTCGTCCTCAAACACCACTACTGCCGCACGGGCTCGAGAGGGTGTGAAGATGGGAGAGGATGGGGGGATGACATGTTGAGCAGCAGGGGACGGGGACACAGGCGATGCCAGACGTTGACGATCCAGAAGCGGGCTTTCCTGCAACTGCTGGCGAGGTTGACGTCTTTGGGTTGGTGTTGTTTCGTCACTGGTTCCTTCAGAATCGGTCGATGGGCAGTCCCGTGTTTCACCACGAGGCCATTGGACGAGTACACGAGCCTCGTGGACATCGATCATGATATCCGCGTCCTTGATGTCCGAAGTAAAGGTCTTACCCTTGGCCAGGTCATATTTCCTCCCTTGGCAGTGGATCTTGATACCGTTCCATCCCATGCACACGATCTCAACCCTATCCCGATCGAATGGATTGGGGGCGGGCTTATATGTTGCCTTCACGTGAACTCGCGAAATCATACGGCTAGCAGCGAGCTGGTGATGACATGAGATACTCGATCTTCCCATCAAAATGGGCTCTCCATTCTCCCGCAACATTATGGAAGGGACGGCAGACAGTGGAGCGCGTTCGAGGGTGGCAGAGAAGGATCGAGGCAGGGATGGCCGGGAGGCAGCGATGCCAGGTGGTGGAGGAGAAGACGACATGATATGCGTCGACGAGGTTGGAACCGGTGTGGGATAGAGCGAGACTTCGGGTTCGCGTGCTATACGCTTCTGTCGAGGAAGGGAGGGTGACGAACTCGGTTCGAAAGCAGGCAGCAAGGCTGCTGGACGTTTCACGCCCACGATAGAGCCGACTCGGCTCTTGAGCGGAGAGGATTCCATGGTGAGGTTTGGCGGAAGTCGACACAAGCTCTCCTGCTCAGTTAAGAAAAACTCAAGTCGAGGTTGGACCCGCGTCACCGCGTGTTATATGAACACACACGAGAGGGTAGCAGAGTAATTTAGAGGTGGAGGATCTTTAGACCTCCCCTAAAGAAAAGGGTGTGGTTGGAGGGCAGAAAATTTGTCAAAAGGAAGGGACGAGAAGCATTGAAGGAAAAAGGTCAAAAAGGTGGTGGTGGAATGTCCTGGGGCGGAGCGTCTCCTGCGCGGAAATGCACGCTTACAACCCGAGACGCGTTCGATAGGCGCCAACCACACCCCACTACCGTGTGGTAAATTCAATTTTTTGACTTAAGCTGTGGCGTCAATTGGATTCTACAAATGTATGGGCAAAAACGTGAAAAAGCGCGAATTGAAGGTCAAATTCCTCTTTTTCTCCTATAGGCCTTGTACATTTCGGCGCGAGCGCGTCTCAAAACACGTGACCGGGCGCGAGACAGTATCAAGTATGTCACCATTCAGGAATGGTAACCATGACTCCGATAATTCGAAATTAGCCTTCAGCCCAAGTATGCGTTCGAAAACAAAATATGAAGCTGATTTCCTGAGGTCCATCTGAAAATTCCAATCTACGAGTATCTTTAGATGTATGTAAGCTCAGACTGTTCCCACTATCAGTACTAGTACGTAGTACGGAATACTAGGGTACTATACGGTGTCCAACAGAAGAAAAAAAAGTAACCCTGTAACCCCACTCAATGTCACAAATGTGATAACCAGTCATTTGCCTGCGTCTCCCAGCCTCCCATGTGGGATGAGATCAGCTTGACTCAAGGAGTATGCCAATTCTTTCCCATGGGCCATGTGAGCCGTACACCAGCAAGGGCTACGGAGTTACGGATAAGCCAATGACATTTGTCGTAGTTATTGGTATTTCCAGATCTTTCAAGTTGTCTGTCGCTACTCCGTACATGTTTGAGCAAATGCTGCTCAAGTGGTGGGGCCTCGGTAATGTGGTTTTTTTTCCTGGCTTGTTATCACGGTTTTGTAACGGACCATGATTCACGTCGCGCTTTACAGGGTATTCTGGAATTTTTCCCTTCTGTCAAGGGAATTTCTTCTCCAGGGCTCACTGCTTGAAAATATCCTTTATGTATCTTCTTCTGCACTTATTAATTTAGACATGTCGCCTAACATTCTCCTTGCTTCATATATTAGCGAGTCTTCTTGATAAACGCGGGATATAATGTTCCACGGACCATGAGTTGTATCAATCCGATAGGATTCATAGTTGATCATACGGAGTACTGGAGATGAGATGAGTGGGGATCAGTTCCTCGTCCGTGAATGCGACCAAATGACGCCATTACTCAGCCATCTCGATTCTTCGGAGGCTCAGATACATCCATGGATTTGAGTTGCGCTGTAAAGTAAGAATGCCGGGATTGAAAATATCCAGCCCTGAATGTGGTACCCAGCAGGTATTTTCAAGGTCCCAAGGTTTCTAATGTTGTTCCTCCAGGGCTAACTTGTACTTCTAAAGTTATGGAGTCGAGCGGCGCCGAGCTTATTTTATGTTCTTCCAATCATGCAAGTGTTAGTGATATTATACTAAGTACTAAGTAAGTATCTCTATCTTACGGAAGAAATTTTTCGCTCACACCTGTGAACAGTATGGGTTTGACGCATGTGCATTGTATCCAAATACTTGTAGAAACATTGGGAGTTAGGGCTCCGGAACTATATATATTGGCACGTGATTGTGTACCGCGTACTCGAAACTAGTTTCTTAGAAATATATTTTTACTCGAAGCGATAGCAAAAACCAGAGATTCTAAAGTTGTAGGCATCGCCAGCTGAAAGCAAACATCATTAAGATCCCCCTGAGCAAATAGCATCGAGAGCCTCGTGTGAGTAACCTAGTATTCTCGATCTAGTAAAATGTTGATATAAGGCTGGAGGATCGAGATGATGCATCACATGTACTATCAAATTGGCCCCACCTGTGGACGAAGACTAATGTATCCAACTCTCACTATCTAACGGTTATGCATGTCGTGATTTTCCGATGCGCAGCTTGCTTCAAAAGTTGGATATTACCAGGACAACTATGTTCTTGGCTGTTGGATGTGGATACTTGGCAGTAGGGAGTGGTCGTTGCCAGGGGAAAAAGTTCAACCGAACATAAGATATCATTTCAAGGATGTTTTAAGAATTTGAAAAGTGTGTGCCTCCAGCCCAGGTGGCCGATTCAAACAAATGGCGAATATTGCTGTACTGAATGATCCCTGTGTACTCCGTACGGAGTATACAGTATCAGTATAGTGTCAAGATGCTGCTGGGCTGCGACACGAACGATTGCTGACGGCCACCCTCTCTCAAGGCCCACGCCCGCGTGTAAAGCATCATGCTGTCAATGGAGGTAGAGATCCACTGTACTGGTGGGATAAATCAACAGCCAAAGGCACACACAAAGCCTATGGAAACAAGACAAAGGGTTGGAACCTTCAAAGTAATGCAGAGAAAGGAAACGACGGATAGATTCAGTATCAAAGATTCGCTTGTACTTGAAAATAATGAAGATAAATCTAACCATCGAATAAAAAAAGTATGGCTCCCTTCAAGGTCTCCGACCAGGGGGAAAAATGGGGGGTCATAAGAATTAGAACAAAAAAAATGCAACTCGGAATGGAATTCGGGCCCAGTCACAAATAAAACAAAACAAAACTTAAGATACACAGAAGTGAATACGATCCTTCAGATGGGAAACCGTGATATAGACAAGTGCACATAGGGATGTGAATTGACCCGAAGGGCCCTTCTCATCCCAGTGTTTGGACTGGGAGAGGGTCGTCGAACTCCGCACGACGGAAAGGTGATTATCACCGACCAATATGTGTTTGCGAAATTTACTCGTAGAAGACGTAGTAGGCGTTGCCAGAGGTGACACCAACCTGCACATTCGGGTTAGTATGAAGAATGGTAAAAATAGAGAAAGAATATGACTTACTGTGCAACCGCTGTTACCACTGATGGCGCCGTTGGAGTCGTAGAAGGTGCCATCCTCGTAGCGGCACTCGTCGCTGAGGTTGTCTCCAACGAGCTTGACATTGAAGTCGAGCTTCTTGGTGGTGGTCGGGGTGTTGGGGAAGATGGAGAGGAACTTTCCGGAGCTGGTGTAGCCGACACCCAAGTTGATGGGAGCCCAGTTACCGATGGCCTCGGAGCCATCGCCCCACTGGCAACCCTTCTCAGTAGACACACCCTTGGGGTTAACGTAGTACTGGGCAGAGGTGGCCTTGCCTTCCCAGTTGAAGTAGGAGTCGCCGTCGGGGCAAGTCAAGGGGTGAGTGTTACCAGAGGAGGCGGCAAGAGGAACGGTCTCAGACTCGGTACCGGGGTAGTCAGTACGGCAAACGGCGACGTCAGTGGACATCTGGTTCTTGACGTGGACACCGCCAACACCGGCGATACAGAGCTGTTTGTGCTTGGAGTTGGTAAGGTGCAGCTTTCCGTTCTTGCACTGGAGACCACCAACGGACTGGCCAGTGGAGCCCTGGGTGGTGGGCCATTGGGACTTTTGGTAACCGGCCGGGCAAGCGTACGAGCACATAGCACCGTTGTGGCACTCATCACCAGTGACGGCGGTCACAATATCGCTGACAAGGTCATCGATCAGGGTAACGTACTGGATACCGGAGTAACCACCCAGACCGAGGTAGTCAAGGGCAATAGCACCGTATTCCGAGGGGAATGTGCCGCAGTCGATCTCTCCATCGGGGAAGTCGGCGTCGAGACCGGTGGCACCAGAGCTGCTGGAGCTGGAGGAGCTGCTGGAAGAGCTGCTGGTTGCCGCGGCCGTGGAGACGGAGCTGGTGGAGCTGGAGGTGGGCTCGGCAGTGCTGGTGGAGCTGGCAGGGGTGATGGCAGCAGCAGTCTCTTGGAGGATAGCAGGGGCGATAGTGGAAGTCGGGGCGGGGGTCGACGTAGAGGTGGGTGTGGCAGTGCTAGTGCTGCTGCTGGTGGTGGACGAAGGGCAGGCAGCGGCGATAGCACCATCAAGCCATTCAAACTTGTGCTCGGCAAGACCCTTGCAGGCATCGTCGACGCTGATGGCCTCAGGGGATCCGGACTTGGATGGGTCCATCACCACAAAATCATACACGACGGGTCCTGGGACCGAAACAGTCTCAGTCTCAGCGGCGCGCTTGTGGTGGTGAGCATGGCCGTGGCCGTGTGCAGTCGCAAGACCAGCCGTCGCCAGTGCGGCAACAGTGTTGGTGAACTTCATGTTATCGGTAGTGCAAATCTGTCGGGGAAAGAATGAGTTAGCCCCCGTGTAATATATTATATTCGCGACGGCTTGGGGTGGAGGATTCGGCCGCGACCAAGTGCATGGCTTTAGTGCGCTGGTGTCCACAGTGCCCACCCGTCGCGAGATTGGGGTTGTATCATAACAGATTGAGCGTATTTCTGGGGACAGGCACCTACATCACTTCGAAGGCGTGTGATCGCAGAAAGGACAGTGGTTTTCAAATGAGTGTGGTCGAGAGAAAGAATCCCTCAGGTCGGATGAAAAAAAAACTTCGAAAGAGGAGCTGCGACTGGAGAGACTGGGGAAGAAGAAGTCTAGGAGATTGACAAAAAGGAGGGGGGCGACTTCGGTCTGCGGCCCGAATAGGCTAGCGTGATATTGTCCTAAAAAGGGGTATTTGGGGATACAATACTTTTTCCCAGTTTGTCTCACTGGACCCTGAATGGAAGAGTCTCGATTGTGTCTGTTACCTTGGCGCAGACGCATTGAATATTTTGTATACATTTCCTATTGAGATGGGTCCGTTGATCCTACGAAGTAACTACAACGTTCTCATTCTCCGTACGCAAAGTGTATCTGTTTTGGTGTTTACTTTTCCAAACGAGATTAAAGTCGCCAGGGGCTAACCAATCAGCAGCCGATAGAGCTCTCTTTGACCCAGAATTCAGGTACACCAATCAGCAGTGGCTTGGCCTGCCGAATTCCACGGTTCCTTGCTCCGTCCTCATCTGTACTCTGTACGATACCTGAATTGAATACCTGATTAGTTACAAAGTAACTACAAAGTTGAAAACGTGAAAGCACGTTGATTCTTGGGTATTCGCAGTACTTTACATACATCATGTAGATAATCTGAATACACGCATATGATCCTTGGACACACTGCGGCTAGGGGTATGAAATTGCGTTTGGCACTAGTATTTCCCCCTTTACCTGGCCCCCTAACAGTCTGCCCAGCTTTTCCAAGGCTGGCAGTGCAAAGTCACCACGCAGGGGATCTCCCCTGGCAGTCGACTGTGTCTGGTCCCATTCGCCATCTCATAATGGCACCTCAACTCCGAACGTCTTTGTTGACTTTTCCATGGCGTCCAAAATGAAATTTATAATTTCCCACGAATTTGGCTGAGTGCTCCGCGTGTTTGATTCGAAATAGTACTCCCGTACGGAGTACAGTGTACGAGTACCCATTGCGGCATTTACACTGCCAGAATCTGGACATACGCGTACTCTTTCAGCGTACACGTGTGATCCTCTGTCCGTGGGCCACCAACCGCAGTCCACTATTCTGGGGCGACAACTCCGAAGATTTCTCTTGTGCGCAATGTCGGACGACATTTCTCGCTGATAATCTATGCTCCGCTGTCAATTTTTCTCGAAATTAACATTGTTGATGTCGACAACTCCAGCCCACTCCCCAATGGCGATGACCTCGAGAGTGGCGAGATGCCCCGAGCTGATCTTCCCGGTGCCCCTATGACGGCCTTTGAAGAGGTCTGGCGAGAGCTAGCTTTCAGAGAAGGCCCTGAGGATGCCAAGAAGGGAATCTCGTGGGTTTTGGAGTCTGACGATGTTCCTTTGGCTCTGGGCGAGCAGGAAAAGGAAGTCACTGTGACCAAGACATTCTTGGGTCGTATCTGGGGGACATATTTGGCCTTCCAGCAGACTCAAACACACGCCAATCAAAATAATGAGTCTGGAAAATGGTCTGTGAAGAGGGCTGGAGGTGAGGTTAGTGCACGAAGGGAGGAGTGGGGCACTGGCTGGGAGAAGTACGTGGTAGGTCCTGATGCGGGTGCCGTCCCCTCAATCAAGTCTGGGTTCGAGGGAGAGGCCAAGGGCGCATGGAAAGTTCCTGGTGAAAAAGGTTCAATTTATGGGAAGTCGTACATTTTACGCGCGTTTGAGGAAATCGAATGAATCCTCTAATTGTAGAGTATATTGCCTCCTACCTACTAAATGTACATCTGGCGACCAGCCCCCGAGGTCACCTTCCTCGTTCGTATCGTGAGGAGAGTTGAGGGACATCGGCCTTTATCGAATCTAATGCTGCATCAAGGACAATGCTTTGGCTTGAATGATCAATCGTATTGAGGCTTGCTGTGATAACTCTTTACTTCAGAGAAGCTAGGGTGGCTCGGGATCCTCGCCATATCGTCTCCATCTTATCGACATTAAATCCAGCGTCACGCAGTTCTATCCAATGTCTTCAATAACTGATATTACTACAGAGTTTGGTGGATATATGAAGGGATCCACCTGGATTGATTGTGGTGTTGAGGCCAAGGTTTGACGTCGGGGTTCCACAAGTATCAATCCGGCAGATACTCAGTATTTTCTGTGAATCTCGGAGAATTAGCTAACCTTGGAACCATGTAGTATCCGTGAATGATATTTTGAAGCCACTGCTGATAAATGCTATCCATAAGACGTATAAGCAACGAACCATAGCAATGAATATCCACGAGGAAACAGAGTTAGCCAAAACTTAACAACTGCCGAGGTTTGTCATTAGATCCAATGCCTCACCCACAAGATGACGGGGCAATTTATCGTCCCGTCCTATCCAGTCGAGTGCATCTAAATACCCTTTATCCTCTTCGGCAAACGTAAGACCCATGCAAACGGGGCATGTTTGTTGTCGACAACAGGTTGCACGTATTTCTGGCCAATTCCGACTCACACCACCACACCCTGGACAGATATCAGTATCATACCCACACCACGGACAGCCATCGAAATAGTGATCTAGGATATCCGTGCTCGGAATAGTGTTGGTAGAGCGACTGGCAATTAATTGGGTCCACCCACCGGCCATGGATATTGATGATCTACTTTACACCTGCACCAGGCGGCATGAAGTCCTAACCCTTGGCTGACCCAACCCAACATGGGGTCGAACTCTTCGACCTAAAACCACACCTAATTTGGGTTGGGTCCGGGTTGGGTCCGGGTCCATTTGGGTTTTGCGGAAGTCTACTCTTGAAGATACCAGCTGGGCTGGTTGGACCCAGTCATACCAATTCGTCTGCTTTGCATTCGGTTTGGTATACGGGGCCATTGCATGAATGGACCACATTCGAGCAGGATGCTAACGCCGAATTCCAACAGCATGATTTGGAAAGGCATAACAGCACCATCACCATCCGGCCTTTGCGACCACATAGGCCCCACAATATAGCTAACGAACAGTTAGTTATCGGCGACGAGACCGGATTACAGGGCCGCTTCAACCAGAATGTGGGCCACGTTATGAGTGCAGTATATGGGTCTCAAGGCCTGAATCTTCGTTTTGGTGACTACAAAAGCACCAACACCAACGCCAGCAACAGCTACAAACGTGTTCCGGACATGGTTATCATGGACCAGGTGACCAAAGTGAGAGCTTTAGGTGACTTAAAGTCTCAATGGGTCCGCCAGCACCATCTAAGAGGATTCCCGCCTACGTCTAATGTCAATATTCGGAAGACGCACTTCAGAAGACAGATTGGCCGATTGGCGAGATATATGCAAGATTTGCAAGTCCGATACGGGTTCTACTCGACGTACGGGCAGCATATCTTCCTTAGCCAAGAGGTTGATGGTCCATACGACACTCGCCGATCATTTCAGACACGAGACACGCGTCAGCTCTCACTGTGAAACAATGCTTCTTCTTTCTCGGAAAAGCAGCTACCCGGGAAGGTCAAGTTATCAACCCAACCCCGTCTCACGGGTGGATTCATGGTGATAACCAGTAGGATGAATCACTCTTTCATGATCGAGTATCAAAAGCGGCGCTTGTGATGAGCTGCCCCAACAGCAATGAGCTTGAGCCTCTTCGTTGGCGCTGTTGACTAGTAACTCCAGCATGGAGTGAAGCCAAGTCAAGCTCAATTTTCGACATTTGGGAAGTAGAGCTTCCGTTTGCTCCTGGGGCTCTAAGATGGACACAAAGATGGTAATTGCGAATCTTTTTTTGTTGAAATCTGTGATCCTGTGAGATCAAACCTGTCATATAGCATTGGAAAGATTCTGGTTTGCTATCGTGATACTTCCCTCTCTCCTATCTCCAGAAGATCATGTCACTATGTGCCTTGCTCTGTCATTTGGCTTTCTTGTTGACCACTTGAGTACCGTAGTGGGAGATCAGGCAACACCAGGTGCATAGAATATACCCTGCAGACTGACATTCTCATCAACCAGGCTTCCTCTCCGTATCACCTTTTTAGTAAATCACAGTGTGACTCATTTCTCTTCATATTTGTGAATGGTGTGGCGGAAGGAATCTCCCTGGTTCGGAGCGATGGGACTCTTTGCTGGTGTCCATTCAGTCGAAAGATACAAAGGCAAAAGCAGATAGTAGGTAAGCCCCAGTGATCTGTTTCAGAAACAGAAGTGAATTTCAAATTTGCAGATGTCGCCAACAACCAGATTTGGCAGTTTGACGGAAAAAATAGCATCGATTGTTACCGCTCAGCTAAAAAGGTGCACACCTAATTTAGCCTTGTTAATCAAGTGATTTATGCTCTCCTCACCACCATCGGCCTCCGTGCCGCCCCCGGCCAAACAGCCGCCAATCACGCCTCCGGCTTCTTGATTGCTAACTGGGTGTGGGCTTTCTGCCTCATGAGCAACCGCGGTGCCAAGGTCCGTCTGGGTATCGATAACAATGTGTGCCCGTGGGAGGACTTGACCACCTTTGGTGAGGCAGCTGTCCAGGCTGGCAAAATCAGTCGCAGCACACTCAACAAGCCGAAGCGTCGGGAGGCTGCCCATGCGAATGCCCAGGAGGGATATCCTTTGTTCGTGGCGGCGAGTATGTGCTATTCCCCATTTCACACTCGGACCTCCGAACCTCGGCCCGCAAAAATGCTGATTATGGAATATAGTTTTGATCTCGCTTTTCGCTGGTGTTCCCAACGAGACGATCAACACCATTGGCTTGTGGTATACGATTTCAAGTGTGGCGTACAGTGTGCTCTACACAAAGATCACCTCGAAGCCTGCCAGCTTCCTGCGCTCGGTGGCTTGGCGGTCTGGCAACATCAGCTGTATCTATGGCCTGATCCAAGCCAACAAGAAGCTGTAAAAGGTTAACAGTGATCTTCTTTGGATGTTTATGATTTTGTGGGACCACTACATACGCCATGAGGCTTGAAGATCTAAAAATCCCTCTTAAAGCTTCTGCGAGCGGTATCACGGGCACCGAAAGCCGAGCCAATGAATTTTACCTTGGAATAATCACACGGTCGACTCCCTAGGTCTTGTTCATAATGATTCCAGTAGTCTATAGCATGGTTGCAGATTGCGACAACCTTGAAGAGTCAAAAGAGTAAGGTGAATGCCCCTTTGGTTGATGAGTAAGGATGACGTGGAGAACGATTTCTTCCTAAAAGTCGTCAGTCTCTGAAGGGTCAGGTATCATTTACGAACACAGATTCATTCACATAAATGCTGAACCTCAAGCTTGAGTTAGCTTCACCCCATTTCGGAGCTACTAGTCAACAGCGCCACGAAGAGGCCCAAGCTTATTGCTGTTGGGGCAGCTCATTACAAGCGCCATGTTTCGGGCAGCTCATTACAAGCGCCATGCTTCGGGCAGCCCACCAGAGGCGCCGTTTTGGGTAACTCGTCATGGTAGGGCTATTCATTCGCCTCCAATCCAACGGCCCACTCATCAGGTGGGGTGGGGTTAGTAAACCGCCCTGTTTGACCAGCCACCTTTCCGAGAAAGAAGAAGCATTGTCTCACGGTAAGTTGTGAGGGAGGGTTCGTCGCGTCTGAGATGATTGGCGAGTATAGCAGTGACCACCGACCACCGACAAACTCTTGCTTGAGAAATACATGCTGCGTGTATGTCGAATAGACTCCGTATTGGACTTCGAGATCTTGCATGTATCTTGCCAATTGGCCAATCTGTCTTCTAAAAGAATCCTCTCTTTGGTTTTGCACCGGATTCTCAACCAGTTTGTGACCATTGACCCATGGGGATTTGAGCTCACCTACAACCTTGATGTCGTTCTGATCATTGAGAATGATCACGTCTGGCGTTCGCTCGTAGGGGACGCCGGCGGCTTTAAAATCGCCAAATCGAATGTTTAGACCCTGTGAGCCAAACACTGCGCTCATAACGTGACTGACGTTCTGTTGGAATCGACCTTGAACCCCGGTCTCGTCGCCCACAATCACCTGCTCGTTGGCTGTGTTGTGTGGTCCCAGTGGTCCCAGTGGTCGGATCGTAATCGTGCTGGAATGGGCTCCCCAATCCTGGCGCTCAAAAGCGTCTCTGACCTCTTGCTCAAACCTGGTCCACTTGTGCAATGGCGCCACATAACGTACCGTACGCAAAGCAGACGACCGAGTGTGGTTGCGGACCAGCAAATCTTGTATTCTCTCCTCCACTGCCTCCCTGGCTCGCTGGGCTTTCCCAATCATTTCGTTCGTGAATTTTGTGATGGGATGTTGATATCGTGCTTCGTACGTACTGTCTGAAAAGATGAGAGTAACGAAGTTATTGGAAAGTGAAAAGAAAAGGTTGAAGGGGAAGGAGATGTCTACCACGCTGGGAAAGACTGTCACCATACCTACCTCCCACCAAGATCAATTACCTGTTCAATTCCATTTCCCAACGCAATTCTATTCAGGTATCAATATCAAACCGATCATATTGACTCTATTCACTTTCAGTAAGACTTGTTAGTGCCTACGTAGAATATGAAGCTAAATCAAGATCAATAGACTAAGATAATAAATATTTCCATGCTCGGAGATCAAGTCAAAGGGACATGAATGCAATGAATATAGAAATGAATATGGATATTCAAATTATGTAAGTGATGGAAGTAGAATGTCAAGTTTAAACAAGATAAATGTGATGTGATACAGAAGAAGAATCAGCTAGAAATTTACTAGTCAGCCTTATGAGCGTGAAAGGGCCGAGGGTTCGATATGAATGCATTGAGACATTGTGATGCGGGCGTAGAGAAGATTTTTGGAGTCACGTACTTACGAGTAAGAGGGAAACCAAGAAGAGGGAAGCAGGTGACTGCGCTGCGACAAAAGGCGTTTCTCTGACCATTTATTCCCATGCCACTATTGATTTACCTTGGAACGTAGCATTCATCAATACTTACCAATCTATGCCCACGTTGTCTATTGGGGAGAATGGCCATTGTACTGAATAGAAGTCGTGACATTCATCAGATATAGTGAAGGGCACTGATATGGGTTGCACCAATGGCGAATCGTCAATACAGCTTGTAGCACAATTAGCATACATACTTCCATTTCGACATAGATTGTCCATGGGGTCAATGAAACATACTGGGTGGTTCCGTAATAGAATAGGTAGAAGCTCCTGACACCTAGGTATAAAAGGAACCCTCGCTCCCCCGTGTTAGAGTCAAGCAAATTTCACGCGAGTATTGCCACCTAACTCAAGTCCACGTCTTCGTTTGCAATTTCCAAAATGACTTCCAAGGCTGAGAAGAAGCGAAAGAACCAGGTTTGCATCCCATACCCCATTCAGGTTTAGCCTGGGCAATGCATCAATATTCGAACATCAGTCATTACCTACGGTAGATTGAGAAACATGCTGACATGTTTCGGAACATCCAGCCTTGTTGCCGGTGGTGTGGCAAGAACGGCCATAGGGCCGAAACCTGCGAGCTAGTTCGGGCTGTTGGAACAGCAGTCGCCGCGGCGCTGCGCGCCCGGCCCCCCAAGCCCTTCAGGGGCAAGCGGGGTGGAAAGGGCCAGAAGGGTAAGCCAGAAGGATCCTTTTCTCTCTATCGCGGTTGCGTGCAGCAAGCTGACAATTTATTAGCAAAGGCTGAGGCGAAAGCCAAGGCGGCCGCCCAGGGTACGATCTCACCAGTGAAGCACAGTCGCATACAATCCAATTCTTAACCATGTTTTCGCAGCCAAACCCAACTCGTCTGGTGCAGCCGGGCCTGCGCCAAACCCCACCAACGCCCTCCCTCGGGAGGAGGAGGCTTCGGTCTCTAGTGGAAGTCGTGAGTGTGCCCTTGGACAAGCCCATCGGGTCCCTGAGAGAGAGAGAGAGAGAGAGAGAGAGAGAGAGAGAGAGAGAAAGGATGGTTGATACTGACTGATGTTTAAAGAGGACGCCCCGGTCATCGACACCGAAATGGGGTCTGCTCCTGCCTCGACCAAGGCTACTTGTGAGTTTGCATGCCTTTTGACTCCCCGACCTCTTCTTTTCAAATGCCTACACATTCAGTCATGTCCTCTTTTGTTCGAACCTTGTACTAACATACTGGTAGCGATCTAGTTTGTTGGTAGTCTGCGGCCGCTGTTCGTCGCCCCCTCCGGCGCGAGTTTTATTTTTATTTTTCGTTATTTGATGTTCTGGGCTGCGGCCCCTTCCGAAAACTGTTTTTGGCCCACTGAGGGCATCTCTGAATTGACCCCTTTCTTCGTAGTCAGTAGGCATTTTGGGCAACTACTCGTAACGTAATGCAAGGGTCCTTGAAAAGCACGCACGCGTTTGAGAGGTCGGATCAATTGTATGGCTGTTTGGCTACTTATACGGAATGAAAGAAGATAAATTGGCCTCCCATCTACGGAAATAGGCGTGTCAGATGAGTGTGGCGGTCAGCGAGAGTATTCTTCCATGCCGACAATGTAGCATTTTCGCAACTACCCTTTGGATTAGATAGATTCTTCATTGGAACGAGTAACACATAATACTTATAGCCGAATCAATCTTGACCTTCGATAGGAGCATGTAGACATCGAGCCTGAAGTAATCTTTCCAACATTGATGGCGTGGAGTCCTGGTCTTATGTGATGGCGATCTCAGCCCGAGATTTGCAAATGAGGTTCATCGGTTCACCGTCATACTTATCAAAATCCGTAACAAATTCATGATGAAGCATTGCACGAGTCTGCATCGAAGATATTAGTACGTGCAGCTAGCTTCGGGCAGCTTTCGGAACAACATACCCAATATGCATCTTTGTGGTACATACTCCGTATACGGCAGTACATAGCTAGTGCCCATCGTACACTTTTGGCTTTGCCAGTTTCAAATATTGGGATTGTGGGACTTATTACTCCATACATTTGACTATGTGAAATTAAAATTAGAATTAGAATCTTTCGTGATTCCCTACTTAAGTCCCATACTATAGTTGGGTTACAAAGGTGTTTATCTTTAGTTACTTCGCTCTTGCACATAGTTTTTGACTCCGTCAAGAAATCTCTCGAGTTCATTTAATATACTCCATGCGGAGTAATCCAAAGTCTGTCACCCTCTTTTTAAATATCTCATGATATCAGCTACCTTATATGGTATGAGACTTCAAGAAAGTAAGTTAAAGAAGACAGCAAGAAAAGACAGCTAAGTTTCCAAAGTGCTATGTAGCAATAAACAAAATCCAAAGTGCACTACGGGTACTAGCTACTACCGTACTCTGTACTCCGTATCATCTGCAATGATTGTCTGAAAAAATATTGTCCCTAAGGGATTGAAGGGCGTAGTAGGCTAGTACAACACACATATATGCCATTGGATCATATGCGTTGGAAATGTTGGAAATGAATCAAAATCACTAGATTCCTGACATGTTAGGCCTTTTAGTCTAGTTGGGAGATTCAACAGGAAACCCTTGAGCACTTAAAGTTTTGCCTGACCTGCGGATAGACAAAAGTCGACAACTTCCGCATTGAGTTTCTCAACACGCTTGTTGCGCTTGTGAGAACAGGTTGATCTATGGAGGAGAAGCACGAATCGCTTCATAACAGGAGATTCTGGCCGTAAAGCAAAAAGACAGACCGGGGAAAAGAAGGAAGAGAGAGAGAGTTGATTGTCTATCAGCTAGAAATCGGCATTTGGCAAACGAAATTTGTTCCCCATACCGAAACCCGTTCTCAAGCTCAGCAGATTCACAGTGTCCACGCGGAAAGTCTACCTCGCTCCCTCAAATTCTCAGGGGGGAGGGCAAGCCCCCACTCTTCCCAGTCTTCAGGCTTTACCCCCTTCTCTACGTGTGTGATCAACTTTCCATTGTGGCGTATAGGATGATCATCGAGTGCTTCGTAAATAGAGTGTGCCCCTCTGAAATCGATGAAGTACCTGCGGTTAAGTCAGCGAAAAGCTCTAGGTATTCAGGTTTTTTTTCGAAGGCACTTACAGTTTTGCCGAGGAAGAATCCCATACCAAATGGTTAGCCCAGGTTGAAAACGGGTAGCAATCCATTTCCGCAAAGGCAGGATACACTTCATTGAATTTTTCGCGTGTTTTGTCCCGTTCAGCGCGGTCAAACTTTGTGAAGAACGTGTGCAGCGGTAATCCAGGATAACATGTCTCATCCTCCGCAAGGCGGATTCCGGGTACTTTCTCATACACCAGGAAAACCACAAAACCCCCTGGAACAAAGCCGTCATTCTTTTGAACTTCTTCCTTGATTGCGAGGAGGGAGGGTGTCATTTCGGCGTTTTGGGCGTGAAACTTCTTGTATGCTTCCAGTTCACCGGAATGGCAGAGGGTAGCTTGTTGGCGGCGGATGTCGGGAGACTCATATTCAGTCTCGAGATGTGGGATTTGAAGGATCACTCGCATGTACGCGACTCTACCGTGTCGACCAAGGCCTTGGACACGGAATGTTGTTGCTGCGGAGGAGGAGGGGTTTGAGGGGGGATGCCGGGAATCAGCGTTTTCTCGCTGGGTTTGACTTTGAGAGAGCTTGTCTTCGATCTTCCATTGAGTCCCTGTTGGCACTTGAAATTCAAACACCGAGCCTGGATGGAATCTGCTGAAAGGGAACCACCTTTGCGCCATGATTGATGGAGAAACGAGATGAAGCACGAGGCGGATGAGTGATATCTGACGAAGTCAAAGGCTGGATGGATGGATGAAATGAAGATGATGTCAAGCACGAAGTAAAAGTCTTCATTTTAATTCCACGGTAGAATCACACGTCCGCGCCATAATGCGAATTTACGAGTACTACTCGTATTAGGCCTCTGAAGTCACATTTCCCCCCCTCACCGTCAATTATTGCCCATCGCTCATCGCGCATTCCATTGTGTCATTGATTAGATCGATTAGGCTTCAAATTCTCGTTCTTTTCCCGGTAAGCTCGAAAGTCCAAAGGTGATTGGGGTAAACGAATGTCTGTACTCTAGTCATTATCCCCACATTATCAAGGTCTTTATGTATCCGAGTTGGCCTGTGTGTATACCTAGGTACATATGCCCAGGTGGAGCACTCCGGCGACAATCTTGTCTTTCCTTATCGAAGGCGATAAGGCCTCAGGCACCAACTGAGGTCTGGACTGCCAAGCACGGACAAACTGCCACCGCCTTCCGAAATTTTTTTGAGTCCCGATATCATCGCAAAAAAAAATTGGAGAAGTTCAACGAGACTGCAATTCGCTGAAATGGGCTCCTCTAATACTCAACTCACCTCCAAGGTGACATCTGGCTCTCCCTATCAACTTGATAAGCCACAGGTTAGTACCGTCAATCCCCCAGCCAGGATTTGGCAATGTACTTATCGGACTTAGGCCCTCAAAGCCTCCACGGCGCTGCTTAAGCACATCAAGTCGACCCAGCAGGAACAGGAGAAGACCGCGACCAAGAAGACTCTGATTGGCGACAACGATTCTGATGATGAGGATGCTGCGATTAAGAACGAGGCCGTCTGGCTCGTCCTCACCACCAAGCAGCATGTGGTCGACAAGAACCGCCTGAAGCCTGGCAAGATTGCTATCCCGCATTCGCTCAACACATCTCCTTCGCTCAGCATCTGCCTGATCACTGCCGATCCCCAGCGAGGCGTCAAAGACATCATTGCCGATTCCACATTCCCTCAAGATCTTTCCTCCCGCATCGGAAAGGTCATTGGTTTCTCTAAACTCAAGGCCCGTTACTCGAGCTTCGAGAGCCGTCGCCAATTGTTTTCTGAGCACGATGTCTTCCTGGCTGATGACCGTATCGCCATGCGCCTGGTTCAGACCCTCGGAAAGATTTTCTACAAGTCCAGCAAGCGCCCAATCCCCATCCGCATCGCCGAGATCGAGAAGGTCGACGGAAAGCGTGTCAAGAAGGAGAAGAAGAGGCCCAATGTGCCCACCGATAAGGACATTAAGCACGCCTCTTTCGCCTCTCCTCTGATCGTGGCCAAGGAGATTGAGCGCACCCTGAACTGCGCCTCCGTGCAGCTTGCCCCATCCACCACAGCCGCCGTCCGCGTTGGCACATCCAAACTCACTGCCGAGCAATTGTCCGAGAATGTTGCGGCCGTTGTCAAGGGACTTACCGATAAGTTCGTGGCCAAAGGATGGAGAAACATCAAGGCTTTGCACATCAAGGGCGCCAACACCATGGCCCTGCCCATTTGGCTCGCTGATGAATTGTGGGTTGAGGATTCCAATGTGCTGGAGACTGCCCCCGAGATCGACGCTGGTAACTTCCCCAAGAAGCGTAAGGCTGTCACCGAGGGCAAGCAGGCCGAAGAGAACAAGACCAAGAAGACCAAGTCTGCGGACGATGAGGAGGAGGCTGCCGAAGTGGCTGCACGAAAGGAGAAACTCCAGAAGCTCAAGGCTCAGGCCCTTGAGGATGGTGATACAAGCAAAACCGAGGCACCCAAGGCTGGCGGCAAGAAGAAGAGAAAGTCTACTTCATGATGGTTATAACTCCTAATGTTTTCTGCATGTAAAAGGTATTTCTGGCGTACAAAATATCATATGTGTCTATTGTTTCGATCATCCTTTTCCGTACTTCAATGCTGTGTCTGTAATGAAACTCAACCTTCAACTTTTAAAACCTCACATAACAGCCATAATCAAGAACTCAAGAACAGACCCAACAGGTCTCATGTAGTTGTCGCATGCGTCATTCATTGGTGGGATTGATCAGCCTATATGAATACCGCATTAACCGAGTCCGACCTCGGGAGGTGGTCTTGGCATGCCGACGATAGCCACATCACCGTGAATCGCCGAGCTATAATCTTGCTCTACTCCCCACGAGGAACAACACCGGATTCTTCCACCAAATCGTCGCCATGATCCCGCTCGCTCGTCACTCCGTATTGCGGGCTGCCCGCTCCCAGCTCCAGCCCACCTTCAAGCTTAGCCAGCCCGCTTCTTCGGCGCTCGCCCGCCTCCTCTCAACTCTTGCAGTTCTGGAGCAACGCAATGGCAAGCTAGACTCTTCCTCCTTCTCCGCCATCGCGGCAGCACAGAAGCTCGGTGGCTCAGTAACAGGCTTCCTTGCCGGTTCTGGTGTCAAGGGAACCGCCGCTACCGAGGCTGCTAAGATTAAGGGCGTGGAGAAGGTGCTAGCCGTGGACAATGACGCATACGAGAAGGTTCGGATATGGATAAACCAGAGTACATCAAAGACTCGGATCATAGCTAACCAGACCTTTTCTCGACGTACAGGGTCTCCCCGAAAACTATGCTCCCCTCTTGGTTGAGAACATCAAGAAGGGCGAATTCACCCACATTGTCGCTGGCCACACTGCCTTCGGCAAGAGTCTGTTGCCCCGCGTTGCTGCTCTCCTCGACGTTCAGCAAATCTCCGATATCACTGGCATTGAGAGCGAGGACAGTATGTGCAAACCGAACGCTGCATGATTTGACATGTGATCCGGCTACTAACCAGTTACTAGCTTTCGTGCGCCCCATTTATGCCGGAAACGCCATCCTCACTGTTCAGTCGTCTGATAACATCAAGGTCATCACCGTGCGAGGCACCGCCTTCCAGGATGTTGAGACTGAGGGTGGTTCCGCCGAGATCGCCGAGGGCGCAGACCCTAATGTTCCTGCGACAACTGAGTGGGTGTCTGAAGAGCTGACCAAGTCCGAGCGTCCTGACCTCGCAACCGCTACCCGTGTCGTGTCTGGTGGACGTGGCTTGAAGTCGAAGGAGGAGTTTGACCGCGTCATGCTTCCTCTTGCGGATTCTCTTGGCGCTGCCATTGGTGCTTCGCGTGCCGCTGTTGACAGTGGCTTTGCCGACAACAGTCTGCAGGTTGGCCAGACTGGTAAGAACGTTGCTCCTCAACTCTACCTTTGTGCCGGTATCTCTGGTGCTATTCAGCACTTGGCTGGAATGAAGGACAGCAAGGTTATTGCTGCTATCAACAAGGACCCTGAGGCCCCGATCTTCCAAGTTGCCGATGTTGGCCTTGTTGGTGATCTGTTTGAGAAGGTCCCTGAGTTGACCGAGAAGGTGAAGAGCGCTTGATTTGAGTGCGTGAGTTCCTTTTTTTACGGTCTGTCGAGCAGGCCGATGCTTTTCTTTTATGTACTTTGAATGAACCGTACAGTATACCATCGACTAGAGCCAGATTGGTCTACTAGTCTGCAATTACAAGATTTTTTCCCTTTCCAATGTTATATCTGCCTGGGCTCGTATTATGTCGCATTTTGTGGTATTAAGCTGGAGAGTGGCCGAACATAATAAGCCATTGCTCCATTTTTGCTTCCAAGATCAAAGGCTATACTACGTACATATGTCTATAGATGTACATCTAATACACGGAATATGGCATACACCGTCTACAGGTACTGTGAGTAGGAAAAATGCCCTTCAACCAAAACGGGACTAGCGCGTTTTGCCAGCGCGCGTCGCGTCTTTAGAGGGGAATTGCATCGGAGACCGAGATATCGGTCCGCTTGAATGCTTCCCTCATCGCCCTCATTTCTGTCTTCATTTGACCCTGCCCTTCATCTTCACTCAGAAGGTATTGAAAGCACAAACGATCCCCAATCCGAGTCATTTTCAGACGATCTTGAGGCAATTGATCTACACCGTTTGGAACAAACCCGCAATCGAGTGGTCATTCAGCATCGCGCGTGGGACATATCAGATGTATTTAGAAGCGAAGACGATATAAGACCAGGTGCGCTGATACTAGTTCCAAACCACAGACCGATGCGCTGACCTTTCTACAGTAGATACGCCAACCAGAGTTTCCGTCAAGACCCCCAGACCAGGTTCTCATATCAAGGTCCAGAATAGTTTACATCTACCTTCCTCTCCGCCAACCCCAAAAATGCCGTTTCTTTCGTCTCAGAACGCGCATGCGTCTGCCTCGGGTGATGTGATCAACGATGCGCAGAAGAGAAAAGCCACCGAGGGCGGCTCACAATCGACAGAGCCGAAGCGACAGCGTATGGTCGGAGGTTTCATTGACGAGGATGATGATGATAACGAGGAAGAGGATGGACTTGCTGCACTCAGAGATGAGGAGCTATATAATCAATACGACCTGCCAGAGCACTACTCCCAGCAACCTTCCGCGGAGCTTTCCAAAATCATGACCACGCCCAAACCAAATACCGAAATCAATCCTATAATCGACCCTGCAACGGTCACTCCAAGGCCGATAACAGGGTTGACGTCTCGACCGGCCCCCAAAGCCCCCAGACTATTCCAAATCAAGACCTGCTCTGGAAAGACTCACACCATCTCAACGAGAAAGGCCCAGGCCCCTGTTTCCTACGAGCAAATTATTGCTAGTCGGTCCGAGTCGGAACCTGGCAAAGCGAAGAAAAGCTATTATGGTATTGAAATACACAGCTTGCTGGATGATGCAGCTAAAGAGGCGAAATCCTCGAAGCCAGCGTCTGCGCCAAAGATCCAAAAAACCATCGAAACAGACACCGGAAACGCCAAACAGAAAAAGAAAGACTCTTCAATGTGGACGGAAAAATACCGAGCCCGCAAGTTTACGGATCTGATTGGCGATGAACGTACACATCGATCAGTGCTGCGCTGGCTGAAGGGTTGGGAGCCAATCGTGTTTCCAGGCCTGGCCAAGTCTAGACCTAAGAAATCCAACCAAGACGACGAAGAGGATGCCATTCACCGGAAGGTCCTTCTACTTAGTGGACCCCCGGGACTTGGAAAAACGACACTAGCGCATGTATGTGCTAGACAGGCCGGTTATGAAGTTCTTGAGATCAACGCAAGTGATGATCGCAGCAGAGATGTGGTGAAAGGCCGAATCCGTGATGCCCTAGGGACAGAAAACATCAAGGGCATGAACGTGGAGATTGGCGAGCAAAAAGTCCGCCGCGCTGGTAAACCTGTCTGTGTTGTGGTAGATGAGGTTGATGGCGTGACTGGTGGCTCGGGAAGCGGTGGTGAGGGTGGCTTCATGAAGGCGCTGATTGATCTTGTCTTGCTGGACCAAAGGAACTCGAAACTGGCATCTGAGGGCAATTCCGGGAAGAAACGCAAGGGTGACACCTTCCGCTTCATGCGTCCTTTGATTCTGGTTTGCAATGACCTTTATCACAGCAGCCTCCGGCCTCTAAGAGCATCATCTATTGCTGAGATGATTAGTGTCCGTCAAGCGCCACTGGAGAATGTTGTCCAGCGAGTCAAATTCATTTTCGGCCGCGAAGGTATTCCATGCGACAGTGATGGGGCTCGAAGGCTCTGTGAAGCAGCGTGGGGCATGGTTAGCAAGAAACAGCGTAATGCTAAGACCACGGGATCCGCCGAGGGTGATATTCGAAGCGTCCTTGTTGCCGCAGAATTCGTGGCACACAAGCTTCGAAACGAGTCATTGCCATCCTCGCTTAAGTTGACGAGAAACTGGCTGGAGCAAAGGGTCCTCAATGCCTCGGCCGGGGGTAGTGCATTCTTCAAGGAATTAAGTCGCGGCGGCGTCCGTGAGATCGTCAACCGTGTGTTCACAGAAGGCGCTGGCTTCTCAGATGCCCCAACCAACATGAGCTTCCAGGATAAATTCGACAACTCCACCAGCCGTGTCCCTGTTGGCGTGGCAGACCTGCGCAAGCGACATGCGATCAATCGATTGCGTGAAATGGTTGACTCCAGTGGCGATCATGACCGTTGTGTATCAGACTGCTTTGCGTCATACCCTATTCAGCAATACCAGGATGACAACTACTTCTCCAAGCCAAATGCCGCCCACGACTGGCTTCATTTCCACGACTTAATGAGCTCAAAAGTATACTCTTCACAAGAGTGGGAGTTGATCCCCTACATGAGCCAGGCTGTTGTTGGATTCCACCACCTTTTTGCCACAGCCAGTGGCAGGACCACTGAGGATGACAAGAACGATGACGACGAAAATGCGGAAGAACCTCACCCATTTTCGGGCCCAAAGGCCGACTTCGCCGCCTTCGAAGCCCAAAAGCAGAACCGTGCTGCCTTGACTGCCTTCCACGCGAGCTTCTCTGCGCCCATGGCTCGCATGTTCCGCTCGAGTGAGAGCGTGATCATCGACCTGGTCCCTCACTTAGTTCGCATGCTATCACCAGATGTCAAGCCAGTCATCATTCGTGGAAACGGGGACTCAAGGAGCACAGCAAGTGTCCGGAAGGAATCCGAACGTGCACTGGTCCAATCCGCCGTACGCGTGATGAGTGGAATGGGCGTGACGTTCGAAAAGGTCCGCGTAGAACACGAAGGGAGTCATGGTGGATGGGCGTACCGAATGGAGCCGTAAGTCAACCTCCAACGACTTGATATCAGTCACGCTCACCAACTCACAACAGGCCAATTGATTCACTCATTGTTTTCTCAAAGACCAAAGGAAGTATGACCGAGTCAGGCAGTACAGCACCAGTCCGCTACGCTGTACGCCAGGTTCTGGACCAAGAGCATCGGAAGGCGGCAACCCGAAGCAAAACCGACTCTACGGGTGCATCCAGAGTTGCGACAAGGGACCGTGGCAAGTCTGATGATGGGAGCGCAGCTCAAGCTCTACGGGAAGCAGCTGTCAAGCGCGACTTCTTCGGTCGGGTCATTGAGCAGCCTGCGCCGCAGCCAAGGGATCCAGATGACCCAGACACCTGGGCGGATGAATCGTCCAAGGCTGGACGTAAAGTCTGGGTCACTTTCCATGAGGGATTCTCAAATGCTGTTCGGAAGCCAATCTCCATGGGAGAGTTGATGGCTGGGTTGTAATATACTTATGCATGATACCTTTGAGCGTTTCTCACGATTTCCTAAAGCTTTTATTTTTTATTCTTGTTTGCAAAGCATACCTAGGGGATTTTACTACATAGTATACTTCCAAGGCTCTACAACTTTAGATGATAACGATGTGTTCGGCGAAATCCATTGAATAAATGTGACAGTATAAACAATCTAGAGACCAGACAAAAGCATTATTTCCATCTGTACATGGACGATCCCTTGAGGGACCAGCAAGACTTGAACCAAAATCTTGGAACGCGACATAAGAAAAACGGATGACCATTGAGCATCATGGGTCACGCAAGAAGCACGCGTAGAATTATCAACATAGCATGCAATTAAAGTTGAAAAGGTGGTATCGGTATCATTCCATCATTGAGGCCTCAAGGGCCAAGGGTCAAAGGTGCAGGGCGAGCGTCGTCTCATCGAGACGAATGACAACGTTCAAAGCAAACAGGCAGACAGCAGGATCACGTCCCATCTTATGTAGGACGGGAGGACCTGTATACACTCTCGCGAGTTCGCACTCAACGTAGAGAGAGGTAGGTCACAAGAGCTTCACGGTGCAGCAGCTTTTCCTTGTTCTTTTTGTCTTGCTTGTCTGCTTTTTTGGAATCATCGGACTCCGGGGTCTTTGAGGTCTTCGTTTTCGAGAAAGGCGAGTACCACTTGGCTGGTGCGTCGCCCTTCAGTGTTGTGGCGCTGGAGACGGTGGAGTAGGTTGATGATGTGTCGGAAATGGTCTTGGACGATTGGTTTGAAGAAGGCATTTTGAATGACACGTAAGGCTCAGCCTCGTAGTCACGGGCGATTTGAATGATCTATAGATGTCGGGAGGAAGATAGGATCGTAGGAGACAAGTAGATGTGCGTTTATAAGATGTTCAAACGTTCAGATGAAACTTGGAAGTCCCGGTGTTTTGATTAGAAATGGTATATTAAAAGCGAAGTGAGCTCTGGTCTTTATATAATGGAAGTAAATCAGCGGAGTATCATAGAGGCCTAAAATGGATGTCCGTCATAAGCCCACTGTGGGGCTATCGGAATAAGAATCGGAGCTCGAATGTCCTGTTAAAGTACTCCGAATTAGAGCCTAACCAGCTGGGGAAAAGTATGAGACTTGTGTCATCTCTGATATTAATTCTAGATCTAGTACAGAATACTAGGTTAAATTTATAATTATGCCAAAAGCGTTCGATACCTAGAACTCATATTGAATATGAGGTAAAATACTCCGTACTCCGTACATATGAAGCTATTAGACACTATCCGATAGACACAGATGAATCAGCCAAAAAGAAAAAAAAAATATTGGATGTGCATCTGTAGATCATCTAGACCTCAATGATGACTCCGAAAACGCGGGAACTCAATCTGGCAATTTTGACAATTTACGCAATTTACTAGTAGTAGCGCGTCCAAATTTTCCACGTTAATCCACGTTAAGAAACATGATGCGAAAGGGCGCGATCGCCCACTAGCGGTTGCTTGGCTCCGCATTTTCAATGTCTCTACATATGACTATACAGTTTGCCGGTTCGGGACCCCGATGAAGTGTGAGGGCCGGTGTGGGCCTCTGCTAACAAGTGTACAAAATGTCTACGAAGTACTCCAGACCCTTAGAAAAATACGAAAGCTAGCTCATCTATAGATTAACATCACCTGGACATTTAGTTTTGATTTCCAAGCATGCCCAGTGGGCATCTACTAAATACGGAATACGGAGTTTGGGGTTCCCAAATCTAAATCTCCAAGTTACGAAGTGGCTTGGGATGACTCAACCCCCACAGCCTCAACGAAATCTGGACTTTGACAGCGACTCATAGGGATTCACGATATGGATTGGACGGAATCTTGCCGGTACGGCCCACTGTTCTGATTGGTGGTTTTCAACCCTCTTTCAGCGAGACCGGTCGTTAGTCCGATATTTAGTCCGATCTGGTTTTTCTATTCCGACATCATGCCCACGGGGTATATGGAGTACGGAGTACGGAGTAAAAGATATCAGAGCACATCATCTCTTCAGTTTATTAATCATTTATCATTTGCCATTTGATTTCTAATTCCAAACGACAAAACCAGCCATCCCTCATGTCAATGCCGGAGTGCTGTTGATGACCGGAATATTAGTCCGATAGGCCCGCAGTGTCTACAGGTAGTCCCTTGCTGCCTTCCATATAGTTAAATACTACGACGGACCTGAAAGATCAGAAGCCAGTCCGACAGCTTCAACTTCTTCCAGCGCTCTTTTCCTCTGTCACTTCGCGTTTTCTAGCGTAAGTGATAGCATCTTGACGGACTGAACTTATTGGTTGCTCTCCAAGGTCCCACGAGTCTCCCTTGTAGACAGGGGTTTGTCCTCCGTTGGAAAAGATTTAAAAATCATTTTGCGATATTGACATTTCGCGATCTTGATATTTCTGGTCTTATTTCCTATCAACTTCTAAAATTTGAGCTACGAAGCAGCACAAGGCTGAATGCCCACTGGGTCCCGCCGGTTCCACATCAGCCTTGGCCGGGCCTACTCCGTGCTGAACACGAGTACGGAGTAGACTCGGAGATCAAGAAATATAGGGCTCCCCGGCGAAAAAGACTTCTAGAATTTCCGCAGAAAGGCGATTCACATTCATTTTGCTCGTACAAAACGTCCACGGGTCCTGCTGGAGTAGAGCGCATTTTCCAGTAACTCACTTCTGAAGTTGAGTCTTCCATACTAATTTAGATGGAATTCATCGCTGGACTTCTGTTGAATACATAGAGAGAGAGAGAGAGAGAGAGAGAGAGAGAGAGAGCCATAATATGGAACTATAGCCTGTTCAACCATGTGCATGTCAAAGACTACACATTATATCAACAAGAATGACACACAAAATGAGTTCTCCAGGGCTACTAGAAGAAGAAAAGGCTGCCTATCAATATTCAAGTCCGTATATCCTTAATTAGAAGCTGTGCATAATACAAACAGAGATCGTTGAAGAGGGCCGGTAGCTGAATCCCTCGAAGCCAATCAAAACCGAATTTGAATTCCCATACAAGCTGATACAAGCAGCCAGCCTGACCGTCAATCAGGCGATTTTCCCATGGATACATAATCCCTGAACACGAGGCCGCGCATCCATGCTATTCATCGATCTGACATGTCCGGTGACACAGGATGCCCAAAGGAGCGGTGAGTACAAATGTACGAGTATTGTCGAAGTGCAGCAGAAACGAGGACAGAGACATGGATCTGAGACATGGAGCAAGATCTCAAGACCTGGAAGATGCCACAACTCTATCACACAGCCAATAAGATGACTCTTCAGATCTTTCCACCAAACCCCGGACCCCAGACCGAAGGGGAATAAATGACGTATTGAGACCCCGAACACATGACGATCCAGTGAAGTGCATGCAAGGCGCATCAAAGAGCCCAGCCACTCACGGCACACTGAAGAGTCGGTGTTTCCGGGCCCACGCTGATCGCCCTAGAGTTAATCGTACAGCATACAGTGGTGGCGCTGCAGACCGCAACATTGGACGAATACTGCGTCTGCTTTGCAATACAAGCCTTGACTTGCGCCTCTTGGCTAATGCTTAGCTGTGTGTTGGAGATCAGCCGCAGGGGATCCCTGGCTGCATATGAGCTACAGTCGGGATCCCTAGCTTGGTATGTGTGGTACACGCAGTATGGATATCAGCAGCTGAGGTGGAGCTTAGGGCAGCTGGCTATTCTAGGGTTTGAGACAATGGGCTAATTCTATCGCGTTTTGGACTCTGGTTTTGTCTTAATTCGAATTTTCTGTGAGATATAGCGAGTTTTTGGATACGTAGGGGGTACTTCTTTTTTCTTCCTTTTTGTATACCATTCGTGTTCTTGCAAGGCTTGGGGAATACCAAGTATAGATCATGAGATTTCTTATGGATGTGGTGTATTGATCTTCCCATATGCACAAAATAACAATGTCAAAGTCGGTCTGCTACCGGAGCTGAATGCCGCCATCAGCTCTGATAGAGGTAGCTCGGGTTTCTCACCGCTACATTTGTTGTCGCAACACTCATCCACAGTTGCGAATGGCCATTGGACCGCACTCATTACTAGTGCGGTGGAGAGTTACTAAGTTTACTTGAATCTCGTACTCCGTACGAGCAATGAAATGATCCGGGTATTGTAACCCCTGAATATTCTCATATGGCATGAGGATTTCCAAGATGGAAATCCGAGTATCATATTGCAATTTGCATGTCAAGTTTCATTTGGGTTAGTTGTAGTGGTTCCAGAGCTCTTTGTACAGGGGGAAAAATGCAGCAATGATCTCTATAAGCATCATGTGTGAACAATTGGACAAAGAAAAAAAAAAAACAAAGGAATGTACATAAGGGAAAAAAAGTCCAAATTGCAAGCCCCTCTAGATTAATAACTACCATGGAAGGAATCTAGACTGGCTAATGGAACAGGACAAATCAGGCATTTATCATCATCTCTCATCAGGGTCATGAAGACGGTGTGGAGGTGGTGGTAGATTGCCGCAAGACAGCAAGCCCCAGGGGTAAAGGAAGGATAGGAAGAGAAGTCAAGGAGAAAGAGCAAAGGAAAGCAACGGACACCACCAACTTTTACTGCGCCCAGGACTGTTGGAAGAAGTTTTCATCCATGGGCGGGGTTGATCCAGCATCGTAGATACTCCCAGTCCAGATGGGAACCGAGTCCGGCGGCGAGGGGATGCTGGTCATCGGACCCGACGTCATTGGCTTGTACTCGGGCATATGCGACATCGAGTACACATCATGCGCGGGGACTGGTTTTGTCTCCATGCCAATACTGGCCTGAAGCTGGTGCTCGAGCGCGGCAGTGGACTCATTGGCAGACTTGAGGAAGTCGTCGATGTTGATCGAGTCCAGGTCATTGGAGGAGAGGAGTCGCGCCTGAGGAAGACCGACCAATGACGAGGCAGAGCTGGCGCGAAGATGGTCCATGTCAGACGCCTCACTCACGCTGTGCAGATCATG